GATCCTGGGCACGTGCCATATCTAGCCCTGGCTAGAGTCTGGGGGTCATGGCGTCCCAGCCTCCCGGAAGAATCGAAGAGAAAATCAAATCAAATCAAGGTCTGGACATGGAGTTTGTCTCAATAAAGAATATGCAACCCTGAACAGCCTCACTATCGGGTGATTGACCTGGCCCGAACCTTGGTTCTTGGTTGGATTGATGAGTTTCCTGCAATGGCGTCTGGATGGGTTTGATCCACCTAGAAACTCAAATCTTGCCATTGACGGAAATGGAAAAGGGAGTGAACGAGAAGAGTGGAAGAGTAGAAATTATGATATTTCTAATAATAAGATTAATTAGCTCCCGGAACTTGCACTTTTCTGGGAAAGATGGGGGAAGGTACCTGCAGTGGGATAGAGACTAGTGGTAGCAAATCAATTCCGGAGGAGAGGGGAAAATACTTCATTTAGCTCGGTCGCGAATCGGAACTCGGACAATTATTCTCTACTAGTCAGGAGCTTGGTCTCCTTATGTATCTCATACTATGCAATATAGTGACATGTAAAGCTGTACCCGAGCACACTTTCCTGGTCTTCAGACTGTAAGTTGTGATAGATCGGAAATGGTGGAGCCCCGCGAGTTTGGGCGAGTGGAGTCCGGCACGGGTACGGGTCGGATGTGGAGCGAAGGATCAGATCTGATATTTTAGGTCTAATGGACTCGAAGAAAAAGAAAAGGTCTGCTTACCAGTGGTAGCTTCACTAGTTTCTGGAGAAAGATAAGATGGGGATAAATAAACGAGATCGTAAAGAACCCCGCTCAACATGGTGCAGAATTTATTGGTACTTTTGCTCTGGACTAAAGGAAATAACAATAGAGTACAGTACTGTACATACCGTACGGAGTACTTGTCTGGTACATAGTAGTTCCGATGTGAAATTGAGTACATCCACCATACCGATCGTGTCCGTACCATTCTCCACAGTTCAGCAGCACTTGCACAGCGCCTTCTTCCTCGAATTACAAGTCTATTGGACACACCTAAAGAGTCATGAAGAAGTCATTTAACACTCGAGACATACATCTCTCTCTCGTTCACCGCCTCGCCGCACGTATCGTGGCAGTCTTGCCCAAAGCGCAAATCAACATTCCATCACTGTCCAGGTGCAGGCAGCCACGAGCATGGCTTGCTGGCCGAACATCGGCCTTGCTGCCACGGAATATGTTGAGCTCTAAAGCTTGTCGGGTTACCCTTGGAATGGACAGAGGTAATGACTTCGCCTTCCTGCACGTACTGCCGAGTTTGGTACCTCCCCATGCCCGACCTCCAGCTCGAGACCCAGAAGGTGGCCCGTGAGGAAGAACCACCAGCTGCACAACATACCATCGATAACCACCCTCTCGGTCATGGTCCAACTAGTGACTGGTTCCTAGCTTTCCCCAAGTCGATCGATTACGGCAGCGATCCACCAATCAAAGTTAAATCGGCTTCTTTTCCACCAATTTGCCATTCGCCATCTCAATCAACTAGCCTCCTGCAGCATAGGCCGATCGCCCAGCCCCTAATGCAGTTTTGTCCCCATCGATTCGACTGGTGAGCAAAGGGCGCCCCCACTATCGAGCCTAGGATCTGTGGGATCTATGAGTTTCCACAGTCTAGAGTCCACTTTCACCCCCCCCCCCCCCCCAAAAGCACACCCCCAACGAGTCCATGAAGAGAAAATGAATCGTTGCTGCGGTAGCTGTGGAGCTCCATTCTGGAAAATGCAGCCTGGTACGGACCGCAAGTCTACCGGGCTTTCCCGTTGCAGAATGCGTCAGACACGCCTTCTTTGTTTCTTTCAGTCGAAACTCCGTACTTGGTGGGGGTGAGAAACTTAGGCTTTGTCGCCCGGTCTCGCTCTCGCCCTCACCCTCCCAGGTTGGCCTTGATCACGTTGCCCGTCGGAATTCGAGGCGCCCAGCGTGCCCTCCTCCAGGATGCTCCCATTTGTAGTAAAGAAAAGTAGGATTGGCCCCATTGGCGCCTTGGTGTGCCGCCTTGGTCGGGTTCATTCTGTTCACCATTCAGGGTCTGTCGGTGAGGGCATTGCCAGCATGCACTACGCAGCTCGTCGAATGAAAATTGCCGATCGTTTAGCATGCCCTTTCGTCATGCACGTCCCGATGCTCGTGCCTCGACTATCGTTTCTCCATGAAGGATTGAAGAAAGTAGCAAAGATAATCAAAATGTGAAGAGAAAGAAATAATCAAAGGCCCCGGGGACGACTCCGAGAGGTCGCGTCAACTCCAGCCTCATAAATCTTGGTCAGGCAAATGGGTTATTTCCTTGGAACCAGACGAATAATGATTTTCATTTGTTTTTTGCTATTCGGATCCGAGGGATTTCGTTGGCTAGTACTGTCTATTTCGGCCTGCAGATCCCCAAGGTTTGATACATCCAGTCGTCAGGCGACTCTGGGGCCGAGAATCCAGAGGCAGTCTGCACGGCTATCCTGGTTGATCATCTCCATCCTTTCTAGGTTTCATCTTATTTGGATTTGCCTGCAGCATCCCGCTGTCGGGTGTTCGTGCTGGGACATCTGACTTTTTTTTTCTCTTCGGGAGAGCGCCCCCGTAATGGAAAATACATCCAGCACGCTGGTCATTCGTCCCGGTTTCGCCCCAAAGTCCTGAAGTACAGTAAATGGAGGTCCTGAAAAGTACTATCCACTTTGAAGCAGCCCAGTGTCCGTGCAAGCGTCTCCTCGGCTCCTCCCAGGGCACGTAACATGGAGATTCTGACCAATACCATGCTCCATGGACAATCAAACTGTCTAGAGCTCGGGCCAATGAGTCGATGCTACAGTTTCTTTATGGAGACCCGCGCACCTACCCAGCTCCTTTACACTTGGTCGGGGGACAGGGATCTTGATGTCTCCTCCACAGAAAAAAAAAAAAAACAATTAAAAAAATGACGAAAGAGGGAAATTCCCAATTACCCCCAAAAAAAGAAAACAAAAAAGATCGGATTAACCACCATTACGGAGATCCTGGACAGCACCAATTATGGTTGGACCCCTAACGCAAAATTGGCTGCTGGCACCCACTGTAGCGTTGCGAAATACAACGTATTTTCCACCGTCCCTGGCAGGCCCAGATCCTAGCTCTTTCCACATGAACTCGTGGCGATAATGGTCGCCTCTCGGCTCGTTGACTGATCTGAGTCTATTTTCGGGGAGGGGAGGGTCAACCTCTCCACACCATACTACTACCTTCATCGACCCAACTCCAGCCATCCAGCAGAACCGGGGAGGTAAACCAAGCCAGACAATCCAGAACGGGCTCGAGCTTGACCAGGGTTCATCGACCTGGAGTATTTCTGTACGCAATACACCGGGGAGGGGGAATATCATCACGGCCGAAATCAAATAACATCAATTGGATGCGCACCCTTTTCGTCACCATCTAATTCTCTCCTCGTCCTGGTCATTTATTTCTCTTGCTTCCAGCCCAGTCACGAAACATTTCGCCTCTACTCCCTTCTCCTTCAAAAAGAAATTAATCTGATCACTCAGGATTCTAACAAAGGAGGGCTTTTGCATTTACGTCAGGAGCGGAGGGTACTTTCTTATCTGAGAAAGGACCTATAGCCTCTCGTCCCTAATAGCCTCCTCATTCCCCATTGTCTTCCTTTTACCTCGACGAGTGTCAAAGGTACTCGGCAATCGACGGTGGCTTCGATCTTGGGATTCCGGGGAGCTCGGTAGTCCATTGAAGATAGGGTTACAGTACTTGCAGCAAACCTGGTGGACCGCCGTCTACTCTTCTCGTCCTTGTCGGTCTATGCCAGTTACCTTTTGCCCATCAAAAGGCCCGCCCTGCCGTGAATCGATTTGGCGGACGCCAGTCACGCTGGATTACATCACGTAGGTATTCATTTTCCATTTTCCCCATTCTTCCTTTTGCTTTCCTTGTTCTATTACATGGTTTAGCTTTTTTCATTATTATTTCCCTTTTGGTATTCCCAATCCCCGTCTCTTTTATCAAATTATCTTTCTTTTTTTTTCTTTTTTTTGCCCTTGTCGACCTTGTTTTGGAGCCGAATGGCTTTCTGGTCTATCAGAGTGTGCTTGGATCTTCATGATTTAGTGTTCTGGAGACACTAAGTTCTATACTCTGGATTGTTTAATTTGAACTCGGCGAACAATGCCCCTATGACCATCAATGTGAGGATCTCCCAAATAGGAAGGCCATGCTCTTACTCGTGACGCATTCTCTTGGACGGGTCTAGCATCCGCCCAGAGATACTTCCTGCACCGGCTTTTCCGCATTTTCATCGGCCAGAGCCAACTTCGTCTTCAAGTAATGCTCTTATTCTGGTCTTCACCCACTGTTCCTTTCATCTTCTTCCTATTCAACTACCACTCCCTTCCTCTTTCTTCGTGCCTGCTCATTCATTCTTTCTCATACGCTCCATCACACTTACCTTGTTCCTTCTCTTGATTCCTACAGTACTATCCCTGACCTTGATCATACCAAGCGATTTCTCCTTTCCTTTTCGCGTTGTCTGTTAACGAAAATCCACCAAGCCCCGCGGATTTACGTTTCTATCCCGTTGTTTCGTGAACTATACCCCACACAAGCCTTCGCATTCCACCAAACCCCCCGAAGATACCAAAGAGCAAGGAGCCATTTCTGTACCGTTAGGTGAGCAATGGCCGTTGGGAAATAGGCAGAACAGCTCTGCCATGGAACTTGGTCCACTAATCTGGTCGCTCTAGACAACGGTGCCCCTCGCCAATTTTGAGACGTCAATCGCAAAGGCAAGCCGTGGGCGTGTCGCTCGTGTTACCTTACCTGGGTATACTTCAGGGTCCTTGAGGAATTTGCATCATGACAATCAGAATGAATCACTGTAAGTCTGCTGATATGCACGTTTCTCCTCGTTTCCAATTTCATGCTCTCTTCGTACCCTGGTGCTGCAATATCACCATCACCAGCCGTTTTTCGTCTCATATCCCCGAGGTTCTCTCCTACTATGAAGTACACAGCTAAATACCTCCATCCAGCTACTCTCCTTTCGGAACCGTTTGCCATGGACTGCCCGGTCACCACCGATGGGGACTATATCAGCTCCCAGGTAGCAGTATTTCCGACTGACGAGGACGACAACAGCCAACGAGTCGGAGGGCTCGCCTCCATGCCTGTCACCAACGGCGTGCGGTACCACGCACCGCAGTCTGCGATGCAAGACTTGCAGTACGTTATTTTTTCCTTTATTTCTTTCCATTTCTTTGCAGCAGTTTCAATCTGGACTACCTGTTGCGCTCCACTCGGCCCTCTTTCAACATGACAACGGAATCCGGAACCCCCCTGGTCGCTGCGATTCCTCCGGGTCCGGGCAGCTTGGACTTTAGTCCGGCCTGTTTTGATACCTTCCATACTGATCTGCCGCATGCATGCGTTTTGTCCGATGTTTCTGTCCTTTTCTATCTAAGCTTGTGTCCGTGTCCTTTATTGTTATTTTTTTTGGCCAGTGTCTCTTCTCGTGAGCAGCCTGCGGGTTGATTTGCGTCTTTACGCATCATGCTCTACGTGCTGTCCCCGAATAGCTATGGGACTCTCTTTATTTCTACCTGTCTTGTGTCCTTGATGCAGTGGTTTATGATCTATCCTGTGGGATTGTGACGTACTAAACCGATTCTTTCTGATTTCTAGTTATCCCAGCTCGACTGCACTTGCAATGACTCCTCCTGATTCCTGTTCCGGTATGGTTTGGCTTTTGATTTATTGTGTGATTGTGGCTGGATCTTCTAACTGACTGCTTTGAACCCCACTCAGATTCGTTCTCCCCAACGTCTGGTCCTCTGTTTCCTCATATGGCCCAACACCAACATCCCTTTGACCGAGTGCCAGATTTCCGTCGAGTACCATCCCTGTGAGTGGAAATTCTCTCGAATACCCACGAGATAATATCGACTGATTGATTTCCTTGCTATACCTAGCCAACCTCCCACCGGCATGTCAGCCACTATGCAAAGTCCAGTGCACTCTGTGAGCTCTATCTCGGCATTGATGGGACGCAACAATGCGTATTCATCATCATATGCACTCCAGCATGGCATGGGCTTGCCATTGAGTGGAATCAATGATGTCTGTCGCAATCATGGATATTCAGGCACTCCTCGGGCTCTGGATGTTCTGGATCGAAACCAGACCGCTCTACTCCAACAGCCTCAATTGGAATCCCCGCAGCGTCCGCACCCTCAGATAGAGGCACCGCCATTTGAGGAGACGAGCGTTCTTGAATCAATTGTCACGGACTTTGGAGGTACCCAGCAAACCGTCAAACCGGAAGTATATGCGAAGATAGGGCGTGGGTTCTTCCCATCCGATAACAAGTGGACCTGCTACCGACGAAATTACTTTGCTGTGACTTGCAGCTTCAGCCTGCACCCATGGCCTTCGACCGTTCCTCTCTACATTCGCCATGCAGATCAAACTCTGGAGCCGATCCGCAACTTTGCAATGTCCATTTCTGCCATAGTCAATGGGCAATATGGAGAGACCAGAGAGCTCGTGCAGCATACTCCCAAGCGGGATAAACAGTCAGAACGCCCACCACCCCGAGTGCACCTACAACCCTCGCCTCCACAGTCCCTCGCATCCGCTACCACTGGAAACGGAACCCACGGTTTCCAACTTGGCTCGCAATCATTGGACTACAATTCCTCTTTCGCCGCCGCACCTCAACCTCCACAATCACATATGTTTGAGCGGATCCAGTTCCAAAAGGCTACGGCCAACAATGGCAAGAGACGTGCCCAGCAGCAATTCTACAATCTCGTGGTCGAGCTGCAGGCCGAGATCGCAGGCCCAGTCGGTGGAGAATCACAGTGGGTTCTCATTGCCCGTCGACACTCGCATTCAATGGTCGTGCGAGGTCGTTCCCCGGGCCACTACAAGGACGGCAGACGCGATAGCACAGCTAGCATGGGACCCGAGGGAGGGAGTGGAGACGGCAGTGGCAGTACCCTCCCTCACGTCATGGGACAAGCAGCGCGCTCACACCTGCTTCTGTACGACTCACCCCATCGAGGAAGCTTGCCCTACGGGCGAACAGATTACCGCCAGATGCCAACGGCCGAGCACTCGCCGATAAGCGATAGCCCACTCGTCTCATCCTCTTCCTCGTCCGGTTTCGACTACTCCATGATCAACGATACCATGGATCCGATGGACACGTTGAAGACCGAGACTACATTGGACCCCTACCAAGATCCATTCACAGGGGTACCCAATACCCGCACGACCACGAGCGGATTCGACCCGGTCTACTCGACTTACAACGGGTACAGCACGATTCCTAACTCTCGTAGTCTGTGCACCTAGATCGAGGGATAACCTGGCTGGGCCATGATAATCCCGTAATTTTCATTCTGTTCGCGTAGTGTCTTTTTTTCTTTTCAGTTTCATATTCTCAATGTCACTTAGTTTCGAGCGAAATTTGTGTTTTCTTTTTTCATTTGCAATGAGATACTGGGAATTGGGGCATAGGATATCACGGATTGGTGCAGAACGGCGCGGGAGATTGAATATGAATTCATGGACTCTTGGACTTCTTTCATTGTGTGCTTAATTTATTCTTTACTTTGACTCCATCTCTTAGTATTTGAAGTTAAAAATTGCGGTTTTCTTTGTTGTTGCTCCCATACTCGATATTGTGTCTTTTCTTTGATCAAGGTTCTATGAGAAAAGACTGGGGAGGAAATGTATGGATGTGAAGTACACCAGTGCCAGAGGAGGAAGCTCCAGGCCCCAACTTGGAGCCATTCTCACAAGCCGAGATTACTATCAAGGGAAGAGAGGGGCTCTTCACATGGCTGTTTCCATTACGAAATTTAACTTTCTTGTCATGTCATTCCTAACCTGCCACAAAAAAGCACTCCACAGAATGCTATCAACAAGATCTTCAAATTTCGCTCCCTGAACTCCCCCATACATGTGTACTACAACTAATTTCAACCTCAATTAGAGACCATAGTTGATCCATGCAAAAACGAAAGCCCTCAATTCTCCGATTTGCTCTCGCCGCCAGGGACCGTTATTCATGCGGTCCTAGTCTAGCTCTCTATTCTGCCCGGACTGGTACTGTAGAAGGGATTCGCCCGGTCCCAGTTGCAATAGACATGGGGAATGATCTCCGTTACGGCTTTTGTATACATTCTGCCCTCTTTCCTATTGGTTCTATGTTATTACACTAGAATAGCCTGGCTTCCTTGCAGCCGGTAATAAGTCACGCCGTTTTTATCACTGTATTTCTTTGCTCGAAGGCGACAGTTATCGAGTAATCAGATTGATTGGAAGGGGCCGGGTAGTGTGTTTCAGGCGGGGGCAAAATGAATGCAGGAAAAGTGAAAGGAAGCCAGGGTGGCGTTGACTGCAGATTGGCTATTTTTGCTTTTTCTGTTTAGGGCTTTGCAGTCATCAAACGAGGTGATCATGGCAGGGCGCAGGGAGCCAATCAGATCTTGAGGGTGGTGTCCTCTTTAGGCAGGACTCTTTTCTTGTATACCGTACAGAATACATACTTTTATTTTCGTAGGTATTGATTGCTTTGAGGACTAGATGGTCATAATTTCCATTACCGTTGTTTTTTTCGGTCTTCTAGAAACTGGTACTTGCATCGATTTCCGAGTCCGGCTATATTGTCCTGCTTGTATGCATCCAGGCAGCAAGGATGATGACCAGCTACTGGGTTCTCTCCGCATGTGGATATGTATGGGAGTTAGGGATCCCAGTCTGGTCGCCTATCGGGATCGACGGTGCATGCGCAGGTGATTTATTGCGTCTCAGCTCAGCCTGGCTCTGACTTTGCGGCTGTTACGACACATGCAGGGTACCTACTGTTTTGTTTTTGGCTTCCCGGTGGCGAAATGCAGAACATTTGAACTTAGACTTTTTTTCCCAGCAGTGCTTGAAACTTTTACATAAAGTTGGTGGCCTCAACTCTGCTTGGGTTCCTAATTAGGTCGAGGGTGGAGGTTTGACAGGGATATATTGCCTACTTGAGAGCTATCGTAGGCAGATCTTGCTCACCAACCAAGGTTATCGGTCTGGCCAATCATCTACCTCGTCACCACCCTAGTCGCAGCCCTAGGTAGTCACCTGCCCCTCGGTATGTTCCGGTAGCTCACCCCACTTGACTAGGACATCTACGTACCAGATATCCTATGCCACGTCTTGGCTGATGTGTAGTAACTGAGAAATCAAATGGAAGCGTATAGTTGATTCAATGTGGTTTAATAATGACCTAATCTGCTTCTGATCGAAAGACGTCTTACAAGAGGGAAAGGATCGATTAAGAATATAAGCCATAGACACATATGCCCATTCGTGCCAAAATATCTCATTTTTTCAGCCCTCTTGTACAACCTGTTTGGCACCACATTTCCAACAAAATCTGTCTTGCATTTGGCAGACAACACCACACTGTGTACAATGACGGGTCTTGCTAACGACCTCAGTATCGTCTTTGTGGTCGTTGTAAATATCATCTCTCGCAGGGATCTGTCGCGAATTGGTAGGGGTTGCATGGCCTGATCTGATGTTGGATTCATGATAAGCGGGAGGGTAAGACGGTGGAGGTGAGTTGTGAAGGTGTGAAGAATCCGTAGACGATGAGGCTGTATTTTGGTTGTTGGAAATTGCCCTTTGTACCTCTTCTTGGACTAGGCGCTGCGTTGCCTTTTCTTGTTCTGCCTCTCGTAGCCTTTGTGCTTCCAATTCTTGCCGCATCATCATTTCACGCTGATAGTCCAATTCCGCTTGCCTCTGAATTTCATGTCTCGCACTTGCTCTCGACGCACCCACGAGAACAGCTGCCCCGAGGAGAGGTCTTCGTCTACGACCGTACATCGCTTAATGTAGTTGAAAGGCGCGCGTGAGTGAAAATTGCGTGAGTGAAAATTTGGTCCTAGGTAGTATGGAGTACTGACGGAGTTAGACGATAGAGCGTTATAGAGAATAAAAGAGGCCGGCTACGGTAGTTATATTTCATTATATTTATTCAATCTAATAAAGAGGCCCTTTATCTAGTCTAGTCGTCATTGACTTTCTATATACGCTATAAATTACACTGGGCGGTGGCAAGCTATCCGGGAGTGTAGTTACCCGACCCATATACGACTAGCTTGGTAATCGAATTATGATTTTACGCAACGGATCAACCATTTACTCTTGCTAGGCTCAATTTTCCGGTAGAAATCATAAACCAACATTGACTTCGTTTCCTAGGGGTCGATGAGATATATTAGTCATGAGGCTCGTGTGAGTAGATAATGTTGGCAGAAAGAGATACCGGTCGAGCTAATAGAAAAGTTCACTAATTAAGCGATACCTACTTTCTACTGAAAAGTGGTTACTTATTCACACTTAGCTAAATTAAATAATGTATTGATTCCGAATCTCGACGATAATACTATACCACTCCTTTGTCTTACGAACCTCTAAGGGGACGGTAACTAAGCGAGGAGTAACCGAGAGCCACGTTAATCAACCCCGGACGCTAACCATAGACGCTATCACTTGCGATACCTACCACTTTATCTCGGTTGTTAAGAGAGATCTCTGAAGTCTATAATCATGAATCACCTCTACCCTTTACTTGTGAGATTGATCTATTTCCCCAAAATAGTGAAGGAGGAGGTGACAAATATAACTCCAAATTTCTAATCTTTAAGCCTCTAGCCTATCATTCCACCCACTCACGGCGGAATAGGAAAAGACTGTGAACATAAGTACGGACGACCAGTGCTACGGTGGATCTGCCATAGGGATGTACATGTTCGAGTGGTGTAAGTCACTTTACTCCCCCAACATCCACCCTATCTCTGCTCCGTGACGCCGAACGACGCCCTTTTGATATATACTCTCTCACACGATAACAAACCCAGGCCCCATGCTACCTCCGACATCACCAGCCTGTATCTCTCCCTCCGGGCTTTGGTTCGTCACACCATATCATGCCTAAGTACGCCCTTGCCATTACAAGCCGTCTGCAGGCCCCAGACCCCGTTCCGGGTTGGTCTCGCAGAATAATTACATCGCTTAGAGGCTTAATCTTATTCATTAAACGACCCCCCCCCCCCCTTACCTAGCTCAGCCTTGCCATGCCTTTAAATTACAGATACAATGAAAGGACATGGTACAAATATCGAAGAAGTCCTGGAAAGGTTTTCGTGCCTTATCAAGCGAGAAGCTAAGCTCCAGATTCTTTTTTTCTTACTTTATATACATTTTCAACAAAGTATTAGACATGAAAATAGATATAAGAATATTTCACTGAAACAGATCCAAAACAATACGACCCTTCAGCTGACGATTGTTCATCTTGTCAAAGACATCCTTCAGGCTTGACATTGGCTGGACTGTGACCCTTGTCGTTGCGACCCCACGAGCAGCCATATCCATCGTTTCAATAGCATCCATACGATTTCCAACAACACTCCCCACAATGCTGATCTCCTGGCTGAGTAATTTAGCGGGATGGGCAGATGCAATGGCAACCGGTGCCCCCTCAGGAACACCAACATAGACAACGGTACCCGCAAACCGCACCAAAGAAACCGAATCAGCATATGCACTATTAGCACCTGTACACACAATCACCGCTGTGGCGCCGAGTCCATAGGATGTAATCCTCTTTACATCAGTAGTAAGTTGAGGATCACCATTGCTATACTTGGGGAGATCAATGTAAGACTCAGCACCGCATTCTTCCGCAAAGTCCTTCTTATCACCAAATTCCAGAGCCTATAGAAAGTTTTATGAGCGGCCTGTGGATTGCAATACTAGAAATCTGGGGTCTGGGGTTCATGCAATCATTCGGAATCACATTCCTCGCCATCCCATTTGCAAAGCAAGGTGACCTAGACCACCAGTTCCTCCCATCACAAGAACTGCGTCTCCCTTGAAATATGTTAATTTATACAAAATTCCAAATAATAATGAGGGAATCGAAATCGAAATGGTCCTTACTGGCTTTGCACTGCATTTCCTTAACGCGGCATAAACGGTAATTCCTCCACAACGCATCGGGGCCGCAAGTTCGATTGGTACTTGATCTGGAATGCGAGTGACATAGTTGGCCGGCGCAATGGCATATTGTTAGAAAGTCCCAGGCTCTCCATACCCCGAAATTGTGCCGTTGGAACAACCACCATCCCGGCCAGCTAAACAAGGAAAGCAGCTACCACACACGCGGGCCATCCACTTAATACCAACGCGATCTCCAAGTTTCAGGCCAGTCTGCTCAGTTTATGGTCCAAACGCGACGATCTCTCCAACACCTTCATGTCCGCCAATCTGTCCTGCTTGCGCTGGAGGGCCCACGTCGCCTTCCTTCCGTGTCATAACGCCCCAATCACTGTGGCAGATGCCGGAGTGAGTAATACGCACAAGAAAATCGTCAGGTCCCGGTTGAGGCGTATCGACGTCGACATATTTGAGGCTGGCTGTGCCTGGCTTGTCGTAAATGATATCTTGTGCCGAGAAGGAATTGTGAAGGTCATGTTCGACGAAAGTTTGAATTAAAACACTGAGATCCAGACAGTGAGAGGGGATAAAAGGTAGTCCAGAATGGCAACGTTTTGTAGTTTACGCTATTTACCTTTCTATCTCTATCCGACACACACAAGTGGAGTCAGCAGAACTTATCGGGCACTGGAAATCGCCCCCAGTTGAGACGAGGCCCGATGTAGAGTCAGGCTCGGAGGTTTCCTACGGGGCTAGCGATCTCGGCGGAGGTGAGGAGTAATTGGAAGCGAATTCCTCAAAGCCACTGATGAACAATATTACCTGCGGAAGACCTTGTGCTAAGATCGGGGGTAGGTTGTAGAAGTGATTTGGTTTTGGGAATGGGGCGAAAGCGGGGAAGTCATTGAATCGAGGAGCACAGGAATAGCACTAGGCCGTAAAAGCCTGGAAGGTAATATGGCGAGCCTGCTCTATGATCTGGTCATTCCCTCTGTCTGGTATGTATCTTGTCGACTTATTAAACCAAGAAATTCTTGGACATACGAATTCCCTGGACGTCATTGGTACTCGGAACGAAAGCCAATCAACACCTGTGCTTATCTTGGTTCTAGTTTTATATAGCTAGCTTTTAGTCGCTAACTGCGAAACATCCAAGCTACCTTTCGACTTATCTTTTGAAGCATAATCAATCAGATGATGGAGAAGTTTAGTCAGAGGTTTCAAGCTTCAGGCAAACAGCGCAAGAGATCATAGGAGGAATGCCAATGTCTGGAAGATGACAAGAGCCACATAAATCTATTTAGACTATAGATACCTTGGACGAGTTATTCTCCACATCGATCTCGCAGAACCATGGATCAGCTAAGATCTTCGCAGGGGAAGGTCTCTTTGTGGGATTATATTGCAAAATCCATCGAATGAGCGCCTTCACTTTCCGGGCTTCCTCCTCGTCAAAATCTGGACCTGCCATATCAAATAGCTCTTCCATAGACATCTCCTCCCCCAAAAGCGGTTCCTGTCCCGGATCGACTCCTCCAAGCCGACAGTTGAAGAGCTTCCTCTCGAGCGTAACATATGGCGATGAGTTCTTCCAATGCTTGAATAACTCGTCGGGGAGGGCGCCGAGACGGGCGGTAAGGGAGAAGAGATGATCGTCATCTTCATACTTGGAACCTGGTATACAGAAGAGTGGCTGTCCGGTGATGAGCTCAAAGACAAGGCAGCCGAAACTCCAGATATCCATGGTATTGTCGACGGCTCCGGTTAGAATCAACTCGGGAGCTCGAAGACCACGTGGAGTAACGGGCTTTGTCGGCGGGTCGGTAAAGAAATCTGCTGTTCAAGGTAGGCAAGTATGAGTATGGATATTTTCCAAGAGTAAAGAGACAGACGATACGAATTGGAAGGACTGACCACCGCCATATCGGATAATTTAATCTTGAAACCTTCGGTGTAAAAGGCGAATGGCAACAGCGGCTGTACAACGCAAAGATAGGGAGGTGACCATTTATCTTGTTTACCGTCCAGCCTCTGTACCGGGGACGAGATCGACCGGGCTTTCACATCTTCCTTTTGCCTAAGCTCGTCCTCGGGAGTCGGGTCGATACCATTAAGCGTAAAAAGCATGTTTCCAGGCTGGAAGTCTCCATGGGCGATACCATTTTTGTGGAGAAATGCAAGGCCCTGCAATGATTGCTTGAGAATGCTTTTTGCCATCCAAAATCGGATAGCGAATATTCATTCCTCGCCTGCGAGGTTTGAACTGCGGCAGCTCCTCGACCATTGTATTGACACTCGGACCCATGGGCTCAATGACCAAGCATTCGTGAACTCCATTGATTCCGTGGTGTTCGAACTCTCTTAGTAGTCGCGTAATATGCAGAGTCCCCTCAGCGGGTGCAGCTTGGGTGATGTGGCGTAAGATTCGTAGCTCAGTTGTTGATCCTGAGGTTTCCGATACAAGAATTTTCAGGGCAACATATGTATTCTTTCTGGGGGCAAATTGAGTAACAAAAATCTACAGAGTCGCGCGTGGACAATACAAAAGAATGGATTTACTCCAGGTCCTAGGCAAATCAAACTATTGAGTAGGAGCCCTCGCCGAGCTTCCGGATAACCTTGTACTGGCCATTGTTGAGACATCGCCGAGAACGACGGGATGATAGCCACCTGGGCGTCAATCCTCTACCCACTCACATGGTAGTGTAACCGTTTGGAATCTCCGCTCATCATCTGTGATACCCCTTGATGGCGATGTGAGATGAGGAGAGGTACTCGTGGCTGCGATAGAGATACGTAGTGCAAAAGTTGCGGAATGGAATATTTTGTAAGAGATACGGAATTGGGAGGGGGGTATCCAGATTTTGGTAAAAGACTGGGTATATGATCTCAAAGAGCGTGGGGCGTCTCGGAAGTACATTGAAAGCCTCTCAGCGTGCGGAATAACCATTACGAACGAGCGCCATGGCGCGTAGTATTTTTAGTTGGAGTCCTAGCCCGATATGGCTAAGAAAATTTAAGCTGCTCTTATTGGCCAAAATGGCAAAACTATGCGGTCGGCGGCATCATTCCAACCGTTATGCCACCGGCCGAGCCGCCAAATGACCCAATTTACAGAATTAGCAACGAAATAAGAATTGGGTATGAGGACCAAGCTGGTAGAAACTGCGCACTTTCCTGAAACCCCCAGGCTGATCATGGATAGCTAGCACGTCACAGTAGACGCCCTACCCTTAAAATCATCAAAATAGGCTGCCTGATACTACACTTGCGAAGGAGCAAGCACGTCCAGTGGACAGTCAGTAATGGCCAGCCATATCAAGTTTCAACAGACGCCAGTATTCTACCTGCAGCGGTTGGGTATGCACCCTCAATTAGCAACACGAACTTCGAATGGAAGATCAATATGAATATCTAAACACCAATGTGTAGTTGGGTTCCGATGCGAGCGAGCAAGGAATATAAATTGAGATGAATTCGCTATGGTACAACCCCTAGATATTCCTAAGCGCATTATTCAAAAAATCTTTGTCTTGTATCAACATTCTTCTTACTTCTCAACTTATATTCCATCTGAGTTTTTCAACCCCAGCCCAGCTCTCGGTTCATCATGAATGCCAGCAATGTTTCTTTCAACCCGTCTAACATGTACTCGCGTGATCCCGGAGAGAAGGCGAGAATCACCAACTTGGTCATTAGCCAAGCACCTATCGGGGCTGTCAATGCCACAGTAATGTAAGTTAGTCCCATTTCTCGTGGTAACCAAGCTGCTAACGGGGGTGCTGGCATACTAGCTATGGCGACGGTCGGCAGCTCTGTACCGTCGATTACTATGACACCTCTGATCTCCATATCAGCCGAGAGCACATTTTCTAACGTGTCTGAGATGGCGCCTGGTATCTACTGTTTTAGATACTCCGGCGACGGAGGGGGTAATTATCCGCCGCCTCTCGAGACAATCCAACAAGCCTTATCTCGCCATACCAAGGAATGGCCCGCTGTTGCCTTCAATCTACTGTCCAATTTCTATATAAGGCTATATATTTGTGCTTTGGTTTCAGCTTGCTCCCATTTATATGTCATCCCGTTTGTTGTTTCAATAAATATATAAGTATTGCGTATAGCATATAGAAATCCTCTGGTTGTGTCCTGTTTCCCGTGTAGCAGCGCGGGAGAGTTCGATATGGAAATCTTGTGTTTATCCATTACTTACTCTTTTCGCAATTTTGGGCCGTATATAGACTAGCATATCTCTAAAATACCTAGGAGACTTTAGAGCCAGTAGACGAAGGATACCGAGGAGTATGGAGTCTAGTTAATGGAAATTATGTAGGTAGATGTCTAGGTCGGCGGCCGTCGCCTTCGTTACGTGCTGCGAGTTAGCGGGAACCTCACTGGGTCTACGGTACTATAAGTCTGTACTGGGGTCTACTAAGCTAAACCTTTACTATGGGGCTATCTCAGGCCCTGTCAACTCCTTCGGTGTTAATAAAAAAACTCTTCCACAGTACAATCACCTAAAAAGGAAATTTCTCTTTTCTTCGTCTTAGGATAGCCTCTAGCAAAGTGGCAATCCAGGATCTCGTGTTATTAGAGGACAATATTAGAGACCACAACCACCCGACACCCCATGGCTCCTTAGGTCGGGACTAAAGTCAGTGCCCTAGCCATCTGCACGTCGTACAAGGGCCATCAGCCGAAAGAAGAATCCAGCAGGCCATCTCTCGCACGGTCCTCGGTAAATGATCAAAATGATCAAATTAATCTGATTAAGTTATTTTTATTATACAGTATTGATGGCAAGATAATTTGAATCAAGGTACGAGAATGTTAAATGGATGAAAAGTATGTTTTACCTAGTTGACTGATCCAGACTTGCATTTTCTCGGCCGTTGCGGAGGGTTTTCGGATCTGAGACGGTTGCACGGCATATTTGGGGCGCGTAGTAGCTCCGAAAGATCAAGAAATTACTTGGGGTGAATTTCTATCAGTCTTTTCTAGGCTTGGACTAAGATGGAAGAGTTCAATTGCTCATTTAATCAGGCTAGGTGATGGTCCAGTCTTATTCCTTGCTCATACAAAATAGTCCATATCAATTGACCACTGAAACTATCAAAGACGGGTGTATACACTTAAAGTACACAATCTGGAGACAATATCCATATCCCAACAGACCATGCATGACCGGGATGCCTCACTCATCCTGCAAATATCCTCTTCCCGACTCCTTCCACTTACAGATATACAAACCCCAGACCAGGACAAATACCGTCACTCTCTCTGCAGTGCCAACCTTGCTGCTATTCATAGCCATAAGCCACGAAAAATCTAATATCTTGCCTGCATCCGCAAAAGACATACATTTCCATATGAGGCTGCCCAGAACAATCCCTGTCCGCTGCAAACAAACAGAACCCAGCCAGTCCTGCTTCTTGCAATCCGTAGACAGGATGCATGCAAACTACCCTTTACCAGGCTTGGTTGGCTAAGTCTGACAACGACTGGGCTCGGGCGCTGCAGATTATGATTTGATTCGAATTTGGCTGATCTGTTGCAGAACTTGTTCTGGTTTATTACGAGGCTGTGGGTTTGATGGGTGTCGGGGAGATGGGTGCATGTGGTCAAGGGTTGTTGCACCTCAACGGTTTTGGGGCTTGTGAAGGGTTATGGGGTTGGATTGTTACATTTGGGGTCGGGATAGAGACTCGGTTTAAGATGAGGCTGGGTAATTTTGTTGGCCTTGATTGAGATTCGCTTTAGGAAAATGGAAAGAAATACAAAGGGACCGCTCTGGCCTTATCTCCTTGTACGATGTACATGAATCAGTTAAGATTGTCATACGATGTAGGCCTAATTGAGAGAAACGGCGCATAATCTCGAATTATTACATATGTTTCACTAGATCAACATTTTTGATTGCCAATCCCTAAGCTCCAAGGAAAGCCCGTTGAAATTCAATCCTAAGAAAAGACCAAACTCAATTAATGAACCAGGATAAATCGCAAGTCTTGATACCAAGCTCAGCCCGCCTGCCGCTCACGAAAGCATTCCAATCCGACAGCATCAAACCCGGAGAATAAACCAGAAACTGATTGGACCCTCGCCACCCCGTCCAGCAAGTCTCGATCTGGACTGGACTAGCCTGCCACCTGCGTCTTCTTCCTCGTCGCAGGGATTGGAAACTTCCGATGTGCAGGTGCAGACGCAGACGCCAGCGCAAAGCGGGCCCGTCGAAAACGCGACGCAGAAGCGTCTAACATGATCCCCTTCTCATTTTGTTGCCCGTCTGTCTTTTTGGGCTTCCTCCCCGAGAATCGTACAATCGGAGGTTGTTGATGGGTCTTGATCATCACTCGATCAGATAGCATGGTCGTCGCTTCGCACAGGGACATCGTGTCTGATGAACACAGTCCGGGGAGGAATGACATCACAAAATATAGGAAGCTCCAACCTCCTCTCTTCCTTCATGGGGTTGACTCCCGAATCACAAGCCCTCTTTTGAATCAAATCCGAAGAGATCAAAGCCTCGACCTCGTGACCACGACGAGCACGGGGAGTCCGACAATCCATATACCATTTCTCACAACCCGAATAACACACATCACATTGAATTTCCCAACTCAATGCGCCCCATCACCCTTCTCCTCCCCACCAACCCTCGAAATCCGCACAGCGAGCTGTCGATCCAGCGCCTCCTGCTCGTCCTTAGACGCCTGCATGCCAAGCGCACTCTCAACCTGCGGCGTTGTCCAAAGTCCTATTGTCGCCCAGGCCATCACGCCGACGCCGAATAGAGCCCGGGTCTTCGGGGTGAGGGATCGGTAGGTGCTAAGATGAGACGCGGAGTTAGACACATGCTTGACTAGGTATGCTTCAGGCGACTGGGCGATTGGGAGCACAATTGGGACTGGTAGGGGGTTTGTGGTTCTTGGTGATGACGTACCTCCACAAAGACATTGCGAATACTGTTTACAGTATAGTATTGTTCAGCTCAAGTGGAGAGAAGGAACGTTGAAGGTGTTGATGTCGAGTCTCCAAATGCTGGATGTCACGTGGTGATAGTGTCCGGCTAAACCACGTTGGGTAACTTGAAGGAACCTGAGGCTCGACTGTTAAGATCGGCAGCTAATGTCGCAAGGTTTTGAAGGGGTGCTGCGAACCTCCCAAGTTGGTAGTCGGTGTCTGTCAGGTACCTGTACCACGAGGGTAGATTGATTAGGTGCATCCGGTGCATGCTGGTGTAACGGTGGCTGTGTATACGAATCACATACTACTTCAAGCGAGCGGAGGAGCCTTTAATTCCATGGACTACTGTATACGGGGTTGGTACCTATGAACATGAATATCATAGTCGTAGGACAAAAGAATAAAATACATTGTATTCAATTGGACCGGCGGGAAATTGGCTATGCCTGTTGCAAAACTATGTTCGCATTCATCACTATCTCGTCTAATCATGGGTGACGAAAGAAAGTAACAAGAATAGTCCAATATCAACAAGTCAAGGCTCGGGGAGGTCGTAAGGACGCAAAAACACGCATTAGAGGGTAACAAGTAAAGCAATACAGAATTAAAAGAAAGCGAGTCCGAGGAAAAAAAAATAGAAACACATCGAGGACTTCACAAGTCAATCCCAACCTTTTTTTTATTTCTTGCCGTAGGCCTTGTCAATGTCGGCCTTGTACTTGTTCACAATCTTCTTGCGCTGGAGCTTCTGCGCAGCAGTCATGTAGCCCTATAATAAATAGTTAGTACTGGGACAATATTTTGCTTGGTAGAAAAGCGACACTTACGTTCTGAGGAGTCCACTCCTCGTCGGAGAGCACAACGCCATTGATAATCTCAATACCCCTCAGACCACCGGCACGGCCAGAGCTCTGCAATTGCTGCAGAACCAGGCGCTGGAGCTTCTCGTTGTGCACGAGAGACTCGACGGTGTCACCCTCAATGCCGTTGTCGCTGGCGAGCTTCTTAAGCGCAATCTCAACGGGAACGATGATAGCAACCGGCTTGTCTTGGTCCTCCGCAGCGTAGACACAGATGTTACCAACAACGGGCGTGGAGCGGTACACGGACTCCAGCTTCTCCAGAGCAATGTACTCGCCGTTCAAGGTCTTGACCAGGTTCTTCTTGCGGTCAATGATGCGCAGGTGGCCGTTGGAGTCGAACTCGCCGATATCGCCAGTCATGAACCAACCATCCTCGGTCAAAGCGTTCTTGGTCTCCTCATCGTTGTCGAAGTAGCCCGACGTCACACTGCCGCCGCGGATGAAGATCTCACCCTGAGGGGGGTTGCTCTTGGTCAAGTATCCCGCATCGGGGAAGTCAACCAGCTTGATCTCGACCGAAGCAGGGATCTCACCGAGCGCGTTAGGGTTCCATGCCATAGGGTCGTTCAACGCACCCATGGCCGAGGTCTCGGTCAAACCGTAACCGCCGATCATGGGAGCAATGGCCATCGAAAGGAAACGCTGAGTGTCCTTGGAGATGGGACCACCACCGTTCATCATGATACGGAGATGGCCACCGGTAGCCTCCTTGAGCTTCTTGAAGACCACGGCATCCAGGATCGAAGCACCAAAGCCCGCTCCGGGGAAGCCGTTGGTCAGCAGGAAGTTCTTGGCGGCCATAGCACCCCAGAACATGCCCTTGATGACGAAGCTGTTCTTGTTCAGGTTGTTCAAGACACCCTTCTTGACCGACTCCCACACGGCGGGAACGCCGACCAGAATGGTAGGCTGGAACTCGCGGATATCACCCTTGCAGTTGCGCATGGAGGCATCGGACAAGGTGCGGGGGTTACCGTATCCCATGCAGCCACCCCAGAACAGACACAGGTTCTCGAACATGAACTCCAGAATGTGCGCTTGGGGCAGGTAGGTCAAAAGCGAGTCCTTGGGGCCGATGTAAGGGCCAACGATCTCGTTGATACCGGCGGTGGCGGCAATAACGTTGGCCTGGGTCAAAGGAACACCCTTGGGCGGGCCGGTGGAGCCGGAAGTGTACATGATGCAGCACAGATCCTCGGGCTTGGGTGGCACGGGGTCCACGGGGTTCTCCTCGCCAGACTTGCGCAAATCTTCAATGCTGAGCACGTTGATGTGGGCGAAATCGGTCTTCAGCTTGTCCAGGTCCTCCTGCTTGACCTCGTTATCGGTGTTATAGATAATGTGCTTGATCGAGGGGATATCCTTCAGGACGTGGGTCAAAGACTTGATCAGGCCGGGGTCGAGGAAGATGGCGGTTGAGGAGGTTTGGACCAGGGAGTGCTTGAGGCCCTCCTCGCCCAGGGTATCATAAGCGGTGACAATGGTGATAGATTGCGATGCGGCACCGTGCGACATGGCCAGCCAGTGTGCGCTCGTCGCACCGTAGAGGTGAACACGGCCATCCTTCTCCATGCCCAGCTTGCGCAGACCCGCGCCGAGCTGGAGGCAAAGCTGCTCATACTCCAGGAAGGTCTTGTAGGTATACCCGCTCATCTCGAAGAAAGTCCATTGCTTGTCCACGTCCTGTTCGACACCATCTACCATCTTCTTGATCTTCTTGTTCTCGACATGCGTCTTGATGAGCTTACGGCTCGCAACGGCCTTGTTGTTGCCGAACAGACGGGCGGAGCGCCGGAAGTTGTCATAGGTGGTTGCAACATCCTCGGAGGGACGCAGAACGAGTCCATTCTTCGCAGCCGGGTGGCGTCGGGGGATGGTTTCGCCATCTTTCTTTTCGTAACCGGCGGCTTCGACTGAGAATGGGCCTTTCTTGACCATGCGCGGCTGGATGTGGAGATCGCGCTTCGACATGATGGCGGAATGCTCTCGCGGAGAGGAGAGAGGTAGAGACCGGGAGAATCAGGGGGGGAAGAGATCAGTGAAAAGGTAGAATCACAGATCGGACCAAACTGGAGCTGTCGAGGGGAAAGTTCCACTAGGGAGACAACGGAGTGGCGTTAGCGGGCTTTCTGGGGACGCCAGGACCACCGGGGGCCAAAACGGAATGATTACGGGGAGCTGGGAGCGTAACGGTCCGAGACGAGCTTACCCGACTGCCGAGTTTCCAAACGGAAGAGGTTGGAGAGAGGGAGAATGAAGAAGGAGTTGAGAACTCGGGAGCTTCGGGGGGAAGGAGAGGGTTATGAAGTTTGGAAAGGGAGAGGGAGCTGCAGGGCCCTGGTGATGTGGCTGGGCTCTACCTAATGACGCACCTCGTACTGGTGTTTGGCAGCCAAGGATATGGTGGTCTGGTTCAATGTGCAATGCAACTATGCACCTATTTTTATTGGCACCTGAAGATAAGGAGGAGAGTAGGTTTCGTGTTCGAGGAGTTTTTTTCTGTTTAATTAAAATGAGAGAGGAGCTGGGGGCTCTTTAGTGTAGCCGCGGTCCAGCATAGTGTTCCTCTTCAGTAGCAAGTTCCCGGGTCCAGTGCGCAAGCGACGGTCACTAATTAACCCAAGCAGTTAGCGCAGTTCCCGTACCTTAGGCTCTCGGGAGGACTTAGCGTTTACCCGCGGGCAGATCAGTTGCCTGTTTGCTCTTCCGTTGGGGCTCTCGCCCAACAGAGCTAAAGCTACAGTAGTTATTATGTACACTACACTGTACACTACATGAGTATACGAAGTAGCATCCAGTTATACACTCTATACGGAATACTCCATAGCTAGATATTCTATAGCAACTCTTCTCTGCTATACCCCTATTATTCTCTCCCTCCAAAAACAAACCTCAAAGCTACTCGGTCCCGTGATCTCCAAGGACGCCACCAGCAAACTCCAAAATCCTCGTCCCCCCAAGAAACTCTCATGAAGCTGACTGACCAATATGCACCGTCCAATCGCCGATTTCCTCGCCAACACTGCCAGCGAGGAGGTCACTGACGCCGAAGAGGGTATGTAGCCCCCCTCCTTCATCCAATCAATATCCCGAGCTCAACCCGTAGCCCTGCAGAGGCCTTCCTGCTATTCAGCCAGGAGATCCCCACTACCAACCTAGGGTTCGTCGACTCTCGCGCTTCGTCCCTTGACGTGACCATCCGTGGCAACGAGTACACCGTTCATCAATCCCCCACTCTACTTTCTTCTTCGCGAGCTGGAGGTACTACCGGTGCTGGTATGTATAACAAATGTCTTTTATCTTTGTCCTCGTCTCCCATGCCATTATTCCATTCCAATCATCAGCCATTCGGAGCATTCTACGGTGCATACCAGGGATCGGCACTGCCCCAAAGCTCAAACTCTCGTGCTTTTACGTTTGTGCTACCTTGACCCCCTTCCCAATGCACGGACTCGAAAAAAAACCAAGTCCCCGCAGTTTGGTCTTATCTTCCGTTCCCAGGGACAACGGCTGGGCCGAGGCTTCGGAGCTTCTGGACTTCTGGACCTTTTGTCATTTGAATCCGTATTCTGGACCCGTGAACCCGGCCGAATGTAGCCCTTGTCCTTGTGCTTTTGTTCTTCGGTCCTTTGACATCACCACTGTCATCTTACTCTTCTCATCATCGCCTCCCTCCACCTGACCATCTTTACCAAGCTGACAAGTCCCAACAACTAACCATCTGACCATCTCTAGTTCTCTGGAAAATCACGCCTCGTTTTGCGGAATGGATCTCCTCCCCAACAAATCCTCTCTGGACACATTCCCTTCTATCTTCTGGCTCGGTGGTGGCTGAACTGGGCTGTGGCATCTCGGCGCTGGTAGCCTTGGCCTTGGCTCCCTCAGTTCAACATTACCTCGCCACTGACCAAGAATACGTACGGCGCGTCTTCAGGACTAACCTCGACGCCAACGCCTCCGTCACTCCAGCTGCATCGGCATCTGGGAAGCAGAAAGGCAGCAAAACCAGAGGCAGTAGTAGGTCGACGTCCAAGGGTAAGCAGTCCTCCAAGGCCGCGACAAGCAATATCACATTTACCACGCTGGACTGGGAGCTTGATCAGCCAGAGCTGTTGAAGGGCTGTATCGAGTCCGAGTCTGGCGGGCATTCTGGATCTGAGGAAGGTGAAGAAGAGGATCGAGGCTTCGACCTTCTTCTTTCCTGTGATTGCATCTACAATGAAGCTTTAGTTGCCCCATTCGTGCGCACCTGTGCCGAGATATGCCGTCTGCGGCCAGCGTACGACTCCTCCGATGAGCAGACGTCGCGGTCCCGTCCTCAACCGACGATTTGCATCATTGCGCAGCAGCAGCGAGCGCCTGATGTATTCGAGACGTGGTTAAGGGAGACGCTGCGCGAATTCCGGGTCTGGCGACTCAGTGATGAAGTGCTGGGTGATGGACTGAAGGGAGGTACCGGGTATCTGGTGCACCTCCTGCTGGCGAGGGAGAAGAGTTTATTTCCCAGTGGTGGAACATAATAGACAATCGAGATAGACAATTTATAGACATAGAAATGCACAACAATTGAACATAGCAGAGCGTCAGTTCTATTGATCTAGTAGCCTTAGGCACAAAATCTCTGGCCTAGATCGATACTTTCCTTCGGAGAATTCCATTATACCTCCTTTTTAAGCCTCCTCCCACAATCCTTTGTAGTATTCTCATCTCTCGCTCTTAAAGTCTTCTTATACCACTTGCACATCCTCAAATTCCAGGGCATGCCTCATTCCTCATCCACACTGGCCCACTGGCCCACTGGCTCACTGGAACTCTACTTATAACCGCACGCCTATAATAACATGGCTTATATCTTCATCTCCGTTCTCTTTCATTGACGTTTAACCCTCCCCTCGAACTCACTCCCGATCCACACAAGGCTGCGACCCTAAGCCCCCATCGGGCCCACCTCTCACAGCACTGGAGAAAAGACCTTCAAAAGCATCCTAAACTTGAGAAGACGCTGTACAAAATCAAATCTCCTTGCCAGCCTTTTTCCTGAGTCTCGAGCAACACAAACGCCGAGCGTAGACGGTGTCAACCGACTTATACAGTGTTGATGTAAGACTTCGATATGGACATCAAGATACAACCCGTCCTTGTGGTTCAGTGCGGTGGTCATATCCATCGAGAGGCCAGATGGAACAAGGAATTTACAACCAAGAATATGGGGCTATTGCCATTGTCCCCTCTCACTCGTACAGTTATGAGAAAGCCTCGAGTCGTCGCTAGAATCATCATGGTCACTTGAAGATTATCGTCTAGCTTCGTGGACGAGTTCTTCAAGCCAGGGGACACCTCTGGGAAAATATGGGAACAGCTCGGAGAGTGGTTCAGAGAGACTCTCCAACCGAGGTCTCAACTACTGCTTTTATCATGCTGTCCAAGACAGTGCGACCCAGTACCAAGAGCTCTCGTACTAATCTCTGCTCCGGTATACCGTCCACACTTCCGGATAATCGCTTCCACGCATCTGGTCACTCATGTTGACTGCGTACACCATGACAGTTCATGAGACGCTCAACCTGTCCATCTATATTTACCTCGAGGATTCTTGAGAAAACCAAATTCCATACGAGTCCGACCATGCTCCTGCATCTCTCGCATATACTTCGCTGGCGCTTATAGATCAGCCAAGTTCATCCAAGAACTCTATCGTGGGAGCTATCACTATCAGCAGCAGGTGATGAAGAACCACAAACAAGTACTCGAAGTCTTTATGGTTCATACTCGTTGATGACGGCTCCATGGGTTGAGTTCCGGAGCCAGGCATACCGACGTGACGTGTTTCTTTAGGCTTCATTGTCGGTGGAAACAGAGAACCTACTCTTAGTTATGGCCAGCCTTGCGGTGCTATCGATGGAAACACAGCACAGAAATGGACAGGAATCTTGACCCATTCGAGGCAGGGACCTAGGTGTCTCTGTGATACAATGAAGCGAGAGCGTTCCTCGTTCGATACGATTTCAAATCCATGGACTTCTTCTGACCGATCGCGATTTTATCGATGTTCTCCGTCTACTTCTCTCAACGATTTAACCAGAACTATGATTTGGGGGCCTGGTTTCCCATGCATTCATGACAATGGGTTGGAGTTGAGGTTTTGGATCCAGCGGCTCGTGGTGTGTTGTGCGGGCTTTCCGCGGCAGGTCATTCCCATGTCTTGCCCTCATATTATCCCTTCTACTTGTTGTTGGCTCTCTTGTCTATCGTTTATGTACGCCTTCCTGTGTCTCACTCTAATCTCCGGGTATGAAAACACCAGGTATCATTCGTATACCTAGATTATCTCACAGGTTTTCAAAACCGACTTGAAACTCTACTATTGTCAAATACTACACATACCACTATTCTCTCTAAATACAAGATTCAATTTCATAAAAGTTGCATTAAAAGTATCATACTAAGCCGAACTTTTGTACCGGAATCAGCCTGTGAAGAAGAATCTGTGCAGGGAAGTATGAAACACGTCGGCCGATCGATGTACCAATGTACGCCCCCAAGCGCCAGAGGGATATGCAACAAGAAGAGAAGGAAAACGCCGAAATAGAAACAGAGGGTTAAAATGGACGCAAGGAAATCGGGAACGGGCTGTCTGAGCTGGAGAAGTGACTTTCTGGGATAGTCTTTGGGAGGGAGGTTTGGCAATTTCTTCCTGGAGCTTTCAATGCGTAGGGTGTATTGAGCGCTAGGCTAGGTTTAGCGGTATGAAAAGATGGGGAAGGTTTTGCGGTCGTGGACGTTTAGTTGGAACTCAAAGATTCCTTCCAGGGTTGCAATGTATCTAGAGAAAAGGTTAGCTCAAGAGGTTTGCAGCATGAGTGGGCTTTGCACGTACAATGTTCTTCCATCGGCGCCCCAGCCGACTCCAGCTGTGGCGTCTGGCTCTTCGGCTCCAGGGCCATGAATGAAGCTCCGATCAGGAAGGTCATTGATAATATTGCGAATCCATCGAGGGGAATGGGTCTGTTCAAAGCCAAGCATTTGCTGACGAGCTCGCTGCTCTTGCTGCCCTCTGTGTCCTCGTTCGGCAATCGAGCGATTGTGCACCTCATTGGCAATTTGACGTTGGCGTCGCAATCGCTCTGCCGCAACATTGGCTCTAATCTCATAGTTGGAGAGTCGCGAAGGGTCGTGTCTTCTTTCTGAGCCGGGCTGTCCGGACTGCGGTCGGTCTACACGTCGAGGAATAGAGCTCGAGCGTGCGGGTCTCGAACGTCGGGGATCAAGGCTGGCTGGAGTGATTGGCTCTGGGGGCTGCGGAGGAGCCATACGGGCTTCCATTTCTTGCACTTGTAGAATGTATTCGGGGTCAGTGTTGAACCGGTTTATCAACTCTGAAGAAAGCTCCGAGCGTGAGCTCGATGTCCAGCTGGAAGTGGCATTGGGCTGGCGGTCATGGTTCGAAGAATCCGATTCAGGCGGCCGACTACTTTGTGACAGCACCACCGAACTCCGGCGCCCACTGCGGGGCGAAAGGTGAGTAGCACTGGGTCGGCCTGTATGACTGTCAAGGGTGGTCTCAGGGGACTCGGAGAGGGTTGTTGGAGACATGTATCTGTATCCATAACCGAGCTCCTCCGTGTTACTGTGATGGCGGCTATGAGCTGCATGGTGTGGATGGCTTGCTCTTGCCGGCGGTTCTGGCCGCTCGGTCAGACCCATTTCCTCTCTTGCGTTCCAGCGAGCAGTGTTGAGGAATTGCATGATCAATCGCTCGCGAGCTGTCAGGTCATGAAGCAAGCTCTCGCGCGACGGAAGACGCCCTATTCCTTCCCCTTCTCGAATATATGCGAGATCTTCGGCGTCCAATCCCAGTCGCGATGTGATCTCCAACTCGTCATCTGAAAGGCCATCATCAAAGCTGGTTGCCAGAGGCACGGTACGAACCTCTTGCAACTGGGGGTCATCGGCATTCAAGTACAGGATTTGCCTCCGCAGGAATGACTGGCGAACATCTGCAACTCCGGCTCTGCCATGACCTTCCAACCAGACCAAAAGATCCCAGGGCTCGGGAGAGAAAGTCATGCATCGTACTGCACCACCCTCGGTACAGGATCTGGAAGCTGTAAATTGGCTGATCACAGGTTCCTCGTTGTCCAGCTCACGAACGCAGTCCATGTCTAGTACAGTAATGATTCCAGACTGAGATCCGATCGCACATAGATGACTGGATGGAGAAAACGCAATGGTAAAGCAGCAGGCATCGTCCGACCGCGATCCGATATCCATTTCAATGCAGCGCAACAGCTCCCACTCCCAACCCCCAACCTTTCCACCTGATTCGACGGTCACCACCGATTCCCAGTCACGAGTTACATCGTAGAAATAAGCACGGTTCTCGTCGCCGACAGCAGCGAGGATTGTATGGTCGGGCGAAATGATGGCATAGTTCATGCAAGTCGGATGATGGAGGACCTTCAATACCTTTGCACGGGTCAACGAGTAGACGGTGACGGTTCGATCGTTGTTGCTATCGAAATGATTAGTTTCAGGTACAGGTTAGGTACCGAGACCGAGGATAACTACCTGAGGACCATGACATCTTCATCTGAGATACCCTCACGATCTCCCGGGAAATGATGAATCGTCACCGAGTTGACAATACTGCCTCCGAATTTGTGCAGCTCAAACTCCGGCATCATCCGCCGAGGTGAACGGCGCGATGATGCCGTCCCCCCGGTCGTAGTGTCTGGAGACAGCAGTCCCGACGGTGGCTCCAGGTCGAGTGGAAGCGCACTGTCCACGTCTGATGGATGGTGGGAGGACGGCTCGCCGTGCAATTGTAGCCCTCTCTCATCGGTTCTGATAAAGGCGCATTCACCATTCTCGGGGCCCCCCACAGCGATCCACCCATATCCAGCCGCCAAGCATCGTGGCTCGAAGGGAATGACAGCTATGCTCTCCCTCTTGTGTGCAGCGATATGGATCGCATAGACGACTCTTTCGACTACGACATAGATGCGATCTGGATCGGCGGTGCTGATGTAGTGGCGTAGTTGCGTGTGGCTATCAATCGATCGCGTCAGTAGGTGGCAAGCACATGGAAAGCGGGGAAATACGAACAAGTTAGGAATGCGGAAAGGGAAGAATCGTCGTTTAGTGGGGAGAATGAGAGACTCGGTCGGGCGATGTCTAAGATAGGAACTCAAATCAGTCATGAGAGTCAAATGAGCCAGCGATGGCACGCAGCTTTGAAACATAACGGGGGAAGAGGAGACGGAGGTGGGGAGAGCAGAGATAACGACTTACACGGTCGAATCCGAGGTCATGTTGACAAGCTAGGCCAGCGCTGACATTGTCTGTACAAGCGAAAGCAAGCGGGGGGTATCCAGGACCCCGTAGCGGTTGAGCAGGCCAGAGAGTTGAGATGTGAAGAGCCCAACGAAGAGTCAGTAGTAAAGAGTGTATGCGCTTGCAAACGGATGACGTAAGACTTTTGGAGGTAAAAGCCGGGGGAAAAGCAACTTTTTCCAACGAATGCGGTGCCGGCGGGTTTCAGGGTCCGAAAACGAACACGGTTCCAGCAGAATTATTAGTTAGGAGTGGTACTCCAGACATGATTAGTACGCAATCCTAAAACTATAAGAGTGGAAATGCCGACTCTAGGTTACAAAGGAATGAGGACAGCCAGAAACACTATCTATCAGCTCTGAAACACCCACAATATATATCAGGGTTCTCCTTTAACGCAAGATAAAATTGGACATCGACGACCTCTAACGGAGATCTCATTTCCCCCCTACTCTCTCCAGCATCGTAGGGCAGAATTCCGCGACCGTAACGACCCCAGTCTTAGAGCCTCTTATGTGGTAACTATGAACATCCCGACGAACTCCCGTCTACATTGCAATGACTATCAACGACCGAACAAAGTTCAGGTCACACGACACCCAGTACCGGGGACCATGGACCCCAGATTGTCCCCTAGGGCGGAAATTGATATTATCTGTGCCATTGCACTGGGCACACTGGGCACACTGGGAACACTGGGGAGGCTTAAAGCTAACAATAGCCGGGCAAGGATACCAGGGCATTCTGGAGCCTTCGGGGAGATGTGCCGGTTGGCCGAGGCAAACCGAAAAGAATGGGAGAGCTACGGGAGATGGTCCGGAGGTGGTAGGTGTATGGGATTCATGAGTTTAGAAGACCCTAAGGTCAATGTAGAGCAGCTACTGGATGAAAATAAACAAGTTTAAGATTTGCTAGCTCGAGACTCTCCCTATACAATGCCAAAGGTATACCAATCTACGCATCATCACGGTGGTTTATACTTCGTCGTCATCCGGCAACCAAGTCCACCCGGGCGGTGAAGCCCCAGAACCATCCGCGGCCGCTGATTGGCTGTGTCCCGTGATTCGAGCAACTTCGACGAACGGGCCGAAGCTTTCCGTGCAATTTCTACCCTTCCGTCCTTCCCTTCCGTCCTTCTTCTCCTCTCATTCTCCATCCTCTCTCTCTCCCCCCTTTAATCCCTCTATCCACTCAGCGATTGATTCGTGGGAGTGTTTTCATCTTTTCTCTGTTTCTGTATTACTTAATTTATCACAATGCTGTCTTCCCGCATTTCTCGCGCGGTAAGTCTCCCTTATTTTTTTTCTCTTCTCTTCCCGTCGGGAAAGAGCCATGGCCCAGTCACGCGCGTCGCAACAGCATCAACTGACAAGAATCGCTTCAGCTTCCTCGCGCTGCTTTCGCTCGCACCCCTGCCTCCAGACTCCCCGCCATCCGCCGATGGAACTCCACGGAAGCTGGTGAGGGCGAGAAGGTGAAGGGCCAGGTCATCGGTATTGATCTGGGTAAGTAGCTTCCAAGTCGCGTAATGCATCATTGTGACATTATTTTTAACGCAAATTCATCTAGGTACCACCAACTCCGCCGTTGCCATCATGGAGGGCAAGACTCCTAAGATCATTGAGAACGTTGAGGGTAGGTGAAAAATTTTTTCATCGTCGCCGGCGACCTGGTCCGAACCTCCCAAACAAAAAAAATCGGGACTTCGGCCGATCTGCCAACCTGGACGATCATGAGTATCTGGATGAATTCAGATGGCTAACTTGATTTCCAATAGGTGCCCGCACAACCCCCTCCGTTGTCGGTTTCGCCCAGGACGGCGAGCGTCTTGTCGGTATTGCCGCCAAGCGTCAGGCCGTTGTCAACCCCGAGAACACTCTTTTCGCTACCAAGCGTCTCATTGGTCGCAAGTTCACCGATGCTGAGGTCCAGCGTGACATCAAGGAGGTCCCCTACAAGATCGTCCAGCACACCAACGGTGACGCCTGGGTTGAGGCCCGTGGCCAGAAGTACTCTCCTTCCCAGATTGGTGGTTTCGTCCTCAACAAGATGAAGGAGACCGCCGAGGCCTACCTCAGCAAGCCCGTTAAGAACGCCGTCGTTACCGTCCCCGCTTACTTCAACGACTCTCAGCGTCAGGCCACCAAGGATGCTGGCCAGATTGCCGGTCTGAACGTTCTCCGTGTTGTCAACGAGCCCACTGCTGCCGCTCTTGCCTACGGTCTTGAGAAGGAGGCTGACCGCGTTGTCGCTGTCTACGATCTTGGCGGTGGTACTTTCGATATCTCCGTTCTGGAGATCCAGAAGGGCGTCTTCGAGGTCAAGTCCACCAACGGTGATACCCACCTGGGTGGTGAGGATTTCGATATTACCCTGGTCCGCAACATTGTCGAGCAGTTCAAGAAGGACAACGGTGTTGATCTGTCCAACGACCGTATGGCCATCCAGCGTATCCGTGAGGCCGCCGAGAAGGCCAAGATTGAGCTGTCTTCCTCCCTCCAGACCGAGATTTCCCTGTGAGTTTTACCTTTCCAACTCTCCCCCCAAAATACCCCTTTCGCACAGAACTGTTCCTTGCTAACATTTCGGGTTTGAAACAAGGCCCTTCATCACCGCCGGCCCCTCCGGAGCCCTCCACGTCCAATCTAAGATGACCCGTGCTCAGCTCGAGGCCCTCGTCGACCCCCTGATCCAGCGTACCACCGAGCCCGTCCGCAAGGCTCTCAAGGATGCCAACCTGAAGGCCAGCGACATCCAGGATATCATCCTGGTCGGTGGTATGACCCGTATGCCCAAGGTTACTGAGTCCGTCAAGTCCATGTTCGGCCGTGAGCCCTCCAAGTCGGTTAACCCCGATGAGGCTGTTGCCATTGGTGCCGCCGTCCAGGGTGCCGTCCTGGCTGGTGAGGTCACTGACGTTCTCCTGCTCGATGTGACTCCCCTGTCCCTCGGTATCGAGACTCTCGGCGGTGTTTTCACCCGTCTGATCAACCGTAACACCACCATCCCCACCAAGAAGTCCCAGACCTTCTCCACCGCTGCCGACATGCAGACCGCTGTCGAGATCAAGGTCTACCAGGGTGAGCGTGAGCTCGTCAAGGACAACAAGATGCTGGGTAACTTCCAGCTGGTTGGCATTCCTCCTGCCCACCGTGGTGTCCCCCAGATCGAGGTCACCTTCGACATTGACGCCGACTCCATTGTCCACGTCCACGCCAAGGACAAGTCCACCAACAAGGACCAGTCCATCACCATTGCTTCCGGCTCCGGTCTCTCTGATGCCGAGATCCAGAACATGGTTGACGAGGCTGAGAAGTACGGTGAGGCCGACAAGGAGCGCAAGGCTGCCATCGAGGCTGCCAACCGCGCCGACAGCGTCCTGAACGATACCGAGAAGGCCCTCAAGGACTTCGAGGACCGTCTCGACAAGGCTGAGGCCGAGACCATCCGTGAGAAGATTGCCACTCTCCGCGAGTACGTCGCCAAGAACCAGTCTGGCGAGGGTACCGCTACCGCTGAGGAGCTCAAGGCCAAGGTTGATGAGCTCCAGACTGCTTCCCTGACCCTGTTCGACAAGATGCACAAGGCTCAGAACGAGCAGCAGCAGCAGGGTGGTGAGCAGCAGGGTGAGAACAAGCAGTAAACTGCTTCGCTTCTCTCATGTTTAACGCTACTGCTCCCTCCTCGGTCACCTCGTGTGGCTAGTGTATTTTTCTATTTCCTTTTTCCATTTCCCTTTTTGTGTTAAAAAGACACTCTGATATTGTCTTTGCATCTCCTTTTTTTCGCATCATTTGTATACATATCTCCAAAGGCTTTTTTATCCCCCTTCTTGTTCTGGTGTATCGGTGTTTGACTACCAACGTGTATGATCTATTTCCCCTTTTTTTCCTTTTCCTTCTTCTGTTGCCCATGTACCCTCTGGGATTCGACCGTCCAGGTCTGACCCAAGAGTATGCCGGGATTGTCTACAATTGTATCTAATGACATTGACGGCAAGGGGGGCCACCAAAAAGGATGCGGGCTTTGGCTTTTCAGGTGCATGTGACAATAGAAATCAGACATTCTCCTCTCGCCTTTTTTTACTTTTTTGACCTCCTCTCTCTTCTCAGCTGTAAGACCGTTGATTAGGCCAGCCTGCCTGCATCTCTAGTGACACGGGGCAATTAGGATCTGACATCTTACTTTACTTCTTACACTACATTCTACCGCACCTCCCTGTGTGTGTGGCTCTTGGAGTGGCCACGATGTTGCTGGGCTCATCTAATATCCCGATAGTCGACGAATGAGACTGTCGCGCAGTTGTGTACTCTTCTGACCCGGATGCATCCTGCAAGCCCATTCTTTTTCGTCTGCCCATACAATCAATTGTATAGTCAAGGAAGCATGGACGGACGAAGGCTGCTCATGCCTGAGCAGCTCGAGACCAAAAGTACATTTACACTTTACAGACAATAATCTGCCCCCCAATGTGTGCTTGGCCCTTCCGCTGTGCCCCAAAATCTAGTCAATCAATATCGATGGGGGAAATAGAGTTCCAGCTGAGACACGATAGGTCGAAAACATGCTATGATCGCTGACACACGGGGCTGAGCGTTGAAAGCTTCGAATCCATTAATATTGTGTCGAGTTTAGCTCGAAACTCGTTCCGGAGTACAGTATGAGCCGTATGAGAGAGTCTGGTACGCATGTAGCAGTCGAGACCTTTTCAATACCCCCAACAGCCAATCTATTCGAGAGAAGCAGGCCTGGAACAAGGTTGTGTTTGCGCATGGCCAAGCTAGTCGAGCTAGTCCCAGATGGACCAATCGCCTCTATAGTCTCGATTCCTTGCATGAGAGCGGCTGCGGCCAGGCGAGATTTCCAATCAATGCCAAGCGAGACGATATATTATTTGTTTTATTATTAGTACTATCTCATATTGTGAGGATTGTATTAGTTAGCTACATTTGGTAGTATTTCTGTCGGTCTAGAGTTCCCGATCATGGGGCAATAAGAAAAACTAGACGCTGAAGAGGCCGGTGCTCCATTTGGTTGCTGCCACTTGGACCATTTACCTTGTTTTTGGGGTTGTTTTAGTGTAGAAAAACCAGTAACTATGACATTATACTTCAAAGTTTAACTATCACCCTACATTGAATGATAATGTCATTGCACTGATTCAAAGAACTTCTGCGCCCGTAAGAATTCAGGACTCATAAGAAACAGAGAAAAAAAAGCTAGTTGACAAGGCACTATGCAGGAAACAAAAACGTCCTTTACTATCTATCATTCAACAGGGATGCGACACGAGAGCATCCACATACAACCATGATCCCCGGGCCAATCTGGATTCAAGCCGCCCGGTGGCAGAGCGAAGCAGGAGTGCAGGCTTCCCTGCAGCAGTGCGCGCGACGGGCAAATCATCGTTGTACACACCAGTTGGGCTTCCAAAGTGGGTCATTTTTTCCAATGATGATGTTTGTGAATTACGAGGCCAAAGATCCTGGTAGGGGGGTTGGTTGGTGCCTTGGTGGGTAAAAAGGGCGGGGCCGTCTATACTCCATGGGAGCATAGTTCGATGGATCATGTTGAATTTTTTGCAGGAAGAGTCAGAGGGGGAAGCTTTAGTTAGTTACAGAGGACCTCTCTTTGACCTTCCCATCTTACAGACTTGCAGAAAGACAGCAAACTACTTAATCCTATCATGGACAACAAAAGCTGATCAACGAATGACCGCAGCGTAGATGATGCAGGCGTTTGAAAATTTTCTATCTTCTTGTGAGACCGTCGGCCCTTAGCGCGACCCCTAGTGTCTGTGTACTGTATGATTATTTCCCATTGTCTCCACTTAGGCTCGATTTTCTGTCCAACTGTGTTTCTTTTTAGCAAAAAAAGAGTTTTTTTGACTACTCTAACACGAACTCAGCCCTGGCGTCTGCTCCAGACTTGGGTTCTTAGACCATAGGATTTTATTGTTGAGACTCGAAGGAGGTCATTTGACCTACAAAGCTGATTAATGGACTACCACATGCGGAAAGAAAACAATAACTGACTTTGACCATTCTCCCCCGGTATCTATTCCTAACGGAGTCTTTTGGACTTCTCCGAATACATACTGTAAGTATTCTCCGTAGTAAAAGGCCCCCTTCCATGACCCCCCAATAATACATACTGGATCCTGTACGGAGTACATATTGTATTGCAGTCAGAAATTGCCTCTATCGGAGCTAGGGTGCCGACCAAGAGGAGCCACCTGGCGCACTTGGAAGCAAACCAATTCCCCTAGCTTCGTGTAGATGTCTAAACTTGATTGTCTATTCGGCAATTTTCATGGATGTGGTCATTGTCTGTGTGCCAGTGTGGGTGGTCTTTTGATTTCTTTGGTTGGAATCTGTGGTTCTTACCGCAGTAGTCTACCGGTTCCATTCCTAAAAGGGTTGAAGCGTGGAGATGGAAAACAAATCAACGTCAATAATAATAGCTGCTTTGTACTGTTAGCAGCACAGTAATAATGGATAAACAATAATTTGTGAGTACCAAAAGTAGGGACGAGATTGTATGGCCAAGCGATGCCACACCAATGTACCTTGTACATAGCTGTGTAACCCTCAAAGTACTAGACGAGTCTATAGCCAGTAGTTTAGAATTTAGATGAGATTTTGCCTTGGATATTGTTCGCTAGATTGATTTCGAGACTGTTTATTGCCAGCCCTATCTCAACCCTTTTACCCCTGAGCAAGAGAGCTCCTTTTTTTTTCTGCAGGAGCATGGGAAATTGGAACGACCCATACTATTTTTGTTGGAAACCCCATTGAAACCCACAGTTTCCAGCAGCTTCGACCAGGGAAAACCAGGGTCACCAGTCAGTCGGTTTCTTCCCCTGTGTTACATAATGATCTCCCGCAATGACTGCAACTAGGGCTTGGCAGCCATGACGGTAGATCTGCGGCTTGCCATTGGGCAGATGAGACCGGAATTATTCACTAGCCACTCGTAGTGAGAAGATTGGGGACTGGAAGCGCACTAGTGACTGAGAGCGGCTGCCACAATTTGCAGGGAAAATCTATTTGGATTCGAGACACTCTCTGACTGATCCCCCCCCATTTGGCATTTAGCCATATTAATTTACTACAGTGTAGTAGGTAATATTCCCCGCTTAAGAAGGTCAGTTTTTTACCTTTCAAGCGCACTAGCTAGCTAGCGACTTGGGACTAACTCGTTCAGAGAAAGTGATGGATCAACGAATGTTCGTCATACCTACTCCTCTTTTCTCCGGGCGCACTCCGGTAATTTTCTTCCTGTTCGTTAAAGATGGTCATAGCTGCGGGCTGTAACTCCCGAGCGAGGACCTAGAATTCAAGGGCGGGATAAGCTCGGCAGAGTACTTGTGATTTTTTAGCTTAAATGGAATAGAAAGTACATTCTAGTATAGGAGTAGTAAAGTATAGCCATGGATGATGCTAATATTATAGTAAGCATTATCACAAGGAAAATTGACTCCATAATATTATAGAAAGGGCTTTGATGATTCTCCAGCTATCATTATTACATTGAAAATAATTGACCAAACAGGGGTGTTTGAGACTGGTCACCTCGGCCACTCGTTCCAACAGGAAGCGCCGCTGCTCCCCCTTATGCGCCGTACCTTTTGAAAAAAAAAGAGACTTCTGAAGCTCCCGTCGCCAGTACATTCGGGCAGGGCGTTCCAGAGTTTTCCTTTGTGGCCCAGTAGTGTTTGTTCGTACATGCGCTCATCCACAAGCCCAGTGGAGTCTATAGTGGGTAAGATATTATTAAACAGGATGTGGTCAACTGACTGGAGGCGTTTTCGGGATGGGCTTAGGTTTTCGCTACGCACAGTCATAATTTTTTTTTCATCCGTTCGATTTTGATTGAGATCGCACATTCGTTTTACCTTTTAGACGTCTTGGAAGACTCGTTTCGAAGGCAACTAAAGTTTGTCTATGGAGATCGAGGGCGGGACTTTGGGACTTTTGGAACAGTACTGATGTGACAGTTTTACTTTGAGTCTAAGAATAAAAGGGGACTAGTGCCAGGGATTCGCGCAATTCCAATCTCCAGGAAATGAGGAATTGTGATTGTTGTGATTTGATTACATCGGGCCACTAGCGCCGAGCCAATCCATGGAATCGTTGCCTCCCTTCTGATCTTATGGCTGAGTTTTTTTTTTCTTTTCTTTTCCATAGGGACTCCGTACTTTGTCACAGTACTGCTACTCCAAGCTCTTGCGTATAACTTGTATAGTCTGTACTTTGTACATACCTTCTGCTTTTCCCGCTTAACGTTTGACCGCACCCTCCTAAACTGGTTTTGCTTCATTTCTAATTACAAGGGGGGTCGAAATGTATGATGATACGGCCAATTCCAATCTCCCCCGGAAAGTCTGAACTAACCATGACTGGCTTATGATCTAATCATCTCAATTAGTCTGGGTCTAATAATAATGAAGATCGCGATACGTTGTTCAACTCCCACCAATACTATGCAAACCTCGCCAATCTTCTCCATCGTTCTCCTTTTCCCCCTAAACTCTTTGTACATGCCCCCCCTCCCCCCAACGAGCTCGTACCCTCATTGTAAAATGGATCTTACTGGTCAACTAACTTAATTTGGGAGCTGAAATGGGCTTTCAGCCTGTTAGGCCTACTGGCGCCTACGGGGGGCCGATCTCCTTACTCGGCCGTTACCAGCGGGAAATTTCACGATAACGGGGATGCAGCCCAAGGGTCGCGCTAGTGGATTTTGTCATTTCTTATTTTTATTTTGCTATTATTATCATGATTTGAATGGATGGCTTTGGATGGGGACGTCTGGATGTCAATCCTTTCCTAACCGTCGACCCATAGATCGGAAATGGGGCTTTTCTCTGTCGATTCTTGTCTCATTGCCCACTCCCAGTCCTGTTTTTTTTTAAACTTCTTTTTTTTTTCTTTTCTGTACACCTCCATCTTCCTCTTACCCTGTCTTTGGCACGTTTTGTTCGCTATCGCTACTATCTGGCTCTCCAGTACCTTGCTCTCTCATAGCCCTCCATCATTGTAGCTAAGGGCTTGAGACAAGCAACGAGGGGGAAAACACTCTTGCAAGTCAGAAGGAGGCACGGATACACCTAAAAATCAACGAGAGACATCGTCATGACTGCTGCACCTCCGGTGCCTCACGCCGTCCCCGAGGGCCTCAACGGGGCTCCTGGTCATCTCGCACACAGTCTTCCACGCTATCAGGCTATCGCCATGAATCCTAATCCGCCTTCTCACCCAGCAATGCCTCCACCAGAGCAAATGGTTCAAAATCATCACTATCGTCACTATCCGCCTCCACCTTTGCACGATCCTCATGCAGGACCGCCTCCCCCACCACCGCCAGCGGCCTTGTCCTCTCTAGATCAGATCGAAGCCCGCTTGCGTCAATTGGAGCATGAAGAAATGAACCGGATGGCAGCTCGGCATCACCTACTTGCAATCCGCAAGCGTGAAGATGAAGAATTCCGTAGAATGACCGAGAGCGCCGAGGCTGAGGAGGAGGTACGTAATAGTATACTTGAATATACTCGAAGCGTGTGTGTTTGGGCGGGATGAAATACTAATAGCAATACTGCAGGATCTTCGAAGACAACGCAAAAGGATTAAGAGAGAGTCGATGGGCCTAGGACCTAACCAGACAATGGACTCGCCGCCAATGCGGCCAACACCACCACGCCGGTTGTCCGAGACCAGCGCGGCCACGACGTTGGCCTTCTTCAAGCAGCAGAGCCCTCCGGAACCTCGCCAGACACCACTACCACCAGTATCACGCACACCACAACCGCCTCCTATGCCTCCACCTACTCATATGCATCCTCAACCTCATCACGCTCCTCCACCTCCACCTCCTCCACCTCAACACCCTCAACACCCTCAACACCCACATGCCCATCAAAATCAACATCAGCACCCCATTAATCCCCACGATGCCGTCAATGGCGCAGGATCTATCCGGCGCAAGCAAAAGTATACAATCAAGAACGTCGAGGCATGGGGCGAACGTCATGGCCGCCCAGCAGCCCACGATCCCTCCGGCCGCGCTTTATGGAAGCGGCCCTCCGATGGAAGTCTAGTCTATTTAACTTGCCCGATTCACGGCTGCGGTAAATCCGACTTTGTCACACTGCACGGCTTCATGTGCCACTTGACTAAGAAGCATAAAGATCGCACCTTGGGCAGTCAATCGCGTGCGCTCGAGATGTGTGGTATTGTCTACGATCCGAATGCGCCGTTGCCGCCAGTGCAAGCCTCGAATCGCGGATCGATGGAAGATAGTCCTATGGAGGGGGGTCCTGATGATGAGGGCCATGATCCCGAGCTCGACTCGGAGCCCGAGGACAGCGAAGAGCCTCGTGACGAGATCTATCGAGTCAAGACTGAGGCGACGGAACGCTCTCTTCCTGATACGGTTGATACTCCCGTCTCACAAGATGCTTCGCCTATACCGCCCAAACCGGCCATGAACGGCTCGATTAAACAGTCGATCTCTTCTATTATCGACCGCACTCCAGAATCTGAACCTCGGGAAGCGTTGGCATCATTGACACCCTCTGAATCCGTCTCCCAGGGACCAGCTCCCGTATCCTTGGAACAGTCTATTCCCGCAAAGCGGAAATACGAGTACTCACCCGAGAAGGAGAACACGGAGCCGAAAGAAGGCTCTGCAACGGAGTAAATACTTGTTTATCTATGTTAATACGCAAAATCATCAGCAGTACAGTTAAGCCTGTTTGATATCATATCGCACTTTGTTCAGGCTGTCCATGTGCGGCTTTTAAATATTAATCCGGCCCCTTCAAAAGCAGCCCGTTACATCAAACCATATCCATCATTTCTCAATCTTCTCCAGCATGTCATTTGTGTTATACGTACCAGTCTATCATTGCATTGATCGGGATGTCGTTCTTTTCACATTTCAATACCCTTGTCCTTATTCTTTACTTGGTGTTGATTATCATATTCTTATGTTTCGTGTCTCTGTGGTCACGCGAAACTCGTGTCTTATGTTCAAGCTTTTTATTTGCGCTATTTCATTTTTGGTTGATAATCATGCTTCGACGCTGCATGTCTGCTGCACATAGCATTCGCACATGTTCTTTTGGGTGTTAGATCTGCAGATCTTACCCTCTCATTTGTCTATACTTAATTGCTTGCTGAGCATATTTATGAATGATATACAAGGTTGTTAGATGTGGATGCATTGTGAACCCCTTTTCTATACTGACTAGAACATAACACTTGAAATTTCGTACTGAAACGTCCACCCCGTGGATTAAATTCATCTTGTAGCGCCTACAGCTTGGTGTTGTCGATCACATTCGAGCCATGTCTCCAACTCCGTCACATGGTGTCTCACATTCACACCTCCCTTCTTTCTCCCAGGTCTCGTTGTAATGTCGTCGTCCGTGACATGACGAGACACAACCGATCTCAGGGTGACCGGTTCAGGTTCTTCAGCTATTGGTACGATATTGTCGTTCCGTGTCGGACCTTCTTCAGTTCGGTAGCGCCAACAAGAATGGGTTTGTGTGCGTTCATGACACCAGAGACTCATATTTCAATGTGGGAAATAGATAGAAAGAAGAAAAACGGGATTGCCGGATCGTGCCAGCCACAGAAGATCTTCTTTATAGGCTACAGTCGCGCTTTTAGCTCTGATATACCAACTAAAGCGTTCTTTCCTGGATACGTTGTCAGGTATCTAGGCTTGTGGTCTCTGCAAAGTACTGCATAGCCATGTTGCCGTGCGATAGCTGGATAATATCTAAGAGCTGATCGCCTCGGATTCTGCGTGGTAGGTTGCAAGCAGTGCCGGTTCTGAGAATGACTGGCTCCATGGCTGGGGCGGTACTCGGGAATGTGCTCCCTGTGTGGAGATATCATGGGGGATCTCGACTATAGATAATGTCGCACGAATGCGTCGGAAATTGTTCCTTGGCACAAGATTCGCCCGTCCAGTGGAATAATTATAGGAGTATACCGAATCGTGGAATCCCCCAAAGGTACATCAGCAGGTCCCAAGCCAGTTGGTGCGTACATTCAATAGGGTTATTGGCATCGTAGGTGTAATACTGCAGGATTCGTTCCAGTAATAGAGAGCCTAAAAATGCTTATGATCACCGGCACAAGAGTCTTAAAGGGTAGTGAAAGGGCAGTTATTGATATAAGTACAATACAAAACCGCTGCAGATGATAGCTCACTGTCATGGTCTTGATATAGTTGTACTCGCAGTGTGTCGACTATCGTTAGGTGGGCTCTATCCTCGAATAGCGTGTTTTGCTTGGACAGCCGGAAAATATATCGAGTAGTGGCATGTTGGAAAGGCCTGTCCGAGTCGTGAGAGACAGCCTACTTCGTAGACAGATTCTCACTTCAGGTTGCTCGTCTCCTAGGGCTCTGTTACGCCCACATCACAGTTGATTTGCAACTTGATCGCATAGTTCAAGGCTTCTTCGTATTGATGTCAAACGTGTGTGTATATTTCCAACCTTGACATGTTATAAAGATGTAAATATAGAAAAATTGAGAAGAAGGGGAAAGAGAAAAGGAGTTCTTGTCGAAATTCTTATAGTTGGATGTAGCCGCCCCACACTACGTCAATCTCCAACACAAAGACAAAACTGCCCATCCATACCGCCTTGTGGAAGCTCTTGCAGCGGGGAGCTTTGGGTCTTCGTGCTTCACTTCCATGTCTTGACTTTACTCTTTCAGCCTTTCCCTCTTCCGAGAACGCGTCGTTGCGTCTTCGTTCAGGCTGATTCTCACGGTATTGAACGCGAGACTGGGACAACGCCTCCCAAATTGTCACCACCAAAACCACACACCAAGGTGGGGTGGGCCGTCACTACCGAGCTGAACATCGAGAAACCCGACGAGGAACATTCGCAACCCATTGACCCATCCTCATCGACAATGGCGGATTCGCTGACTTCGGCTATGGAGCAGCTGCGACTAACAGCTCAGGATGTTAACCCAGACTTGTTCCAATCTCGACTGGAGGCTCCGCTCGCCGAGGAAGACAAAGATACACAAATCAACACCAGGTCTCGCAAGCAAACGACCAAGAGTGGAGAGGAGCTATTAGCAGAGCTGGAGGCTGAATTCTTGACACCATCTTCTAAATTCAGCTCCAATTGGCTCAACCAGCTACAAAAGTATGCTTTCCCATGTTCGCGGGTACCGTTAACGTTAGCTAATGACTCCTTTAGACGATGGGACGTACCTGTAGACACCACAGACCTCTTCGAGATTGCCCCCACACAGACGCGAACCGTCACTCGATTTACACGAGAAGGACTGGAAGGACGGGTAACGGGATATCATGAAGTGACTATCCCAGCGACGAGTGATACAGCCAAGAACTCAACCTCTCTTCTTCGCCGTCCTGCTGGTCGTGCGGAATTTGTCAGAGGCGCGGCCGGGTTTTTCCCATTCGCACCTGGTGGCTTGGATGCAGTCGAGGCTCTGGCTGAAATGGAGGCCGATGCACAGACTGCCGAGCAATCACGCAGTGGTGGAAAGAAGGCAGGACTTGATCGGATCATCAACTTTGGTTCTGAGGGCGGTCTCTTGACGACACCTCCTGGCTTTGAACGTGGTCTCACGTTTGCAGAGGCAAAATCTAAGGAGGCTGCTGAGGGCGATCAGGAAGTGGAGTATGCCCTTCTTCAGGAGGAGAGCAATCTCCAAGTTGACAAGCCTGAGACTACACCCGAGGCTGATGGAACCGCTGAGGCTGGTGTTGAGGATGAAGAAAGTGATATGGAAGAAGAGGATATTGACGCTTTATTGCCAGTCGAATTCCCTGCGCTCGAACCGCGCAACCAGCTCCTTGCGGGTATTCAAAAGCAGAAGGGTAGGGAGTGGGCTCATGTCGTTGATGTGAACAAAGAAATCACCAACTTCAGTGACCTGGTTCCGGATATGGCCCGAGAATGGCCATTCGAGCTGGATACCTTCCAAAAGGAAGCCGTGTACCACCTGGAGAATGGCGACTCCGTCTTTGTGGCCGCACACACTTCTGCCGGCAAGACGGTTGTCGCGGAATATGCCATCGCACTGGCAAATAAGCATATGACGAAAGCCATCTACACATCTCCTATTAAAGCCCTGAGTAACCAGAAATATCGTGACTTCCGCACAACCTTCGATGATGTCGGTATTCTCACGGGTGATGTTCAGATCAACCCCGAAGCCAGCTGTGTGATCATGACCACAGAAATTCTTCGAAGTATGCTTTACCGAGGCGCCGATCTCATCCGCGATGTCGAGTTTGTCATCTTCGACGAGGTGCATTATGTCAATGATCTTGAGAGAGGAGTTGTCTGGGAGGAAGTCATTATCATGCTTCCGGAGCACGTTACCCTCATCCTTCTGTCCGCCACTGTTCCCAACACCTACGAGTTCGCCTCTTGGGTTGGCCGCACAAAGAAGAAGGACATCTACGTGATTTCGACACCCAAGCGACCCGTGCCTCTGGAACATTATCTATGGGCTGGCAAGGAGAAGTTCAAGATTGTCGACTCCAACAAGCGATTCATCGAAGGCGGTTGGAAGAAGGCAAATGATGTACTGTCTGGCAAAGATGCTAGAGCCAAAAAGGAGGCGGAGGCTCAAGCCCAGGCCCAAGCGCAGCGCGGTGGACCTCAAGGGCGAGGACGTGGACGGGGACAGGATACTGGCAGAGGAGGTCCTCGGGGTGGTGGCCAGCGTGGAGGTGGAAACAGAGGACAAGGAAGTGGAAACAGAGGGCAAGGAGGTGGGCGGGGGCAACCTTCTAATCGCGGCACTGGCAATATTGCTCGTACTGGCCGTGGAGGTGGTCGCCAATCCGCCGCCCAAGATAAGAATACTTGGGTTCACCTTGTGTCACATCTTCGCAAGGAAGACCTGCTTCCAGCCTGCGTTTTCGTCTTTTCCAAGAAGCGATGCGAGGAAAACGCAGACTCTCTCACCAATCAAGACTTCTGCAATGCGACAGAGAAGAGCTTGATCCACATGATGATCGAGAAGTCACTCACGCGCTTGAAACCGGAAGACCGAACTCTGCCTCAAATCCTTCGGCTGCGTGAATTACTCAGCAGAGGTGTTGCCGTGCACCATGGTGGTCTTCTCCCAATTATGAAGGAGATTGTCGAAATTCTCTTCGCAAGGTCCCTGGTCAAGGTTCTCTTCGCTACGGAGACGTTCGCTATGGGTCTGAATCTGCCCACCCGAACAGTAGTCTTCTCTGGATTCCGCAAGCACGACGGCAAAAGCTTCCGAGACCTGCTACCTGGAGAGTACACGCAGATGGCTGGTCGTGCAGGACGCAGAGGTCTCGACACCGTGGGCTATGTGCTCATCACGAATAGTGGCAAAGATGAGGCTCCACCTGCTGGTGCTTTGAAGAAGATGATTCTCGGGGATCCAACCAAACTCCGATCCCAATTCCGACTCACCTACAACATGATTCTCAACCTTCTTCGAGTGGAGGCTCTGAAGATTGAAGAGATGATCAAACGGAGTTTCAGCGAGAATGCTACCCAAGCGTTGCTGCCGGAACATGAAAAGCAAGTCCAGCTTTCCGAGGCCAGCTTGGAGAAGATCAAACGGCCGCCTTGCGAGATTTGTGACGTGGATCTTGCTGCCTGCCACGATGCTGCAATGGAGTACGAGAGGCTCACCGCAGAGTTGCACAGCGGCTTGCCCACAACTCCCGCTGGTAAACGACTCTTTGAAGTCAAGAAGCTTGTCGTGTATCGAAAGGTACTTTCTGTCTGACTTTGACGTTTGTATACTTGTGAAGTACTAATTGTGTTTTAGGATGGACTACGCACCGCTGGAGTGATTACCAAGGAGGGTGTCACCACCGGGGCCGTTCCTTGCATCACCGTACTTGAAATTGGCACCGTGTACAACCGACGTCATCCCAGTGATATTCTTCCATTCCTGCCCCAGTTCCGTCCATACCTGCAGGAATTGCCCTCCAACGGCGCGTCTATGCATCTCAAGATTTGCAAGATCCCAGTGTCAGATGTCGAATGCATTACGACCACCAGGTGCAAGGCTGGTGGACCGATTTGGTATTTGAATATCAAGAAAGGTGAGTGTTTCTCCCGAACCTAGTTAACGAACCAGGCTAACCACAAAAAAACAAAAATAGAAGCGGTAAAGTTTGCGGATAAAGAGCTAACCAAGTTCACTTCATCCTGGCTTAGTGATCGATGGGACGAGATCGATTGGGTCCGCATCAAGGAGTTGCAGTCGCGGGATATCATAGACCAGCGGAGGGCCAAGGCACAGTTCATCCAGTCATGCCACTGCTTGCAATGCCCCAAATTCATGGACCACGTGAGTGAAAGGCCCGATGCGGTAATAAATCGTGTGTATATGCTAATCCTTTTCTTTCCCTCCAGTTCGAAATGCAACATGACGAATGGCAAGTGAAGGAGAACATCTCGCAATTGAAGCAGTTGATGTCGGATCAAAACCTTCAACTGCTTCCAGACTATGAACAGCGTATTCAGGTCCTGCGAGAGCTCGGGTTTGTCGACGAGCAGTCCCGTGTGCAATTGAAGGGCAAGGTTGCCTGTGAAATCCATTCCGCCGATGAACTGGTTTTGACCGAGCTGGTTCTGGAGAACGTCCTGGCCGAATACGAGCCAGAGGAGATCGTTGCCCTTCTGTCAGCATTCGTGTTCCAGGAGAAGACCGATAGTACCCCTACCCTCACTCCTCGATTGCAAAAGGGCCAGGAGGCTATTATCCGTATTGCGGAGAAGGTCAACAATTACCAGGTCCTGCACCAAGTCATCCAGTCTAGTGAAGACTCCAATGACTTTGCCAGTGAGCCTCGGTTCGGCCTTGCTGAGGTGGTCTACGAGTGGGCCAAGGGCATGTCATTCAACCGCATCACCGATCTCACCGATGTGATGGAGGGAACCATTGTCCGAACGATTACTCGGCTGGACGAGACTTGTCGCGAGGTCAAGAACGCGGCCAAACTGGTTGGCGATCCATCGCTGTACACCAAGATGCAGCAAGCGCAGGAGCTGATCAAGCGCGATGTCATTTTCGCGGCGTCTCTTTACATGTAGAGAAGGTATCGGGTTACTATTCACTGTCTGGTCATTGGGCAGCACCACACCGCTGCCATGATAGTGTTAAGGATGGTCTCCAAGCGAGACGAAACAATGTAACGAGTATGAAATTCAAAGAAAAAACAACAAAAAAAACATGTTCCCAAGCCTACCTCGTATAGTCCAAAAAGAAATGTAAAAAATGTTGAACTTTAACCGGGAAGCCCGCTGGAGTATACAAAATCAGTGTGCGGCCGCTGATTAGCTGCGGGGCGACCGCCCGCGAAAATCCCAGAAGAATAAATCCCCCCCCCTCTACACTTTTTTCGACCTCCACCTCCTCCTAACGCCTTGGGCTTATTCGTCCTTTGCACTTTCTTGACATTTCCCCCCTCCTCCCTCTCGTCCTCCCTTGTCGGCGCTGGTCCGTTTCCCCCGGGGATCTTTCGCGTGGAGTTCTTTTTCTTTTCTTTTTTTCTATCTGTGATCTTTGGCGCCGGGGTGCCCAGGTGGTGCAAACATGGACGTTACGGCTCTCCGAGACCGTATCCAGTCGACTCTCGACCCTAACACGAGTACTCGTCAACAGGCCGAGTTGGACTTGAAATATGTATGTCTGCTGCGTGTTCCTGGCGGGGGGCGCCGTTGCCGTGAGACTTACACCCCGGGGGTTTCCCCTCTCTAGGCCGAAACGCAGCCCGGATTTATCAATGCGCTGCTCGACATCCTGCAGACTGAGCAGAACAATGCCGTTCAGCTGTCTGGTAAGTGTCTCAATGAGTCTCTGTTTCGGTATCACCGACGCCGGTGTCTAATCTGCCCCGCTTCCTCTCTCTAGCCGGTGTCTACCTGAAGAACCGTATCAGCCGCGGATGGGCCCCCGTCGAAGATAACCCGCAACGCCCTCCCGTCCCTGAGGCTGAGAAGCCGAGTTTCCGCGAGAGACTGATCCCTGCTCTGGCCTCCACGCCGCCCAATGTCCGCGCTCAGCTGGTTCCGCTGCTCCAGAAGATCCTCCAGAACGATTTCCCCGAGCAGTGGCCTGGATTCCTCGATCTCACCCTTCAGCTTCTCGGCACGAATGATGCGAACACAGTCTACGCAGGCTTGCAATGCCTGCTGGCCATCTGCCGCGTGTATCGGTTTAAGGCCGGCGAGAAGAGAGAGGAGTTCGATAAGATTGTGGAGCACTCTTTCCCCCAGTTGCTCAGCATTGGACAGAGGCTGGTTGATGAGGAGAGCCTGGAGGCTGCTGAGATGCTCCGGATTGTCGTGAAGGCTTATAAGCACGCCATCTACGTGGGTGACCCGCGCATCTATAAAGAAGCATCGTATACAAGAGGCTGACACTAATCGGTTTTTTTTTTGTTTATAGTTTGAGCTCTCCCCAGCTCTGCAGACTCAGCAGGCTACTGTGGACTGGTGCACATTGTTCCTCCGAATCATCTCCAAGACTCCTCCCGCGAACGCCATGGCTGAGTCCAAGGAAGAGCGGGAGTTGAACCACTGGTGGAAGTGTAAGAAGTGGTCATATGCGAACTTGAACCGTCTTTTCATCAGGTAAGATGCGCGCGCTTTGTTCCCTCTGTGATCTTTTTTCCGCAAAAAGAGTACGGTATTAACACGCGATTTTTCACCCCCACTAGATACGGCAACCCCACCACGATTACGAAATCCTCCATTCCCGATTATACCCCGTTCGCGAAGTCCTTCATTACCTCCTTTGCCCCCGAAATTCTCAAGGGCTACCTGCAGGAGATCGACAAGTGGGTTTCCAAGTCGCAATGGCTCAGCAACTCTGCTCTTTCTTATACTCTGGTCTTTATGGAGGAGTGCGTCAAGCCGAAGGCTATGTGGGAGCACCTGAAGCCGCACATGGACAACTTGATCGCCCACTTCGTTTTCCCGATCTTGTGCCAGTCGGATGAGGATATCGAGCTGTTCGAGGAGGACCCTTCGGAATACCTCCACCGCAAGCTGAACTTCTACGAGGAGGTTTCCGCTCCCGACGTTGCCGCTACCAACTTCCTGGTCTCCCTGACCAAGAACCGCAAGAAACAGACCTTCTCGATTCTCACTTTCGTCAACAGCGTTGTCAGCAAGTACGAGTCTGCGGCTGATGACCAGAAGCAGCCCCGGGAGAAGGAGGGTGCTCTCCGAATGATCGGCTCCCTCGCATCGGTCATTCTGGGCAAGAAGAGCCCCATTGCTGACCAGGTCGAGTATTTCTTCGTCCGCCACGTTTTCCCCGAATTCCGCAGCCCCCACGGTTTCCTCCGTGCACGTGCTTGTGACACCCTGGAGAAGTTCGAGCAGTTGGACTTCAAGGACCCCAACAACCTGATGATCATCTACCGGAACATTCTGGAGTCTATGACTGACCCCGAGCTGCCCGTTCGGGTTGAGGCCGCCCTTGCTCTGCAGCCCCTGATCCGTCACGACGTTATCCGCACCTCCATGCAGCAGAACATTCCTCAGATCATGCAGCAGCTTCTCAAGCTGGCCAACGAGGTCGATGTTGATGCTCTGGCCAATGTGATGGAGGACTTTGTTGAGGTCTTCTCTGCCGAGCTGACTCCATTCGCCGTTGCCCTGAGCGAGCAGCTGCGCGACACTTACATGCGCATTGTTGGTGAGCTTCTAGAGCGGAATGCCAACAAGGCCGGTGACGATGAAGGATACGGAGATTTCTTGGACGACAAGAGCATCACTGCATTGGGTGTCTTGCAGACCATCGGTACCCTCATTCTCACCCTGGAGAGTACCCCCGATGTGCTTCTCCACTTGGAGACCATTTTGATGCCCGTCATCAGCATCACTCTGGAGAACAAGCTGTACGATCTGTATAACGAGGTGTTTGAGATTATTGACAGCTGCACATTCGCGTCCAAGTCCATTTCGCCTACCATGTGGCAGGCGTTTGAGCTGATCCACAAGACCTTCAAGGCTGGTGCCGAGCTGTACTTGGAGGACATGCTCCCAGCCCTGGACAACTACGTCTCCTACGGCTCTGACATGCTGGTTCAGAACCCAGCTTACCTGGCTGCCGTCGTTGGCATGGTTGAGGACATCTTCCGCGACGACAAGGTTGGTGGTGTTGACCGTATCTGCGGCTGCAAGCTGGCCGAGACTCTCATGCTCAACCTCCGCGGTCACGTCGACCAGTACATTCCTCTCTTCATTGAGTTGGCCATGGTTGTCATTGACGCCGGTGAGGCTCGTACCAAGTCTTACCGTATCCACCTGATGGAGATGATCATCAACGCCATCTACTATAACCCCGCTCTCAGTTTGCAGGTCCTGGAAGCCAAGGGCTGGACCAACAAGTTCTTCAGCACCTGGTTCTCCAGCATTGACCAGTTCCGTCGCGTCCACGACAAGAAGCTTTCCATCGCTGCTATAAGCTCGCTGCTGACGATGAAGGCTGCTGACGTTCCCGTCAGCGTCCAGCAGGGCTGGCCCAGATTGCTGCAGGGTGTTACAAGGCTGTTCCAGACCTTGCCTGCTGCTCTCAAGCGTATGTCTTCCTTCTTATACATGGTGTAGTGTAGTTCTTTTGCTAACCAACTTTATAGTGCGCGAGGATGCCACTCGGGAGTCGGACTTCACTCTCGACGATGAGGACGATGAGGACGATGAGGAGAATGACTGGGATGGCGAGGTTGAATGGAACGAGGAAGAAGTTGAGGAGGCCGTTGAGGGTGACATTGCCGATGAGAGCGCTGCATACCTCGACTTCCTCAACAAGGAGGCCCAGAAGTTCAGCCAATTCGCCGATGACGACGATGACGAGCTTGATGAGGAGAGTCTCCTCGAGACTCCTTTGGACAAGGTCGAGCCGTACGGCATGTTCAAGCATGTCTTCCTGAGTACGTGATAACCCATATTTCCCGTATTGTTGAACCTTGCTAATCCCCCCAATAGACCTCCAGTCCGAGCAACCCCAGCTCTACGAGAACTTGACCAAGGTCCTCGGCCCCGAGGAGCAGCAGATTCTCCAGGCAGTGTTCCACGAGGCCGACGCCAAGGCGCTGGCGGCTGCCAACGCCGAAGCCGCCGCTGCAGCGGGCATGCAGTCCAACGGCAACCAATAGATCCGAAAGATGGAGTAAACCGCTATATCGATGCTCAATTTTTTTGATCGGGATTGTTCTGCTTTTCCCAACTCATCCTCACGAGACATATGCCCATTTCATGTCTTTCCTCCCATTGTTTAGATCATGCCTGTTTACCCCCGTCTATATCTGTCCATGTTTCCATTTCCATTTTCTGTTTGTTTCTTTTTTTCATTTTTCGTATCATGTCCACCTTGTTGATGTGCTCTCAAAAAGTCCCCATCTCCCGAAATTCCTCCCCTTTTCTAATCCACCTCCACTGCACAGATTCCCCAAAGACACCCTCCATATCATGATATAGTACATCAGTCATGCTATTATTACTGAGTTCAAACATGCCTTCCGTGACGTAGCTTCATCGCCTTGTAATACTTCTTAACCGATAGGTTTCAGGTCTGTAGTCCCATTACTATGCCAAGGGATGCTGTATATGCCACGTGATGAGTACAACCCTCGAAGGCGATGATGTCATCGCATACTATTCGCCCCCGTTATTGCTTCAAGATGCAATATGCAACTGCACCCTGGGGCAGGCTTTTTGAACTAAACTTTCAAACCCAGGAGGAACCATAACCCCGTATTCGATGTGGATCTTGTAGTCCCGAGTCATCCTAAAGTCGAAACGTAGCAGGTCGTTGTGGTTTGAACGTCATCATGATGAAGCTCCCAGATAACCCGGTTTAGCACCGGTCACGTCAGCTATGTTGACATCGATACCGATCATTCTTAAGAAAATTCGCTGAAACAGTTTCACAATTCAATTTACTTTGCAAAGATTTAATTGTATACATCTTAACGGATTATCCGAGGTATACACTGCATCACAAAGTAACTATCTACTTCAACAAGATCTAACCTCCATTCCAGAATCCTACAAATCTACCCACTTTCCTCAAATACACTCATCCCAAGATGTCCGCTCCCTACCCAGGCCGCCAATCCCCCGAGCCAGAGACCCAATCTGGCATTCAACAGCGCGACCCCCCTTCCCACGGTAAACTGGGTGACCCATCGACTCGCCAAGCACCAGAGTTCTCCTACGAGAAGCCGGAGGCGAAGGCACCAGTGCTTGATGGGAGTAACCCCAAGCATCCGCTGGAAGATATTGAGGCGGCGAAGTTTAAGAAGAGATGAATTGACGGGAGTGGTGAGCTTGTGTGTTGGTTTGATTTTGGGGAGGACAGAAGGGATGGATAAATTTGTTTAGGGTTGGATGATGAATGGGGACTTGATGTAGGTATGTGGTTAGTTTTTGAATAGTGATGAAGTTACGAATTACATGTTGCGGCCTACGTACGAACTACAGTAGTGTAGGACTAAGACAAGAGTAAAAGTTGATGTATGAATCATAATAATCGTGTATGTTCATTCGCTCGCTCGCACTCGCATACCAAGAACTAACTAAGCGCAGAGTACGGAATCATCGCAATCATAAGCTCGTCCCAGACAACAAATAAAGGCGAAGTAGGTAAGATCCCTCAGAGAGACCTCAAGGCAAGCGGGATGTATCGATGAAAAGCATAGACATGAAGGAAAGCACGCCAGCGCGGGATAATCATCAGATCATGAGAAAAATATCTAAGCCTTAGGCTCAGCGGGGGCAGCAGTACCAGCCGGCTCAGAGACAGGGGCAGTCGCGGGGGCGACACCAGCAGCCTCACTGGCAACGGGGGCAACACCCTCAGTCTCACCACCCTTACCCTGCTTCAAATCGGCCAGACGACGAGCCTCGTTGTGAATATCGCGCACCTGCTTATCAGTCTGAACGTAGAAGTCACGCAGCTTCTGGCCGGAGGGGTGCTCGAGGGCCTTCTCGAAGTACGAGTGCAGACCGCGCCAGCCGGTAGCAGCCTTATCGGAGATCTTGTAGCTATTGTCGATGCCGCGGGCGCGCTCAGTAGCATTGTACTTCTTGTCAAAGTTGGACAGGGCAGAAGTGAACTTGGTGGAGAAGCCGTGCTTCTGGTCCAGGGCGATGGCCTTTTGGATCGCGCCGTCGCTCACGACGTATCCGTGCGCCAGGTACTCGGCGAAAATGCGAGAGCGCGGCTTGTCCTCCTGCGCAATGTCGTGCTCATCTTCCTTCTCGGTGGATGCGCTGGTGGCTGATGCGCCAGCAAGAGTGTCGATGCTCTGCGCGGCCTCGACGTGCACGGACGAGGTGCCCAATTGAGTTTGGTCGAGAAGCAGGGCAGTCTTAGCAGCTCTGTATAAAGGCGATGTGAATTAGCATTCAATAGTATTGCAATGATGGTTTGCTGTGATAAGAGGGGCTATGGTGCCATCATGAAACGAGGTGCGGGGTAGCTTACGCCTCCTTCTCGAAAGTCACACTGGCGGACTGGGGGGCATCGGCCTCGGACGAGACGGGGGTGATGGACAGGTTGGTGATCTTGCCGCTGTAAATAAGGTGTTAGCGAAAGGGAAATTGCTCTATGAGTCTCTTGTTTTCGACTTTTGAGAGCTCTTGCGAGGATCTACATACCAGAAGCTGAAGAAGTCGCGGACCTCCTTCTCGGAGGTCGAGTGCGAGATGCCGGAAACGTGAACGGTAGAAGCGCCAGACATTTTGGTGGATGTTGATTTTGAGAGTGAAAGAGAAATTATTTGGGATTGAGAGGGTATGTTGAGGAGAGGAAAAGGGGGAAACAGCTTGGTTTAAGTCAGTTATTTATTCCACGACTGCGCCACAGGTGACGTAGGGCGGGGCGAGCACCGCCTCATGCCACTCGAACCAAGTGGACACTCGACATCTTGGAAAAAGCTTCCTCACCTGTGCTTAAGCGACTTTAGGCAGAATGATTCGGATATTATTAGAGTACACTATCATCGACTAGATTAAACCTACCAGTCGTACATGTTTGAAACCTTCCAGCCACATATCTTTTTGAAGGTCTTTGTAACTGCCTTGAATTGTCTTCCAGCTACCTAAGGCTTTGTTTTAGTACCATTAAACAAACCGCATGGCCTATGGGATGGTTCTAAAGCTCTATTAAGCTTTCAATTCTAGGGAATCCCATTGTACTCGTATTTTAGGGTACTAGAAAATATTGAAGCCTTGAACTATTCGCCTCTATCACATGCAAGAGAAAATATAGAGATCCAAGCACGACTAGCTAAATAAGAAAAGAAAACACGAATGGGGAGGCCAATAGAAAGGTTTGATTTGTTACTGCCTGCAAATCTTCCAGCCCTGAAGAGATAATCATAGTAACAACAAAGGAGAAGTAGGACTGCGCCCGGCAGTAATGGAAGAAAACAAACGGTTCCGTGATCCCTCAAGAATCCCTTAAGGTTGGCGGAGTCTCCGTCGGCGTCATCGGCTCCCCATCCTTCTGCTGTTTCAGCACATTTTCCAACTCTCGAACTCTTTTCCGCAGCTGCTCATTCTCCCGCTTTATATGTTCCAACTCCGACTTGTGCAGGACCGCTTCCTCGTACCGCGAAAGGGAATTGCTTGACAATCCCAGGTGAGTCTGTGACACCGAACTGCGGTGGGGATAGATGGATGGACTTCCATAATGGGAAAACTGATCGCCATGGGAATATTGCGGGTGAGAGGGAATAGACCCGATCGACGGGCGGCGTGAGGTGAGAGACGGTTCACGGCTTCGAACCGTGCGAGGATGGGAGGTATCGTTCGAACGAGAAGGTATACTCGTTTCACGAGAGGGTGCAATTCCCGTCACGCTGGCGGCTTGGGCAGCAGTGTGGGAGCTCAGGCTGGAGGATGACCGCTGACGCCGTGATGAGTGGGTGTGTGTGGAGCTGCCCAACGACGGGGAGGTATGGAACCCATCGATAGGATCGTTCATGGTCGACGTGGAGGAGGCAGTTGATGCCACGGAGGCCGTCTGTTGTCGAAGGAGAGAGAGCTCCCGAGTCAATCGGTTCACCTGGAAGTAGTCCAGCGTTAGCACGTTTAGTGATAGAATGAAAGGGTCATATTTGGCTCGGCCTCACCATGGCTTCCTGCTCCTTCTCTAGCACCAAATGTAGATCTGACGGGGTGATGGGCTTGGGATGACGCAGCGGCCCTACTTCGGTCAGTTTCGAGATATGGACAACGGAAATCAACCAAGTATGACTTACCCTGCGCCGTACTGGTGATATCATGCTCACTCATCCCCAAAGGCGGACTTCCCTGGATCAAGACAGGACTTCTGTGAGCCTGACTCCAGCCTCGAGAGTGTCTGGTTATAGGTGAAGGAGGGCCCATAGAATGTATAGTGGTGGTAGCGGCGCGAGGCCGGGGGGTGCTTTCAGTGGCCATGAGGTCGGAGACAAAGCCGAAGGAAGAACGGAATGATATATCAACAAAGGGGCTCCTCTGAACCCGCAGAAGGCATGCGAACAAAACAAAAAAAAAACCACGGGCCCGGACCGAGCTATAAAGTGCTTTTTTTTTGCCTTGTCGTCGGGCAGCGAGGTGTGGCTAAGCCAAAACACTACCCCTTGATCGGAATGCCATGAAACATTCCAAGAGGGGATTTTCCTCGGGGTGCAGATGAGATCATCTGATGCAGGAGGGCCGATGTGGAGGAAAGGGGAAGAAGGAAGGAAGGAAGGAAGGAGAAAGACCGGAGATCAAAGAGAGAGGGGGAAGAGGATGAGCGACATGATCAGCCTGATAGCCAAGATTATCCCGGTAGACAACCACTCAGAGCGCAGGATACAGCTACGGAGTACTATATACAGTAGTAGAGTAGCACTAAGAGGCAATGGTCACTATGTCCCGTTGTTTTGTTGCCGTCTTGCGTTTGTTTCCATTCCCCGCTATCATTGGCCCGTGTCATTATTGTACTATGCATCGCATGCAGCATTGGACTCTCGACATTCTCCCATAAAAGTGGGAATTGGGCGATCGCCAGATCGCCTTATAGCCAACTCACCATTAGGCAGATCACCTAGTCTGTAATTGTTTATACTACCAACTATTATATACCCCGATGGATATGGGATTCGTTGGCTCAAGAAATGACAAAGAGAGAGAGGCATTTGATCGACTGTAACTAGTGCTCGGACCTTTGAAAGGTGCAATATGAGCAGTCGCAATACTTTGATGATTATCAATGACAAATGTACCATACCATCCAATACCTTGTAGGTAGTAGGGCATAGGATGGCATAGATCCATAGAATTCACGCGTTACCTGGGATTCGTTATATTGAATATCATATCATATTTATACTTACCACTATGAATACTCTTAACAATAGTAAGATCAATATCAAATAACTCCTCGGTCCCTCGCAGCCCAAAAAGCAATAAACTACGAAACTTGGTTGGCAGGTTACATAATCGCGCCCGAAACAGCAAAACATCAACGTTGAACGGGGAACGGGGAAACCGAACCAAGAAGCTTGACGGGGACCCTCTTCTCCCTGCTTCCGACGTTTTGCGGGGGCCAACGGGGAATATCCTGACTTCATTCTATTTCCTCCCTCCCTAACCCCCTACCAACAATGCACCATGGCCCAATCCAACGACCTCCCTACCCACATTCCACCTTTTGCGAAACCGCTCGCTCCTTACGTCAAGCCCCGTCAGGAAGCTCTCCGCATCCGCCAGGCATTGACGTCGTACCTGCGCTCCTTTATCGTGTTCGCTGACGAGACCGACCCCTCGAGCTATACCCAGTCACACCTCGCCCTGTGCGCGCCCGGCGACGCCGTGGTTGATGTCAAGCGCACCCCTGCCGATCTCCCGGGCCTCCGAAAAGAATACTTGAAGGCGTTGCAGGCCAATGTTGCCGCCCGGAAGGACTACCGCGCAGTGTCTGAGGATGTCGCGGGCCTACGACGTCAGCGGGTGCCTAAGAGCCGCCCTGTCGAGGCGGCCGATCCGCAGGAACCCGGCGCCGACTTGCGAGATTATCTTCAGCTCCTGCGTGATCGGCGGCGGCATACCAAGCTTCAGGTGTTTCAGCATTACCTGGAGGAATTGAGAGCGAAGGAGTTGGATGGATTGAAAGAAATAGAGACTGGGGAAGATTCGAGTCAACAACAGCTCTTACTGTTTCCAGAGGGGCCAGATGCAAATGCGCCAGGTCACAATGGCGCGGAGTCTGATTTGGAGGACCTGGTACACAAGCTTGAACGGGCGGTCGTGCGTGCTCGGACTCGGTTGGACCAGGAGAAGCATTTATTCGAGAAAATCAAGGTGCAGCATGCCTCGAGGAATGATGCGTCGCCAGATGAGGTCACTCCAGCTGTGAAAGCACGGGCATTACAACGGACACGCGATGAGCTGGTACAATGGGTCGAGGAACGGCTGGTCAGTGAAGGTGATCCGGATGAAAGCCTTATACAAGACCTCCCTCCCGAAGAAATCGAAGAAGCCCAACGACTGCTGGAGCACCAGAAAATACAAATCAGCCAACAGTATGCTATATACCTTCAAGCACGACGAGATCTCCTTAGCGCCGCCTCGCGAGCCTGCCAACCCGTCACCGTGACCTCAAAACCTCCTCCGCGACCAACCTACAGATCCGAGATGATTTCAGAGGAGGTACCAGCGCCAGACCCGCTGGACGTTCTATCCTACACCAATGAAACACTTATACCACTCTCCAAGAGCCAGAAGGCTCTCGCACTCCAGAAAACCTATCTCACCGGCCTCCTCGCAAAGGAGAAATCCACCACCCTCCGCGCCCTTCACCGTCTCTCAGACGAAAGCCACCTCCTTCCTGAATACCCCATCCTCGCCCGACAACCACGCTTCAAACACGCGGTCGCAGCCCTAACCTCCCGCCATTCCCCCCAGTCCACCGACAAACCCCAGCCTGACGAAGTAGTCGAATTGGCCGAAGCATGGGCCTTTGCTTCTGACGCCGCGGCGAGCAGTGAGCGGGAGTACGTACAACAAAAATTGCTGCTGGGCACGGAGGTTGCGCAGGATGCTCGCAAGTTGCTAGGCGATGTTTACGGTACTCTCAACCAGGATCTGGACGAGATTTTGCGAGAGGGTGGTGAGCGGGATCCGGATGTGTCTGATATATGGGCCTCGGAGGCCCGATCTACGCGTAGGGCTGGGATGGGGTTATCGGGAGGGTCTAGGCTGGAGAAACGACCGAAGGGTCCTTGGTCAGGTTTGAATGGGCGTGTTGGGGTTGAGTGAGCTTGGGGGACGTGAGGCTGTACATGTTACTACCATAGTATACATGCGTTGTCATAGACTTGCATGGCATAAATCCACAGTATCAATACCTATACAGGAATCTAGATGGTGAAATCGGCATGATCACAACATCTGGATCTGATAACGCTCTAGTATATCTCACTTAAAGCCACCTTGGACGCAAGATGTATATTGTGGTGGGGACGGGAGGGTAAATGCTTGAGAGGACAAGGCTATATATTTCTCCACACAGCCCTGCAGGTGGGAGTCAACAGTTTCTTAGTTAAGCACTATGTTATGATGCAGGCTTCCGGAGGTGTTTCAAACCCAATTGCATAAAAACTCTATATAATCGTTGAAACCAAAGCCTAGGGCTCAGCAGTATCCCACGAGGTTCTAGTATGAGTCTTCATTCCGTGTAGACGAAAAAAAAAACGCCAATGACGTAGATCATCGAGAGATCACGGTAGCCAGGGCACAGATTGGTAGCGGGGCCGGGCCGGTAGTGGGCGATCGAGAGTGTCAACAGCCGTATATTGCTCCTAGATTTCCCTACGTGAAGTATGGATCCTATATGGAAGACTAAATAGATTGGATAATTTTCTCGTAAGGGAAAAGTGTGGGCAGGCCAAGCGAGGGTCGATCTGCAGTGGATAAGAGGACGATAACGAGGTCTCCAGTGCGACCGTCCGGCATCGGCAGGCGCAATTTTAGTGTTTCCACTGGGCAAAACCTTGCGTTTTGTGAGAGGTTGGGAAATACTCGTGAAATAGGAATTGAGTGTCTATCTAATATATTCTACATTGTACAAGGTCAATTGACCATATTAACGTGTATACCATAACTATAGACTATGTTATGTACATTCCCAACACCATTACCTCGTGGGCTGAACTATACAATCTCAATGGCAGTCCCCAGTTTATCCACTGGTTCCTTTTTTCCTCCTTGGGGACTTAAGGGACTTCGATAGTCCACAGGGCCAGTACTGAAATCGTGACTCATCCTTCATCAAGCATTGAAAAAAAAAAATCAAAAGCTCGTCGAGTCAGAAATTCAATTCAATTCTTGGCAATCATAATTCTTTCCCTCTTTTCTTCAATTCTCCCCCTTCTTTAGCCTCAATTGTTTGCTCCTTTGCTCGTGTGCTGCATCCATCTCGTCTTCCTTTTGGCTGGTTCTTCAAAAAAATAAAAGTGGAACCGGTAGACGGTGAAGGGCCACCAGCCAATTAGCGACCCGGTGGGGGAAAAAAAGACCTCCGACAAGTCGGGGCATCTCAACCTTCTACACAACTACTTCCCACCCCAGCAATTGAACCTCTTCCCAGATTCGCTTGAGCGGCGCTATGGTTCTTGCTGCGCGTTGTGGGCAGGCGGCGACGCTGCTGCGCCAGCGATGTCTCGCTGAGGCTCGTCCAGCTCTCTCTCTCCGCTCCTTCACCTCCAATGCCTCCATTCGCTCTTCGGCCTCGGCCCTGCGCCTGCAGAAGCTCCCCTCCGCTGCTCGCTCCCAGCAGCTGCGCGCTTTCTCTAGCACCATCAACCGTTTGGCTGCTGCTCAGAGTGCTCCTTCGTCCGAGTCGTACCTTGCTAGCGGCGTGGTTAAGCCCGGCCGCAACCTGGTCGATGTCAAGAAGGTCCTCGTCATTGGCAGTGGTGGTCTGAGCATTGGACAGGCTGGAGAGTTCGATTATTCCGGTACGTTTGGGAGAATATCGGAGTGCTAGCTGATTCATGAACTTCTTGCTATTGAGCTCGTGGAGTGAATTCCCCGGGGCTCCCCCCTGGATGATGACTCGAACCCCAGGAGAGCTCTCCCGCGGGAAATGCAAAACAGCACCCTTCATATCTCCACACTGTTCAACAATGAAACAAAGTGAACTGACAATTGCTCCTTTAATATACAGGCTCTCAAGCTCTCAAGGCCCTGAAGGAGGCTGGCGTTCAGTCCGTCCTGATCAACCCTAACATCGCGACCATCCAGACTGATCACAAACTCGCCGACGAGGTCTACTATCTCCCCGTCACTCCCGAATATGTCACCCACGTTATTGAGCGTGAGCGCCCCGACGGTATCTTCCTGACCTTCGGTGGTCAGACCGCTCTCAACCTGGGTGTGCAGATGAACCGTATGGGTATCTTCGAGCGCTACGGTGTCAAGGTTCTCGGTACCAGCATCAAGACTCTGGAGACCAGTGAGGACCGTGACCTGTTCTCCCAGGCTCTCAACGAGATCAACATCCCCATCGCTGAGTCCATTGCCGTCGGTACCGTCGACGACGCTCTCAAGGCCGCCGAGGAGGTCGGTTACCCCATCATTGTCCGCTCCGCCTACGCCCTTGGTGGCCTCGGCTCCGGCTTCGCTGCCAACCCCGATGAGCTCCGTGATCTGTCTTCGCGCTCCCTGTCTCTTGCTCCCCAGATTCTCGTCGAGAAGTCCCTCAAGGGCTGGAAGGAGGTCGAGTACGAAGTCGTTCGTGATGCCGACAACAACTGTATCACCGTTTGCAACATGGAGAACTTTGACCCTCTGGGTATCCACACTGGTGACAGTATCGTTGTCGCTCCCTCCCAGACTCTGTCTGATGAGGAGTACCACATGCTCCGTACCGCTGCTATCAAGATTGTCCGTCACTTGGGTGTCGTTGGCGAGTGCAATGTCCAGTACTCTCTCCAGCCCGATGGTCTTGACTACCGTGTCATTGAGGTGAACGCTCGTCTCTCGCGTTCGTCTGCTCTGGCCTCCAAGGCTACCGGCTACCCCCTGGCCTATACCGCTGCTAAGATTGGTCTCGGACACACTCTGCCCGAGCTCCCCAATGCCGTCACCAAGACTACCACTGCCAACTTCGAGCCCAGTCTGGACTACATTGTCACCAAGATTCCCCGTTGGGATCTGAGCAAGTTCCAGCACGTTAACCGTGACATCGGTAGTGCTATGAAGTCTGTCGGTGAGGTTATGGCTATTGGCCGTACCTTCGAGGAGTCTCTCCAGAAGGCTATTCGCCAGGTCGACCCTAAGTACCTCGGTCTGCAGGGTGACCATTTCGAGGACCTTGATGATGTCCTGCAGAACCCCACCGACCGCCGTTGGTTGGCTGTTGGCCAGGCTATGCTGCACGAGGGTTACACCGTCGATCGTGTTCACGAGCTGAGCAAGATTGATAAGTGGTTCCTGTACAAGATCCAGAACATTGTTGACTGCAACAACGAGCTCAAGGAGATTGGCAGCCTCTTCGGCGTCACTGCCGAGACCATGCTGAAGGCCAAGAAGCTCGGTTTCTCTGATAAGCAGATCTCTCTGCTCGTTGGTGCTTCCGAGGATGATGTCCGCGCTCGCCGTAAGTCCTTCGGTATCACCCCCTGGGTTAAGAAGATCGATACCCTGGCTGCCGAGTTCCCTGCCGACACCAATTACCTGTACACTACCTACAACGCTAGCTCGCACGATGTTACCTTCGATGACCACGGTACTCTCATCCTTGGTAGCGGTGTGTACCGCATTGGTAGCTCCGTCGAGTTCGATTGGTGCGCTGTCAACGCTACCCTCTCCCTGCGCAAGATGGGCAAGAAGACTGTCATGATCAACTACAACCCCGAGACCTACTCCACCGACTTCGATACTGCTGACAAGCTGTACTTCGAGGAGTTGAGCTACGAGCGTGTGATGGATATCTACGAGCTCGAGAGCGCCAGCGGTGTCGTCGTCTCTGTCGGTGGCCAGCTGCCCCAGAACATTGCCCTCCGTCTCCAGGAGACTGGTGGTGCCAAGATTCTGGGTACCGACCCCCAGGACATTGACAAGGCTGAGGACCGTCACAAGTTCTCTCAGATCCTGGACAGCATTGGTGTTGACCAGCCTGCCTGGAAGGAGCTTACTTCCGTCGCTGATGCTGAGAAGTTCGCCGAGTCTGTTGGCTACCCCGTCCTGGTCCGCCCCTCTTACGTCCTGTCCGGTGCTGCCATGAACGTCATCTACAGTGTCGACGAGCTCAAGGAGAAGCTCCTCAACGCTAGCGCCGTTTCTCCCGACCACCCCGTCGTTATCACCAAGTTCATCGAGGGTGCTGAGGAGATCGACGTTGACGCTGTCGCTTCCAACGGTAAGCTCCTGGTCCACGCCGTCAGTGAGCACGTTGAGCCTGCCGGTGTCCACTCTGGTGATGCTACCCTGGTCCTTCCCCCGGCCAACCTCGACGAGTCCATCATGAGCCGCGTCAAGGACATTGCCGAGAAGGTTGCCAAGGCCTGGAACATCACCGGTCCCTTCAACATGCAGATCATCAAGGCCGACCAGGAGGGTGCTGAGCCCCAGCTCAAGGTTATTGAGTGCAACCTGCGTGCCTCTCGTTCCTTCCCCTTCGTCAGCAAGGTCCTGGGTACCAACTTCATCGACGTCGCCACCAAGGCGCTCGTCGGCCGTGACGTCCCCGAGCCCGTTGACCTGATGAAGGAGAAGCGCGACTACCTCGCCACCAAGGTTCCCCAGTTCTCCTGGACCCGTCTGGCCGGTGCCGACCCCTTCCTGGGTGTCGAGATGGCCAGTACCGGTGAGATTGCCTGCTTCGGTAAGGACCTGGTCGAGGCCTACTGGGCCTCCCTCCAGTCCACCATGAACTTCCGTGTGCCCGAGTCCGGTGAGGGTATCCTCCTCGGGGGTGACATTACCCAGCCCTACCTGTCCACCATCGTTGACTACCTGAACCCTCTCGGCTACAAGTTCTACGCTGCCAACCCCGAGGTCAAGGCTCACCTCGAGTCTACCTGCAAGGACAACGTCTCCGTCACCGTCATTGAGTTCCCCAAGAAGAACAAGCGTGCTCTCCGCGAGGTCTTCCAGAAGTACGATATCCGTGGTGTCTTCAACCTGGCCAAGACCCGTGGCAAGACCCAGCTGGATGAGGACTACGTTATGCGCCGCAACGCTGTCGACTTCAGCGTTCCTCTGTTCATGGAGCCCAAGGTATGTCTTTCTTCTTTACTGTCCTGTTGAAACAAATATACTAACGCAACTCTCTCTAGACTGCTACTCTCTTCGCTCAGTGCATGAACGAGAAGCTTCCCCGTGCCGAGGGTATCCCCTCCGAGGTTCGCACCTGGTCCGAGTTCGTCGGTGGCAAGGAGGAGCTGTAAATGAATAAATTGACACCCCCTGCACAAAAAGCCAAAAAAGCCCCCTTCCAACCCGTCGCGTACCCCCCATCGACGGGCCTGCCTCGCCGGCTATAAAATCCCTCTGGGCTCTCTTGGGCAGTCTATCCCCGCACACCGAGGATTGACCCGCCCCTTATATGGACGGCGTCGTGGGTAAGGTTTATCTTGTTGATAGATGGCGTGCATTTCTTGAAATTTTCTTTTTCCTGTCTGGGTTCCAGCTGTTTTTTACTCCTTTTTTTTTATCTGTCTGGCTTATCCCCTGCGGCGAAACAAGGTGGGAACACAGAGGCTTCTTCAGTTGCTATGTTGTTTTGTGATGGGTCCTAAATGTATCTGCCTGACAAGAATTGGGTCTGCTTGTCCTGTTTACTATATGTCCTGGGTTTATGTAGTCGATTGTGTGTTTCAGCGACAAAAGAAATATTTGTTTCTTCTTCGATTTTTCTGCTTTGTAATTGTATTCAATTAGCAATTTCTCATAAATGTGCATCATCCAGCTTTATCGTATTTCAATCAGCTTTTTGTAATTTCGTTCTCATCTTCTGCTCATGCTTGCAGCTGTGAGGTTACCTCCACAGTCGGAATCCATCGAAAACCCGCCAAGACACCGATGACTAAGCACATAATCAGATCCTCCCGCTCATGCATCTGAATGCCCAAACCATTCAACAAAGATCACCACAACATGTCCTCCCAAAATCCCCTACCCTTGGTGACGACAAAGACAGTCCCTGGTCCTGCCCCAAATGGCATGGGCAATGGCCTCTTTGCTACCGCGGATATCAAAATTGGAGAGGATGTCGTGCATGCTAAAGTGCCCTTCGTGGCGGTTCTGGACTCGCCGCGACTGGATGATACTTGTTCCGCTTGTTTTGGGAAGAGGCAGATGGAGGCTGGGACGGAGTTGAAGGCTTGTACTGGGTGTCGGGTTGTTAAGTATTGTGATCGGGTGAGTTTAGAATTTTTTTTTTTGTGTTTTGGGGTTTTGTTTATGGAGAGGATGATCAGGTGTCGATCTATCTATCATTTGTTGTCCTTGAACTCCCATACACCTCATCGAATGACTTGCCCAACATATTCCGGATTTTTTTGCTAACTCTCGAACAGACATGTCAAGCCAAAGACTGGAAATTTGCCCATTCTTTGGAATGTGCTGTTTTCCAACGACTCAAGCCCCAAGTGCTACCCAATAATGGACGGGCCCTTCTACGGATGGTTCTTCGTACCTGGAAGGGGAAATATAATACCCAGGAGCTTGGAGTCTTTACAAATCTTGAGACTCATATCCAAGACATCCAGGAAATCCAGGCTCATCTGGACAGGATCAATCTCACGTCCAAAGCAGTCAAGAGTTACTCGGAGACGGATATGTCTCAAGAAGCTATCATGGCCTATGCGGCAAGAGTAAGTCTCCCGTTGGTTATGTCTCTGATTTTTTATTCTTGATATGCAGATCTAACATATTCATATAGTTGGATCTCAACTCGTTCAATCTGACTACGGCCATGTATGACCGTATTGGACTCTACTTGCATCCATACGCTGCTCTGATCAACCACAGCTGCGACTACAATGCCACAGTTGGATTTGACGGAGAGGAACTCTACATCAAAGCCATTCGACCCATCAAAAAGGATGAACAAATCTTCATCTCCTACATCGACACAACAACCCCCAACGAAGTCCGCCGCAAGGAGCTGTCCGAACGATACTTTTTCGACTGCAAGTGCACCAAGTGTGCAAAGGGAACCGACACCCCCGAAAACAAATTCTCCCAAACTCCCAAGGACATGTCCACCCTCGAGACGGCCGAAAAAGAAGCCTTGGAGCTCATGCAAGAAGCATCCAGATCCGACGGCAAACCCGAAGAGGAAATCAAGAAACTCGAATCCGCCATGCGCATCCTTAAGCAGACATCCAATTGGCCCCTAACCCGACAACCATACGCCTCCCTACGTGACCAACTCATCATCTCCCTCCTATCCGTCAACAACTTCAGCAAAGCCTTCCTCCACGCCGCCATCAGATACCTCCGCATCGATCCCGTCCTCTTCAACCCTGCGCATCCGATCCGCCAACTCCACGGTTGGATCCTAGCTAAGCTGGCCATCTATCTCTCTCAAGAGGGATTTGAGAGTAACTCAAAGGAAGCTACTCTGATACGGGAATCGGAACTGAACTTCCACTACGTCTTGTGGTATATCCTTGCTGATCTCGCCAGTCGGCAGTTGGAGAGCTGCACGGTTCCTAGCTTCAAGAGACTTGTTGGGGCTAATTTTGCGCAAGTTCATAATGAATTCAAGGCAAATGGCATGGATCCTAGTACCTCTAAAGCTATTGTTAGTGCCGAGTGGAAAAAGTTGGAGAGACTGGTTCAGGTAGCATTAGACAAGGAATAATGAATTAGATTGTATATTTTTTTTCTCATGATGCTCGACACTCCCCATTTCTGCCTACGTGGTTTATTGAATGGACTGTTCTTCTAGAATCTAGATGTTTGCTTCTCGTTCCAACCGTGTCCACGATTGATACCTAAGGTAGGCCCCAGGCAGTTGCGGCACCTTGAGATTGTTTGTTTGACGAGATATCGTGAGGCACCTCTTTCAGATGGACCCGCTTCTTCTATCTCGTTGACTTCCGACTGGAGCCTTCACCATGATAATACTGCCTTCTACACCACATAGAACATCGTACCCCATAGCTCTCGTGGACTTAAATACTTCCCTCATCGTCCTCACCGCACATGTTCAAACACCTTGGTGTCTATGGACCCGATCTCCTCCTCCTCCTCCTCAACGCCGTAGCCCCAGGGGCAGAAAAGATGACTATGAAAGTAAGTCATCTCACCAAATGAACCATGTTATTCAGACCTCACCGACTAACCGGAACACAGACCGCTAAAAAGCTGAAGAGCTGTATCCGCAAAGGTCTTCACAAAGCGAAGCAGGTCGCTGGCGACCTGCACCGCCGCATCGTCGGTCCTCGGACCGAAGACAGCCCACTCAATAATTTGTTCGACACAAACTTACGCTGGCCACGTCCCGAAGCAACAAGTCCCCCGCTTTGGATGCGGCATGGACGCACCGAGATGTTGCCAATTATCATCGTGAGCGACTGGAATCGAAGGGGTTCGAGCAATATGCGCGTGAGTTCGAATAATTATATCGCTTTTATTTTCCGGGTGTAAATGCATGGCCGACATCTAATCAAGAATCTGGGTATGTACAGCTCATGCCACACTACGATCTGTGGCCGTACGTCCACTGCGAGGGCTGTCAGTGCGGGGAGGAATCTGGATACGTTCGATGCCTGTGCATCGAATGTGCCTTTTTCCACGGCGTGACTTGGTGGTCGCCCTGCGCCGATGGCCTTCCAGTGTTGTTCCAAGAAAGAAAGAAGCAGCGTCTACGGTGGTTGTCTAAGCTGACCTGGTTTTGATGGTCTGTTGTTGGAGTGAGGAAGGATGAATGAATGGCCTGGCCCAGGGATTGAAGAGGAGTGATGAAATTGGAGAGTGTTTGATTAGAGGTAGCCTGCGGAGAGGTGGATGGTGGAGACAAAAATCATAAGGCTCCTACCAAAATTGAAGCATCTTTGGAGCCTTCAGGCTGTGTTTCCGAGTAAAAGTAAAGAGTAGATTACCTGTATAGTCCCAGGTGAGGCGGGGCAGCTTATATAGTGCGTCGCCATAAGGCAAGTCCGGTCGTGTCCACAAGATTTCCCCGGCCAAATCCACTCCCTACTCTCTTCTTCTCCCCCCACCATCTCAACCTCCACGCACTCCTCCCCTACCACGACGCACCACCATGCCTCCTCGCAACGAACTCGAAGACGAGAACTTGCCCTGCCCCCTCTTCTTCGACTGGGAAGAGGGATACTACAAGACAAACCAGTCGATCCTTTCTTGGCTTCAGGGGGCCGAAGCGGCACGAGACGCCCTGGCCAATTTCCGCGTCTCGCACCCAGACGTGCTCCCCTGGGCCTTCATGAACGACCCACTATTCAACATAGTGGGTGACAACAACGACCTTCTTTCCGATGAAAGATCATCAGAAGTGCCAGAGGAGCTGCCGCAGAGCAGACTGACGGTAAGATGATTGAGAAATTCGTTTCGGCTGATCTCTATTCGACGTGATACTGAGAGGTTTATAGGTCTGGAAGAAGATCGTTCGCACCCGAACTTGGGTGGCTAGTGTGAAGGCTTTGCGTGTAAGTTTGGAAATATCCTGTCGTATTCTTTATTTGCCCTTCTAAAGCTCAGTACTAACTGGTTCTTGTGTACAGGGGTCTTCAAAGGAGGCGTTTAACAGTCTCCGTGACAAGATGACTAGCTGGGCTGGTCGGAAGCGTGGCAAGGACCAGGTCTGAGCTGGTACGGAGCTCGACCATAAGGTCACAACAAACCTGGGGAGAAAAGTGTATGATTACTCGGGTTCGGTGTTACTTTCTTCTGGAGTTCTGGAGTCCCTAGGCTCTTTTTTTTTTTTTTTGTTCGTGTTTCTTTCTGCAATCGCGATTCAAGATATCGCGATTGTGGTGACCGTGATCTCATATATGGTCACATTCGTTATTACCATCTCGTTCTTTTCGTCTGTTCTTCGTTACCTCCATGCCAGCAATCGTAATCTCCTGTAATCTTGGTTATGATATTGTTAGGCACTGATCGAGGGATATCTCCCATCAGCTATCAATAAGAGTAATGAGGGCTAGGAGTTCACGTGATCTGACAACGTCCAGGAACGGATGGAACAGCACGTAGGCCCGGGCAGGCACAGAGTTTGTACTCATTACTGTGTTCTATACATAGTGGGTACCCGATCATGCGATCAGCCGTTGAAAAACTTCTTTCAGAAGCGAAGTCATGGATGAGTACAGAAACCACAGATTGTGAGTATGATTCTGCGTCTGGGCATCAATAAATACAGCAAGATAGAGACAACTATAAGAATGCGAAAGGTGTATATATACAATGTACAAGAAAATCCAAGAGAACCCCCTCGTAGCAACAATCACATCAGGCTTGATCGGCCACCAATCTCATTAGCAGCTTCACCGTTAGGCATCTCTCCATTACGACCGACAACGAATTCCCGGTAAATACCCTGGAAACGTCTACGCTCGGCTGGACTCAGAGAGGGACGGGTGGAGCCCAGGGAGCGCTCGATGTGCTCCCACCGGACGATAATATCATCCCGCAGACCATCAGCATCGGCATCAGTGCCGTTTGTCACAGGCGCGGCTGCAGGTGCAGGGGTAGAGCCGGCAGCGGCCGAGCCGTTCTCAAGCTGGCGCTGGCGACGACGGGCATTCTTGATGGCATCCAGCTTAGCGGCAACAACAGCTGGAGGAGGCAAAGAAACTGATCCAGAAGCTTCCTCGGACGACGAGTAGAGGAACTGGATGAAGGAACGGGTCGAGGTGCTGACCGATGAGCTCTTCGCTGCGCTGGACTTTGCACCAGCCTTTTCGCCGCTGGAGGCGTCACCAAGAGCGTCGTGCACAGCTTCCAGATGAGCGTTATATACGACGGCCTGGAGATCAGCACCGGAGAGGCCCTCGGTCCGAGCAGCGATCTCATCCAAACGAGAACGAACCTCGTCATTCATCTTGAGCTTCTCACTCACAGCTCGAATAATGTCGAGACGGTCAGCATGTGCAGGCATGTCACAGAGCAAAGACTTGTCTAAACGACCAGGACGCAAAAGTGCCGGGTCAATAAGATCAGGTCGCGATGTTGCGGCCAGCACATATACACCGGAGAGACCTTCGGCACCATCCATCTGTGTCAGAAGCTGGTTGACAACGCGATCGGTAACACCTGTCGAGTCATGGCCACGCTTTGGTGCAATACTGTCAAACTCATCGAAGAATAGAATGCAAGGACGAGCAGCTTGAGCGCGCTCGAAAAGATCACGAACGCTCTTCTCACTGGCACCGATATACTTGTTCAGAATCTCAGGACCCTTCACACTGATAAAGTTCAGGCCGCACTCGCCTGCAACGGCACTCGCAAGAAGTGTCTTACCACAACCAGGGTAGCCGTACAAGAGCAGACCAGAGCGAAGTCGCAATGGGCACTGTGCAAAGATCGGTGCATACTTGGTTGGGTATTGCAGTGTCTCCAACAGCATCTTGCGAGTCTCAAACAGACCACCAATCGCAGAGAAGGTGGTCGAGGACGAGGTCAGGGTAACGTTGCGAAGAGAAGCTGGTGTGAACCCCTTTAGTGCACTATCAAAGTCTTCGGTCCCAAGAGTGATCATCTTGGACTCGGAAGCTAGGTCAGAAACAGAGCGAATCAGTGCTTCATTGCGCGCACGAGCAACCAACAGCACCAGGTCACCAGGCGCATATCCGTCGGTCTTTCCAGCAAGCTCAAGGAAATCGATATCTCTGCTGAGGACGAACCCGTCGCCACCAGAGGAGCTGGGCCGACTTCCAGGGTTTGATGGATCCAGCCACGAGTCTTGAGTGTTTTGGGTAGAAGAGCTGGTTGACCGTACGTGGCCATTCAACGACTCGTGAGGCTTGTCTTGGCTAGTCAGCTTCTCCAAGACCTTTCGGCGCCCCTCCTTATCTGGGGCTCGCATATTGATAATTTCACGGACAACATGACCGCCAATAATGACATTGTTCAGGGACTCCTTGGCCTGGGCCGTGGCAAGCAAGACGACAGAAGAGTTCATGGAACAGTATTCCCGAACCATGGAGCAAATGACTTCACTATTCTGACGGCTGCGGCCGTTGTCATTTCCAACCTGCATCTCCGTCTCCACAGGGCAGAGCTTGTCAAGATCGTCAAGAATAACAACAGCTTGGCCACCAAGACGAGCACACCAGGAGGCAGACATGAAGAGGCGGTTCAGAACCTCTTTGATGTTGGAGATTCGGGTCTCGTCCGTGACAAGCTTGCGGCAAGAAAAGTATTTGACGTTGAAGAGGTGATCCTTGCGCAAACGATGAGCCAACAGGTGGGTTAGAGCGGTCTTTCCAGCTCCAAGCCCGCCAGTCAACAAAATAGACGAAGACTTTGTCAAGTTTGTGAGCGACTGGGAGATGATGGAGTCAATACCCACCAGTTGGGGGACTGTATCAGGAACTGAGTCATCGGAAGGCAATGCAGATGAGCCTGCATCGGACGGCTTAGGTACCTCGGCTTGCACCTCAAGGTTCAGTTTAGCCTCTGAGCCTAGAAGCCACCCGAACATCGTCTTGGTCTCTTCGGGACCAGCCTTCAGGGGAGGGTCAAAGCGGAGAATAGCACCGTCAAATGACGAGACTGAAGGATGATTTTCGACTTTAGGAAGAATCATTCCATCAGTCAAAGGTCCCGAGAACAGGCCAATATCAGAACCGGTGCTGCCATAAATGACCTTGAGACGCTCGGCTAGGGCATCCCGAGAAGCGGCCGTGTCGGCACCAAATTTCAGACCATCCTTCTTCTTGGATGAATCTGTCATAAACGGATACAGCTTGAGTGTCTTGACCGCCGATCTATGAAGCTGCGGGGGAGCGGCCTCAACACGAACGATTCCACCCACCATGTTCTCAGCACCAAGCGAACTGCACAGCAAAGTCGAAATTGCCACATGCTTGCTGTCGGGTGCCTCTTCCCACGGCAACAGCTTAGCTACTAGCTTGGTTGTGGGAGAGCCCCCTTCATTGGACTTTTGTTGTTCTTGTTGAGCAAGTTGCTGTTGAGGATCCACGGGAGGCTTGAGTCCAGCGGGCTGAACAATGGACACGCACGCCCAGCTGGCGGCCCGTAGCTCATTGGAAGCCAACAATTCGGGGTCAACCCAGACTCGGAATCCCTCATTCTCGTCGTCCTCCATTTCTGGGTCAAAGTATTGATCGGCCGCTAACCGTTCCACCCCGCGCAAATACAAGGCGCCTCTGGAGTCAGACCGGCTACTCTTGGGGCGAACCGTGCTACCGGAACTGCGGCCACCAGTGCTCTTTCTGCTACTACCGGCATTGCTGCGGCTGTCTCCTCGAGGTGACTTTCCAGGTTTTGATCGGACTTTGGGAGCAACGATCACTTCGGCATCTGGTGCTATCTTCGCGAACGGAGAAGTGGCGTCCGGGGCGGGTGTAAGGGAAGTGACGACAATGTTAGCGGTCGAAGTAGGTGAAAGGTGCAATGCGAGCGGGTGAATATGCTCGGATTGCGCTGCATTATATGATGGGTTAGGCAGCGCGCGGATCTGGGAGAGGAGGTTGAGTTCCAAGAATGTGGCATGGAGCTCAATAACTAATTGGAGATAAGTCAGTCAGTCAATCGTCCGATTTGGCTTGATAAGACCCTAAACATACTCTCCCAGTCTTCCGGTGTTAATGGCTCGATGTTGATTGTATGCGCGACGGGTGGATCAAGGTGTACAAGTATTCCGACCTGTAAGGAGTCAGCCCTCCATTACCCCACGTGGAGCACGGCGTATGCCGCGGGGAAGAATGACACACCTTTTGCCCTTCAGTCAGACCAAGAAGTCGTCCGAATGTAGTATCCAACTCGACGGTAGAAATCTCCTGTTCTCTAGAGAAGCCGCCGCTCATGCCTTCCCGGCCAACGACCGGCGCAAGCTTCCGCTTGCTCGGCATGCCCGTCCAGCCCAAGAAGCATGATCGCTGTGGCGGCGCCCCATTGGCCTTGCCAGAGGGAGACTTGTACTGCAGTTCAATGATGACATTTTGCGCAGGCTGTGGCAGGAGACATTAGCTGAAGGTATATCACACGACCGAGCTCGGTAACTAACCGTATTGGCATTGACCAGCAAGGCGACGAGTGATGGTGGTAGATTGACGAGGCAGTTCTTGAGGGGAACAAGAGCGACTTCTGCCGTCGTAGTGGGCTTCTTGGGCGCCATGATTAAGGGCGCAAATTTAGATGTGAGAAGCACAGGAAACAGAGAGTAGGAGGGTGGGATGTTCGGTCACAGACTCCCCGGACTCTGTCTCTCTCCACACCCGTCGGCCACCCAGCAAGTCCGGCCAACCGAGGCAAAGTGAACTGTCAGGTGACCTGTGCCGGACGGACTTTCCCGCGCTTTCGGAGGGTGACCCGGAAAGACGGAGAATGTGATTATCCGAGGGTGAGCTACACGTGGAACACGAACTACTCCCCAAAGTGGTTAGTGCATATTTGGCGCGTCTTTTCGCGTTCGCGTCTCGTTTTGCCCAGCGGCTGAGGTCTCTGAAGGGGGCAGTCCTAGCTTGGCCCTTTCTTCCTCGCGGGAACCCACTTTCCAAACCACTTTGCGTTCACTTCTGCCAATTTGAGCGCACCCCATCCCATTCAGCCATGGCTTTGCTTCAATACCAAGCGCCGGTTGACTATGCCGCGCAATTGGATGGCTTCAAGGATTTCCTTCAGCATTTCAAAACCCTCCAGTCGTCCTCGGAAGCTGCTGCGACCGAGGCGATGGAGGATCTGAACATCGACGGAAACCGCACCAGCGATGAATACGACTTCATGGACGATGTTGACGACGAGGGCGCAGAGACTCGAGGCGCAAGGAGGCGCAAGGAGCCAAAGCTCAAGTATATGCAGATTCTGCAGGATATCGCCAATCGGGATGCCTCGAATATTGTCATTGAGCTTGACGACTTGAACATTGTGAGTCGAGATGAAAATTCTGTCTCTCTCCCTTTTGTCGCTAACAAGGGTTATCTATAGTTCGAGAACGCTCTTCCCGAGGAGCAGCAGAATCTGAAGCTGGTCGAATCCATCCAGAAGAATACTAAGCGGTACATCGATGTCTTTTCGCAAGCTGTGGATGCGGTCATGCCCAAGGAGACCAAGGAGATCACGTACGTTTACAATTGCCTGTGGTATGACACAACGGGGAGTTTGAGCTAATTAAACGTAGATTCAAGGACGACGTGCTGGACGTAATCATGTCCCAGCGTGAGAAGCGCAACGAGACTCAAGAAATGCAGGCAGAGGCCGATATGGATGCCGCCCCCGCTGCGTCCCTCTTCCCACCAGAGCTGACTCGACGATACACCCTCAACTTCAAGCCTCTCACACCCTCCGGTTCCAGCAGCGACCGTGCCGGCAAGGCGCTTGCTGTCCGAAATGTGCGCGGAGAGCATCTTGGTAGCCTGATCACTGTCCGTGGCATCACAACTCGTGTCTCGGACGTCAAACCCGCCGTTCAGATCAACGCCTACACTTGCGACGTCTGCGGCTGTGAAGTTTTCCAGCCCATCACTACGAAGCAGTTCATGCCCCTGTCCGAGTGTCTGTCGGAGGACTGTAAGAAGAACAACACCAAGGGCCAGCTGTTCCTGTCGACTCGTGCTTCCAAGTTCGTTCCTTTCCAGGAGGTCAAGATCCAGGAGATGGCCGACCAGGTGCCTGTGGGCCACATTCCCCGCACCCTGACTGTTCACTGCCATGGAGCTCAAACTCGCCAATTGAACCCCGGTGATGTCGTTGATATTGCTGGTATCTTCCTCCCTACTCCCTACACTGGCTTCCGCGCCATCCGTGCCGGTCTTTTGACCGACACTTACCTGGAGGCTCAGCACATCACCCAACACAAGAAGTCCTACAATGACATCGGCATGGACAGCCGCACCATGAAGAAGATCGAGCAGCACATGAACTCTGGCAACATGTACGAGTATCTCTCTCGCTCTATCGCCCCTGAGATTTTCGGTCATCTTGATGTGAAGAAGGCGCTGCTTCTTCTGCTGATTGGTGGTGTCACCAAGGAGATGGGTGACGGTATGCACATTCGTGGTGACATCAATATTTGCTTGATGGGTGACCCTGGTGTTGCCAAATCCCAACTGCTTCGATACATTACAAAGGTTGCCCCTCGCGGTGTATACACTACCGGTCGTGGTAGCAGTGGTGTCGGTCTGACTGCTGCAGTGATGAGAGACCCCGTGACTGATGAGATGATGCTGGAGGGTGGTGCCCTGGTTCTTGCGGATAACGGTATCTGCTGTATTGATGAGTTTGACAAGATGGACGACTCGGACCGAACCGCCATTCACGAAGTTATGGAGCAACAGACCATCTCCATTTCTAAGGCAGGCATCACCACCACTCTGAATGCTCGCACCTCGATCCTGGCCGCCGCCAACCCGCTGTATGGCCGCTACAACCCTCGTATCTCGCCTGTCGAGAACATCAACCTCCCCGCCGCTCTGCTCTCCCGTTTCGATGTCATGTTCCTACTCCTGGATTCCCCATCCCGGGAAACGGACGAGGAGCTGGCCAACCATGTCACTTATGTCCACATGCACAACAAGCACCCCGAGACCGAAGACGCCGGCGTCATGTTCACTCCTCACGAAGTCCGTCAGTATATCGCCAAGGCCCGTACTTACCGCCCAGTCGTTCCTACCAACGTCTCCGACTACATGGTTGGTGCGTACGTCGCCATGCGCAAGCGTCAAAAGAAGGATGAGGCCCGCAAGCAGCAATTCTCCCACGTCACCCCCCGTACCCTGCTTGGAATTGTCCGTCTCTCACAGGCTCTTGCCCGCCTTCGCTTCAGCGAAGAGGTTGTTCGTGAGGATGTTGACGAGGCACTGCGCCTTATCGAAGTCAGCAAGGCCTCTCTCTACAACGACGGAGAGTCTGGTGCCGATCACACCCCCAGCAGCAAGATTTACACTCTGATCCGCACTCTGCGGGAGAGTGGTGCTGCCGCTATTGGTGATGATGAGGACAACGCCCTCAGTGTGAGACGTATTCGTGAGCGTGTGCTGGCCAAGGGCTTCACCGAAGACCAACTCACCACCACCCTCCACGAGTATGCTGAATTGAACGTACGTCTTCGAATCCCCACAATTATTTCTAGAGCCTCTGCTAACTTTATATTTTCTAGGTCTGGCAAATTGCTGGAAACGGTTCGCGTCTGGTATTCTTCGACGGCGATGATGAGATGCACGGTTAATGCAGTTGTTTGATTCTTTTTATTCGTTTTTCTCAAAGGTCGACTGGGCTTTTTTACGTATCTCAAGATACATTCGGTGGACCCGGTAGAGTCTAGGGCCATGGGTGTTTAGGTGTTTCTTCGTTAGGCAATAGGAAGCCGGTTCTGATGATATGTTTGGGCAATCAAATGATCGTTAATCCCAAATCTGTTTTACTTTACTCTTATATCGTTTCGTCCCCGTCTGTGTAAGAAATGTAGTGTAGAGAGGATGGCATTGATTATTCTAAAGGAGTGTCATGCCGCGTTAAATGGCCCCGAGCAACCATCATTCTTTGTGGGCCGTACATTAAGAATCTGCGAAGCGTCTTCCAGTCTCGCTCTAACCCGCAACCCCAAATTGTACCAGATATTCTTCCACCAACTCGATGATTTCATGCGAGCATCTTAGACAGCGCACGAGTTCCACTTCTTCACTTCCTTGCACAGATCCGAAGGCGCAGCGTATGGGTTATCGCACAGAGTATCGCAAACGGTGTTCTCGGGAACGAAGACTAGGAACTCGTAGTTGGGCATGTTGAGACGGAACTGAGAATGAATATTGTTGTTGTTCTGGGAGGCCTTGTAACCGGCACGGCAAGCACAGTGGAAGGCAGAGCCCGTGTTGATACACGAAGTAGTAACGTCACAGCTGTTCTGGCCAGAGACGGGGTTGCAAGTACCGCAAGTGGGTGCTGGGTTGGCCAGAGCAACAGTGGCCGCAGCGAGGAAGGCAGTCAGGGTAGTGAGTTGCATGGTGAGTGTCTTTTTAAATGTCTTGATAAACGATTGGATGATGATCGAAGTAGATCAGATAATGGTTTGGCTTGGCTATTGTTTAATTTGATGCGGAGATGGCACCATATCTGGGGTAGATTGCCAACCTTTTATAGTTGATTCCAGGGTACTGTGGACATAGTATGGAGCATACCCTAGATCTTTATGAGCTCAGGCTGTAGTACCCAGAAATAGAACCATCTTACCAGAAGATTGGGAGACATGGTATCCTTCTTCCTCTTTGTCCAAGCCGACCAGCATATCACGAGGCCATCAGCCAAGGACTGTCTCAGTACGAGAACTCAACCCGAGAACGTCGTTGCCATAGCAAAAATCCAAGTATTGACTTTCTGCCTTCTTCAGCCCCGGATAGGCCGGGGGAAGCCAGAGCCAGCCCGAACCGGGGCTTGGGCGTGGCGAGAATACGAGATCTGGAACAAGGTCCCGAGACACCACCAATGCTTGTCGAGATAGCTGATGTCGATGACTTGCCAGCTGGAGAGCGGAGAGGCGCACGACTAGTGCCCGTTCTGGAAATGCTCCATCGCCATGTGTTGAATGCCCGAGGGATCTTGTGTCTAAGGGGTGCAGGTGTATGTCTCAGCTCGGAACCCCCCCCCGCCAGTAGCCCTAAATGTCCATCGGGTTCCGATTCCAACTCATCCATCCATGTCCTATATATAGACTGGGTTTGCAGGGTAAAGACTGGACCTGTCACGGAGGCGGCTTACACCGCTCCAATGTCTATGCTTTTGGGAAGCTTTGTGGTTTTTGGATCTGTATTTAGTTCATTCTATTGGTTATACTGTTATTTGGGCTTGCCCGGACGCTGGATATAACCATCATTCAAGCTGTCATAGATCTGTCTTCTTTTCCATGGATCAAGGGAGGCTGGGTATAGATGATAGAAGAACCACGAAGGAAGAGGAACGCATTAGGTATTGTTCGGCTTGGCAGCAGCGGTACTCTGGGGCTCCGCAATAATTGCCTCAATGGCTTACATTTCGTTCTAAATTACCAATTCCGGACCCTGGCGGGATCCATTCTAATCATTATGGTTGGTCTTGTTCTAAATGTATTTTCTGTGCCCAATAGCATGCCTGGCTATGGAGGTATACCGCTAAGTATGGCATGACAGCACGATCGACACGTCTGACTCCATTATTCGAGCATCATAAATCTTATGCTGACATCTCGGTACTCGGCAACTATTGGACGCCTTATTGCTGCGTGGGAATCCGAGCTTCTGGGTTAATGTTCCACGGGGATGGCAGGACTGTATACGAGCTGACCGCTCAAAGCTATAGCTGGCCCAGTTGGGCTTGCATAGAATATTGGGGGGTTTTGCTGCTGGTGAGATATAAGATGAGATCTGGGTCAGGGCCTTTTACGCGACCTATGAGACGTACATACATATCCGGTCTTAGCTGATAGGTTTGGCGTACGAGAGAATGGTTCCTTCAACGGTACCACTATAGGTTGTAGGTTAGTGATCTTCTTCAGCATTCAGCCCCCGTCAGCAGGGTCATCTACAGGGTCAAAAAAGCCGAGTTTGAAGGATTCTCTAGACACGGTGTTGTTATTTGGGACGCTTCATTCATCTCCTTGCGGCCGTAGCAAGTCTTCTTAGATCCATAAGCTAGGAGTGCCAAAAGCGCGGTCTACACCAGGCCAGGCCAACCCCCACAGTGTGGGAGCAGACTAAAGATGTGTCTTGGAGCCTTCGGGCTCACCAATCAGTCGTAGGAAGCTGGGATGTACCTCATCGGTCAAGTCGCTGGCCTGCATACTCCGCCCCTTAGCCTCAAACGCCCTTCGGGAGCACTCTCGGGTGATACAGCTGCCCGCCCAGGCAGCAAGAAGCAGAGTAGTCGTCGGGGACATGCGCATGTCCTCAGACTCCAACTCAGCCTGTACATCCTCCTTATTCTGTGCCTCCTTCTCATTGTCCTTCTCGCCCGAGTCCCATAGTTTATTGTGGTAAGCCTCTCTCCATGCCAGCATCGTTCCCAAAGAGCCCGTCAGGGTATCTCCCTGACCACCGCTGCGTTTCAGACCACCTTTGATATCCGAGATAATACTGGTGACCCCGTTGGAGATCACATCATGCGGTCCTTTTTGAAGAATAGTCACGCCACCCAGAGCCCTCGACAGCCGCTCACAGGCTTCTGACTCTTTGCTTGTTTTGTCGCTGTCGCCAACAATGTCTGCCTGGCTCTTAACTTCGATGCCCAGTGCTTTTGCAAGGCGCCCAAACTCGACCACATTCGGTGTCAGAATACACTCCTTGTATCCTTTGACCAAATCTGGATCTTCGGTGACAATAAGCAACCCATCGGCGTCCAGCACGAATGGGATAGACCGTGATCGTGCTTCCTTGATGACTTCTGCGACAACTTTCAGCGTGACTCCGTCACGGCCGAGGCCTGGTCCGATGACCAGTGAATGCAGACGGGAGAGCATTGAGATAATAGGGCCCGCCAGTTCGGGTGCATTGATTGAATTGGGATCCTTGACTGAGTCGGTGCTTGGCAGTATTGGGTGAACCATCAAGTTTGGAGAATAGCTTTTGACAACCTGGGCATACAGAATTAGGGTCGTACTTTCAATCAGGGGGGAAGCCGGACTTACCGGTGCAGCAGAGCGCTCACAGAGCACATGACTCTGGAAAGTGTCAGTGTTCGGGCTCAGCAAAGTACTGCATTTAATATTATCATACCATATCACAGCCTCGAGCCATGTTAGTGTTCAGACTTATGAGATAATATTGAGTCACTCAATGACATACCTAGCTTTGCTGATGCTATCGCAGAGAAGTATGGAGCTCCGGTATAGCTTTCATGGAGATTAGTCCAGGAACCCCTCCGATACATATCAAGGGGGGGGACATACTCAGCGCAACCTCCTATGACTGCAACACGTCCCAGCTGCCCTGTCAATCTGTTACTTACTTGCTCACAGAAGAGCTCCTCGGGACCGAGATGTTGCTGATCGCAGAGCCCTGGACGTATGACAACAAACCTTTATGAAATTTCTCGAGCATTGGCGGCACCATCTTGCGGACTTTGCCGAACAGGATCTTCGACGACGTTGATACATGATGAACAGACTCCATTATGAATACACGCTGTAGGGGAAAGCTGACGAATTCGCGATATGGAGGGATGTGATATTCGGATATGAAGGGCTGGAAAGCGTGCGATAGCGGGTGATGTCACCGCCAAGTGGGGCCACTCGCTGACAGGGTTGGGTGTAGTACTTGATCAACGACTACAACTTGGACAAAAACATTACATCAAACTGGTGGTAGTCAAAACACAAAATGAATGCTAATAGATTTGGTATTGGTATGACGCCCGCTATAATGGTGTTCACAAACGAAAGAATGGAAAGAAAGGACTGTACGCTCCCCATCTAGAGACACCGCGAAGATAAACGCTCAGAATGCTCGGCCTGAAAACCCCCTCCCCAAACAAATGAAAGTGTAGAAAAACCACCCGTTGATGCATGTAGATAATCACATTACCGCTTGTTGCGGGATGCAAGAGCAGCCAGCTTCTTCTGGCGCTCCATCTTCTCCTTCTTTGCCGCCACCTCCTGTCGCAATTCTTCCTCATCTTCCTTCCGGGCGGATCGCAAGGCAGCATCTTCTTCTTCCCTCATGTCATCAAACCCAGCTTCCATGTCAGAAGAGGCGTCTGAATAAAGGTCATCGTAGTCGCCATAGTCGCCGTAATCGCCTTCGTCCTCTTCGTCGGTTGCCAGATATTCGTCCATACGACGTTTGCCATGTGGTCGACGCTCAGCAGTACCTCGGTGAGATTGCCGACCGGCTGTTCCCCGATACGCCGTCGGCTCGGGGGTTTGGGACGGCTTGGCTGTGCCTTTGTATGAGAGAGGCTCGGGCGTGCGTCGCTTGACAGTAGGTTTGCCAGTGGCGGCCGTGGCCGTGGCCGGGCCAGGCGCGGGACGCTTCCCCGAACGTGCTGCTTTTTCTTGTGCCTTGGCCTCCTCAAGTCGTCGTTTGCGCTCCACTTTGCTCAGTCTTTCCTTCGGTACCTTCTGATGACGGAGCATACCCAACTGGGCTGGAGCTTTGTCTTGCATAGCCTTGGCTTGCTGCATGAGATCGGCGAAGGAGCCTTTTGGTGGTGCTTTGGAAGAAGTTGGTGCGGCCTTAGCTGCTGCTGGCTTGGATACGGTTGCTGATGCCGGGGCCGGTCTAGAAACCATTGGTTTGGTGACTGCCGGTTTTGCCACTGGTGGTTTCGCAGGTGCAGTTCTCGCGGGCGGAGCTATGATCGTAGGTGCTGTATTGCTCCTCGCAACGGGTTTCGGCGAAGCAGGCTTGACCGTAGTCGATGATACACCTCTTGGTATAATCTTGGGCGTCGCAGAAGATGCTGCTGCCCTGGTAGAGGTGACTTTACTAGCTGGTTGGCTCTCGCGTCTCTCGGGTCGAGAAAGTTGATCCTCTGCCTTGCGCTTTATTCCGGTGCCCGTGTTCCCCACCGGCTGAGGTGCGCGAGGCGCTACTCGCAATGGTCTGTCATCTTTCTTCGTTGTTGAAGATGAGGCTGGGATCGCAGGAGGCTGAGATAGCGGGGCTTGGGCAGGTTTGCCCGACCCGAGTGACGAGAGAACGGAATCGAGGAACTACTCGAAAAGTTAGATAACTGACACGAGTAAATCGAAAAGCATGGGACTTACACTCATTTTGGAGGTTTGAAAGCGAAGAAACTATTTGAAAATATGCCTTTTGGAAGTTCAAAGAACAACAAGTACCGGTTACCCTTGATGGTTCGTTCGACCGGGTAGCTTCATGACTCCGAACGCGATACCATGAATGGTTCTGTCGCCGGAGGGCCAGTAGTGCTGTATTTGTAGAGAAAAGAACGACCTGGGTACCACAAGGTACGGCGCAACAGGCAGAAGCGCTCCAGATGTTCTCGAGGAGGCAAGGAGTGGTTGAGCGGGGATAGAAGATCAAAGAACCGGGCATGACCACGCCGAGATGGCAATATATCACGTGAGCTTTACACGCGCCACACTCGCTTAGGTTTTCTGCCGGGCGGTAACACAGCCACATGAGCCGCAGCGCACTTTTCCCTCAATTTCGATGGCCCGCAGCTACTTCTTGTTCCTCAACCATCTTCAGAACTCGACGTTGCAGTCTCCGCCCAATTCGCGGTTAAATCGATTGTTTCTCAGTTCCCGTTAACCAGACCACCAAAGGTATGTCTCTTGCAACCTTGTCTCCTCTCTCCCTCGAAATACGCGCTCGCGCACAAAACGACTTCTTTTCGCATCCAGCATTTCGGCATCGACGCTAACATCAATATTTTTTTTCTTCGGGAATAGTCAATCAAAATGAAGCACCTCGCAGCTTACCTCCTCCTCGCCCTCGCTGGCAACGAGTCCCCCTCCGTCTCCGACATCAAGGAGGTCCTCTCCTCCGTCGGCATTGACGCTGACTCCGAGCGCCTCGAGAAGGTCGTCGCTGAGCTCCAGGGCAAGAACCTCCAGGACGTTAGTTTCACCCACCACGACCCCACACTCATATATAACGACAACGTACTGACTTCATCATTCTAGCTGATCGCTGAGGGTTCCGCCAAGCTCGCCTCCGTTCCCTCCGGTGGTGCTGGTGCCGCTGCCCCCGCCGCTGCTGCCGCTGGTGGTGCCGCCGAGGCTGCCCCCGAGGCCGCCAAGGAGGAGGAGAAGGAGGAGTCCGACGAGGACATGGGCTTCGGTCTCTTCGACTAAATGCCTTCCTCAAAAGCGCCTCAAAAATGACGAGTTGGGGGAACAGACATCTGGATGGAATGGCCAGTTTGCGAATACCCTTCAGCGACTGGTTCCTCAAATGTGCATTGTTCAGGCTGTTCTGACGCAGTTACGAATTCTCCATACATGAGCTGTAAAAAGCTCCTAGCCAATACAGATTCTTCTGTCCTCCACTATGGGTCTTTATACGTAGGGCGTAGTCGTTCAACCGGTTCTCGAGCGGACTCGATACCATAGGCGCGCAACGTACAAATCTATCAATCAGTCTTGCCTTGTCTGCAGTCCGTAAATCGCATCCATAATGCTCGATACGATATCTTCTGGCCCTTTTGATATCTTTGATATCTTGCATCTCTGGGGTTCAGGGCTTCATTACGATATGGTATTTCTATTACTTCTGAAATAAATCAAGAGAACCTCTCATAACTATGAAATATGAGGAAAACGCATGCTTCCCTATGTACCTTGAAATAGATTACCATACGTGACAGTCCCAGTACCATCTTCCCAAAATAGACTAGTGTATTAGGGCTTGACCTACCCGTCGCTTAGGCGAGCCCTGCCCACCTCACCAGTCGTAGTGTACCGGGCGACCGTCCAGCGACTCGACAACCCACCCGACAACCCATCTTCCTTCGCTTTTCGAGATACGTTCGAAAAGCGAGCTCTAAGGAAACACCGCAAAAATGGCTGACATCGAATACGTGAGTCGCCCTATTTCCCATGTTGAACCCAACACCTGTGATGCTAACAAGAATTCTTTTAGAACGCCGAGGAGGCTGCCGGTACGTCGTGAATCAATCTTTATCCCACCTTACCCCCTATCCGCCCGTGACAAGAGTGAAGCCATGGAGAATTTGGAATGAATGTTATGGAACGACAACCCCACAACAACTTTCGAGATGGGAGGACCAGATGGCTTCGACGCAGGGGGATGGACACGAAAATACACAACACACGCCACACGAACGAGAGACCGGATCGCTGACAGAACTTTCGCCCAACAGAGATCAAGAAGAGAAGACAGTTCCGCAAGTTCTCTTACCGCGGCATTGACCTCGACCAGTACGTTTGATCCATCGACTCTATCCGTCCGTGAAAAAAACTCTTTCAGCATGCGCCTGGCACGTCTCGGATTCAACGACAAATTCACCGGTCTACTTGGATCGTACGAATAAATCAACGAGTCGCTTGCGTGTTGGGTGCCATCGCTGCAGAGAAATCGCGGATCGAGAAATTTTTCTGGGGAGGGAATCGCAGTCTAACTGAACCCTTGAATAGGCTCCTCGACCTCTCCTCCGAGCAGCTCCGTGATGTCGTCCACGCCCGTGCCCGCAGACGCTTCAACCGTGGTCTGAAGCGCAAGCCCATGGGTCTCATCAAGAAGCTCCGCAAGGCCAAGCAGGAGGCCAAGCCCAACGAGAAGCCCGACCTCGTCAAGACCCACCTCCGTGACATGATCGTTGTCCCCGAGATGATCGGCTCCGTCATCGGTATCTACTCCGGCAAGGAGTTCAACCAGGTTGAGATCAAGCCTGAGATGGTTGGCCACTACCTGGCTGAGTTCTCTATCTCTTAGTACGTATTTCCTCTCTTCCACGTACTTGCCTCTACGCAGTGCTAACAACTACCACAGCAAGCCCGTCAAGCACGGTCGTCCCGGTATCGGTGCCACCCACTCTTCCCGTTTCATTCCCCTGAAGTAAACGATTCGAACGATTCCCCTTGGAGTGGCGTGTGGTGGAGATGGTGCTTGGATCGGAAAAAATGGGAGCCAGTATCGTCCCAACTGGATTCCTTTTATTCAGCTTGTATTTCCAGAGCGGATCAGCTGTTTCCATTTCAATTTAAGAGCTTGTCGGCATGAAAAAAAAATCATTTGGGAACTTGCCCCCTCTCAAAGTCTTTGTCGGTCTTCGGCAGAGCAAATGGATAGGACCTCTTGTCCCTGGTTGCTTTTTTGGGTGCTAGGGAAAGGAGTTCAATTTACGATATGATTATTTCAAGTTTGAGTCTCGTAGAGGTGTAAGTTTAGACAGGTTGTAGATCAAAGACGTCTTCTCGAGCTCCATCTGGACCACCTATGTATACATCCAGAGGTGCACTCCGCGGAACAGATGGATCTCGATCTATGCTATGGATACACTTATCGAAGTCTCTTAGTGTCCATCTACGATACTCCCATAATGATTGACATAAGCTACAACTACATCGACAAATATATATATATCTATATATCTGTACTCCCTTAATGCATATTCTGGTTCCAGGGATATATTTCGTGTTCCTATCTGGACGTCGGGAGGTAGACGCCCCTAAGACAGTATCTATACACAATCCACGAATCTAGATCTTTGTTAGAAGCCCTATTGTGCAGACCAATTCACACTCAATGATAGGTATCAGACCAATCACGCAAGGCTCGTTACTCCGTCGGAGATATTGCGGACCCATCTCCACCATAGCGTTGGGAACGCCGACAGCGCCGAGGTTTGATTATTTATCCTTCTGGTGCCGCTGACCCGTCACGATACACTAGGTAGAGTCTTATGTCTCAATCATGGTCTTTTTTGTCCATTATATGTATGATACATATACATGCGATCGATCATTAGCGGTTAGAGGAGTCAGCCTCAACACTAACACAAAGCTTAGTGTGGAAGGAAATCCGTTAAGTCCGAGTCCTTCGGTTATCATTGGCCACTCGTAACGAGGGGGCCGAGGCTGCCCGCTCCCCCAAGAACCGAGACTGCGGAGTAACCCCAACATCCCTTGACCCTTTCTTCTGCAATCATTCTTATACCCTGCTTGTACCTACTTTTGCAGATTCACGTTTTTTCTGTCTACAAAACCATTTGTCTATCGCGTGTCGATTGAGTCCTCGCCCTTGTATACCTTTGGCAGCACCCACGAATCGGCATTTGGCTTTCCCCCGCAATATGCCTGTCTCTTCCAACTACCCAACGGTCGATATTCCGAGCGTCGACCTGTGGTCGTTCCTATTTGAGCGCAAGGATAGGCCATTCCCTGATGATAAAAGTGAGTCATTTGAGTTTATGTTCTTCGAGTTGATGAACGGGCGCTTTGCGGGGAGATTCACGTCCATTCTGACATGTCATAGTCCTCTACCAGGATGCCGACACCAAGCGCCACTACACTTACCAGTCCCTAAAGGATGCCTCTCTTGAGTTTGGAAAGGGTTTGAAGGCCACCTATGACTGGCGCAAGGGTGATGTCTTGGCCCTTTTCACTCCCAACAGCATCGATACCCCGGTGCTCATGTGGGGTACCCTCTGGGCCGGCGGCATTATCTCTCCGGCCAACCCGGCCTACACGGTCGACGAGCTCGCCTTCCAGCTGAAGAACTCGGGCGCAAAGGCCCTTGCAACCCAGGCTTCGGTGCTGTCCGTGGCCACGGCGGCCGCCAAGAAGGTCGGCATCCCTGAAGATCACATCATTCTGCTGGGCGATGAGCGGGACCCAGATGCTCGGTACAAGCACTTCACCTCCGTTCGAAACATCTCCCGTGCCACCCGGTATCGTCGGCAAAAAATCACCCCCGAAACTGATCTGGCTTTCCTGGTCTACTCGTCTGGTACTACCGGCGTGCCCAAGGGTGTCATGCTGTCGCATAGGAACATCGTCGCCAATGTTCTGCAGCAAGTAACTGGCGAGGGCGGGAACTTGAGTTGGAATGGAGGCCCTGATGGAAAGGGAGATCGCGTTCTGGCATTCTTGCCTTTCTATCACATTTACGGTACGTCTACGAAGAGTCAATTACGCAATATCGGCTATTTTCTGACAGACGTTTTATAGGATTGACCTGCTTGCTCACCCAAGCCTTATATAAGGGCTATCACCTTATTGTCATGGCCAAGTTCGACATCGAAAAGTGGTGCGCACACGTACAGAATTACCGCGTGACATTCAGTTATATCGTGCCCCCGGTAGTGCTTCTATTAGGCAAGCACCCCGTGGTCGACAAGTACGACCTCTCTAGCCTACGCATGATGAACTCTGGTGCGGCACCACTTACCCAAGAACTGGTCGAGAACGTGTACGCTCGCATCAAGGTTGGAATCAAGCAGGGCTACGGTCTCAGCGAGACCAGTCCCACCACACACTCGCAGAGGTGGGAGGACTGGCGCGAGTACATTGGTTCCGTTGGTCGCTTGATGCCCAATATGGAAGCCAAGTACATGACCATGCCCGAGGATGGCTCGGAGCCTCGTGAAGTTGCCACTGGCGAGGTCGGTGAGCTTTCCGTACGTGGACCTAATGTCTTTTTGGGTTACCACCAGAATCCCACTGCTACTCGGGAGTGTCTGACGGAGGATGGCTGGTTCCGTACTGGCGACGTCGGTTACCAAGATGCTAAGGGTAACTTCTACATTACGGATCGTGTCAAGGAGCTCATCAAGTACAAGGGTTTCCAGGTGCCACCCGCCGAGCTGGAGGGTCTTCTGGTGGATAATGAGGCTATTGATGACGTTGCTGTAATTGGCATTGAGAGTGAGGCTCACGGATCCGAAGTGCCTCTGGCGTGCGTTGTTCGAAGCGCAAAGAGCAAGTCATCTGGTGCCACCGAGGTAGAGGAAGCTGCCAACATTGTGAAATGGCTTGACAGCAAGGTTGCCCACCACAAGCGTCTGCGTGGTGGTGTCCGGTTTGTGGATTCAATCCCCAAGAACCCCAGCGGAAAGATCCTGCGTCGCATGCTGAAGCAACAATTCAAGGATGTGGGCAAGGGCCCCAAGGCGAAACTGTAGATATACTTGTTTGACATATACCATATACAAATCGCAAATTCATAGACTGCATCTTACATGTCTTCATATGGACGGTAGTAAATAGTATTCCCGAAACGTATTTCCCATATTTTAAATCTCTCAACCATCGAAATCAAGGGAAGAACCTCTTCACCATTCCCTCGACATCCTCCCCCTCAACAGCATCAATCTTCCCCTTGGCAACTCTCTCAACCGCTTCTTCAACCTTCTCCTCCCCATTAACAAGATCAATCCACCCCTCCGTATCAGCCCTCGCCAACAACAAATCCGCCACAATAGCAACATCCTCCCTCGTCACACTCCCCCTCCCCTTCGGCGTAACACCCAGTTCCACCTTCCTCGTCGCAGGCTCATCAGTCAGAATCCCCGGACGCAGGTTAATAGCCTGGAACGGACGCGTCGCGGCAGGTTCCTTCTTGCGCATGAATGCCAGCGCGGTCATGTATTCGTCCGCCTCCTGCTTGGCTTTGGCATAGGTAGGTAGGATTTCGGTGTTTGTGCGGACGATGCCGGCCCATTGGTCGTCCGGCATCCAGTGGGGTTGGTTCTTGCGGCTGCCGAGGTAGGAGACCATTAGGAATTTGGTTACGCTGGTTGAGGCGAAGGATGCGGTCATGAAGTGTTTGGCGGCTTCTTGGTCGATGGCGATTGTGTTTGTGGGGCCGCCTTTGCCGCCGGCACCTGTGTAGTGGTGTTTATTAGTGAATTACTCTCTTGAATATAGAATTGTAGATATAGGATTGATGTATATGTTCATATTTGGAGTGACTCGCCATTCCGGCTATGGCGGATGCGGGGAGAGTGAGGGGCAGCGTACCAGCAGACCAAACGACATAATCGGGCATCACGGTGTTGAGAATTTGTTGAGCGTCGGCGGCACTCTTGACATCGGCTAAGCTGGATATTAAGACGTTCAAATTGCCCTTTCGACCCTTGCCGAGGGCTAGGATCTCCGTTTCATGGTCCGGGTTGCGTATCACGCTGGTTACGTTCCAGGCGCGGTTTAGTAGGAGGGGGGTTAGGTGGAGGGCAACTTTGCCGTGGCCGCCTAGAAGAAGGACTTGCATTTTTGGGATATGATGATATAATTCTGGAGGGGTTGAAGAGAGGATAGAGTAGTTGAAGAGGGCAATGGTGGTGTGGGTGGATTGTTCAGGCTGTTCAGCTGCTGCGGGGACTGCAGCTATGGCGTCATAGGGCCAGAGAGCTGTGTTTATCTGATTTGTACATCCACAAATTTCATCGAACGAAATACTGGAAGGTTTAGGTGTACTATTATTAAGATTATAGATGTATGATTCTACAAAATACTAGGGGTTGACTCCGTTGATTAGTCGTATCTGAACCACTGCTAGAAACTAGTTAGATGTAGACCTTCCACATCCGACCACCTTTCTTTATACCACAGGCTTGAGAAATAACCGTGTTGAGAATTTTCGCATGAGAAACAAATCTCTATTTCTGGAGGCCAATTAATACCTTGCCTACAATCACAGCATAGAAGCTCCAAGCCTTACATCTTTCTACAAACTAGGCGAGCCAAGTAATTCAAGCGCTGATATGTCATACCTCAATGAGTATGTATCATCCCTGGGAAACCATATACTCCCAAGAATACGTCAAGGTATAACACCAACACCCCCAACTAATAATACACTTAGCAAGAAGCACCAGAAGGCACATTCTCACACTTAGAGCTCGACTCCCCGCCAGTGACATCCACACTTGACCAAGTCCAGTCCGAGCAGCTACCATCGCCACACAGGATATAAACCGGAGTAGCATCGCTCTCAACAGATCCAGTAACCTGCTTCACAGTCAGGTCGGTAATAGGGACGCCGGTAGTGGGAGTGCCGGTCGGGCTGCCATTTTCGTAGTCCTGCTCAATGACAACGCCGTAGTCGGTGATGCCAGAGAGCTGGATGTTGTTGAAGGTTACACCCGAGACTTTGCCGGTGGCGCCGGAGATGGTCTTGATGCGGATGCCGTTGGCGGAGTTGGAGACGGTTGAGTGGGAGATTGTAACATTGCTGACGGTGTTGTCGTCGCGCCCGCCCACGGAGCCGATGGAGAGTCCGTGGCCGCCAGAGCAGGTACCACCGGTGAAGACGATGTTCTGTAAGATAATGAGATTAGTATCACATTATATGGGTTTAAGAAGGATGTATCCTGGGGCGAGGATGTAGAGGGAAGATTTCGGCGGTACTACTTACAGTACCAGAGTTAACGGCCAAGCAGTCATCCTGGTTCTTGACAACGGCATTACTGATGGTAACGCCATTGCTCTCGCCAACATCAAAGGCATCGGTGTTATGACCGCCGTTATCATCACCGTCCGAGTTGTCGATTGTGATACGGTTTAGGATCAAGTTATCCGACTGAACGCTAAAGGCCTGGACGGGCGTGTTCTTGACGTTCAGGCCAGTGATGGTCGAATCATCCAGATCGTGGGCATAAAAGAACTTGGGCTTGGTCTTTCCACCATTGGTCCCCTCGCCGTCCCACCAGCGCTCTCCTCCACCATTGATGGTGTGGTTGGAAGTACCGGCAACGATGATGTTGGAGCCTGAGATACGAATGAGAGGTCCATCCCACTCCTCGTAGCCGAAGGTAGTCTCGCCCTCGAAGATGACCTATAAGCAAAAGGAATTAGGAATCTTTTTTGTGTAGAGTCTGTCCATGCTCTTCATACCTTGGTGCCAGACGCAAGGTCAGAAAGGTCCAAGGTCTCGCCGGCGGGAACCTCAATGCTGTCCAGCACAACGGTCGAGCATGACTTGGCGCTGGCGCTGGCACTGGCGGCCGAGTTGAAGGTGCAAGAGCTGGAAGCACGCTTGACCAAGGTAGAGACGCGAGTTGGGGCAGCAGATGCAAGAGCTGCGCCCAGAACCACCATGGACATCATAGAGGAACGCATTTTGAAGAAATTGTTCGATCACCGGACAAGTAAAAGAGTGTAGGGAATGAGACTAGCTCAATAACAAAGATAAGGAAAGAAAGGGAATAAGAAAAGAATGGCTTGAATTGTGAAGAGAGTCGAGCGAAGGAATCGTCGCCATCTTGATATATAGGGAGGTTGAATCATTCAGGCAGTGATAGACAGGACTTTCTACATCCATATTAACGGATGAATTTGAAACGTTGGAACAAATAATTCCACCCCTCAACGATAGCCCCTTGTTCCTGAATGTGGGCGATGATCAGCGTATACAAAGTACAAAAGACCAATCGCAGCGGTGACATGTCTCCACCATGTTCATCATCGCCATCTTTAGAGCAGTCCGTCTGCTCCGATGTTTAGTGATGATGGGGACTAATCCGCTGGGATCTGGCCAGCATGCTGACAGGAGGAAAAACCCGAGTGTTGATCAGTAGAACCCTTGACCGAAATCTCGGGGTAAGGTCGGGTAAAGTCAAGGCTCGGTCGGGGCCTCTGGTTTCAGCGTAAATTAATCAACTGGCAAGCCAATTGAGGCTTGGCTGCTGGAGTTCGACCAAGCGCTAGACACGCCGTTCCCGTGTGAGGCGATGCTTAATGTCTCACTTTTGTCCCGCACTGGCTCGACTCATCAACCTCTTGCATGCCTGTCGTGAGGGTGTGGGATGTGGATTGGATGATGGCATGGCTGTGCGGCTATGCTCGAGTCAGGGGTCTCGTCTCTTCATTCTCCTGCAAGAATCATCCTCGAGGCATACATTAAGGATGAGGATCATGGCACGAAGATATCGGGCCATGGCACGAAACCTGGCATGCCACTAGTCCTAACTAGGTATCCTTCCCGCATCACCCAAAATGATACATTCGACAGCTGTATAATACTTGCCAAGCCCTTATGTATGTATTTCCCTATACATAAGCGCTTCTCGTAAATAATCGAATGTCGTCGGCGATCATAGACGCCGATATCATGTGATCATGTGACCCAACCGGGTGGTTGTTTATGTTGACCCTATACATTCCAATTAGCCATAGTAACACATACCCCTTCCTACACTTCTACATGTAAGTCCCCCTAATCTAGCGTTCTCCTACTAATCTCTCTTTACCACAGGTCCTAAAAGCCTTTAAAATCGCACAAATCCATCACATCCACTAGGATTTCAACCCTCCTATCCAAGATGGCCCTCTTACCCCCCCCGTGACAACTGGTTAATCGAGGTCGAAACCAGCCGAGAAGCCCGAGATATCCTCAACGAATTCGCCGCCCACCAGGGATACGCTATTACCACTGCCCATTCGAACAACTGGCAAGTTGACCTTCACTGCGATCGTAGTGGCCAGCCTACACCTACCAATCCCGAGGATAGTAGCCGGATCTCGGTCTCTCGCCGCTGTGGCTGCCACTTTGCCGCTAAATTAGGCAGGGCCCCAGGAGGCTGGCTTCTTACGGTGCAGGAGGGCTCTCACAGTGGCCATATAGCCTCAGAGCCATCTACACATCCTATACACCGCCGCCGCCAGCTAAAGGAGCTTAAGGAGAGGGTAGAGAAGCTATTTCTACTAAGGCATTCGAACCAGGAGGTTATCAATATCCTACGCCAAGAGGAAGCCTTTGCTGAAGGCCCAGTTGATACCGAGGACCCTTACGAAGCCCGTATTCGCCTTAACACAAGAGACCTAAAGAACCTCCGCCGCCGTGTAAGGGGCCGGTTACTTAAGGGCTGCTCACCTACAGCAGCCCTTCTTGCAGGTTTAGAAGGTTGGGAGGTCTTCCATAAGGAGGTGGATAGGGGTACGAACCAGGCTCAGCATATCTTCTGCGCCTCTCAATCTGGCCTTGAGCTTCTTACCAGATTTCCCTCCGTACTCTGGATTGATGCCACATACAAAACGAATTGTTACAAGATGCCTATGGTCAACGTTGTGGGAAGATCGGCAACTAGCGGGACCTTCTATGTGGCATGCGCTTTCGTCTCTAACGAGAGAGAGGGTTCATACCAATAGGTTTTAGAAACCCTTCGAGATCTTCTACACTCCCGTTCAATCCCGCCTCCTATCACTACATTTTCGGACGATACAGAGAGTCTCTTAGCTACCCTAGCAACGGTGTTTCCTACTACAATCGCCCTCCTTTGCATATGGCATATCCAGAAGAATATTAAGAAGAGATTGAGACCAAAGATCGCTCAGCATATCTTAGTCTATCTTGAGAGGGAAGGGGATACGCGAGATGAAATTACGGAGCGTTGGCAGAGCGCAAAGCAGCTATTTAACCAAGTCATCTTCGCACCTACAATAGCTGAGATGAAGACTGCTTGGGAGAGCTTCCAGGAGGAATTCAAACACGAGGTTTTTGCTGAAGCTATACAATACATCTCCAACCAATGGATGATGTGAGGGGCTGAAGTAAGACTTAATTCAATCTAACTAGGCCAACATGCTGTTTACAAAAAGCTTAGGGAAGAAAGGTTCGTCCCGCGTGTTCTCCATGTCAACATGCCAAGGTTCCGTGATACACGTGACCAATATCGGGCAACAGCCCGTGACAATACCCCCTCCTAGCCTTAACTTCGTTAGGGGTACGACGACATGGGTTCCGGTGTCGATTTGTTGGCGAATCACATCCGAAACGGGGCCGTATTGCTCCTCAAAGGCATCCAACGCGCTGCAGTTTTGGACCGAGTCTAGTCTTTCCCACGTCTGTTCCGCCCATCCTCTCCATTTCACTAGCGCTTCGTCACGATATCCTCGCCCAATCTTCCTCCGTCGTATAGCTAGGATTCGCTCAACGTCGTATTCCTCCTCCCCGTCGACTAGCAGCGGTGGTGGCTGCGAATCGTCCACTACTTGGGATGGGAACGGGTCCGTTGCCGCTGGGCGGACTAACTCGATGTGGAACACTGGGTGTATACCAGTAGGCACATCGAGTCGGACTGTAAACGGTGACGGAACGTCTACTACTCGGTATCGAGCATGTAGCCAATCTAACTTCTTTGACGGTCGCTGCGTGCGTACATTCCGAAGGTTTAGCCAAACCCAGTCATCCTTCTTATAGATAGGCGCAGCCTGTCGACGTCGGTTCGTTTGCTCTTCTTGAAGGGCCTGTGCAGAAGCAATAGCGGCCTGGGCCCAATCGGTGGCTTCTCGTAGGCGATTCACGAAGGTTTCGCCTGTCTTTCGTGGTTGGGTCAGGGCGTCCTGTAGCTGCCCTGCTTCGTCGATACCAATCGGGTCAATGTGGTAGCCGTGGGTGAAGAAGAATGGCGAGATTCCTGTTGAAGCGGCATCACGATTATTAATTGCCACTGCGACTATTGGTAGTAGATCTTTCCAGTTATCCTGTGCGTACGTCGTGAACACACGTAGAATTCGTTCGATCTCCTGATTGGCACGTTCTGTTGCACCGTCGGTCTGGGGGTGGAAAGCAGTGGATAATCGGCGTTGAATCGATAGCCTTTCGCATACCCTTCCCCAGAAAGAACTCACGAATTGGGGGCCGCGGTCGCTCACAATCGCTAGTGGTACCCCATGATGCATATAGAAGTGTGTGAGGAACACCTCTGCTACATCCTCTGCTGTTGTATTCCTCATTCCGACTAGAATCACGCCCTTTGTCAACCGATCTGTTATCACCATACAGTTTGTTGCTCCCGTGGATCCTGAGGGTGGTAGCCCGGTAATGAAGTCCACTGATATTTCGGCCCAGATTCGCTGGGGAATTGGTAGTGGTTTTAATAACCCATGTCTTGTGTCTCGCCATACTGAGCTCCGTCCACAGATTGTACAGTTACGAAGGAAACGTCGTACGTCCTTCGCTGCCCCTGGCCAGAAAAACCGTCGAGATAGTATCGAATAGGTAGCGTCTCGTCCTGGGTGCGCTGTGACGTGTGAATCGTGGATCTTCTGTATAATTCCCGTGCGTAGGACTTCGTTATCAGGGATCCAGATCCGTTGTCTGAAATGGAGCAGTCCCCGATCGTCTAGATGGCACTCAGATAGGCTTGTTTTAATGTTCGTTTCGGCAGCAATTCGGCGCTCTCCCTTTAGCAAAGCGTAGGAGATTCGTTGGTAGATCGAGTCGGACGCCCTTGCTCTTTTCCATTCCGTCTGTAGTTCTGGTTCTTCAAAGAGAGGGATATCTCTTTCAAAGTCAATCCCCTCACTAGGTTGGTCGTCGGCTGGTTGAGGGTCTAGCCGTCCTGTTTTGATCTTGACCCTTTTGAGTAGGATTCGGAAGCGATTCGATAGCCTTTCGTCAGTGATACTCTTAGGCATATCCTGGCTCCGTCGTGATAATGCGTCCGGCCTTACTGCAAGCTTGCCAGGGCGATAACGAAGGTCGAAATCGAACTCTGTTAGGAGATCTGCCCAACGCATTTGCCGTTCGTTCAGGTGTTGTGCTTTGCCGAAGTATCGAAGGTTCTTATGGTCTGTTACGATGGTGAATCTAGGCACCATTTTCAGCTCAGGTCTCCATTCGCGCAAGGCGCGTATAATCGCTAGAAGCTCCTTATCATGAATCTCGTAGTTTGACTCTGCTGGAGATAGCTTCTGGGATAGGTAGGCGCATGGCCGTAGTTGTCCGTCGGGGCCACGTTGCGATAGAACCGCCCCAGTTGCCCATCCAGAAGCGTCGGTTTCCACGACTGTTTGGCGATCCTCTTCGAAGTGTGCTAAGATTGGTGCGTTTATAAAGAGCTCTTTCAGTTCCGTGAAGGCCTGCTGGCAGTCATCGTCCCATTTGAAAATAGCGTCTTTCTTCATTAGCCGTGTTAACGGTGCCGAAAGGTCGGCGAATCGTGGTATAAACGGTCGGTAGAAGTTCGCAAATCCAATGAAGCTTCGCACGTCTCGTATAGACTTCGGCCTCTCCCATGCTCTGATAGCCTCTACCTTCTTTGGGTCAACGCGGATCCCCTTTCCAGCTTCGACGATAAAGCCAAGATACTTCACTGAGCCCTGCTCGAACTCCGATTTCGCAATATCGCATTGTAGACCCGCGTCCATTAGTTTCTGTAGCACATCGCCAACCTTTCGGCGGTGATCCGCTAGCGTTCCGTTGGTGTAGATGATTATATCGTCAACGTATGCCGACACGAAATCATCTAAGTACTCTCGCAGAGTCTGGTTAATGTACCTCTGGAACGTCGCCGGCGCGCCTGTTAATCCGAACGGGGTAACGTTCCACTCGTAGAGCCCATATCGCGTCCGGAATGCTGTCTTCCATTCTTCTCCGGGGTGAATGCGGATCTTATGGAAAGCTGCGATGATATCGAGTTTCGTGAACCAGCGGGCGTGCCCCATATTCCGCAGCGTCTCGCGAATCAACGGTAGAGGGTAGCGATCCTTCACCGTTTGTTCGTTTAACCCTCGGTAGTCAACGCAAAATCGTACGCCACCACCTGGCTTTCTAACTAACAAGATTGGTGCTGCTGCAGGTGATTGGCTCACCCGTATAAAGTTCTTCCCGAGTAGGTCTGTCAACGTTTTCCGTAGGTAAAGAAGTTCCTCTTTGTTCATGCCGTAGAGAGGACCATATGGTGGTGGCTCTTCGAAACCGTTTCGGTCGCGTTTCAGAGGGATCTTATGATCGATTCCTGGCCGGTGCGGAGGTAGCTGGTCGGCTAACTGTTGGCTGAAGGCGGCTAGCCATCGCCAGTAGTGTTTCGGTAGCTTATCCTTTGGGTCGATGTGCTTCTTGGGTCGTAATGCTCTCTCAATATCGTCTAGCGAAACCCTGCCGATTCGCAAACGATCCGCATCCGGTACGCTACGTACGAGTTGCTGTATAGATGATGCCTTAACCTGCACGACGCGTAGTCTCTTTACTCCATCAGGCCCGATAGTGCGATCCGCGCGGTTCCAACATCTTGTCCGCTCCCCAGACCTTGTGAAGATGTCTAGGTATCCTTTCCTTGCCGAATATCGTCCGTTCACGTCGTGTAGCCATGGGTCCCCAAGTATCATACTATCGCTTTGTGGTCCGATAATATAGGCAAATACGCGGCCTTGTTGCTGGCCGTGGACATCGAGGTCGAAATGGGTAATGTGGGTGATTCGGCACTGGTTCGGTACCACTCCGTCAAGGACTCGTGGCTGTATCTTAATGCGCGGAAGGTCGAGCGACTGGACTAAAGACTCGTTTACCGTTGCATAGCAGCGGCAGCCGCTATCGACGAGAGCTTGTGTAAATTGGATTCCATTCACTCTAGCATCGACTATAAACGGTAATGTCTCACGTTTAAGTAGCTTCTCGACCCCCTTCCGCTCCTGCTCGCGGCTTAGAACAGGAGCTATTCTTTTCCCGAATCGTCCTCAGTAGTCACATCTTCGTTGTCGGAAGCCGTCGTGACTGACTCGCTATCACTTGTAGGCCTTGCCTTCTTCACATTGACCGTACGCTCACGTCTTTTCTTGCTCGAACTGGTAGCGGTACGTGTACTATTCGGCGGTTGCGCCGGTAGGAGTGCGCACCTCGCGATAAGGTGTCCGGATCTCCCGCATCGTAAGCATTTCCCTTCGGCCCGTCGCTTATCCAGTTCGTCCTGGCTGACCCATTTCGCTTGCTTAGGGTGTTCCTTCTCGAATCGTTGGGGTTTCGTACGCGGTTCGGTACGGTTTACAGAGACAGTAGGGGTCCAGTCCATCTCGTCAGTCGTTCTCTTAGAGCGTGTATTCCGAGTACGATTAATATCCAGGGTGTCGTTGTCTGCACTAATCTCGTGGAGTCGTGTGATTAACTCCGAAAAGGTGCTAGGGACGCCGCGATACCGTAGCGTTTCGGTCATTTTTCGGTTAAGCGAAGCTAGCAAAACTTGCCGCTTAGGCTCGTCAGGCCATTCAAAAGCGCCTGCGTCAGCGAATTCCCTTTCTAACTGAGGTAGGAACCTCGCGAAGGACTGGTCTTCGCGTTGTCGTATTAGGTGAAGCCGTCTTGCTGCTCTTGCTTTGATGTTCGGGTCGCCATAGATGTTTTCGAGGTAGTCAAGAAGCTGTCGTGGTTCGCGGTCGTTTCGCTGTGTTTTCACGAACGAATTGGTGTTCTTTAGGGCTAGCTTTTCTAGCCGAGAGAAGACGTACGCGAATTGATCTTGTGGGCTCCCGATAGCTTCGCCGTCTACTGCTAGCTTGTTTTCCATCACTGTTCGCCAGGATGGCCACTCCGAAGAGCTCCCTGCAAACATCGCTGGGTCCGGTAGTCGTGGCCGAGGGCGTTGTATAGCTATCCCTGTTCTATCCTGCGTGACCTCGGTTTCGATTCGAGAGGGATTCGGCGGTGTTTTGCTAGGGATTGATATGTTCTGGAGTAATGCCTCAAGTTTTTCGATCCGTTCGTCTTGCGCGGTGTTCCGTTCGTTCTGTGCTGTGGTAGCACTCTCGTATACGGCGTGGCTCTGGGCGATTTGCTGCATTAATGTCTGAGCCCAACTAGGGGGACTAGACGATTCGCTATTTCTTGCCATTCTCTGCCGTGTGTAGCGGTTTATTCGTGCGTTCTTCGTTTCTCAATCGGCTTCGCGTCGAGGGTCCTATGGGTAGCGACCGGTACCGTTTCGGTTGCTATTCGCTTATATTCCGTTCCAATGTTCCAATGTGCCTAGGAATTGAGATCTTCTAGGGCTTTCCAATACGTCTCGAGCACTAAGGCCTTATACGCGAGGGTTCCGTTCCGTTGTGTGGCCGTCACTGAATCGCCGGGGATTCAGGGGTGTTTCCAATGAGCGCCTAGGTCGTCTTCCTAGGGCTTTCTAATAACCAGTGGTACTTCTAGGTGTAGAAGGAAGCTTTTTGTATGTGAGGGGCTGAAGTAAGACTTAATTCAATCTAACTAGGCCAACATGCTGTTTACAAAAAGCTTAGGGAAGAAAGGTTCGTCCCGCGTGTTCTCCATGTCAACATGCCAAGGTTCCGTGATACACGTGACCAATATCGGGCAACAGCCCGTGACAGATGAAGGATAGTATAAAGCAACGCTTTCTTCGCTGTTATACCAACCAAACCCTTCACTTCGGAGAGACCTCCTCCTCGCGAGTAGAAGGGGCCCATGCCTATCTCAAGACCTATATCAAATACTCGATTGGAGATCTCCTGACAGTAATGACCCGGGTTCAAACCGCGGTTAGTACTCGTCATATTACCATCAACCAGGCAATTAGGGAGGACCGCCAGAAACTACCAGATAACCTCCTTATACCGTTATTTCGGTCGGTTCTTGGCTGGGTTGCCACATGTGCCCTTCAACGAGTTGCCCAGCAGTTAACTGCCTACCAGAAGAAAGAGTTACAGTTGGCAGACTGCACTCACTACCATCGGCAGTCACTGGGGCTACCTTGTATTCACGAGATTGTGGCAGCAATCGAAGGCAAGCAGGCCCTGAGAAGGGACCAATTCCACCGGCAGTGGTGGCTTCTAGCTTCAATTGAAGACGACTACCAGCCACTTAACATAGAAACTGTTCTTCGAATCGAGGAACCAGCCATCGCGAAGGCCGCCGGGCGTCCCCGTGGACGGGCAAACCATGCTCAAAAGGACCCTAGGGTAGAGGCTGCGAAGAGGACTGTTGAGGCTGAACAACCAACCACTAAACAACCAACCACTAAACAACCAACCACTAAACAACCAATCCGCCGATCCACTCGATTGGCCAGATCCACTAAGCGAGATCCCTCTGGATTCGAGATTGTGAGGAAGGAGACCGCCCGTGTAGGGCGGAAAAGGCGATGAGAAGGGCGCTGAGAAGGGCGATGGGTAGGTGGAAGGGTAATCTAGATTGATAGTATGTTAGCTTCTTAATTAGGAAATTGAATTATCTTTGAAATCTCTGCAAATTCAGGCGATTTGGATGGCTGTATGGACTCTTGGAAAATAGGTGGTAGTGGTAGAAAGGTAGGAAGGGGTATGTGTTACTATGGCTAATTGGAATGTATAGGGTCAACATAAACAACCACCCGGTTGGGTCACATGATCACATGATATCGGCGTCTATGATCGCCGACGACATTCGATTATTTACGAGAAGCGCTTATGTATAGGGAAATACATACATAAGGGCTTGGCAAGTATTATACAGCTGTCGAATGTATCATTTTGGGTGATGCGGGAAGGATACCTAGTTAGGACTAGTGGCATGCCAGGTTTCGTGCCATGGCCCGATATCTTCGTGCCATGATCCTCGTCCTACATTAAATGCAGGTAAATAAGTTTGATCCGCATCTGATGAGCCCCAGAGAAGATACATTTCTTTTCACATCCCAAGCCATTCAAGTCAATTATCCGAATAGACTCAGGTTGTAGATGCCGAAGACCAAGCTCGTTCCAAAGCCTTTTTGACCTTGAGAGTTGAATAGGCTTGTTCTTCCTGTATGATTCTCAGCACCTCCAGGAGTGCTTCTTGTTCCCGGGGATCTTCAAAGTATTCACCACAGGTAGAAATTCCCATCAGAGCCTCGATGAATGCCGGGGGCGACCTTCGGTTGCACATTGCTATCCCACACAGGCGGAGCACGATTTCCCTTAACCGCCTTCCTAGTTCCCGATGACTAGACATTGACCCTGGGCCTAATCGAGGCCGAGTAGGATCGAAGACTGCAAGGAGAAGTCGTGCAAGCTCTAAATGCGCCATTCCAGTGCGATGGTATGTATTGAGATGCCAAACTTCCGGGAATACTTCGCCGCGATTAGGGTCCGGGAGACGAGAGTGGATAGGCTCGAACGACGGGGGTAGAGATATTCTGAATTGCCGTTCATACTGCTGTAGTCGGTTCCAGAGCTCGATACCGCTGTGGTGGAAGTGATAGACCTCGGATCCACCCCTGCTTCCGTAGCAGTACTCGAAGACGTCGGCACAGAAAACCACAGCGCGTTGTGCCCAGACGGCATCTTGAGCGGGAGATAAGTCTCGAAATCTCTCGTAGTGTGAGAGTTGAAAGTGCAGGGGCCGTTGTTTCAGGAATGATGTAAAGAGTTCCTGTCTGAGAGCAACGGCAAACACTGCCCGGCGTAAACTAATAGCGTCACCCCCTGCTTGAGAGGTGTAGCTCGGCGAGAATGGCCCCGCTTGGTGATCTGAAGGCGTTGGTTGTGACATTGCCGGCGAACGGAACTCCGGCTGAAAACTCAGATGAGAAGAAGGGACCATTGGCGAATCTTCTGTGAGCACTTGGGTTGATGGAATTTGAGCGTCTATAAAAATGTTGAGCATACGGAGAAAGACCTCCGAGTCCTCGTCGCCATAGCTAAGAGGCCCATTCATCTCTTCGTCGGTACGAAGAATGACCGCTGCTGCGAGGAGGTTCTCATTATGAACTTGTTCAGGGTCCAAGCTCAAGTCGAGTAGATCACGGATGCATTCATTATGGTAGTAGACCGGAGACTCCCGCGACAGCTCGGGGAGCATATGGCCTTGCCATTCTATGGTCCCATCTTTGTTGCGATACCGTACAAGCCCGCATAGATGACGAGCAGACGTTGTCAATATTGCGTTCAGCAGGGGACGGCAGGATCGGGCCCGTTGAGGGACCGCATTGGTGAAATGGAATTCTGGGTCGCAGAGGTCGAAACGATGCGCAATCTCTTCCGTGTAATACCGAAGAAGGATTGCTTGAACACGAATGCTGTGGTTGGGTTCGCGTGGAGAGGAGTGCTCTATGGGCGAGAAATGTGAAGACACGGATTTATGTAGGGTATACGAAGGAGATTCGGTAGGATGTATAGGCCCTGGCTCTGTATCTTGGGCTACTGCTGATGGTGAGAGAGCTAACGGGGTCTCGGTGACATTTTCATCATGGTCTGCTTTGTCGTGTTCCAAGCCGATCCCTCCGGGATGCAGATTGGGTGGATGCGTTGAGCCAGCATTATCGTCAACTGGAGATCTGGTTTCTGAATCTTGTTCGAGGCCCTCTCCAGCCGTCAAAGTCTCATCAACAAAATGTAATCTTGCTATTGTCCACAATTGCGCTCGTCAGTTTGTCATTATTTGAGTTTGTTCGGGAACTTGTCGAAGCACTCAACGAGTGAACCACCTACAGAATCTTTGGCCCTTTGGCGTGATTAGAGGATCTTCCCCGGATTCCCACGGGAAGACGTGCTGGAAGCGAATCGGTTTTTGTCGTTTACTTCCACCAACACAAGACAATTGCAGTCGCTGGCATTGGCGACAGCTTGTACCGTCGTACTCACCTGGGCGATAACATTAGCTCTATATGATTAAAAGGATCAATCCATAACCGCAGCACTTGCATTTGACATGGCGCTCTGTATATCAATATTCAGCTCGAATTCTACTCGTAGTGTGTAAAATGAGACTTATCGACAGTTCTTGCATGGATTGCCTCTATTTCGACTTCTGACTTGGTGAATGTCGTTCTGCATCTAGACGGTCGGCGAGTGGTTGCCTCTTTGGTTTGGCTTTGTGGATTTGAAGATCCCAAAGTAGAAACCAAAAAGAGGGGGAAACAATCCACGGAAAAGCCCCGGATATGTAATTATATAAGCACCCGCACCCCGTGCTCCAGAAACGGTATAATAAACGGCGGTGACTTGCCTGTTACGTCGAATTGGGAAATCATCCTTCCCCGCAAAGTTGGATAGAGTTTAAACTGGTACAAGACAACCAAGACCCGCTCTTCTTCTTTGCCCCATGGGGCCCCAAATGAGACTAGGAATTAAGTCATGGAGACCTTCGGGAAGGGCGTTCGGAGTCCTATTTCCGACAGCCGTCAACCACCTCTGAGTATGGGGGTGGATTTGTCTATATAGGGCCAAGATATTCATCCCCGGACCACCTCCGATTGCCTTCTAAGCTCGGAAACATTGGCTTTCTCTCATCAGCATCATAATGGACTCTTCAAAGGACATTGAGTCCTCAGAACATGAACATGTCTCGCCCGCAGACCACGAAGTATGGGCGGACTCTGTCGCGTACGGCCCTGGTGGCATGCGTGGTCTCTTCTCTAATGGCTACGTCTTTGGAGCGGCATTCTTAGCTTCTCTTGGTGGCTTCTCATTTGGGTATGACCAGGGTGTGATATCAATCATTAATGTCATGGACAACTTCCACAAGGCGTTCCCACAGGCTGAAACGGCATTCGGCACCTCGTTCATGACATCCATGCTATTACTCGGTGCCTTCATTGGTTGTTTCTTTATGCCCTATCTGTGTGATAAGATCTCGAGAAAATGGGCTTTGACCGTGGTGGTTGTAATATTTGACGTTGGTGCCATCATCCAGACCTCTGCCCAGAGCTATGGCGCATTGGTTGCTGGTAGAGCAATTGGTGGAGTCGGTGTAGGCACCCTGGCTATGGTATGTTATCATACTCCTTCCTCTCGTACCGTTCTGTTTGCTATCCGGTGATAGATTGGCTAATAGATACTTATGCCAGGCCGCTCCTCTATACATCTCTGAGATCTCACCACCCGAGCTTCGAGGAACTCTCCTAGTTTTAGAGTCTATTTCAATTGTGTCGGGTGTCGTGATTGCCTTCTGGATCACATATGGCACCCAGTACCTTACCAGCGAAGCTTCATTCCGTCTACCCTTTGCTCTGCAGATGGTGTGTGCGACGATCCTGGGTGTTGGTATCCACTTCTTCCCATACTCACCCCGTTGGCTTGCTCTGGTCGATCGTCGCGATGAATGTCTGGTCAGCCTCAGCAAGCTGCGCAAGCTCCCGCCCACCGATGACAGGGTGCAGGCCGAGTATAAGGGTATCATTACCGAAGTCGAATTCCAACGACTCGTCCTAGAGAAGAACCATCCCGGCGTCACGGGCGTCCGCCTGGAAGTTCAATCATGGTTGGAATTGTTCCGCCGTCGCAACTGGCATCGCACAGCTGTCGGTTGCGGTGTCATGTTCTTCCAGCAGTTCTCTGGGATCAACGCGTTCATCTATTATGCGCCAACTCTCTTCGAAAACCTAGGCCAGAATGACCATATGAGTCTGATCATGTCAGGTATTTTCAATATCTTACAGTTGGTCGCCGTCCTTGTCTGCTTTGTCATCATTGATAAAGTCGGACGTAGGCCGCTTGCCATCTTTGGTGCTGTTGGTAGCACGATCTGCTATGTTCTCATTACCATTCTCTCGGGGTTGTATTCCCAAGATTGGCCAGCTCATCCAGCTGCCGGCTGGGCTACAGTGGCGATGGCATTCTGTTTCATCCTGGTTTATGGTGTGTCATACTCACCACTTGGATGGGCAATCCCGTCCGAGGTATTCAGCACTGCGACTAGATCGAAAGGTGTCGCATTATCCGTGTGCGTGAACTGGTTGTGCAATTTCATTGTCGCCATTGCCATTCCGCCTATGATGGCGAACAAGGGCTACCAGACCTATATTTTCTTCACAGTGATGTGCTTGTTGGCTGCCGTTTGGGCAGTCCTTTTAGTTCCAGAGACCAAAGGGAAAACCTTGGAGGAGATGGATGAAGTGTTTGGCGATGTTCAAGGCCAGGAAGAACAAGTCCTTATGCGACAAGCAATGATCTCGGTCAACCAGGAGACAGTTTAGGTTATAAGACCATCATTCCTAGGATGTCGTCGTTAGGAATGTTGAAATATCTATAGATGAATCGTTTGATGGACTCTCTGCTTTGATTGTTAGGAAAGCGTAAACGATGTCTTTACGTTCAATCTCTAGGCACTAGGGACGTCTAGCTCTCATTACCGTGAGAAATATTCCCGGAACCATGATCGGAATCTGAGCGAAGATAACATATGAATATGGAGGCCTTGGAACAGGACGAGAGAGGCCATGCAAAGTACAGTGGAGGTCCATAAGTTTGAAAACCCGAGCAAACTTGACATTTATCTCATCAGTCATTCTTTGAAAAGCCATGTCCAGAGATAGTGCCTGTGCTATCTGGAACGGCGACTCAAGATATCCCAAAATATCTTCAGGGGAAGCTAAAGCATATCTAGCTAGAGCTTTTATTCCATCTGTTATTTCAAAAGTTTGACCTGTCATTTTATGTAGTTTGCAGGGGCTTTAGGGAGTAGAGACCCCAGGTTACTCTAGATGATGCAGAATAAAGTAGCAAGGAGAAGTTGGAAAATTGTGGGCACTATGAATAAGTCCAAGCCGGCAAGCCGATCCAGCGATGTGTTAGCAATAGAGTTGCTCATATCAGTAAATTTGGTTTATGGTCAGTTTCGAAGCTTGCTGGCATTGGAGCAGGTACCTGGTATGCAGGACCGATTCGCATGCAATGTCAGTCCGAGAGGTTGAATATAGAGATCGGAGGAACGTTTCAAACAAATTTGTCTTAACTTCCTCTCTTTTCAAGGCCCTTTTGAAACGACTTTATATCATGTCCCCTGATGGCCGATGTCTCATCTCTAGGTGTTCGTGCAACTCGGCCCGATAAGATAACCTCGTACTTTTATCGGGCCTCAAAACCATGGATTTCCACTGCACATTTCTTTATACCACATTTTTGGTAAACAGAAACCATAAAGGTTGGTTTGTTGAATCATGTCCAATCCGTTGAAGTGCCTTTTGATTGAATCGTGACGCCGGTAATTTATTAAGCTCCGTTAGCTCATTAATGTTTCTCGGCAATGACATCAAGACTTGATCGAAATAAAGAGAGACTCTAATCATCTGGCCGCACAGGCTAGGCTTTCTGATATCCAATGGGTTCTAGATCGCCTTGTCTTGTCTAGTATAGATTACCAGGGCGGGAGTTCCTACCACTTACAAATATACGCCCTCTCCACACTGACATACACTCCGTGGTGGCCCAAAAATACGAGATTCAACAGCAGGCTCCACTTGACCCAAGAACCGTTGTCTGTCGTTCCTGGCCCTTGCAAAAGTGTAATTTGGGCACCGAGAAATCTCCACCTAGTGGACAGTAATCTCTTTACGCTGAACATAAATCTGCTTTGTGGGATAACGAGGTACTGGGCACGACGAAAGAGGAAGAGGGATGTGAGCGAGAGCGAGTGCCGGAGGAAGCTCCGATAGTATTCATATCAACCACGGCAAAGAGCCAGGAACCGAGAAGAGAACATAGCGATCGCAGAAGCCATTAGAAACGAAAGGCGGGCGCACTGACGGCATCAGCCCTAGAAAATTTTATCGTGTCGATGAAACAGCAAATTCGCAGGGCCTGGCCGTCTGCCCTCCTCGCCATCCAAGGTGCGGAGCACAGCTATCGAGATTACAGACCCGGTCTTTTCTTCTCTAATTTCGGCGCTCAAGCATCTGGCCCGTAGCGATCGTGTGCTTTGTGTCCTCCTTTCTCGTCTCGAACCCGGGATTGTCGCCCGAGAGTTTCTACAGTGACCCTGTGTGCTTTGGATGCGATCGGGTCCATGATTCCGAGTCGATCGGGGGTATTTACGATGATTGCGGCTCCATCGTTATTCCACAATGTGGAATATCAATGAATAGTTATATGCCGGTCTATGGAGCATACAGTAGATATTTGTATATGCAATGCAGATAATGTCCCGGTGATCAAAATGATCAATGCAAAATGCAGTCACTTAGCTCTAGTGTGTTAGCCCCGGTTGATAGATCGAAAATTGCACGGAAATTTAATCTCAGGCAGCGCCTCTTTCGCACGACGAAAGACGGGGGAGACGGAGGGGCGCCTCCGGTGGAGGATGGGAAATCAGAAATTCGATTTCAGGCCCCCGTTATTGAGTTACCAGTGGAGTCTCTGTCCCGGTTGTTTCCCCACACGCCAGCTACGCTTTGCTTGGACATTTATTGTTGTCTACAATAGGTGATTTCCTGATGATTAAAGTGCTATTCAGAAAGCGATGCAACAATTAAGTGGCATGCATGAATGGAGGGGAAATGTGGCTTTCATCCATCGGCTGATGCCAGCCATTCATAGATCCCATCTTCAGCACAAACATTGCCATTCAGCCCAGAGTTTACAAGATCCATACCATGCCCCTCTCGGGCGGCATCAAAATTACGAAGCCAAGCCCACCCCATTTGGGGCTAGTCAGGGGCACCACTTGGCCCCCAGCCAATCTCCGGCGACGGGGAACTTCGTTGCTGGTTTAGGGTGCCGCCATCGGGGAAAACGCCAGCCTGTAATTAAGCAGGATGAAGTATTAGCAAGTACAGTATTCTCCAGTTTCTTGTAGGTCCGTATTTTTTCAAAGGTTCTAAGGCCCCTCGACAAATTTGATCTGTTGGTCCTCTGGCCTGGACAGCTCTGCCTGCCCCCCCCTTCTGCAAGATGGTGGGCATGCAATTAATTTATCGGAAATCCCCTCCGCATACTTTCTCGGTATCTGTACTTAGTTGAGTAGTTAATCAAATTAACTTAGTTGAAGAATACCCTGTACAGCATGATTGCCGAAAAGTTTTTCGCTGGCCGAGATGCGAATGTCGCTTTATCCGAGTGTTGATCAGCATACTAGATATCCATTTCGGGCCATGCTGCTGCTGGACCCTATGTATGCATTCTAACAGTATTTGCCTCGGCAATACCCATTTAGAGCCGCCTTAAGACAAAATTGAGGCGTCATTATTAACAGCAAAGGACCGCCCAGTGGATCCTTCGTCGATAGATGGAGAGGACTGAAGAAATTGTTCATACTCAAGAGTCAGGACCCAAGCGAAGCAATTTCTGGGGCCCACAGCTCGATTTTTCACCCTTTGTGAGGGCCCCTTATCAAAAGCTACACCTAAGAGAGCAGGTCCTCCGCAGATGGTCCAGACGCTCGCTAAAGCAAAAAAGCTTTGCCCACACCGGGCCCAGCAACGGCTGTCAAGCCTTCTCCCCCAAAAACGCGACCCAAACTAATTTGCGCTAGGCAATGTTTGTCCCCAGTCGTTCCCATTTCGGGAGTCGCGCCGTTCGTGTTGTTGGACTCCATGATCTGTGCTTTTTCTTCCATGATCTCATAGTTCCACAGAGAAAATCTCTAGTCTTGGACCGAAGAGCCGGATTTGGGCAAGCAATGATGCAAATTGTCGTCGGCCTTATGGAGTCAATAGTAATCTCAATCTAGTAGTAAATCTACACAAAAAATTTCTAGCACTAATGATTGTCGCTGCAGGGTGGGGAGGCAATGAGATAGATTGGCGCTCACCTGACTACTCCTGCTTCTTTTGACCGGAGCTATAGATCCGCGGAGGGGCAGCAATTAAAAAGTAAAAGGCAATGCGATCATAGAACCGAACTATGGTTTGTTTACTGTGGAGACAGGATTGGATGGAGGTGGTACTGCATTTTGATAGCTTGATCAGATGAACAACTGGATGCCATCGATTCCCACTATTGGAGAAGCTGTGGGAGAAGCGCTGCACGACGCAGGAGGCCCTGCAGTATCGGAGAAATACGTCAGGATTGGCTAATTTTATCAACGACCAGCTGCAAGCCATGTCGCCGTAAGCCATGGCTTCTCTTCACGAGCGCGGCAATTGGAGATATAATTGCATTGTGGTGCCTCGTTAGGGTAGGAGTTCTTGCCCGCATGCTGCGGGCTTTCCCGCCCATGCAAGGAGTTTGATCTCATTATCGGTCGCTAATACCAGGAACAACAACATCAAATCTTGATTATCACTGGGATATCATATAATTATGCTTTCGTCATTCGTCATTCGTTCTTCCGTGTCTCACGCGGAGGACATGATTCATGGAGATATTGCCGACCAGATTTGAAAGTATGGTACACATCGGACATTGCCTAGGGAGGCAGCTCAGAAGCATCAGCCAAGACAATTGGGTCCTTCACCCGTTTAATATTCAGGGCATCAAAGATCGTCCGGTAGTCCACTGTTCGTGGAAAGCCCTGGGGCTGTCCCGTGTCCAAACTCCCGGAACGACTAGAACGCCCAAGGAGGGCGACTAGAAGGGCTAGTCGGATTTTTTCATTTATTTAGTTAAACTGTTGGGAGCCCGGCTTTGAACTCCCGGCGAGAGACGAGCTAGCCTGCTAAGAACAGGATAGGACCCTTGTCATTCAATGGACTAACTTGTTTGGTTGCACGGAGAGTTGATTTTTGGATTGGTGTTGTCGCTATCGCGATTCGCTACATGGGTACACACTTGGCAGTTAGAACGCGTCGCAACTCTAAGCCCCGCGTTGGTATGGACCAGCTCAGCCATGCGGCGCATCTTTTCCCCCCATGTCGCAGCGCGACTGGGATCCTCCACAGTCGTTGAAGTGGCGGTTCAGCCCCAGATCCACATGCCGCAGCACGCGAGGTAAAGGAGAGATGCGATAGTGACTGGAATTGATAATGGCTGTTTCAATATGATGGATGGAGTACTATTGTACAGAGTATATACTTCGTATACAAGTTACAAGAGTATGGAGTAGGGGACAGTGTTGAGGTGGAATCCGAGGAATAATACCAATACCGCTGCAATACGCAGTACGCTGCAAGGGAGGTTTCAATTGGCCCCTCTTTATTACGCCCTATTCTCCTGCCAATTCCCAATTTCCCTCCTCAAATGGCAGTGGTCCTTAAATTACCAGGTACGATCTCGCTACCCCTAAGGACTGGTAACCAATGGTATTGAATGGTACTGGCCAGTAATTGGCACAGCGTTAACAGCTCTCCGCCATAACCCATGGAAGCCCTCTCGGGAAGCCCCTTGTTGGACCTCATGGGCTTGCACTGCAGATGACAGGAAGTGATATAAACAAACAGAATCTACTGATTACGGCCGAATCCTTAAGATGATCATTCTCGTCGACTTCCGAGATCGACTTTGAACGGTGGGCACCTGGACGAGGCGATCCGGATCCAGATCCCCTTCTTATTATTAATTTTTAATTTTATTTAGTCTGTTTTAGTCTCTAGTTTTTACTTTTTTTTTCTTAAATAATTTTTTTTTCAGTGGTCCAGTTTCTAGCCCCGTAACGGAAAGTCAAGTAATCTATGCCAACGCCAGCGCTAACACCCTCAACCGGGTACTTTTCCCATCTTCTGTACTCGTCGCATTCTTCGACGAGGTCCTTCTTCTTCTTCCTCCTCTCCTTAGTCTCTCGTTCTGTCATATTTCGGCTCCCCTGTCTCTCTTTTATCCCCAACTCTACTCGCCATTGCACTCTCGACCAGAAACACACTGCAACTTCCAATCGCCTCCCAATCAATTGGCCCCATTTCTTTTTCCTCGTGTGATCAGTCCAGCCATTTTGCCTCTAACCCCCGATTGCCGCTTGATTGGTGTTTGATCCCCTGCGACCCGACTACTTTTCGACCTGCTGTACGCTGAATACCTGGAATCGCGGACACTACTTGACACACGCTACTCGCATTCCGTCTACTTCAGGAGGCAATCAATCCGTCGCTCTATTGCTCCCCCCGCCAAATTCGCACCCTCTTGCGCCAAACGGCCATGCCGCTCTTTCCACTCTCCGGTTAAGGAATTCCCAGTGAGTCGGTCACAGGAGTACAATTCGGGGAGAAAAGACAAAGGACTAGGAAGACTGACATTCCTGCGTTGAACCTAGCAGTCATTTACTCGTACCCCTCCCTCGTCATTCGCTTCGCTCCGAGCATATCTAGGCCGGTAATCACTCTTTTAATCGCCGGCAGAGTCTCGGTCACTCTTATTTCATAATGCATCGCTTTCGCAAGAACAAGAAGGTCAAGGAGACCTTGGATGAGTTGGAGAATGGGCCATCGACGTCAACCTCGCCCTTTAGTTTGAAGCCCTCGAAGAAGAAGGATGCGGCGGAGGCACAATTCCAACTGGACCTATCCGGCGCCCTCCCTTCCTCGGATGATTTCCGCACGAGTCTGCTCATGCCCAAGCTGTCCGCTCGATTCAGCATGTTGAGAGAACAAGATGATCCAGATACGATGATTGGAAAGGCCAGCGACGATAGCGTCCTGTTCCCTAAGCGAGCCTCGCGATTGAATCTCTTCGGCCACAACCCTAGTATGTTGACGGACATCGATGAGGTATCATCCAACGACGGCAGCCGTCCATCAATTGCACTGGGACGAGCCGACTCTTATGCATCTGGCATGGAAGCAGGATATGGTACCGATGATGACCGTTTGCAAAGTGGTAGTATCATGAGCCGAGCTCGTCGGGCAGAAGGAAACAACCTCTTTGGTGGCCGTCAAAAGGTCTATCGCATTCCGGTTCGCTCGCCTTCAGGGACGGAGCCCAGCTCAACGGAGCCCACCCGCGGTATGGGCAAGTTTGTCTACGAGCATGACCTTAATATGTCTGCCTTCCAAAAGATGAGGCACAAGGAGAAGGAAGAACAGCGACTTGCGGAGGAGGCAGCCCAAGCAGAGGCAGCCCAAGAGGCCGCGATGCAAGAATCAGAGGATGCGACTTCGACTTTCTCGACAAAACGCACTACCTACTCTTCAACAGCGTCCGGGCCTACTACTAATGCTCGTACCTCCACCGCTGCCACTTCAATCGACGAATCCCTGCCTAGTGTCTCTCAAACGTCAACGGCCTCCGCGCCTGCTCCAGAATGCCCAGTCGACGCTCGCCCACCATCCGCCATGTCTACACCTCGGAATGGCTCCGTTCGGTCTCGTCGTCTCTACGGGCAAGGGCTCACACAGACCGCTCAGAACCAACAATCCTCGACTTTGAGCCGCCTGGAAAGCCTGAGCCGCCAGCGTGCGGGTACTCCGGACCTGATTCCCTTGAACCGTAACTTCTCGCGCAGTGCCACCAACCTTCGTGATCGCCTTCAGAAGCTGAATGTTACCGAACCGGCTACCACGGCTCGGTCCACTAGCCCTCCCTCATCGGCGACTTCACCCAAGCAGCCCACACTTCCCGAGGCTGCTCCCAAAGACCGTATTTCGCCCACTGTAGCTAGTTTCGGCGTCGCACCTCCCCTGAGCCCGCCAACTAGCGAGAATGAGGATGGTAACAACTTGCTAGCAGCGGCACTCAACCCTGAAGATCATGGAAAAGCCACTGCGATGGGTCTTTTCAACCGGCCTGCCACGGGCTTCGATGAACAGCAGTTTATGCGCCGCCAATTGCAGATGCACCAGGGACGCAACACTCCTCCCCCACGGCGTCCATCTTCCCCGCGTCGTGCTCCGCCGCAGGAGCCAGCTGGCCGCTCGCGCGGTCTTTCCAAGTCTAGCTATCGTTCTCGAGCCGAGTCTGCTTCTTCTCATTACAGCAGTGACGCCCACAACGGCATTGATCACTCCCAAGCACCTAGCGTGGAGGCCTCGCCCGGCCGCCCAGGTATGACAACCTTCTATGCCAACTCGACCGCCAGTGACTCTGGCGACGAGAACGATGACCGTCGCTCGTACGAAGTCTCGTCCGTGACCACCATGGCTACCGACTTTGGTCACCCGCTGCAACATACCAGCACCGCCTCTAAGCCTCCCACTCCCACGGGCGAGCATCTGGAAACCCTCCCAGAGGTCAGATACTCGGATCTAGGCGACCTCAAGCCTATCGAGGAAGACGAGAGCATGGAGAACGATGCCTTGACTCAGCTTGGAGATGGCAACACTCCTCAGCGACCGGATTCACCAACATTCGGTCTGAACGGCTTCATCCAGTCTCACTTGCGCCAAGTGAGCAACCAGTCCTCCATCTACCCCCCACCATCTCCGGGCCTACCACCCCAAGACTCCAATGCAAACAACCTCGCTACCGACGAGCCTATCTCTGAGGTAACTACTCCCGCACTTACCCCTGACGAGACGCCTTCGACTCTTGACATGCAAATCGAGCCCTCAAGCCCGAAGCCTCCGTCCCATCAATCCTCCGACGTGACCGCCAATCGCTCAAGTGGAGACTCCTCTGATGCTAGCGCACTGCCTGGACATGGCGTCGCAGCCCCACATTCCACGAATTGGAGGGACGAGCTGGCCTATCACCACCGTCGGGACGGAAGCACCGAGACACAGAAGGAGCGTGAAGAATTCGCTATGGAGCTGGCCGAGCGGCGTCGCAAGGTCCAGGAGAAACTTCGCAGCGTTGCTGAGAGTGAAAGCCGTTCCAGTAGCCCGACCCCCGGTCGACAGACCCCTGATTTCGGTGGGATCAAGGCGGGCAATGCCTTCTCTCTCTTGAAGCACAAGCCCGGCAAGCAAGGTCCCCCTCAGCAGGATGCCAAGAGCAAGATGTATGGGTATAACAGCGGGTCCACTCCTGCCCTGGTGTCAGAGGATTCTTGGCGCGAGGAGGAACGACCCTCTTTCAACCTTGGTCGTCACTCCAACTCCAGCTCTCCATACGTTGGATCCGAACGATCAATCCGGTCGCGTATGCCTACCATCGGTCGCAACAGCAATGAGGATTCTCGCGAATCTAGCCGCAGCCGTGGCCCCTCCCCGCACAATGCCTTCCGATCCCGTTCCGGCTCCGACGCCTCTGGTCGGTCCAAGAGCCGAACTCGCTACCGCGAGCGTGATGATCTTCAGACTGTAGATGAGGGTGCCGTCATTGCTCACGACAATTTCGTCGTTCCTGACAACTTCGAGCCTCCCTCCGTCTCTAGCTCAGCCCGCCCCTCCATGGAGGTTGAGCCGCTCATGTACGATCGTTCCTCCTCTGCCGCATCTGGTAGATACCGCAGCGCCAGCCGTTCAGGGACCGGGCCCCCCAACTTCCAGTACGAACGACCGTTCGCATACCAACAGTCCCACCCTCCCTCTATCATCGGTGCTACGCCTCGGGCCCCTCCCGCTGCTCCTGCATACTCTGCCAACGCCACCCCTCCGCTGAACGAGGACCAGTCTCCAACTGCGACCATTTCTTCTGCTGGCAGCAGCGCTCATGCTCTGCCTCAACGTGCGCCTGGAAGCAACTTGCTCCAAAAACGCAGTGTCAACAAGAAGCTCATCTCCGAGCCGACCTTGGTGTCTTCCACCTCCAATGTCCCCCTCGTTGGTCTTCCCACGGGCAACTCGATGGCATCCATCTCTTCACAACAGGGAGCCACTCCACCTCCCCTCCCACCCATGAACCCCCGTCGTCGTCGCGGCACCCAAACCATTCTCAGCGCCTTCAAGTCTGACAAGCACGAGTCCCGGGTATCTTCTCCAGCTCCCAGCATCTCTGATGAGCAGAGCTACTTCCCTGACGATGAGAAGCGCCCACGCTCCCGCAACCGTCTACGCAAGACCTCTAGCGAAGGTGGCAACCTTCATGGCAGAGCCCGTGGGGACTCCATGGTCAGCCCAGCCCCTGCTGTTCCCCAATACCCACCTCCTGCAATCCCCGTGGATGGTGGCATGTTCTAGAACAAGCCGGCCTTTGTCTCCCATTCTCTTGTTTGTGATTTCCACTATTCTGCGTCTTTGTCTTGGTACATTATCGCATATTCCATCCTTCTCATTCTTTCTATCGTCCTTCCCGGGCCGATATCCCCTCGTTCTGGATACTTTTCTTGTTTTACTTTTCCTCTGAACTCTTCACGACTATATACCACCTGGTGCATTTCTTGAGCGTCTACTATCTACCTGTCATCATCCACTTTGCCATTTCGTGTCTAACTATTTCCTTATCTTCGACTTCTGTTCTTTTGATCCATATTTTCTAGCGGTGTAACCAATATAGCCGTACAATTGTGCAAAAATTTATCCATATTACTTGAAGGATTTCTACGTTTGAAATAGAGCATCTTCTGGGCTTTTAACTACTTTTCTCGTGTCTACAACGTAATAATTCTTGGCAATACGTCCATACTTCACATGCGTGTGCGTACAGATTTGTGCGTGCGAATTAAATCTCCCGCTATCCCCAAACCAAAGGGGTCAAAATAAGGTTGCCACGTGGTGGTCACGTGCAACTATAACCCCTGAAAAACCAATGTCAAGTATAAAAATGATCACGCATTTTCAAAGCATTGATGAGATTTTTGGTAGCAATTGCTTTGATTTGGATATATAATGACTTTGAGGTTATCTCATGCTTACATTGTACTAATATTGCTTGGCTATGGTCTTGTATCTGGTTGAAATCGTTTATCACCATGGATGCGAGCGCTTTGAGAATTATTCGTCTATAAAACGCATTTGTAGGCTCCGAGAAATGACTTATAACTTGCTACATAAACTAATGTTTTAGATATACTCTCATATAAACAGTTATTGTGTAAATCTCGCTCGTTTCTCGTTGCCTGGGAAAGCTATGTTGTCGTGTTGAACGTGTACTCGCCTGATTTGGCCGCTGACTATCTCGTTGCCTCATATTCCCCTTCCCCAATATAGCTTGCGTTTGCCTTCAAGACCCGCGTAATTAAGGCAGGAGTTTGCGGCTGGTCGGAGCCCTGGCTGGGACGCATTTAAACTCGGAGCTACTGTCTTCTTTTGTTTCCTCCTCCTCTCATCCTTCCACGCACTCGCTCCTACAACCCTTTTCTTCTCTACATTCACACATCCCAGATCGAAGACCTCTTTATCTTTGAAAAAAAAAGCTGCGCCATCCCCGGTTCGAACCCTCGATTCGCGATGGCTCCAGCACCCTCACGAATCGCTCCTGTGGAGGGAGATGCCTTCATCAACGAAATCAACAAAGGCCCGCACTGGACCACCGACCTGCCTCAAGAATACAGAGACGCTTGGGGCTTGGGTCACCTTCCTGTTCCCCCACCTGCATACGATACTGAACCTGCTTCGCCTACTGTCTCTTCTTCCCCTCCTACTGCACCAGCTGTTCCCCCTCGTCGTCTTGTTCGTTCTGCCTGGCACCCTGATCTTTCATCGGAACCTGGCCACCAAGCTCATTTCCATCAACAAGATCATCACGCTTATCAGAGCTTTCCAGACCCTCCTCGATATCAAGACACTCTGCAGGGTCAACAACAGCTACGCGCTCAAGACCACCCCCACCATCCCCATTCTTATCATCTCGAATACAGTGGTCCCCAAAACCAAACTGCTTCTCAAGGCTATCTGCAGCGTCAACAGCAGTTACTCATTCAAGACCACCCTCAGCATCCCCACTCTCATTCTCTCGAACAATCTGTTCCCCAGAAACAGCCTGCCCCTCACTCCACTCAGTCTCCTGACAGTCCACCTCCGCCATACCCCCTCCACCCAGACCTTTCTGAGAAACTGTATCAGTTGACCAAGAAAACGGTGGATCACATCACCAACACCCTTGGTGCGGATCGTCTCCGAGCTCTCGCTCTCGAGGGACCTACCGAGTCCGCTGTTGAGGAACTGGAGTCTGTTGGATCTCGCTATGACCGGGAACTAGACTTGCTCTTCGAAGGTGACCTCGACTCTGAGACTCAGCAAGCTATCGACTGGATGGTCAAGGAGCCCAACGACTGGCCTCTTGATAAGTCCCTCAAGTCCATGGTCAACGAGTCACTCCAAGGGATGATCAACGAGTCTGCCGAGGCCGCTGTCAACCCCTCCAAGCAGAGTAAGTTGATATCAAGCGATGACTACACTCAATCATTACACGAGCTAACTACCCTCACTACAGGTTGTACTTCCCCTTCCCCTTCCCCCTCCGTCGACGTCGGAGACACCGACGCCGTCGAAGCCCCAGAAGAACCCAAGAAAAGGGTTCGAAGCCGCATCCACAAGAACAAGCCAGGGCGCCGAAGGATGCGCCAGAGAAAGCTAAAGAGGATGGCTCTGCGTGCTTCCAACAATCCCGAGCCCGCCAGGGGCTCCCCCGGCGATGCTACGCCTACTAGCATTGCCGAAACCATCATCGGGTCGGACATCGACGTCGTGCGTTCGTCCTCCCCCTCGCCTTGCCCCTCGCCTCTGCCCTCTGAGGGCATGCATGTTGTTTCTTCGGCGCCGGCCGTCCCCGAGGCCCCGCCCAAGAAGAAGGGGAAGATTCAGGCCGATAAGGCCGGTGACAACATCCCCCGGGTGTCTTTGGATGCCCAGCTCACGGCGTCGGCTACGTCTGCCCAGGAGCCGAGAGTCTCTCACGTGGGGGCCACCTCTGAGGTGGAGAACCCTACCGGTGTTACCACCGGTGAGGATGGTTCTCCCAAAGCCTCGGAGGGCCCATCTCCCACCGTCGTTGACGGTGACGAGGCCACGGGTGAGTCGTTCACTCCAAACCAGGAGTATGTCGGCCCGTGCGTCATCGACACGGAGGAGTGGCGCCAGCGTACGCTGGCTCATCAAGCTGCCGAGGAGGAGAAGAGAGCTGCCTTCCTCGCTGCTGCTCCCCGTGTTGGTGATGTGTTCCCTCACTCTGTGGACCAGAGTGAGAACAGCTGGACTCAGTGGCCAATGCAAGGTCAATCGGTGCCAGCTCAGTACTCGCACGACGGTGGTCACCGGACTGGGTACCAAAATCCCTGGTCTGGCGTCGTTGTGGGTCCTGCTCGAGATGGACCGATGTGTGGGTTCTACCCAGCCTGCTGCCACCACAATGGCAACCCCCGTTGCAGCTGCTGCTGCCTCCATGGCCCAGCACACTGCTGGTATGCGTCAGATAACAATTTCCCACGCAATACCGATAGGTTTGTCGCCGCCCCGCCCCCGCCTGCCGCCGGCCGGGAGCTTGCACCTGCGGTTGCTTCGCTATTCGAAGCATATCGCACGTCAAAGATGTCGCCGAGTACCAAGTCCTCGAGCTTGGGTGAGCCTGTCAGTGAGCCCATCGTTGAGTCGGTGGAATCGCTGTTTGTCGTTGACCGACAGTCGTCCCGGGCTTCGTCTACCTCTACCCAGGCACCAAACGAGCCCGCTGTCGTCTCATCCACGACAAACACCGACACAACCCTGGATGCGTCCACCATTCAGGAGACAACCCCGGCCAACAACTCACAGATGATGAGTTTGCGCCAGGCTCATCCCGGCGAGTTCTTGACTCCGGAGGACTTGAAGTCCCCCAGCCTGTACTTTGACGCCAAGTCAAAGAACCTGAGCTCCTCCGTTCTGGCTTCCAGCGAGTCGAAAGAGGCTTCGCGGACTACCAGCCGCAAGCCATCGACCGCCGCCAGCAACGACCCCGAGGAGAAAGGCCCATCAATGTCGGCTGAGGACGCCCCGGAGACTCGCAACCAGGGTTGCCAGACTATGCCTGCCGATGCCCGTGAACAGTCCCGCCAGCCTGAGGCCACTGGCCCACTGGCTTTCCAGACTGACCATATCAAGGCGCTGTTTGGCAACCCTGTGTTCGCCGACATCCAGCTCCTGCTGAGCCCCGACCCGTCCCATCCTCCCATCATCTATAATCTCCACAAGGCGATTATTGCTGGGAGCCCCTTTTTGTGCGATGTGATGGCCGCCAAGAGACACCGTGATGGTGGTGTCAACCATATTCGTGCTTTCACCGGAATCTCATTCTCGTGCTCGCACGCCTTCACCATGGCCCTTCAGGTCCTGTACGGAACCCCCCTCGTCAACAACGAGACCCTTCGCAAGTCCACTCTGCAGGGACTGGGTCTTCCCGACGACAACGGCACAGGAACCTACTCCTTCTCCATTGAGCGTGCCATGGTTGATTTCGCCCTTTGCTACGCTGCCGCTGGCGCGTTCCTTGCACGCCGCGAGATTACCGAGCGAGGCATCGACATGGCCATCAGTCGCATTTCCTGGGAGACTGCCGAGTTCATCCTCAGCTTTGCCATGACCCCCGTCACTTACATGGTGACCTGCCCCGATGTGCCCTTCTCCCCAATCAGTCCCGCCAACTCGCGCGCGTCCTCTCTCTCCGCTGGCCACGGCAATGGCAATGGCACTCCCATCGCTGGACTCGATCATTTCCACGACTTCCACTATGTTCAGGCGCAACGAGCTCAGAATGCCGCCCTGCATTTCATCACCGCAGCGGTCAAGCCGGGCTTCGAACTGTACCGACGTGCCCAGGCTCACTACACCCCGAGCCGCGTCCCGCCTGCTCTACACACCCTCCCGGGATCCATGCTATCCAACCCACGCCTGGAGGAGATCCGATTCGGCAATTTCCCTTCCTTCGCCGACCTGCGTCCTACCGACCAAGGCATCCTGGTTCCTTCCGCCATGCTGATCACCCTCCCATACCGGGTCTTCCTGGCTACCCTTGACATCATGAAAGCTTGCGGCAATCTAAGCACCGAGCTGCTCAAGGAGGTCCTAGAGGAGCGCGAGTCACGTCGTCTGCATGCACTGCGTATCTCTCTCCGCGTTGACAGCTGCAAGGTCCCTCCTGTGGCCTTTGCCGAACTGCTGTATCGGGAATTCGCCACGACGGAACCAACTGAACACACCACTGATCAAAATGAGGGTGTGCTCCCCCCAATCGTCGACCGGGTTTGGACTGGATATGATTTCCCAAACAAGTCGGCCCTGAGACCCCGTTGCCGTGCGTCTTCCAATGGCTCCGGCCCTCCCCTTGCGAGCAATGCCTCCTGAATCTGCATGGCATGCTCCGATCTTTGTATGAGTATCGAGAATGAGAAGAAAGAGTATTCGAGAGACGAGGACATGCACAGTGAATACACCATTCACCGTGCCATAATGATGAACATGAGAATACGAGAGACGAGAATACGAGATTCGGCCTGGTTCACACAAAGTGTACAATAGGAACCACGGCCATGAATAATGAAATTCAAATTCTAAAACATAAATCTTTTCTTTTTCCAGTGGTATCGTAAATCACATATTTTGCAACATAAAAAAAAACAAGATGCCCTTCCTATCTACCCAAGGTATCACACTCTCTATAAATGTACTCAAAAAGCGCAGGTTTCATAGTCTAGGTGTGGCAAGTCACATCTTATCGGGGAAACCAAAGTTCTTGCCGAAGGGAGGGAAGACGAAGCGCTGGAAGGACTTGGTAGCAGCCAGCTCGTCGGAGTACTTCTTGATAGTAGCAATGTCCTCGGCGTCCAAATGGATCAAGTCCTTGCGGTTGGCCTCGATACGGGCAGGTGTGACGGACTTGGCCAGGACGGAGGAACCACGGGCAACTAAAGAGAGAAGAAAAATCAGTTAGAAGGATATTTCTCTCAATTTTTCCACATTTGTGAGGAACAGATGCAGGGTATACATACTGTGCCAGCTAAGCAAAACGGTAGCCGGAGAGACACCACGCTTCTCGGCAACCTCGACGATAGGCTTGGCCGTGAACAGAGGGCTACCGGTGCTACCCAGGGGACTATAGGCGGTAATGTGGATACCCTTCTGGTTGCAGAAATCGACAATCTCCTGCTGGGGCAGCGAGGGGTGGTTCTCGATCTGGTTAACGGCGGGGACGACGGTGGCCTGGGCCAGGAGTTCCTCCAGGTACTGGACACTGTGGTTGGAGACACCGATGGCGCGGACCTTGCCGTTTCCGACGAGCTTCTCCATGCTCTTCCAGGTGGTGACGTGGCTGTGCTCGTGGACAATGTCCCGCGAGCCGTCTGCCAGCTTGGGGAAGATAGGGTGGTTTCCTATAGGGTTGTATTAGTAGTTTGTTTCCCGGGCTTTTTGTATTCTCGAGAAATTACCGTTGGGGTTCATAGCCAGAGGCCAGTGCATCAAGTACAGATCAACGTAGTCCAGACCCAAGTTCTTCAGGGAAGCCTCGAGACCCTCCTCGACGCGGGCGTGGTACGAGCACCACAGCTTGGTAGTGACGAACAGATCCTCGCGCTTGACAATGCCAGCGTCAATGGCCTCCTTGATACCCTGGCCGACCTCGTGCTCATTGCCATAGCACAGAGCACCGTCAATGTGGCGGTAGCCCGACTTAATGGCGTGGCTCACGGCGCGAGCAACCTCGCCAGGCGCAGACTGCCAGGTACCCAGGCCCAGAGCAGGGATCTCAGCACCGGTGTTCAACTTGAAACGGACGTCAGCTGCAGCCATTGTGATTGTAGTAGGGGTGTTTATGGGGAAAGAGGGAGGAAAAAAGAGGAATTGAGGTAAAAGAAAGTAGAAAAAGAAATCGAAGAGCGGGGGAAACAGCTCGATGTAAAGATGCCCCGAATGTTTATCCCCCACGCGCGGGGGCACTTCTTTTGCCCCGCCAAATGGACTCGGCACCGGTCACGTTCTTTTGGTTCTTCCATCAATCATCTTCAACGTTGGACAGTGTACTCCAGTAATGTACTACAGTGAGTTCTATCCCTATTAATTCTCAGGTACATCCTACTCTGATTATCTAGGACTGATGGCTCGATAATGATGGTGTTCATCTTCTCTCCTCACGAAAAGACTCTGCTAGGGAGATGCCCCGCATCGGCAACTGTGCAGAGAACGGAAGACCAACCGACGCCCTGATCCAAATTCCAGGGACGTCATTTCTCGAATCCAAGAGAAAGATCCATCTGGGTAACCGGCGGCGACAATAGCCCAAAGACGATTTGGGCATAAGTCAGCGAGGCCGGAAACCAGAATCCTGCCGAGTTCCACGTGACCACCCTCTGTCCCACATCCCCACGCTGGCCAGTTCTTGTCCAATCACAACTCTCTTCCATATACTCGTGCCCCAAAATAGTCCAAGCACGGATTCTGGAATCCGTGATCGTGTCTCCACGATGCTTGTCCGCACAAGCCAGGTCTGCAAATCATGGGTCGATCCCCGGGGAATATTGCCAGAATCGAGCATGGTCGTCCCCTCCATAACATGCTGCACATCGGAAACATAGATGCGATTCGTTTGGTGTCCACGTTGGTCGTGGAGACCACTCCCTATATAGGGATCTGGATCTCCTCCTGGGATCGAGGGTGTTATTCTTCAGTACAATCATCCCAGTGAAGACAGTTCAGTGAAGATTCTGCAAGTTTACCCTTAAAAGTGAAATCCTTGCCACTCGTTCCCAAAGCAAACACATCACACATCACTCTACATAACCAACAAAATGGCACCCGTCGCCATCACCGAAACTCCTGCCCCCGCCTTCAACAAGAATCGGGATGGCCAGGCCCTCGAGGAACTCTCCGATGCCATCGACGAGGTCAACGTCCTCAAGGCCAACATGAAGGAACAAAAGGAAAAGGGCCTGTACGAGGAGTCCGAGTTCGACAAGGGCAAAGATAAGACCGCTTTCCGCCAGTACGAGGACGCCTGCGACCGCGTCAAGAACTTCTACAAGGAGCAACACACCAAGCAGAGCGTCGCCTACAACCTCAAGGCTCGTCATGACTTCCACAGCAAGACCCGTGCCGAGATGACCATCTGGGAGGCCATGGAGAAGCTCAACACCCTCATCGATGAGTCCGACCCAGACACCAGCCTCTCCCAGATCGAGCACCTCTTGCAGTCCGCTGAGGCCATCCGCCGCGACGGCAAGCCCCGCTGGATGCAACTGACCGGTCTGATCCACGACCTGGGCAAGCTTCTCTTCTTCTTCGACGCCCAGGGCCAGTGGGATGTCGTCGGTGACACTTTCCCCGTTGGCTGTGGCTTCGACGAGCGCATCATCTACGGCCGTGACTCGTTCAAGGACAACGAGGACTTTGGCCACCCCGTCTACGACACCAAGTTCGGTATCTACAGCCCCGGTTGTGGTCTCGACAAGGTCATGCTCTCCTGGGGCCATGACGAGTACCTCTACCACATTGCCAAGGAGCAGTCTACCCTGCCCGACGAGGCCCTCGCTATGATCCGCTACCACTCCTTCTACCCCTGGCATAACGCCGGCGCTTACCACGAGCTGATGGATGAGCATGACAAGGAGATGCTCCGCGCTGTCAAGGCGTTCAACCCGTACGACCTTTACAGCAAGAGCGATGGTATTCCCAGCGCTGAGGAGCTGAAGCCTTACTATATGGAGCTCATTGATGAGTACTTCCCTAACAAGGTTGTCCGCTGGTAAACCCGGTTTTCAAAAGAGATTATATTTGCACTGCACATTTTCTAGACATACTATTTTTCTATGTCCCCTGTTGTCTGAGATTCCCATGTTTTTTTTTTGTTATGCAAGCGATTTTCTATACATTTTGACGATTTCAATGAAATTGGATCTATCGCCTTCCAGGAGAGAAACTGGATTAGGCATCTCATAAGAATTTCTCCGTTGTTGTTTCCTGCCCGTAATATAAAATCAATTAATCAAAGTAATCTAATAGAGTATAGATTAGTGTGAAAATCCTTCCGCAAATCCCGCATGCTTATCAGATAATAAACAGCCAACAACCACCTGCCCGAGTCAGTTAGTCGGCCCCGCCGATCTGTCTTACAATTAACACCATCATCACCACAGGAAGCGCGGCCCCCTGAGCGGTTGCATCGTTGAGTGAATTTAATCAAGCACAGCGCTACCTACTCGAGCCCGACAGCCCGGTGCAGAAAACACTAGTTTCACAGCTCAGCCTAGCGAGACTCGACATGATGATCAAGCAATATGCCTAACTTGACAAGTACTCTGTGCTCCATATTTGATCTTCATTTTTAGTGATCTGGCTAGGCCTGACCGCATCTCCACATCTTTCGGTCTCGTCCTTTTCCACGTCATACTCATCCAGATCAGTAAACGCTCCAGGATAGAAAGCAATCCATGGCACGAGTCTGGAAAAAAGGGGCGACACAGGTTAGCCCAAAGTTCTAAACTAAAACTATAATCCCTCGTTGCGGCGATGTTTTGCGTTATACGGAGTACAGTAACTCCAAACGCCAAGTTTATGAGTCCCTTTTTTCAGGTTTACATCATACCCGACCGTTAGGCCGTCAAACGATGATCGGTTGGTGGATGATGTCAAGGGTTAGATTATTCATTATTCATTATTTCCCTCTCGACCAACGAGGCTCCGGCCCCTTGTCGTGCCTAGGCTCGGCGAGAACTTTTTTACAGGATGATCCAGACTAGGGCCAAACTAACGCGATTATTGCAGGAACTCTAATCGGGCGAAGTTACGCCGACTGGTTCATCGAGAGGGAAACTCTAATTTTGTGCCAAGAGGACTCGTGCTAAGTTCTAGGAGTAAAGTCTATACTTACTGTAATAATAGGCTGGTCCTCCGCTTTTTCCCTTGGCCTTCTACTGTCTCATTCACTTCGTTTCCTTTTACTATCTTTTCATGCACGGAGCATTTAGACTACAGAGAGTGTATTCGTCAAATTCTCTGTTCAGCTTCAGCCCGTTGATGATATCGTTGCTGCCACAATCACAATGAGCGATTTATTCCTTCATTGATGGCTCACGCGGTCAATCTCCGATTCATTGACTCGGCCCTTCACAACTCTTCTCTCCACGAACAACCAAACCCCCCTTCAATCACTCAAAATGGCCGGCGAAACCGGGCCCGTCGAAATCTCACGGGCCCTAGCCATGGTAATGGCCGGCTTCTTCACCCTAGCCTGCTGGAACGTCATCGAAATCTCCTTCTCCATCCTATCCACCTTCCAGCGCTACGCCGGCCTCTACTTCTGGAGCATGGTAATCGCCACGCTAGGAATCCTCTTACACGCTGTATCCTCTTTTCTCCGCTACTTCGCTCTCGCGCCCAACTTCCCCATGTGCTTCCTCATCTGTCTGGGCTGGTACGCAATGGTCACCGGTCAATCGGTGGTGCTGTATTCACGACTACACCTTGTGACTACGCATGAACATTATCCGCGCTGGATACTGTATATGATCGTGTTTAATTTCTGCGCGCTGCATATACCCACGACGATCCTTTTTCTTGGGGCTAATAATGGGGTTACGAGTTTCGTTGCGCCGTTTAATGTTTATGAGCGGATTCAGTTGGCTGGTTTCGCGGTACAGGAAACTATTATCAGCGCTCTTTATGTCTGGGAGACGACTACCTCTTTACGACCGGTTCTGGCGCTCAAGGGTCCTCGGGGGAGGAGAGTGGTTATGAACGTCGTTGTCGTGAACGTTATCGCCGTCATATTGGATGCATCTATCCTTGCGACCGAATATACAAATCACTTCGAGGTCCAAACGACTTACAAACCCGTCGTGTATAGTATCAAGTTACTATTGGAGTTCACGGTCTTGAACAATCTGCTGGCGGTGATTCGGACTACGCCATCGTCTATTGAGGAGGTGAATGTTTCGCAATTACGCAGAGACGATGTGCATATTGGTTCCCTTCAGAGTGGGAACCATTTGGGTGCCGTCGTTGACGTGGAACGGTCTTCGCCGAGTGAACGGCGAGGGTCGTCGAGGGAATCGTTTCTTAAAACACATGAGTTTTGTGTTTTTAATGCCCATCATGAATGACCTACCAAAAACTCTGTATATTATCTATTTCTGTTCTCTTCTTTACAAAAGAATATACCCTTGGCACTGCCCTTTTCATCATCATCGCTGGAACAAGTCTTGATAACATTCATCGTGTGGAGATCCCCTTGTATTTACCGAATTATATACTAACACACCACGCATCTCTAAAGGCATGCCAAACAAAACCCACTTTACAACCGCGCAACCTCCGTCCGGTTTCCTTGCTCATCAAAGAAAATCTTCTTCCCAGAAACCATCGACTCCTGCAACGCAGCCCCAATCCGCACAGCCTGCACGGCAGCCGTTAAATCCAACGGCAACGGAGTCCCATCCAACACCGAAGCAGTAAACTCATTCGCCTCCGTAACAAAAGCATACTCGAACCGATCATAATAAGTCTGAGGGATCTCCCGACGAACACCAGTGCCATCAAACAGATTCACATGGTTCATCGCCGGCTGCGTATTCACTGTGACTTTGCCCTTTGTACCGATGATTTCGGTAGTATCCTCTTGACCGGCGGCCATCATGCGCGAGGCATAGAAGTACGCAATCCGGCCATCGTAGAATTCGACTAGACCGACTGCATTATCTCGGTCGTTGTGCTTTCGGAGGTCTGGCTCGACGGCGGTGATGCCCACGGCGGATACGGACTTGATCTTGCTGCTGGCGCCGAAGAACCACAGTGCCAAGTCGATATCGTGGATGGAGCAGTCCACAAAGATTCCACCAGAGAACTCGGCATAGGCGACGAAGAAGCCGGAGGGGTCGAGCTTATCACAGGTTTGGCTGCGTAGCACGGAGGGGGAACCGATAGCACCAGCGATCATTTTGTTATAGGCATCGCGGTAGGACTTGTCGAAACGGCGGGAGAAACCGCACATCACCTTGAGATGGGGCTTCTTGGAAGCTGCGTCGACGACGGATTGGGACTATACCAAGCGAAAGGGTGTTAGCGATTATTGAATGCTCATCTAGCTCGAGGGAAGTATAGAACGAAGGGTGAAGGGTGCAAACTCACCACCTCTGCGCTAGTCGACAGCGGCTTCTCACAGAGAACATGCTTGTCAGCATTGATAGCTTTAATTGCCTGCTCGGCATGCACCGCGGTCGCAGATGCAACTACGACAGCCTCAAGGCCTTCTTGTTTCAGCATATCGTCATAGTTCTGGTACAGCCGCACGCCGAAGGGTTCCAGGTGCGTCTTGGCCCATTCGAGCTCTGCAGGGTCGGGCGAGCTCGCAGCGACCAATTCTGCTCGAGGAGTGCGTTGGAGGAAGTTCAGGGCATGGCGTTTGCCCATGCGACCGAGACCAGCACAGCCGATCTTCATTCTGTGAGCGGACATTGTGTATGATTTATATGGAATAGAGAGAGGGGGAAAAAGGCGATTGAGACAAAAGAACGGGGGGTTTTCCAGTCGTTAAATGGAATAACACAGGAAATCAAAAGTACTTATGGAGACTTGAAAAAAGAACCTGTCTACACCGACTATAAATGCTCGGGACTCGGAGGGCGATGATCGTCGGATGCGGAGAATGGAGTCCGAGTGGTTCCCCGGAAACGTGGAGTCGGAAAGTGAGTTCCAGCGGAACAACGCCGAGATAATGTACTCGAAAATAGACACAAGAAAGAGAATAAGGAAGACCAAATAAAACCAAAAATCACACAGTAAACAACTAAAATTTCATTATTCGTCCTTGGTCTCCCCCTTCTTCAACGCCCGCCTTGCCTTGCGCTTCTCAACCTCTTCAAGGTCGACGAACCCATCTCCTCGCAACCATGCTAGTCCCTTTCGTAGACCCTTGCCCTGGACTGCCTCTGGGTGAGCCTCGAGAATTGATCCCATCAAGGCCCACGACAGCACGAACAGCCACAGCTCAACGGCCTTGCCGCCCTTCCACAGTCCGTGCTTGACACCAGTCTTCCAAGCCGAGTCCACTGCAGCGCGGAAAAAGTACATGAACACGCTACGGCTATTAGCCAGTAACGCGAATGGAAGACCACCTAGGGCACCGCTGAGGAAGAAGCGCTTGGTTGGGAGGGTCGAGCGGGGCAGGGTGTTGTTCAGGAGACAGACGCTGCCCCAGGCTGAACCAACGGCAGCCGAGAGAACGGCCGTCATGGTGATGATTCTCTTAGATAAGCTATTAATAGAGGTCATAGGCTGCGCCAGGACAGTCTTCAGCTTGGGAATGGTCAGTGCGAGACTGACGGCCGTGAGGAACCGGGCCAACGGGGGCACCGAGAGGAGGATGTGGTGCACGAAGGCGGTGCTGCAGCTGGGAACGCTCGGATGGAGCAATGCGCAGGATAGATGGGCAATCGAAGGGTGAGCGGGCCCAGTAATTGGAGCAATCGACTTGACCGATATTGGGAGGGTATTAGGGTCAGATGGGTGAAGGGTTGGAGAAATAAACGCCCTATATCGAATGAGTGGCAAGTCCATTATTCAATTGGAAGACATCTCAACTTACGGCCAGCGCAGGCTCGCAATAGACGCCAGCGAGTCCACAATCTGATCTTTCTCCGGCCAAGAGACGCCCTCTGGAAGCGCCTCCGGTCGGCCGGGAATGTAGCTCGGCGAGAGTCTGAAAATAACATTACCAAACCACTATAGTATCATGTCAGTCAGTCGCTCGCTAGCTCATATTTTTTCCGCTCCAGACAAACCTTTGGCGTGTTCTCCCGATCAAAAACAAAGGCATGGAAGAGCTGTGCACACGAGACCGGCATCAGCAGCCAGCTGCCGAACCACCACGGGCGGTTATCCAGCCACCCCTTCGAATCCATGACATTGTAGAGGAATTCCAAGCTCCGTGTTCCCGTGTAGATTGCCACGGTCAAGCGGAGCTGGTCCTGAGGGCATATCCCCAGAGCGAAGCCTGCCGCACTTGCGCCCACGGCCGGGGCAAATCGCGACGTCAACGCGCGGGCGATGCGCGGGTTTCGTTCGCGGAACGGTTTGGCATCATCGGTACACAAATTGGCTCGGATTCGAACGAGAAAGCGGTAAAGAAGACGATGAAGCAGAAGCAGGAGGGATAAGGAGAGGGAGAGCCGGAAGTTGGGAGATCGGAGTAGCGGCCCACGGGCTTTCTTCCTAAATGTCGTCGAAACAAATTAGCAAACAAAAACGGCCGAGAAGGAGAGTATCACAAAGCGCTTTAGTTGAGGATAGACTGACTGCTCTATACCTCCACGAATCCGACTGATAATCGTCTCCACCAGCTTCAGGGCAGCTCCGGTGCCAACAAACACCCGCAGCGATGCGCGGACGGCGGCCTCGTTGCGTCGGTTCTTCGAGTGGACGATAGCATCATATTGTGACGGCGAGATTAGTTTGCCTTGAACACCTGGGGCCCGTTTACCCAGCAGACCAAAGAGCGCTCGGTATTCTTTGGCGCTCAGGCTAATGCGCAGAGCGGTGCCCACCACTGGGTGGACGCTCGGCGCATCACTGGGGCTGGGCGCGGGGACGGTCGAGGGGGCATCTGGGGTTGACATGTTGGAGGTATTCCAGCTGCCAACTTCAGTCGCCCATAGTTGTCAAGGGAGGTGGTAGGATGGGAGAGGGGAGGTTTGAAGAGAAAGAGGTCATAAGGAGAGGTCCGAGCTGCGTTGATCTCGGGGCAGCTTCTCCTCGTTGGGCGGAGCGGAGCGACCTCGGCAAATCCAACATGGTGCCCTGGACTTTCTCTATTCAAGAGACAGCCAAATGGTTACAGAATGGCTGCGGCTGACTATAGTTTCTTATTCAACTAAGAAGTCCTCACTTAAGGAATTATTTGAAACGTTAATCGTCTGCTTACCCTTATTGTGAGGTCTTCCACTGTGATCATTTCCCCGGATTCTACCCCAGTCACATGAGAGACCCGTAATCTAACTCATTATGGATCTATAGAGGGACAACATCTACATGCTCACATGGACAGAATCCTGCTTGTATTCTCTAATGGAATTTCACCATAGCCCAGCTATTTCAAGTCTTATGTCTAGACAAAGAATCTGAAAACACCACGAGTCCGGGGCCTTCATTATGGACTCGGCAAGACAAGACGCGAGTAAAACAGCAAAAAATTCCCAAGGAAGCGAATAAACAAAAAAAGCAATAATGGTATGAGAACAATCGGGGGGTACTCTAGATACACTGGAAAACAACCAATAGAAAACCTGGAAAAGAAAAATTATGCTTCGTACGAACGTGCAAAAGCAAAAGATGAAACCCATCGTATCACATCATAGCAAGCCCCAAGAACCCTGAAAGGAAAAGCAAATGGTGCAAAGCGTCGAAGAACAACCCTTTACCAGAAACTGCACCAGCCAATCCAGTGCTGACAGATGTTCTCCACGCTGGTGGCCTGTGCAAGTAGCTTGTCCACCTGGTCACTGATATTTAGCTCGTCTTTCTGTCTGAAATCAGCACCAGTCAGCTTTTCCTTGACTCTGGCAAGGACCTGGAGGGCGCGGGCATTCTGTGCCTCGCGAGCCTCAGTTCCACCGTCTGGGATGTCAAGAATTCCGGTGTCTAAGAGTGATGGTCGGCGGGGGCGAGATACGCTGTTCGACTGCATATGCTCGAAATTGAGACCCTCCATAAGCGACTGGCGACGTTCGGCGGTAAGAGTCGTCCGATCGGGGGACTCCTGTGCACCCAAGCGCCAATTGATCAAGGGGTCGTGGATGAACTAAAATAATGAGGTCAGAAACTTTGTCATACAATACGCAGAGCAAAATAAAACTTACGGCTTCAAGAACAGCCATGAGGGAATCCTTGTTCTCCCTAAGAACACGCATAACGGCTTCGCACGTAATGCGGTAGCTTCCCTCAATGTTGCTCACTTCCATAGCGAAAGTCAACATGCGAGTAAGGCGGAATGGAACCCGTTCGGGGTATTTCTCGCGGTGCATGGCAACTTCGAAACAGTCACCGAAATCGATGTGAACCACGCGGCCAGTCGTGCGGTCAAGCAACAAGTTCGAAGGATGGCGATCACCCAAACCAAGGATATATCCGACCATGGACATGACACCGAGCGACCGGGTGTAGTTGGTGCGTCGCTCAAGCCAGGCCTCAGAGCTCTTGCTCTTGAGCCACAGCACCCGATAGAGATCTTTACCGGTGGTGTTGTCCATGGCATACCCGAAGACCTCGACCTTCTGCATGAGAGTGAGGCTGTCATAATCCGGCGCCATCTGAAGCATAATCCGATGCTCAATGTTGAGCAGAATACGGCGGCTTTCGCGATACTCCTTGATGAGAGCATGCAGTGTATCACTATTACACACCCATCCGAGCAGGCCAGAACTCTGCGACAACGGAATAGCGGGGAAACGCTGAACAGACAAATGGCGTTTGAAGCTTTCGCTATCGTTGTCCAGAAGAGTGTTGACCAGCCCGAAGAGTTGCATAACTCTCTCGTCTTGTCGAATATCTTCGTGACCCTTGAGTGCATACATGTAGGAGAGACCATTGCTACCCGTGAGAGTCATACGTCTTGGTCGCTTCTTGGTCTGCAAAACGTGCAAAATCGGGTCAAAGCTGACAATGCAAATAATCGGCCGACCGCTTTGATATGTTCCGGGCACGGCCAGATCCAGGCCGGAGCAATCCTTCAGGCGAGGAGAGACGTATTTGAGATCAAGGATCGACAATTGCGGGAGCTGTCGGCTAATCTTACGGAACACGGTGTAGTAAAGGTCCCAGGCTTGGTTCAAATCACCAATTTCCTCTGTCTGGCGGTAGAGCATGCAGTAATGTTTGGCTTCTGCAAGATCGCGACCAAAGGCTTGGGCAAACGAAACTTCACGAAGAGTTTCGGCACCCTTGTCAAGCATATCATGAAGAGGTGCAAGTGTTGCGAACATACCCTCCACATTGTGATCACCGAAGTAGAGACGAGAAGCCTCTTCCAATCCCTCATGCCACAGCTCGTGCCACAGAACCGCTACTCTGATCAATTCGTGACTCACCAGGTCGGCCTGTTCGACAAGCTTGGCGCTGTGTTGACGCATGCTTTCCATGATATTGCTCGCGGATTGGGAGCGTCGGGCGACGTTGGATTTCATGGCAACTGTCAACGGATACACCAGAGCCTGGGGATGGGTCTTGCCAACTTCAGCAAGGAGTCTATGAACGGCACCGCGGACTCTGATGTTGGGCTGGTTGATCCGGGCGATAAGTTGCGGTGTGACAGAAAGCCAAGTGTCAATGTTGACCGTAGTGAAGCCTTCGGTGACAACGGTGTTGACTTCATGATCGCCACCATGTGCAAACCACAAGGTCAGCAATCTCAGTGTGTCCTGTAGAGAGGATGCGGAAGACAAGGCGATTGACCGCAGGAAACCACGAATGGCGGGGATAACATAGTCAAGGACATTTCCAGGAGGAAGCGGTACAGGCACAGGCAGCTTCTCGTCACCCTTGGCTTGAGCTTGCTTGGCTTGCTTCGCTTGTTTGACGTGGCTTTCGATGGTCTGTACCGCCTCGAAATTGGCAAGAGCCCAAGCGTGCCAGGCCTTGTACGAATCGCGATTGTACTGTGTGGCTGCCGAGTAGGCGCTAAGAACCTCACGAGCATTGTCGAGTTCCCATTCCGATTTTTGAAGGGCTCTTTGCCATTCTCCCTGTCTGAGGTAGCTCTTGGAAAGAAGTTTCCTAGACTTTCCTACATCACCGACCCGCTCTCGAAGGCTAACAGCATCTGGGTGGTTGGGGTCTGCGATGCCGTTGACACCGTTCATTCCGTGGTTCTCGCTTTGTGAAGCGATAAGGGAGTTGAACTTCGCAAGGTCCTCACTAAGTTCCATATTGAATCGTTTCAACTCCTCAAATGCTTCATGCTGGTTTCCAGTAGCCCAACCGAATTTCAATCGTGCGTAGGTCACCTCGGGAGGTACAATGGTGCGCGTGCCATTAGCATCTCTGATAACTGTCTCCAAGGATGCGAGAGATCGTTCTGCAAGGCCCATGCGGTTGGACTTGCGGCAGAGATTGGCGAATTTGATGGACATGTCCAAATTCTCCCGAGGCGCAGTGACCAGAGCTCTGACCTTGAGCATGCGCTGCCATACCTCCACGTTTTGTTGACATCCCCGCAAGCGCTGGTTCCAAGTCTGGCGCATGGCCTCTTGCTTCTCGGGGTCGCCTACATGTTGCTTGTAGGTGATGATCTCCTCCAGTTCGGCAAGCATCTGGACGCGGACAACAACGTTGTATGCCCGGTTGTATGACTCTCCGAGCAAGGCCGAAAGTTCAGTGTCAAGACCATTTCGTGCTTTCTCGATGTACATGTTCGCCTCGTCGAACTGATTGCGATGAATGGCAAGGATGGCGCCGAAGAAGGATCGATCGGGGGACTGTTCTTTCATGACACCCAAGTACGAATCCATCAGCTCCCACTGACCACGACCCCATGCAGCGGCAGCAGCAAGGGGAGCAATGGCTCTGCGGTGCTCCAGCGAGGCCTGGTTCCATTTCTCTTGCGCAAGATCGGAAAGTACTTTCCATTCACCGAGAGCGTGCAAACAACGCATTTTGCCCATAGTGATGCCGAAGGAGTCCGGATCCGTCTTCTCGCGCCGTTTGTAGGCAGCGAGAGCTTCGTCCCAGCGCTGCAGCTTCTCGAACCACGTTTCCTTCAGCTCCACATCACGGTATGCTTGTGCCTTCCGCAGGATACCAATTGCTGCATCGGATTGCTGCAGCTGGTTGTTGATGGTAATCAAAGCTTCGACGGCGCCGGAGTTCTGATCCTGCTCAAACTCGAGTTCCTTGTAATGCAACGCCTTAGCAAACGCATGGCACTTAGCAGCATACTTGCCTAGCGTGCGGATATCGATGGGGAGAGCCTTATCGTCATGTTCCATGAATTCGGCCAGGTTGAGGAGAATCTGCAGAATCTCGGGTGAGATATTTGGCGAGGTTAGGGCTTTCTCAATGGAGCGGACCAGTTCTTCTTGATACTGGTCGTACAGCTCGGTCCAGCAAGACACAAAGGCAGCATTGAAAAGATCTCTGGCCAGAGGCTGGTAAATACCTGCCAAGCTGGCGCATGCTCGCAATGCGGGCGAGGGCGATTCTTTCAGGAGCTCAACGCTGAAGCGGCGAATCCATTCCTGCCAATCTTCACGGGTGGACTTTTGAGAAGCATCCCAGGCATTCTTGAGATGTTGCTGGTTGACAACGATCTTCTTCTGTCCGATCTCCGCAAAATTCGTATCATCAGAGGGGAAGGAATAGTTTTCCTCGGGGTTGAGGTCCTGCGGAAGTGGATCGCCCTTCTGAAGCTTTGTCACCAAGATCTGATAGTTGACATGAGTGATCTGGTGCTGCTTGAGGACTTTGCTCAGAAGGTGGATGTAGTGGGTAAAGTCCTGGCCAAGCTGGAAGATCAGGGCACAAATGCAGTCCATAGCAGCTTGACGTAAGACACGGTCACCAGTGGCCACGACCCGGGACAAAGCATGGACCATGAGGGAAGCGAAATCGGAGACATTAACTTGGCGAGACAGCTTCGTCAAGCTATCAATGGCCGACTTGCGAATGCTCTGGGGGTGCTGTGGTCGTTCAAAGAGACGCACAATAGCGGGGATTATGAGGTGCATGTATTCCTCTCCACTAGAGCCAAAAATCAGGAAAGCATGAAGGATTTTCTCCGATGGCTGGCGGCGGGGTGTAGTGTCCTTCTCAAGGGTGTCCAACATGAGAGGTATCAACCGAGCAAGGTACTTTCTGAACTCTCCCTCCAAGGACCTGGAAATAGCCTCGACCAAGGACAAAATCGTACCCTGTACCTGATACGACGCATCCCAGAATTCACGGATCACGTCGATGATTTCAGGCAGGAATGCACGAATGTGCTGACGGACAATGTTAACCAAGATAGCCATCTGGTTGAAATAAGACTCGAGTCGGCTAGCAGGGGAGCTTCTGATAACCGAAATGAATGCGGGAACAATCTGTCCTAGGAATGGAACACACTTCAAGCCCAGAGTCTTGAAGATGGTAACGATCGCATCAATCACTGCAGAATGGTATTGAACCAAGGAATTTTCTCTGAGGATATTCTGGAGCAATGTATGGATAACCACCGTGGGATAATACTCCTCGTTTGATGGGGTAAGACCCTGCATGATCAAGGCAACATCCGAGGGATTCTGAACCTCGTTGATATGGTGAACGTCGGGTTCCACGTCACTGATTTGCTGGTACTTGTAGGGATCGAGAGCACCAAGTACACCCACGAGCTTGATTGTCTCCTTCCGCAAGGACCCTGTCTGTTCCGTCTTGATGATGTTGATCAAGACGTCAAGTAGATGGGGGTACTCGAGATACGGGTCGATCACATATCCAGCGTTGCCAGCCAATTGACCAAGGGTTCGTAGGGCCGCCTCGCGCTTGGTATGGGAGGAAAGATCTTGAAGCGACTCCAAAATTATGGGCATAATCTGTGGCAGATAACGTCTCATCTCGGGGCCACCAACGTTGGCAAGCTCTCCCACAGCCTTAAGTGTGGTTGCGGCGACGCCTGGATTACCATCCGTTGTTTTGGGAAGCAGCGCCGTGACCATGGGGTCGACATACGATCTGATCAACTTTGTTGCGTTGGAGACAAACAAGCTGATGAGCTGAGCAGTCTCTTCCTTTTGGCGGGCAGTGTTGGCAAATCCTAGTCCAGTAAGAAGATTGACCAGCAGCTTCCGCAGGGGGGAAGACATAAGCTGGGTTCACGCTAGACAGACGGCCGATGATGCAGATAGCAGCTTCCTTGACTTCAAAGACCTCGTCATTCACCGCGAGGAACAAGCAACGAATATTTTCAGGGCGAGCCAAATGGCGATCAAACTTCCTATCCAGGGACCAAAGAACTGTGCGTCGAATCTCAGGGTCCGGGTCACCGATACCAACCGTCAATAACTTGTCAATGACTTCACTGACAACTTGAATTGAGTGGCCACTAGTCTGGTTGATGATCGGGTCGTGGACAAACAACTGGCAACATGTGAGGGCCGATGCTTTTCGGATTTCGGGATTGTCATTCTCCACGTAGTTGATGGCAACATCGCGAACGAATTCGTTCAAGATGTGACCGGAGAAGTCGAAGCTTCCCAGAGTGTGGAGAGCGAGGGCGATTTCGGCATCAGAGTAGCTTTCTTGGGGGCCGAAATCCCTTGCAAATGCGGGCATAGGCGGCAGTCGGTTTTCAGGGCAGCCAAGTGGTCGGAATGACGTGCCGCAGAGTATGATGCTCAGCATGTCGAGAAGTTTATCCTGGATAACGGGCTTAATGGGAGGGATGTAGTGGGCCATATCGACCAAAGCCTGTGTCAGTGATTTGCTAAGACCGCATGCAAAGATGGCGTCAAGCAACTGCTCCATGTGGGTGTTGAGGGTTTGTCCGACGGCTAGCGAGAGCATACTGATACACTCAAACATAGGAGCTTCATCGACTCCTGTCCGGTTCCTCCTGTTGCAAGTTAGTCGGGGTGTCTTGTCATTGAAGGTGTATGTCAGGGGGATTTATCACTTACGCCTTCATTGCGAGTCCCTCGCGGATGTAGATAATGATTCCATCAAGGTATCCACTAATGGCAGGTCCCACTGCATTGGCAATCTTACCAATAGCAACAAAAGCGGCGTTCCTTTCCTTCTCTCTCTTGAGTTGGGCCTGGAGGTAGACCATAGATTTGTGTAGATAGGATTCGATGAAGTCGGCGGGGGCATAGGACGCGAGGATAGGGATGGTGAGGACGACTTGGTTGCGAATCTTGGAATCTCGGTGATCCTTGAGGCGGAGCACAATCTCACAGGCATTGCGATAATGCTCCTTCATGAACATCGTGCCTTTGAGGAACAGTTCCTTCAAAATGAGGAGTGATCCGTGGATCCAATCCATATTATGGGACTTCAGTCCCAGCAGCGCCTCTTCATAGATTCTCGCGAACCACGACTGGCGGACAGATGAGTCTCGAGCGACGATGATCTCGAAGCATTCTCCCACAGCCTGTGCAGCTGTCTCTCGGATGAGCACTTTCGGGTCTCGAAGTGCAACCCACACGAGCTCGAAAATCTGAGGCACGAAGCCATACAGAAGTGTTGGGGAACCCTTGGCTAACTCCCGAATCACGAGGACTGCAGCAAATCGTCGACTTTCCTGACGCTCTGACTGGAGCCATTCCAAAGCGGATTGGATCTCGCTCTCTACCAACTCCGCCGTGAGTGCCCCGCCAGGTTTAGCCAGCCGTCCCAGCGATCGGGCCGCGCACACCAAGACCGCATTATCGTTGCTTCGGAGGGCGCTTCGAAGATAGCTAGCAAATCGAGTGGTTTTCTGGGCGGCGTCCACCCCATCAAAGTCGATCAGACGGTCGAGCGCAAGAAGACCACCGACTCGTTCATTGGCGTCGCTGCCAGTCACCACCAGCTGCGCGATCCGCTGACTGACGGCGTTGTAAAACTCGTTGAATTTCTCGGAGGGCCAATCTATAAGAGAAGAGAAGCAAAGAGGTCAGTCAGAGGCCATGGGCTCAGAGAATCCATGAAGACGGGGATCTACCTCGTGAGACGGCAACCACATTGTCGTGGAGCTCGAAGGCAGCTCGGGCCTTGATATCATCGTTCTTCGACTTCAGATCCGCAAATAACCGTTGGGTCACGTCTGTGATAGGACTCGCTTGCGCCATGTTTGCGAGCGAGCCCGCAGAGTGGACATTGGAAGCCAGTCTCTAAAATGTAAAGCAAAGTTCGCGGTGAGCATGAAAGGTGGAGGGAGAGGTGGAGGAGGGTCAGGTGTGAGCCTCAGGTCGAAGCCGGGGTGCACAGACCACGAGACCACGGGGCGCGGGACGTCCTGCCTAGTCACTACTTTCGTCAACTGGTGTCAAACAAACTTGGCTGTGACAGCCTTACTATTTATCTCAAATCGAGGTTGCCTTATGATTGCTTCTACAATTTTGTTCCATTCTGCAAAAGAGGTTTATATTATGAATAATAAAGAGAACTTGTGTGCATGCTGGGTCGGGTACAAGATTGGCCATATATGTAAACCAGAACTCTTGAGATTCCCCTTCTGCATAACATTGACCGCCAAAAAGGGAATTCGTTGCTCAAATGCTTGGCTTCAATACATATATCAGGATAAACAGGGACGCAGTCCAATGTTCAAGGAAAGTCCAACCTAGATCCTCCATTCCCATGTCTGAGGCAAGTATCATGTGCCTTAGTTAGAGTAAGGAGGTTAGTATGGGTTACGGGTTCTAGACCAGCGACGGGCAAATCGCAAACCATACTCCGTACAGCAGGAGACAAGTCAGATATGCGGTCACGCACCCTTGTTGGTCTTCTGCGGTCCAATGGTCCATAGTGGTGTGGCCGGCCAATTGAAAATAATATCGCAAGAGTGAGTAGCATTCAAATGAGGCCATGGCATACTAGCCGTTGCATCAAGTCAGGATCCCATGCAGTGGCACCAGCGATTTCGCTCGAGGAGTAGTGCGCCCAACTAAATAAAAAGATGACTTCAAATCCCGCCCTCGCCACGATTCGAACTCCGGTAGGCAAAACTTCACGAAGCGCTCCTACCTCAACGAAGCTTCGGTAACGAAAAAAAAAACTGGTAGCTTCTCTTTGATTGAGCGTGTCATCCTTAGTGCAGGGGCCATGCTAATCTTCTCTGTATATTTTCATTTGACCAAATGTCCCGAAGGACATCTACGTAGACCGGGAAGTGATACTTATACCCACTTGCGGGTGAGTTTTCGGCAGAATCTGACCGCCCTGTTTGTGAGTGGAGCTTTATTAGTCACATGTGGGGCCTTGCCCACCTGGCATTTGCGATAGTACAGTATGAACTGGAAAGGCTCGTATTCCAGCAAGCCTTGATTACTTGTACAATTCATGGTTGCAAAAGTATATTGTAAAATGGTTAAAAATAGTTTCACTTCGGTCTTCTCAAGTATGGAGGTATAGTTAAGTGCCTAAGGGATAGTTCCTGTCACTTGAGTGATTCCGAAGATAACAGCGGAAATATAACCGGTTGTGCTGTTGTAGCGCTGACCACTGAGAGGCGGGGTTACCCGGCTTTATTAGACCTTTAAGTCCTGAAGCAAAGATGCGCGTTAGCTCCCTCGTTGATTGCTCAATGGTTATTTGTAAGCGGTCGTGATGACCTCTCACGATCTGCTGCGTGGGGGGCCATAGTGGGGAGCAATGACGAGATCGAGGGGCATGGCCTCTCTGGGAAAACCATAAAAGCCGAGGAGTTCCATTACACCATACCTGTCTCCTCCCTCCGTCCACTCACAGTCTTCAATCAAGTAACCTCATTGACCATATTATTCAAACCAGCAACCATGGTGAAAGTTCTCTTGACCGGTAAGCGAACCTGCGGTGAACTCCTCCATCTGCGCCGCGTCATAGATCTAATCAAGTCCAACAGGCGGTAGCGGCTTTATCGCCGCTCACATTGTTGACATCCTGCTACAGCACGGGTATGTAGAGTTCCGTGACGACGACACTTCAACAACTAATTGAATCAATTCGTCTTAGTTTTGATACTGTATTCACAGTTCGCTCTGATGACAAGGGCAAACGAATCCTTGAGAACCACCCTAACACACCCAAGGAGAAGCTCTCCTACGTGATTGTCAAGGATGTGGCTCAGGATGGTGCATTCGACGAGGTAAGAGGGTGATACGCATACTGACCGAGCTTCTTTGCTAATACGCCGTCACAGGCCGTCAAGTCTAACCCTCCATTTGATTATGTCCTTCACACTGCATCGCCCTTCCATTTCAACGTTCAGGACCCCGTGAAGGACTTCCTGGACCCCGCTATCAAGGGAACTACTGGCATTTTGAAGGCTATCAAGGCCCATGCTCCTACTGTGAAGCGCGTTGTCATCACCTCGTCATTTGCTGCCATCGTGAACCCGAAGCAACACCCGAAGGTCTATAGCGAGAAGGAATGGAACCCAGTCACTTGGGAAGAGGCTTTGGATCATTCCAATGTTTACCGGGCCAGCAAGGTAAGCCCCCTTCCACCCGAATAAAGGGTGAGTTAAGCTAATCAGTATCGCTTTACAAGACCTTTGCCGAGAAGGCTGCCTGGGACTTCGTCGAGAATGAGAAGCCTAACTTTGACATTGCCACTATCAATCCTCCACTAGTCTTTGGTCCCATTGTTCACTACTTGAACTCTCTTGAAGCCATCAACACATCGAACCAGCGGATGCGGAACCTCATCCAGGGCCAATTTAAGGAGCAGATCCCTCCCACCGGCACATTCCTCTATGTTGATGTTCGTGATGTGGCACTTGCGCACGTTAGGGCCATTGAAGTCGCCGAGGCTGGTGGCAAGAGATTCTTTGTCACTGCCGGTTTCTTTTCGAACAAGGAGATCGTGGATACAGTCCGCAAGACCCACTCGGAATTAGAATCTAAGCTTCCTCCTAAGGATACCCCGAGTGACTTCCCATCAGATATCTACGAGATTGACAACAGCAGATCAAAGGAGATCCTGGGAATCAAATATCGGTCCTTCGCGGATACTGTGGCAGATACAATCAGCTCCTTGCAGGAGGTCGGTGCTTGATACCAGCGCGTGAATGATTCCACATTAATGATATAAATGATGAAGAGATGTTATTGAGATATATCATCGTTCGTTCAGAGAAATACATACATATGTAGGAAGTGCCGTTTACATAGTTTAGTCCGTAGAGCCTGGATTCCGTCTCCACACTATTGGGCGGAGTTGCGCTCTTGGTTGTTGTAGTCCGCCGTATCGACTTGGCCCGTGGCCCGGTCAACTTTTCTCGCGCGATCCCAACCAGCTCAAGCTCGTTCCACCAGGCATTGAACAATATGGCGACCGCCAGGCTATCGCCAACGGCGAATCTTCTACGGAAGTCGCGGTTATTTGCACTTCCTCAAGCTCTGCAGCCCCCCAAGAAGCCCCATCGTCCAAGGCTGTTTTCGAGTCGGAAACCGCAACACTCCCTCACCCTATCCGGGCTTCAATTGTGACGCCGCAAAAGTCGCTTGCCCGAGGCGATTGGGGTCTGAAGCGAGCTCTTCCCGCTAAATCGACATCGGAGAAGTCATCGAGACCCGTCGTTCGCCTCCATGCCCTCGATACCTACGAACATGTTACCGACTTCGAGTCCGCCGCCGATCACACGAAGACCCTCGAGAAGTTCCAGGAGCTGCACATGCCCATGTCCTTGCCTGCCAAGGTCAATTACGCTACAAGCATTGTTCCCAGACACCAGAGCCCGTTCGAAACGCATGTCGATAATACTGAGACCAGCAAGGGTCTCGCAGAGCCCGGAGCCAAACAGTACCGTCACTCTGGGCCGTGGCTTGCTGGCATGACCCAGGCAGAGTTCGCTGCGTACTTGAGCCAGATCACTCGCAAGAAGCCCGAATTGCTGCAGAAGCTGCGTGAGCGCTTCGTGGCCAAGCGTACTGCGGAGGCCCGGAAGCAGGCGCAGGACAACGGGGAGGACTTGGAAACCCTCCAGCCGCCCAAGGTGACCGACGAGGAGTTCCAGACGTACATCAAGACCCTGCGTACCGATCCATTTGCTCTGGGTCCGGTCGTTTTCGAGTTGCTGGATCTTCCCTCATCCCCTGCCGTACCGAGCGAACGCATTGGACGGAAGTACTACCAGTCCCCCGGAACCAAGCTTTCTGCGCCCGAATATGCCGTGACTGGCCCTCCCAAGACACACCCATCTGCCGGTCTATCATACACTCGCTCACACGCCTTGACATATAACCACCCGCAATACGGTCCCCAGGCTTACCAACGTCCCGTGGAGGCCCGTATCCTGCGCCCGAAGGGTAGATTCCGCGGTCGTATGTCGCGGGCTATTGCTGGTATTGGTGGTATTGCAGTTGAGGATCTGAACGCCATGACCTTCATGGACCAAGGATCTCCCCCTGGCCTGACCTTCTTCGATGCCACCATCCCTGGCGGTGCCAAGTACTGGGTCACTCCGATCCGCGCTGCTGTCGACTCCGAGGGCAGAATCGGACTTTCTTCTTACCGCGCGGGTGCTTCCTCCAAAGCCCCCTACGGTATTGAAGATTACAAGAAGCCGGGATCTGCCAGCATTACTGATGCTGCCCACCGCCATGCTAACATGGTGCCCCGACTGGACCGACCCCGATACCAGCAGCGGCCGCAGGGTGGCAGACAGCCCATGAAGGGAACCGAGGATATCGCTCGCCTTCTCATGAATGATCTCAAGGCAGGTGCGAAGAGCAAGGACCAGAGTGCTTAGGATGTTGTTGGATTAAGAATTGGCGGGCGAAACTGCAAAGTGTTGTACGATTAGACTAGGGGGCTTTTGTAAAGCTACTATCACTACCCTTCCGAACCTGTTATATAAAGCAAATGCATTCAATCTCATACTTTTTCTACCTGGAGATACCGATTGATCTGATCTATAATTATTGAATTATTGATACATGCAGTACCGTAATTGGTTGCCAGTACTGTACTCACTACGTAGAAGGAAGACCCGCTGGCCGCCCGGCAGTATTTTATTATATAAGCCATCACACCGCCCGGCCCTGAGCCCAACAATTCACGTGACTTATTAGGGCTGGGCTAGGGCAAGGACCCGCACAGAATTAGCGAAGCGCCTTTCTAGACTATCCAAGTCGGCTTCACTTGAATTCCTGTCACTGAACATCCGTCCAGCCAACATTCGCCAAAATGGGTCGCGTCCGTACTAAGACCGTTAAGCGGTCCGCCAAGGTCATCATTGAGCGCTACTACCCCAAGCTCACCCTCGACTTCGAGACCAACAAGCGCATCTGCGATGAGATCGCCATCATTGCCTCCAAGCGTCTCCGCAACAAGGTACGACATGCAACGGCTACCGAAAGATGGCGAACCACCACGATTGCGACAGCAGAAAATTGACTGGAAACCTTTTACACAGATCGCTGGTTACACCACCCACCTGATGAAGCGCATTCAGCGTGGCCCCGTCCGCGGTATCTCCTTCAAGCTTCAGGAGGAGGAGCGTGAGCGCAAGGACCAGTATGTCCCTGAGGTCTCTGCTCTGGATGTTTCCCAGACCGAGTCCGGCCAGCTCGACGTTGATGCCGACACCAAGGACCTGCTCAAGAACCTCGGCGTAAGTTGGCCCCCGGCCACCAGTTTACCACTCACCCTGGAACTCCGACTCCTAACATTTCTTATTTTACAGTTCGACAACCTCAAGGTCAACGTCGTCACCGTCTCCCAGCAGCAGCAGGCTGAGCGCCCCCGCCGCTTCGGTCCCCGCTAAATCCAGCACGCTGGATAAGCACCCCGGAAAACAAAAAAGTCTTTTTGTCTTCGGCCGACTCCTGGCGTGTCCCCGAACCTGGCTATTATGGTATTAGCTAATATGGAGGCTATCTATGGATGAGGAATAAAAAACATGATTCCCGTTGACAAAGGTGTCGCCGATTCTCCAGACGGGGATGACGCTTGATTGCCAATTACTTGTCCCTCGCGTGCTTGCTCTTGGGTAGAATCCTGCTTCCCTCAAGAGTCAACTACGTAGGAGCTGTCGGGCTTTCCGAGTTTGACAGTCTCGAGATCAGTGGTCACGACTACGCAATGACTGCCCTCCATCGTCTTGCTGTCGAAGATCTACTTTGCTCTGGTCATTGCGTAGAACTTTTCTTTTATTCAAGCTGTATATGGTATCATATCATATGCTTCCAGGGTATAAAACTAGTAGAAACGCCCGAAACGCCGCAAAACATGCCTTGGCCTCTGCATCATCCGCTCTAGAGTTGGTCAAGCAAATCGCCCTGGTCCAGGTCCATTGCGTCCTTGTCTCGCCGGTCTTGGGGGACATATCCTTCAATGGAGCCTCCCTTGGCATCTTCTGGCCGCCATTGCGGAGCACTTGCGGAGGGAGTGCTGCTTTGTTCGTTTTCCTTGATTTGGACATCCACACGTCCCCCGCGGAATGGCAGACTTGTATCACCACGCTCCATGGCGAGTTCGTGCGCACGCTCGGGATCCTGGATATTCAACTTATTCAGGTCCGCTGCTACAGCCGCAGCAGATGTAGAGCCCTCGGTCCTTCGTCTTGGCTGTCTAGCACGGGCTTCTTCCAGTAGCTCAATGCCCGTGCTGCGGCCCTCACCACCCCGCCTCTCCCACACGGGTTGCTCAGTGAGCTGTACGCGAAGGAAGAGAGCTCTCTCTGCGCACTCGTCGGAGCACCACTTCTCCAACTTTTCACGTGGCACGATGTCCATGCTGCGCCCTCGACCACCGGGTCCACTGCCCTTAGCTCCCCATTTGAATTGGAACGTTTGATTCCTCCCTCTTTGGTTGCGATACTCGCGCGGGCAGAGACCGTAGCCACAGAGACCCTCGTTATTCCGTTCCATGATTAAATTATCGTAGTCGCCAGTTCCGAACATATGGAGGGCAGATTTAAAAGCGTGGGCATCTGCAGTCGAAGGCGCGGCGGGGTCAGCGGTTGGAGAGGTGGGTAGCATGAGCAGTTCGATAATTTGATCTAGGATCATGTTCTCGGCATCTTTTTGAGCCTGAATCTGGTGCGCATGTTGGAGGGCAACTCCTAGGTGCTGTGGAGTTGCTCGAGGTCGACCTGATAGGTACTTTTCTTGCTCCTCCTCCGACGGGAGGTGGGATGGGCCGACGAGCTGTTCTGCGTTGACGGCGTATGCGGAGGGGGGGAGGTTTTCAACGTGGATCCGAAGGGACTTTGTCGTGTATCCATCCTGTATGATTGGTTACGGGTGGTGTCAATGCTTGGGTCTTGGGTTGAGAATCGAGACGGGCGAGAGCGCGAGGAAGCTCGAATTTTTTTGAGGTTCGGTCGGGCGAAGAAGCGGAAGAGGCAAATTCGCGGGGGGAGGGATTGTCGCCAATTAGAACACCGACACTTGTTCTCTAAGCTTCTGACGTATTTGGGCACCAGTTCTGTCCCTTTTGTAGGTTTGTGCTTTGGGCGGCGCTGGAATTCTAAAATCAAGATCTAGTCGATCAAGAAAACTATACTTCGGAGTAGCTTATGTATAGCTTCCCTAGAGGACTATGCAAAAGTACAGACTAAATACTACTTCGGGATATAAGATCAGGAACGTTCTGAAAATCCATAGTTCACACTATTGCGTCGATACGAAATTTCTAGTGCTTACTACTGGGCTGTATCGCATGTGCTTGTAAATCTACTCAAGTAGAGTTCCTATGAGAACACTGTCACTATTCCCTCGGTTAGGAGTGTATGAGGCGTCGGGCGTTGGAAAGCTTCCCCCTAGGAGCTCTGCCAAGGTATCCTTAAAACTATATAACTACGAGATAGAAATTATTAAACACATCCTTGTTTCATAGCCAGTCTGAACCTTCAATAGAATTGCCCCATGTTGTACTCTGCTCGTACCCTGGTTCTCTCATTAGCCGCCGATCGTCAGTGGAGCCTCTGTCTCCCTCATCCCGCCAAGTGACGACCACCTCTCACTACTTCATCCTTCCCACCGCAACCCTCCTTTCCCTCTCCATCCGGTGTTCCTTGCGACGGCTGGTTTCCCTCTTGCATCGATTCCTCAATCTCAACCTCCTCGGTGAGGGCCAGTCCCATTTTCTCTTGTACCCAGTGAGTCCCCATTCCAGCCCCTCTTGCCCTCCCCCCTCATCTCCCCTAGGCACCACTCTCCAACACTTTCGTCATCCCAGACTGACCCGGACTCCCCGACCACCTCCCAAAGAAATTCAAACTTGCACGATCTCGTATACCCGGTGCATGCCAGCGGCATTTGAGATAGTGCTTGGCCTTGTACAGTTTTTTGCCTTCCTCGCCCGTTTCACACCTGTTCTTTAGCGTCCTTTCTAGCCCCGTTCCCTCCGAACTTGGGTGTCGACTGGCCAAATGTCCAATCCGCCTTTTACGGTCCGGGCGGTCTTTGAGTATGCGTCGGGCCACGATGACGACCTCAGCTTCCCAATCGGCCAAATCGTGACCGTCACCGCCGTGGAGGATGACGACTGGTACTACGGTGAATACACAGACGGCTCCGGAACCAAACAAGAGGGCATCTTCCCCAAAAACTTCGTCGAGCGATATGAGCCTCCTGCGCCTCCCCGTCCAACTCGCCCTAGCAGACCAAAGAGAGAAGCCGAGCCCGCTCCTGTGGAATCCCCCGTCGCTGTGACCGAGAGCCAGCCGCAGGCGGAGCCCGAGGTTACGGAGCAACCCGCCGTGGAGGAACAGGAACCAGTTTCCAAGCAGCCTCCTCCCCCTCAGTCCCCGCCAGCGGTCTCGAGTCCTGTCGCCGAAACTCCCTCCTCGCCCAAGCAGCCACCTCAAGCAGCTAAACCCGCTCCCACTCCTGTTCCTGTCGCGGCCCCCGCTCCTCCCCCCGTAGCCAAGTCCTCAAAGCCCCCACCCCCGGCCGTTGCAGACAAGCCCTCGGGTTCGTCTTTCAAGGATCGCATCGCCGCCTTCAATCAGTCTGCTGCGGCACCAATTGCTCCTTTCAAGCCCGGCGGTCCTCGCCAGTCGACTTCGTTCGTCAAGAAACAATTCGTTGCTCCGCCTCCCAGCAAGGATTCGTTCGTGGCCCCGCCGAGAGAGCCCGCTCCCAAGGTCTATAGGAGAGAAGAGGATCCCGATGTAAAAGAGCAATTAGCCCGGGAGCCTCCAGTCTCGGAGACTCGTCCGCCCCCGCCTGCTCCAGTCCCTGTGCAAGAATCTGAAGAGGGTGCCGAAGACCAGCCGAAGCCGACCAGCCTCAAGGACCGCATTGCTCTTCTGCAGAAGCAGCAGTTGGAACAGGCGCAGCGCCATGCAGAGGCTGCCCAGAAGAAGGAGAAACCTAAGCCTCCCAAGAAACCGGTTGAGCAACCCTCGGAACCCGTAGAAGCCGAGGAGGAGCTCGAGGCCTCCCCCGTTGAAGCTGTTGGAACAGCCCGGGATCCTAGTGTCGACACATTGCGCGCCAAGGCACCTCCGGCACACCCGGCTCCTTTCTCTCCTTCGGAGGAAATAGCCAGCGAGTCGAACGATGCTGATTACTCTGCTGCTGCAGACTCCGAGGATGCAGGAGAGACGTCCACAAGCAAGGATGAGGATGAGGAGCGTCCTCGCCAGCAGTCTGTTCACACCATTGAGCAGAAGGGCGGGGAGGCCGACGTTGAAAAAGATGAGGAGGAAGAGGAGGAAGAGGAAGAGGAACTCGACCCTGAAACCAAGCGCAGGATGGAACTTCGTGCTCGCATGGCGAAGATGAGCGGTGGTATGGGTATGATGGGACTCTTCGGGCCTCCAGGTGGTCTGCCAGGCATGGTTCCTCCTACAGGCGCTCGCAAGCCTAAGACTCCTGGCGAATCTGAGAAGAAGCTTGCTGAGCCCGAACCAACGTCGCCTCGCCATGCTCCTCCCGTGCCTTTGCCTGGAATGAACATCAGCGCGAAGCCTCCAGTCGATGTGGAGGAGGAGGAGGAGGAGGAGGAGCCTCTATCAACCCCAATTTCTGAACAGCATCCCGCACGAGAGGTCCCGGATGTTGAAGACGTCGTTCATGAAGGCGCCCCGCCGCGTCGTTCTACTGATCGACCCCCTCCCGTCCCGCCTACTGGTAAGTTACCTCAATCAGTCTGTTTGCGGGATGCCCAATAGCTTACAAGCCTTGAACAGAGCGCTCTGCTGCGGCTCCCCCAGTCCCAGAGTCCCGGGCTGTTCCACCTCCCCCAGCGCCAGTGGAAGAACCAGCGTCGCCCCCTCCAGTGCCAGGAGGTATGTCATATTCCCTCTTATCCATTTAATGATGCACCACTCTTGTCGAGGATCGAATATTAACGGTTAAAACCAGGTCGACCTGCTCCTCCTCCACCTCGCCCTTCAACTGGCGACGAATCTGATGATGAGCTATCTGTGCATACAAAGAGCCTATCTTTAGATGATTCTGCTCAGTCTCCTACAGTGCCTGCGCCGGCCATCCCTGACCGTTTGGATGCTCGCCGCTCCTCGACATACGACTCAACACCCCCGTTAGGTCCGACCTCGATTGCCGAAAAACGAGCGAGCCGCCCACCACCTCCCATCCCGACTAATCCACCCATGCCTCCAGCACAGGGCCGTGCACCGCCTCCACCACCCCCAGGCCAACTTCGTCGGCGGTCCACGGCTGATAGCCGTGGTAGTGTTCCCCGGCAGGCTGGTGAAGACGTTGAAGGAGAGGTCACGGAATATGATGGAGATTACGACACTGATATTGCGTCTGGAGTCAAGCACAAGGATGCTCTAAGGGCTCACGAGCGGGACTCGAGTTTTGATGAGGGAACAATCACCGATGACCATTCCATTCAGTCACCTCGAAGCCCTCAGGAAGCTCGCCTGCCTCCACCGCTCCCACCCACCGCTGCCCCTCGAGGAGTTCCACCCCCGCCACCAAGCCAACCGCCGCGAAATGCTCGTGCTTCCATAGATACGCCGAGAGGACCACCTCCACTGCCGCCCACTAGGGAAGTCCCTCGTGGCGGTGCTGAGGATGATGAGGAATACGATCCTTTTAACTATTCTGCTCCTCAACATGGCCTGCCTTCTCCTTCTCTGCCTCCTCCCGGTGGACGCCCAGAAGCTCCACCCCCTCCTCCTCCACAGCCCGTGAACGATGATTACGATGACATGTATGAGGCGTCTCCAGTCCAGAGTCCATTAAACGAGCAGCCTCCCTCGATCCATGAAAAGCGACCTTCTCTGGCACCACCGCCCCCTCCTCAGAGCCAGGCTCCAGCCCTGCCTTCACCTTCGGCCGCACGTAGCGGGCGAGCTTCCATGGATTTGATGCGTGCTCAGCGGCGATCAATGGACGTATCTCGTCCCTCGATCGATCAGGGCTTCATTGCCACTGACGTTGATCTTGGGGAGACTTCCCTGTGGTGGACTCAGCCCAACACGACTCCTCCAGTTTTCCAGAACCGCAAGGATATTCTCTTCGAGGTTGAGGAGTCTTCTTCCACGAAACGGGGTGGCAAGACTACCGTGTCCAAGGATGTTTATGTTCTGTTCATTGACTACTCGCAAACCGTGGTGACTGTCCATTTTGATGCAAAGAACCCTGCGGATGTCACCCTGGAGCAGCGCCATGAGCCTCCACCTCTCCAGCCCCGACAGGATCAACTGGAGCAGGCACACCTTCAGAATGGAACCCGGATATCGGAGTCCATTAACGCGATCCAAAACTCTACCGTTGGAGACGGCACTCCTTTCGGATTGATTCAGCACCTTCTGAACCCTCTGTCCGATGCGCTTCTCCCTGTAGGAACCCGTGCCTACGGTGCCTTGGTCTACTCGAACTTGGCCAACGCTTCCGTTACGCAGAACGATGAGATCCGCGCTGGTGATATTGTCAGCTTCCGTAACGCTCGGTTCCAGGGTCATCGTGGTACTATGCACCAGAAGTACAGTGCCGAGGTGGGCAAGCCCGACCACGTCGGCATTGTCATTGACTGGGATGGTACAAAGAAGAAGATCCGAGCCTGGGAGCAGGGTCGCGAGAGCAAGAAGGTCAAGATGGAGAGTTTCAAGCTGAATGACCTCCGCAGTGGCGAGTGCAAGGTCTGGCGCGTGATGCCCCGCAGCTGGGTTGGCTGGGAATCTAGCAAATAAGCCGATTGACTCGATGCCTCCCCTGTCTCGAATCTGTCATGTCGGCGTGATGCTCTTTTCGCTCTAGAACGGGCCAGGGCCATGTATGAGTTACGGCCGGATTCGTTTATTCCCCCCTATATTACTCCCCCTCCCCATGCCCAAACTTGATCTCGTTTCATGTCCCCTTTTTGCGTTCAAACACTTCCTAGTTATGTGGTAATGAGAATAGCCGGAATGGTTATGTTTTTGGTGGAGAATTGAGCGAGCGTGCACATCCGTTTTCTTTGCGTCCCCCTTTTGCCTTATCTTACCTCTGGTAAATTCTGCATGACCAATGTTTTCCGCTCTGCTATAATCTTCATATTCTCCATTGCCCTGTATCTATTTGCAATGTATTCATTTCGATTCGATTCAAGACAACTGTAGATAAGAATTGACTTGGCGCTCTGTTTCGCGATACTGGACATTAACAAAGATAAGGTCTATTCCGAGGAGGAAAAACAGTCTATATGCTAGGAGAGTGGTGAGGTTATTAAGATCAAGACGCCTCCCTTAGACTGGGGCGGCAAAAAATTAAAACAAAAAAGAATGGGACAAGCCAGGATCGAACTGGCGACTTCACGATAGCAGAAACTGAAGTTGTTCTTCAGTCGTGCACTCTCCCAGCTGAGTTATTATCCCAATCGATGTATTCTGCCAGCAGATTTGCCAATATAAGCCCGACTGCATCGGGACTCCCTTGCAGCATATGCATGCAACCCCCACGTGATCCTGTGCCTCAGGCGGTACATGGAGAGTGGCTGGACATTTCCCCATTGGGCAGCCGCCTTCCAACTTCAATCTTCCCAACATCACAACTCCCTGCGCCACCACCAAAATGGGTGGCGATCTGAATTTGAAGAAGTGAGTACCTGAACTATCCAAGAAATACTCTATTACGCTCTTGCTCAAGAACCCTGAACCCGAGAGAAAGACAACGTTGCTAACCCCGTCGCAGGTCATGGCACCCATCGCTGCTCCGCAACCAGGAGCGCGTATGGCAGCAGGAAAAGCGTGCTCTGGACGAGCGCAAGAAGACCGAGCAACTGCGACGCGAACGTGAAGAAGAGCGCCAGATCCAGGAACTCCAGCGCCTGCAAGAAGCCTCCGGCAAGACCGCGCCGCAATCCCGAGTCGACTGGATGTACCAAGCCCCCTCCAGCTCCACCGGTCATTACTCTGAAGAGATGGAAGGATACCTGCTTGGTAAGCGACGTATCGATGGCATCCTTTTGAAAAACGACACCGACAACCAGAAGCTGGAGAAGGGTGCGGATGTGGTTGGGGCGAATGCGACGGCTGGCCCGTCAGTCGGGTCTGCGCGTGACACCATGACGAAAGTTCTGAACGATCCGCTACTCGAAGTCAAGAAGCGAGAACAGGCGGCATACGAGGCTGCGGTTTTGGAGGCTGCTCGGCGCAAGGAGAGAGAGGCACGTCGCAAAGGTGACAGTGGCCGGGACAGTGGTCGGGACCGGGATCGTCGTCATCGCGATCATGATTCGAAGCGCCGGAGATACAGTGATGAAGGGGAAGATGGACGGCACCGCTCTCATCGGGGAGAGCGTCGACACCGATCTAGGTCGCCAGCCTCGCCGGAGCGATCTCACCGCAGACACCGAAGCGAACGAGACCGCGAATACGACCGTGATCGCCGAGATGATCGACGCCGAGGCGATGACCGTGACCGCCGGGATGGTGATCGCGATCGTCGAGGCGATAATACTCGTTCCCGTCGAGAGGACCGCATTCGAGATGGGGAACGTGATCGGCGTGAATACAAGGACAGAAGGGATTCCTACACTGGTCAACCTCGAGATCGAGACTCAGGTGTCAGACGCGATCGTGATCAGGACAACGACCGCGAGAGGTCCCCACGTCGTTCATCTCCTCGACGACGCTCTCCTTCTCCGCAGCAAGCCCAACGCCGTAACGACCGCGACAACGTTGACCGACAAGATGGTAACCGACGAGAGGGTGACCGACGTGATTACCCCCGTCGAGACTACAATAACCGCAACGACTCATACAACCGAAGCCGTGGCCCATCTCCTCCCCGCGCCGCGCCTAAAAAGCCGGATCCCAAGCAGCAAGAGGAGGAACGCCTCCGCAAGCTTGCCGAAATGCAATCCAATGCTAGCGAACTGGAAGCAGACCGACGCCAACGGATTTCTGAGATCGATGCAAAGGAACAAGAGGAGAAGGAGGCTGATGATAAGCAACGCTCTGACCGCGGTCAATTCATGTCCAAGGTTCATCAGCGTGTGCAGGAAGACAGCCTGGACGAGCGCATCCGGCGCAGTCGTGGTGGACTGTCCAAGATGGAGGAGGATTAAGGATTCCTGGTCCAGGATCCACTATGACCTGCCCTTCAAGCAGCTCGTTTATGATTATGGTGAAACTGCTTCCAGCAGGGCACTAATCACGTCGTATCAAGTATCATTAATCAACTTTTTTAGCGATCTTTCCTCAGTTTGAACGATGCCGAGAAATAAAACATTCTTCTCGATTCTCTCTCCGGTACTATACTAGCGCCCAGTACATCCTTCCTGGAACAGTGTAGTCAAGGCTGTCATATTGCCATCATCTCCTCATTCCGTCCCCACGGTCAACTAGTTGTCTCCTTGTTGTAGATATTGTTATATCGTTCCAAAGCCTGGGTAGTGAGTACCTCAGCCTCAACCCCCTGGAAACGCTCCGGATCCAAAGCCTTAAGAACCTCCTCGTCGCCCGCAGAAATACCACCCTGACTTCCACCAAGAACCTCTCTCGCGATCAACTTAGCCGTACCAGCAGCCGTAGTAACCCAAATCGCAGCGCAAAGCCACAAATTGGTAACATCAGACACCCTTCCAGCCAGCGGCAGGTTATCCGGCGTCACCGAGAAAATCCCATTAAACGGCGCCTTTACCTCAAAGGGGTCTGAATCATCCTCTTGCCCTTGAGCTAGGAATGCTCTCCCATTCTTCAAGTGCGAGGTCGCTTCTGACAAGACTTGATCGAAGCTGGAAGGCCATGCCCCGATGGCCGTGTGACCGGGGCTTAGTTCAAGGGGGGCATGGTCGTAACTACCCAGGCCATCGCGATCACCGTGGTCTCGAGCGTAGACGTGGTGCTCTGGCCAACGGACGAATGGATAGGGCTTTCCGCCGCGGGCTGGTCGGGGGCCTGTGAAAGTGTATGGGTGTGCAACCGGGATGATAGGGACTGGGAACTTGGTAATTGAAGCTTCCTTGTCTTGACCAGGACTTCCAGTTATAGAGGATGTCCAAATTCCTGTGGCTAGAATGACGGTGCTGCCTGCCAGGCTGATATCCCCATTCGCAGTACGTATGGCAGCAATCTCTCCAGCCCTTTCCTCGTTGCCGTCCTTCTTCGCAAACCCAGTCACGGCGGTTTCCAGGAAATCCACACCTTGGGCACGAGCTTCCTGTGTGAAATAGGACGTAATTACTTGCGCATTCGCCGTCCCATCCGACGGGAAATGCAAGGCCGTCGTCACGGTCTCGGGGTCGATAAAATCCGGCGCCAAAGCAGCAGCCTCCTTGGGCGTGATCATCCCAGCAGAGAGCCCCGCAGCGAGTGCTTTCTCACATCGAGATTGTAGTGTCTGCACTCCGGCGGGTGTGGATGCGAGCTCCAACCCTCCGACGGTGTTGAATCCACCGGGAATGGAGACGTACTCAGCCACCGTATCTTGGGCGAGTCGTGTTAGGACCGGCGACTCGTTGAGTTGGCCCACGAAGCCTGGTGCATGGCCCGTAGACCCTTGTAATTTCTGGAGAGATCGGTCAAGGAGAACGATGTGGTGATCGTTGTTTGCTTTGGAGAGGTAGAATGCTAAAGCGGCGCCAACTATGCCACCGCCAACGATAAAGATCCGCTGGGAAGATGGGTTGGCGTTTAGATCGGAGATAGAGACCGTTGATTGCATGATTGAAGAGCAGTGTGCGTGTTTCAAATTATTCAGAGTGTGTATGTCCTACAATACTATGATTGGGATGGCTCGTCAACTATATAACTACCTATACGAAGTATAGATCCAACTATGAGGCCATCAACTAAAAATAACTCCACAGGGCGTGACAAGTACCCGATATCGGCCATCGTATCGCCAGATATATCCGCCTCCAGCCGAGACTGTGCGTATGGATATCCAGTATTTGGGACTAACCTAGGAGACTATTGAAGACAGTGACGACACACGGTAAATGGCCGACGTTTATCGAGCCGTTAGACTCGAGTGCCGGCCGAATCGGCATTTTAGGACCAAATCTTCGGCGTCGAATAAGACGTCAATCAGATAGACCCACATTAGAGTCTAATGAAAGACACATCATTTAAAATTTATTGGAAATATAAGAAGTGCCCTTTCACCAATACGAAATATATGCATGACGTTTTCTATCCGTTCAACCCCAAGGGTGAGCCTCGTATATTAGGCAGCGGTCAAATGACTAGGCTCCCGCTCTTAGATAAATACCCATCATGATCACCTCAAACCACTTCAGTTTTCGTCTTGATTTGGAAAAACGAAAATGGCAGCAAATGACCCTTATGACAGTACTTTTGGAGAGGAAGAGCATATCCTTCCCTTACCGAACAACAGACAACTAGCCTACGCCCACAACGGGCCTGCCACATCTCGGACCGTGATTATATTCTTCCCTGGCCTCTTTGGCGTCGGAAGGGTACCGAGAGTATCTGAAGCGTGCCGCGATCTCCAGGCACATTTTATCGCGCCGACACTCCCAGGAATGGGAAAGACCAGTACCCGTGACAAATCGGTGCCCTATCACGTCTCACTTGCTAGAGACATATCCGCCCTCCTCTCTCACCTCTACCCGACAGATGCGTTTGATACTCTATATCTGTCCGGCGGATCTTACGGCACTGTCCCTACGCAGATGCTATATGGAGCATCGTATGAGTTATTCCCCGCTGGACGCAAGATTGCAGGTTGTCTCTTGATTGCCGGCTTCTCTCCACTGAAATACCACGAGGGCTATGCCAAAACGCTTAGCTGGCAGAACTGGTTCTCTTTCGGCCCGCCTACACAGCTACTGCCTTTTCATCTTCTACAGTGGCTCTTTCGGATGGTTGTTGGGTCACACATGAATACTCAAGACGGTGCAGAAGCGTTTCTACAGCAACACATTTTCAGCAAGATGGACGACGCCGAACGGTCCAAATTCGAGCAATGGCTTGGGATAAACGGCCTGAGTGAGGACTCTTTTATCGCAAAAATGGCTAGCGATACTATCAGGTGTAACCAGAATTGGGATGGGTTTATGGAGGTATCGGATGTCATGCATTCGGATTGGGGATTTGAGCCTAAGGCGCTTGATGATGAGCATGCGTCGAAACCCATGCTGGTTGTCGGCTCAAGTGATGATCAACTTGGGGGGGCGAGTAATGATTGGCTTGTGGGGAATTATAGGTCTGTTAGGCTCAAATTGTTGCCTGGTGGTCATATTTCGGCCCTGTTTTATATGGATGAGCTGTGGGAAGACTTGTTCGGGGTTGTAATGAGGACATGAACTCTTCTTCCATGGGTCTGGAGACAAACTTCCAGCAATTGACTTCGCGACACCTGAATATAGTTGGATTTGGCGGGTATCAGATCACATTTATTTATAGGGTGCATTCGATAATTGAGCTTTTTATAAGCCAGCCCTATGAATATTGGTGATGATCCATATATAGTTTATTAAATGCCAATTGTTACTGTAGTGATTACAATACAATATAAAATTATTCTAAAACGCACCTTGCCTTTCAGCAAGTTCAAATGAGTGTTTGCATTACGGAGCGAGCTAGGGTTAGTCTTTGCCCAGTGCGTCGGAAATTCGTTGGATGAGTATTCCGGTCCTGCGACGCAGAAGCGGCATTCATATATTGCATTGAACATTGTTAACCAATATCACTTATGCTAATGGGCTATTAAGCACATACGACCATAGGGTGTGGAGAACAGGGCTTCCCGTCCGCTCAGCCGTACTTAAGCCACACGCCGGCCAGTTAGTAGTATGGTGGGTGACCACATGCGAATCCTGGCTGTTGTATGTTTTTGTTTTTGCTTGTGATAGATGGGATCGGTACGCGCTCATACTATAGAACTTAATTATCAGCTTGGCATTCTCGTGTTGAAGCAGTATCTTGAAGTAGACAAAGTCTAAAGCAATCGTCGATAGATTCAATTGATAGAGAAATTGCCAAAGTGGCCCCTAGGTTTTATTGCGATTCGGCATCCACGGGTTGATTGATATAATTTATGTTTGGTTTTCTATTTCTTACCGAAAAAACCCCCCTAGAGCAGACTAACTGGGTCTGTGACAATGGTACCGGGCATGTTCAAGCCTACAAGTGGTGGTACTATAGGTACATGTTTGGACCCTGGACACAGCCAAGATATATATTGGGCCGTTTGATTGAAAGCCGACTGGATTGGTAGTGCGCTGTCATGGTACCTTCAACGTTCAATAAAATGTGAATCAAAAAGACCTGCAATGGAATGAATGGGGAAGGTACAGTAAAATACACTCGCAAGGTCTTTCGAGGTTGGGATCGCTAGACGGTCAAGGATGAGGAAGACAGTTGTTGCAGACAATGAGGACATGTTGAGAGCAAGCGCTCTGGTCCATAATGCCAAAACTCGCCTCGTTTTTCATCAAATGGGATAATAACTCAGCTGGGAGAGTGCACGACTGAAGAACAACTTCAGTTTCTGCTATCGTGAAGTCGCCAGTTCGATCCTGGCTTGTCCCATTACTTTTTTCGCCCCCATGTTTTTTTGGCTCCCAGCCCCGCTAAAAAGCGGGCGATTCCTTACATGTCTTGTCTACTTCCTACGAACCACATTCATTTTCTAATTTTTCATATAATTTTTGGTTTTATTCGTAACAAAACCGTTCTATAAGAGACATGACTACTATTTGACATAGGATAGGTATTGCGTGGACTTGCATATACACAGCCGTCTGATCACAGGGTATTTGTTTCATGGCTTGACTCCGGGGGCTGGGGTTTAAGGAGATAAACAAGCCAATTGGTCCTCGATGGGGCCATTTGTCTGCGAAGCCCACCCTATCGAGCAACCCGTCCGTAGTTCCCTGCCGCCATGATTCTACCAAAGTACTAGTTACGGTACGCACTTCTGTCACTCAGCCCTCCCTCTAACTCGGACCGGAGGACAAAGGCATACAGTGCAGATTCTTGGGCTGTTCCCAGGATCCAAGCTAGAAATGATCAGTTAGCTGCCTCCCCCGATTGCCATTACGAGGCTTGCCCCCCAACCCACTCCCTGACCCGGCCCGCTCATTGAGCCTAAGCGGAGTCTCTTACCTATCAAAGCATGTTCCATAGAGGCTCTGCAGTAGTGAACTTGCATGGCCCCCAAACTATGCCCGAGTGGTCTACATCTCCGGGAAATAAATTATAAGCGAAGGGCGGCTGGTGTGCACGCTATGAACTAGGTAGGGTTTACCAGGCACTTGGTCGATTTGAAATACTGTAGCGCTTGATTTCCAGTAGGTAATCTAGGTAGTCTAGCTCTATATAAGCTTGTCTCTTCCCACAACATATCTTGGCAGGAACTCCGTCATACTTAAGGGCGCTTCTTCAGTATGGCACCGAAACAACATATTGAACAACCCGCACCAGCTCCTACCAGCTCAAATGAAGCAGAAAGCAAGTCGCTTGTAAATTCCGACGCAGCCGAAGACAATGCCCAGCCAAAAATACACAAAAAGCCATCTGTTTGGAAGCTAGTGACGAAATTGTTCGCCTGGGAGCTACTGGCTGTGTTTCTGTCCACGGCCCTCCTGGCCGCTATTATCGGGATATTGGCCTCATACAATCACCAGCCCCAACCTATTTGGGATTATACGTCGCTAAACTCGGTGATATCGTGGTTAAGTACCATCTCTAAAGGATGTGTCTTATTCGCCATTAGTGAGAGTCTAGGGCAGCTGAAATGGCTATGGTTCACCCAGAAGTCGAGGCCTATGTCGCATTTGCGTACCTTCGATGCGGCTAGTCGAGGAGTTACCGGAAGCGCAGAGCTGATCTGGAATTTACGTGCAAAGTAGGTCGAGGGTTCTTATTAGTTCTACAGGGGTTGGTCGCTAATAACGCAGACACTTTGCTGCCACAGGAAGTCTGGCGGTCATACTTGCGCTCGCCTTCGATCCCTTCACCCAAAATCTCATACAGTATTATTCCAAGCTCACCCCTGATGCCTCACAAACAGCAACTGTATCAAATAGTACTGGGTACGATGTAATCGGCTCACAATATGCCTTGGGAGGAGGTATGTTGGAAATAGCTCACTCGGTCCTGAATAACGCTCATCAAAACACAATACAGAGTCTTATGTAGACCCAACGCTCAAAGCCAACGTCTACAATTCATTATTCAACAGTGATACCACGAAGCCATGGTCAATCCCCAACTACACATGCAGCACCGGAAATTGCACGTGGGATCCCATTTCTTCATTGGGAATGCAAGCGATATGTTCCAACGTCACAAATTACTTGAACTTCGACTGCTATACCATTACCAATTCTTCATGGGCTGGCGACCAAAATTGCACGATAACCATTCAATATAACTCCACGACAAGCGATATTTCTACCTACTACGTTGAGAACTCACCGATGGCAATCCCAATCGCTATAGGACGGGCTCAGCTTTCCATCATTCAAGATGATACCGCCTTTTCCCACATGCACATTATTGCACCTGCCCAGTCCGTCGAGAACATCTCCAAGTACACAAACACGACTCAGTGGCAAGCAATGGAATGTGTCCTCCAACCCATAGTCCGAAGAGTTCGCCCATATGTCACTCAGGGCGTCTATCACGAAGAAACATTATCTGTCTGGACAGATGGTTCTATCGACAAAAACTCGTCCGCGTACGTTCTGCGCCCTACTTGGGGACCGGAAATGGGCATCGCGCATAACACGACTTTCAAGCTATCATCAACGGCAGCCCTTGCAATGGACGAGTTTTTCCATGGTTTCTTTGCCGGCACAGTGCAGACCAGCCTTCAGAGTATTTCGTTTATTCGAACGGAGTACTTTGAATATGCCAGCGCCGACTTTATGCAGGCTATTACAGTATCAAATATTACCGGTTGCACCGCTACAGGAGCCGAAAGGTTTCGTTGTGCTATGGAGAATGGCGCTGCTGCGATTTCAAAAACTTTTCGGGACTCGGCATCTTCGTCATCTGGTACAGATGGAAACGCTACTACTGCGGGCCAGGCTATGTCGAACGTGACGTATGTTGTCGTGCACTGGCAATGGATTGCTCTGCCAGCACTGGTGTGGCTGCTAGGTATTGTTACCTTGGTAGGCACCATGATGAAGAGTCGGAGAGCCGTGGTCCCGATGTGGAAAAACGATGTGATGCCGTTGTTATTTGTATACGAAGGGGGCCAGAATGTACAACCTCCAGCTGATGGGGAACTTGAGAATAACCAGAGGGTGAAGTTGTATAATTCGGAGGGTAGGATCATGCTAGGTGAATGATCAAGGGTTGAAAACCAGGTTAGAGTTAACAAAGACTTTGAAAGACGAAGCTGTATAGCTCAAGGGGGTACCCGTATAATAGGCTGAGTTGGAATCGCACTAGGTGTTATCATTTACTTCCAGTTGAAGTCAGCAACTGATCCTGCCCGGTTGTCTAGTGGGTTAACCCCTAGGCGCCCGTAGCCACTTCGGTGGGTTCGGCGGTCGTAACTGCGAGGAAGCTTCTGTGGAGCAGGTGCGGCCCCCGGCGGGTGAGGTTTTTTTATATCTCACATCCCTACATAATTCTTCCTTTTAAAGTCTTTTTTATTATATTTTATCTATACTAAATTCATCACTAAATCTTATAGAATATAATACTATCTTTTAAAATAATTTAAAAGATAGTCTGGTGGCTTTAATGCGTGTTGTTTATTCGGCGTAGTATCGCGTTAAAGCCGCGGGCTGTACATGGAGCATCGTCATGAAGTATATAGGGAGCGAAAGGTCTCTGGTTCGATTCATGGCGAGGGCGACTCTTTTCAAGATTGGAATCTTGCACATGATATTCGCTTGAGCTTTCTACTCTCCTCTATTACTTCGAATATGAAGGAGATTGGTGTTTTAACTTTAAGATACTGTGCGAAGCCTTACGCGGACTCGGTCCGTTTGAATTGTGATGTAGATTCTAGGATCCAGGTAACGATGGCAGATTGATAGCGTATTAAGTTCATGGCTCAGAAAAGCTCATGAGGTCACAGATTATGTAAAGAACTCTAAGACTTCAACATGCGGAAGTACCGAGGCCTCGAGGCACTGGCCGGTGATAGCTGTGGCATCTGCGCTCAGAATAGACGCGATGGCTCTACTATGCATAGATTACGTTGGCCGTGGAATTAGGTACTCGTTGACTGTTGGGACAAGTCATAAAAGAAAATGTATCGCTTAGCAATCAGATATCAATGCTGTCTATCTACAATTACACCTCGACAACTCAACCTACAGCAGCAGCAACTCGCCCGTTGCGGCACCACCCGCATACTGCGGCTGGTACCCCTGCTGCTGGTTCTGCGTGACCACGAACTGCGTCTGAGGCGCACCACCACCACCTGCTCCACCGTCGCCACGCCCACCCAGGTCCATCGCGGCCATTTGCTGCGAGCCGATGCCGTTGAAGTAGCTATCTGCTGCATTGATGGCATCCGCACCGGCGCCACCTCCAGTCGCGTTAGGGTTGACCGGGAATGTCGGGGGAGGAGCGACGTTGACGGGGCTGATTGGATTACCCGTCGTGGTAATTGTTGCAAGGCCGCTGTTGCTGGTTGATGCGGAGGCCATGTTGGCGGTGGGCGGGTTGTATTCTAGCATGCTAGCGGTGCCGTCCTCAACTCGAGGCCGTTGCAAGGCTGGACTGGGTTGCAGTCTGCGAGGCCGTGCGGCGCGGAAGACCTGGTGAATGGGCTTGAGGTAGACGGTAGCTAGGGTACCGACATTGAGACAAAGTTCCTCTAGAGTGCGCGGGTCGAGTTTCTCGCTTTCGGCTGTGATGGGGGGTTTCTGGCCCATAACGACCTGCTTTGCGGTAGCCGGGTCCGTGGACAACAGACGCCAGTACATGTACCCTCGATCGCGGAGATCAGGGTCGTCAGTCTCTTCCGTGCACCACTTAAGTACCTGCGGAACGAGCTGTTGACCCTTGGTAGGCCGCTGGATGAATAACTTCACGGTGGCCGTAAGCAGGGCCAGCTGCACCTCGATTGTTTCGTCGTGGAAGGTAGCCAAGTAGTCCTGCAGGAGCCCATCTGAGTTCTCAATACGATCTGCATACTGACCGATAATCCAGATGACGGCCGCTTTTGCCTCTGGCTCATCAAGGTCGTCAATGTTGCGGATGACGTGGCTGATGATGCTCTCGTATTGGTTGGGATACTTGCGGAAGATGTTGCGGATCACGACCGTCGCCTCTTGGACGATATATGGAATCTTGGCACCCACCAGCTCCAACAGTGTATCAATGCACTGCTTCGCTGCGGACTCGATCTTAATGGCCAACTTTCCGATGGCGCGGACTGCCTTGCGAACGAAATGCACATCGATCTCAGTGGCATACCTGCGGTGAATCGTTAGTGTGAGAACATAAGGAAGGTGGTGATCGTGGGCGCATACTCTCGAAGCTCTGCCAAGACAATGGAAATATTGTCCTTCGTCGTCAGCATGAACATCAACTCCAGCTTCGTCACTTTGACATAAATTGGGTCGTTGTAATTGCAGAAGAACACCCTAATATCATTGCGCAGAACTTCCGGTCTTTTCTGCAAAATCAGGATGGCGTTTCGCAGGGCCAGATATTGGACCTCTGGCGGTTTAGAGAGCAGTGTAACGAGAGGCGGTGATAATTTGCGACATAAGGAGGTAATGTGCTTTTCGTCGGCGATATAGTTCATAAGATAGAGAATGACTCGGCAAGAAGTGAGAACGACAGCAGAATTTTGGTGAGAAAGGCGGGGGGCAACTCGCTCTGCCAGCAGAAGCGCCTCGGCAGTGTCCTGGGGCACGTAGGACATCAAGGCCTCAAGAATATAAGTCTGACCCCATCTATTTTGTCCGTTAATATCCTTTTTGAAATTGGATGGGTTGAGGAGATCATACTCGGAGCAGTCAGGAAGGATGGAAACCAATTTCGAAGCACTGACGTAGTCGATGGTGAGCGAGATCGACTCACTGCGACCCCAGATGTCGCACAAGGAGGCCAAAACACTGGAGACAACGGTCGGGTTCTCGTCTTTCAACATCCGATTGAGCCGGTCGATCAAATCCGAGTTCTCGACCGTCTTCTTGTCATGCTCATACAGCTTCGCGACGCAAAAAGCGGCCGTTTTGCGAACATACGGATCGTTATCTTGCATCAGGCGCTTTAGTGGTTGGAAGGTTGCTTCCACGAATTCGCGCACATGGACATATGAGATGGTTCTTAGGGCAAGCGCGCGCACGAGGGGGTTTGTGTCTTCCATGTCCTATAGTCAACTGTTAGGGACTCGTCCTTCACGGCTGTGTCGCATTTTCGGCAGAGGAAGACCATACATCAACTAGAATCGGTAGCGCCTTCATCGCGACTTCGGGTTTCATTCTTGAGTAGTTGACCAAGAACAAGAAGCACCTAAAGTACGTATTAGCGAGCGTAGTCCTCGTGCCATGCGGTTGCCCCGCAGGTCGGTAATGCGCCAGATCCATTCCAACATACATCTTCTTGATCTCCAAGCTCGGTAGGGTCATGCACTCGATCACATCGGGAAACAGCGCAACCATATCATTATTGCTCATGGTCATATTGGCGACGATCTTCTTCAAGGCGATCTTTTTGGCGGAATAGTTCTTGTCTTTCTTGCCGCCGCTATGGAGCTCTTGTCGCAACTCGGCGACCTTGCCCTGTGGAGTTTGCGCAAATCGTGAGCCAAGTGGCGGAGCATATGGGGCAAAACCGAGAAACATGATGAAAACAAGCGCTAGGGTATAACAGTGTAGAAAAGCAGGAGGGGAGTATATCACAGACACAAAGAAAGGAGAGTTGGGCAGGGCTATCTCGGCGCCCCGTCCGTCCCATTTAAGTCAAGCAGCGCATATGACAAGATGCGGGGAAGGGGGTTAAAGCCACACTGGGCATATCGGACGATCAAGCCGATTGGAACTTAATAGAGCTTATCACGTACCCTAGCGAACAGCTTCGCGTCACCTCCGGAACTCATGGTTGTTGCTGTGTAATCGAATCACACGGGCTTATTTAGGACTCCTGGTCTTCGGGAATTTTGGGCGAATCTGGCAGCCACTCGATCGATTATGGATAACAGACGAACGAGAAAGCTGTCTAGAAGCAGTCGGTTTCAGTCGAAGCTCAGCTTTCAATCGGTGCGAAAATCGATCGTATTCGGACGTTTCGGGGAACGCGGGTCTGGAGGGGACGTGGTCTGGACGTCGAGAAAAGGGCGAGTATCTTTCACTGCACCACGACTGTGGCCCGGTCGGGGGAATCGGAGACAGGGAGGATCATTGACAGGACATAATTCGAGATCCACGGGCAATTGACGGGCGTGGGATGAAGCGAAAAAGGCGAGTGAGACGGGGACGCGGAGGGAAAGGAGAATCGAGGCGTAAGGCGGAGTGGCAGTGGATGAGCTGCGGAGGGAACCTCCTGGCAGGACCCGTCATCTTTCCCACTTTGTGATCTCCTCCCCACTCCACCCATCACAGTTATTCTCCCTGCCAGCTTCAACCTGATTCTTCTCTGGCTTTCATTGACCATGTCTTCTGCTCTTCCACCACCCCCTCCGCCGCAATGGGTGGTCGCAATGAACTCGCCGCTGCCGCGTCCCACCAAAGCTGCCTCCAGCATCCCGGATCCACCAGGCTTCTCCAGCAGCCGTGGAGGTAAACAGGTGAGTATTCCCGATACTATTATGAAGCTTGAAATTCCCCAGTGCGATGCAGATCGAGTACTAACCTCTACCAGCGCCAGCAACAGCAGCAGCAACCGACCGCGAAGAAACCCGAAGAGACCGACGCCCTCAAGATGAAGAAGGCCTGGGAGATCGCCATCGCTCCATCGAAGCAACTCCCTATGAACGGAATCATGATGTATATGTCTGGAAACAGCCTCCAGATCTTCAGCATTATGATGGTATTCATGCTGTTCAAGGGCCCTATCCAAGGCTTGATTAACACGAATGCGGCGTTCGCCAAATACGAGACCCCCTCGACGCGCGGACGTCTGGTGGCTGTGAAGCTGGTCTATGTGTTGATGCAGTTCCTACTGCTGGCATTGGGTATCTGGAAAGTCAACGCGATGGGACTGTTGCCGTATGTTTCGATATCTTCTCCTTCAGTGATGTATACTGACATTTTCGGGCAGAACTACGAGATCGGATTGGCTCGCTTGGGAATCCGAGAGGCTACCTCTCGAGCGCGCGTACTTTGCGTTCAGGTGATACGTGTTGACGAATTGATTGATTGTAGTATAAGCAAGATGGCACCTTTGAGTTTAGATTTTTTGGTTGTATTATGATTGATATTCAAATTCTTCTAATAGCAAGCAAGCAAAAAAGCACTCCCAAATACCTGATGATTCCATATGGGTATCGGTTTAATATTATGCAAATAATTCTGTCATAAAGGGCATCGCCAATGAGGGGAAGGACATGGAATGCCATTCCATCTCGGGTATACCTGGCATCAAATTTCACCTCTCGCTCGTGGGGCTCGTCCTAGCTTCAAGCTTCTTAGCCTCTTCCTTCAGACGGCGCTCTTCACGCCATTTGGGCCCCTTGTAGATGACTAGTAGAAGCAACGGAGATGTGGCCAACATCACCAGGGACACGAAAGTGAAGCACCAACCACGACCCATGGCTGCAAGCATAGGGTCAATCAGAGCTGTTGCGCCTGCTCCGAGCAAGCATCGGACAATATTGTTGGCAGCCGTGGCCTTTGCTGCTTGTGTTGGATAAAAGTCCACCAGAATAGTGCTGATGGTATTGAAAGCACCAGTCAGCGTTAGGCCCATCAGAAACAGAATGGTAGTCGGGGCAGCCAAGTGAACCCCGAAGTTCAAGCACCACCCAAAAGCCAGGATGGAGAGACTTCCAATCGTAAGCATCGGGAAGGCAATCTGGAGGCGGGCTTTTTCAATTGGGAAATTCCTCAAGTCTGTGTGGCGGTTCTTGACGAGGGGGAATCCCAGTTGCTTCGCTATGCGGCGATAATTGTAATCCAAGAACTTTCCATTCAGTATGGATGCAATAGAAGCACCGAGTCCGAATGGAATATAGCACAATCCAATCTGGAGATCGTCCAGACCGTATAGTTCGTTGAAGATCGACGGAATTGTGGCACTGATGTCGTAGAAACCAGCGAATAGAATCGCATTGCAAAGCAGAACGATGCTCGTATCCTTTTGAGCAACAATCGCCAGTGTTTCCAAAGGGTTGGGGAACCGTAGTTTCTGTCTAGATGGAGCGATATGAGCTTCGGTGCCTTCCTCACGAGCTTTCCGAGCTTTGAGATAACTCATCAAGGACATGTTCCACTTTTGGGGAGGCAATGAACCGTCACCAACGACGCCTCGAGCGGTCTCTGGGAAGAAAACTAAGAATGGGATCATGAATGCACCCGAGAAGATGACGAGGAACCAGAAGATAGCCCGCCAACCGAGATACTGCGATAGCAGACCTCCAATGACCGGGCCAACAGACGGCCCTAAGAGTGAGCCGGCCGTAACGAAGCCCATGTAGGATCCACGTTCGGAAGCAGTGGCCACATCAGAAACGACCCCCGAAGAGAGGGCAATCGTGGTACTGCTTCCTGCACTTTGAAGACATCGCAGGACGAAGAGGGCTGCATAGTTATTCTGCAGGGCCAGCCCAATGTTGGCGGCGATGTAGATCGTAAAACACACGATATATGCCGGTCGTCTTCCAGCTTTATCGGCAAAGTCACCAATAAACATAGGTGACAGGCCTTGGAAGATCTGTTGTGTCAAAGTCAGCTCCAAAACGTAGGTCGAAGCAAGGCACGAGACCAACTCACCATATAACTTGTGAGAGTCAAGTTGATCAGCGAGTTCGAGACATGAAGATCATGAGCCAGTGTGTTCAGAGCTGGAAAGTAGATCTGAGAAGAAACAGGCGAGAAGAAACCAGCCCACGACGCCATGAAAACGATATACCGTCGCTGGCTAATCGTGAAGACCGAGTAATCGACATCTGCAACATCCCCGCTATGATTCCCCGCATGGCTGCTGGTATCTCTCGCCTTTTCGACGTCCGCCGAAGTCACAGCAATCACACTTGAGGGTGGGGGAGCGCCCATATTTTGTGTTGCTCAGTAGTGGTCGTCTCAGCGATGAGTGCGAGCCAGCGTACTTATCCAAAGATTTTACAATGGACATATTGGACGAGCAGATTTAAACCTGACCTCGAGTTCAATGTGACTATTCCCCTTGTGGAAGGTATCGAATCAAGGCGCTTGTCAAAAATTTGCTGTGGTCCAGTCCTTTGTGGAGAAGAACGGACCTGTGCCGAGATGCCGAAAGGTTTACTCCGTACTTACTCCGTTCTGTAGCTTATTCCGCAACAAGACATCTTATCGAATTATCGGCGGTTAACTCCGACAAACGAGCCCCGTCAGAAACCATCCACGACTGGTTAGCAAGCTCGGCGTGGCTTGTGAGTCACCGAGCCTACATAGTTATAAGCATGTGGCTTATTTTAGGGACAGCAAATTAGTTGCAGTAGCTCGAATCTGCAATCATATCGATGCGAACTCCATTCGTCCGTACTCGCTTACTAGCTTTGTCTCTTCCATCTTGCGGCTCGTGCATATTTCGGAGAGAGTATGAACATCAACTAATGAGTCGACTAAGGCATGTGCGGACTTAGCATATGAGTGGTTGCTCACTCAGACTAAACGTCTCTGTAGCCAGGGACGGATGCAACCATCTTCACCGAATCCACCTATCCGTACTTTTAATTAGATCAGTTTAGCTTCAGGACCGCAGTCTATTATTGAGGTTTCAGCGGCGATTTCCCAGAAGAAAGGCTTGGGTACCACGAGCTAGCACTGCCCACCTGCCTCACAGTCATTCTCCGAAACAAAGTATTTTAAGTGATACATATGGATATACAAATCTTAACCCCGGGCTTTGACAGCCTCCCGACAAGCCTGCAAGAAAATCTGACAAAACTCCCACACATCTGTGTATGTATTGTACAATGGTGCCGGAGCAACCCGAATGACATCAGGTTTCCTCTCATCGATAACCACGCCGTGTTCCTCCAAGTAATGTAAGACATGGTCCAGCAGTCCAGGCTGGAGTCGTAAGCTGAGCTGAGCGCCTCGTTCTGCTGGATTCGACGGTGTGATTAAAGTGAAAGGCTTATCCTCTGCGGGAGCATCCAGCGGATACTTTAGCAATAGATGCTCGAGATATCCGGTAATGTGGAGCGACTTTTCCCGAATTGACTTCATCGTTGCACGGTTGAAGATTTCGAGGGAGGCAACGACCGCGTTGATATCCAGGACGGACGGGTTGGATAGCTGGAAGCCAGCAGCGCCGGATTGCGGGACGAATGCTTACAAGAATTAGCGGTCATTCTGTTAGGAATGCTTTAATAGGGAAATCTCACTATTATTCATTTGGAACCGTGTCTGGAGGTCACTACCCCACCAGCCTGAAAGCCGAGGTCGGAAAGTCTCCTCGTTGTCGACCTTGCCATGACGTTCGTGTACGAACAGTGCGGCCATACCACCAGGTCCACTGTTGAGATACTTGTAACTGCACCATGCTGCAAAATCGACGTCCCAGTCATGTAGACGTAGATCAACATTGCCAGCGGCATGGGCACAGTCCCAGCCGATCAAGATGCCCTTGGAGTGCGCATGAGCTGTGATTTTTTGGATGTCAAAGTACTGGCCTGTATAGAATTGAATGGCAGACAAGAGAATCAGGGCAGTGCTGGAGGCATTCTCATCGATCACTCTGATGATCTGGTCCGTGGTGAGAATTGGGCGATCGAGATTCTCAGGCTCAATCAACACCATGGCCTGCTTTGGGTCGAAGTTGTGGTGTCGGACTTGAGACTCAATTGCGTACTAGTTATGTTTTTCGTTAGTATAACATGAATGCCGCCTCCATCTTATGAGGTATCACACACATGGTCACTGGGAAATGCTTTGCCTTCAAGGATAATCTTGTACTTCTCACTTGTCGGTTGATAGAAACTGGCCATGAGGAAGTGGAGATTGGCAGTGAGAGTTCCCATCACTGCCACTTCCTTTTGAGAAGCGCCTACGATAGGTGCCATCAGCTTGGACGCAGCAGTATCGACATCGACAAATGGAGGTAGCAATTCATCGTCGTGCGGCACAAAGTGACCTGTTACACCCTTGGTTGCCCAGGTTCGCAGATATTGCTCAATGTATCGTCGAGTGCTGCGAGGCTGAACACCGAGGGAGTTGCCACAGAGATAAATGCATCTAGGATCGGAAGCTTCGTCATAACCTGTTGGAGGTAATGTAAGTATAAGTGGTATGGTGGGGCTAAGGAACCAGATATGAGTAAATATACATACCCTGATCTTCTGCCAACGTCTTCCGCTTCAGGTCTTGTTTGGAGGGGATGATAAATTCATCTCGGAATTGATGGAGAGGATCTGCTGCATCCAATGCTTCGGCATAGTCTCTCGTGTAAGCTCTGATATCATCCTGGTAGTGAAGTGGGGGACCGGATTTGATATCACGGAGATGCTGCCGTGAACCCATTTTGAGAAGAGCGACTCGTGTGACAAGCCCTCTGATCGTAAGATATCCCGTGAATCTTTCGAAGCTAGGCAATTCAAGAACCTGTCGACTCACAAGCCAAAGAAATCGTCTCTCTTCCCCGCCAACTCCGATCCCTTACCCTTTTCAGTATTCTGCCACTATTCCCCGCCAGAGCTGACCAATCGCGCCACTGCCGAACTGACTAACCCGCGGCCATCGGATGGAACGATGCGATAATTGATAATCCAAGTTTCTTTTCGTCATCTCTCGAGCTCAGCGACTCTTGCACATACACAGCCATGTCGCGGTCACTTTTCACATCAGCAGCTGCGCGGCGGTTGTCCCAGCAGCACGGCCGACTCTTCTCAACTTCCCAATCTTCCTTGCGCCTCTCCGCATCGTCCTCCGCTGGCCAACTCGCTTCCCGCCGACTTACAGCTGCTTCGGCGGGCGCACCTGTTTACAGGCCGTTCGCACGTGGGTGTCTATTGCGATCACCTACCCGTCAATCCGTCGCTTCGTTTTCCTCCTCGTCCGCTCGGCTCACCACCAAGGTCACGCAAAACCCGAGAACTGGAGATGATGGAGAGACTCTCATGATCAGTATCTCTCCTCGCGCAGTGTCGGTACGTTTACAATGGTTTTCTTTTGGTTACTTGGCTTTCGCGGGTCTACCGTCATGACCGAAACTATGCGCTGTGTTGTGTGGCAACTCTGCGAGTTGCCCGAGACCTGGGGACTGAATGTTAAGCTGCTGTCGAAATTGGGTTCTCCATGACATTGGATGAACACAATTCCAAGAGCACGGGTTAAGTCGGTTCCCCGAGGTATCCAGCACATACGACCATAGGGTGTGGAGAACAGGGCTTCCCGTCCGCTCAGCCGTACTTAAGCCACACGCCGGCCAGTTAGTAGTATGGTGGGTGACCACATGCGAATCCTGGCTGTTGTATGTTTTTGTTTTTGTTCTTCCTTCTCGGCTGCGATCGCCTTTTGTTTTTCGTTTCTAGCCTCATTTCCCGAATCAACGCCGAAGCTCAAGCTAACTTGAATATAATAGCGTCTCCGTGAAATCACCGACCCATCCTCCTCACCCTCTGCCACGAAAGAAGAAAACCCCTACCACCATCTCCGCATTACCGTGACCAGTGGCGGCTGCCATGGTTTCCAATACCTGATGTCCCTCGAATCAGCAGCCAAGATTGATGTCGAAGAGGATACCATTTTCGAAGGCGAGGCAGATCCATCGGAAGCTTCAACAAAGGCCGCCGGCACGGCAAAGGTCATTATGGACGAGCCCTCGCTAGAGCTGTTGTCTGGCAGCACGGTCGATTACACCACCGAGCTGATCGGTAGCCAGTTTAAGATCGTGGACAACCCGCGGGCAACGAGTAACTGCGGCTGTGGCACGAGCTTTGACGTGATGGACTGATTTGGGATGATTTTCTACCAACAGAGTCCATCGGTGCTTTTCTCTCTTGCGTGTACAGATACGGCATATTCCAAATAGGAAGATAGATAGATTAATTTGCATTGTATACCCCTCTTCTCTCTATAATACCCTTTACCTCGCATAAGAGTCGGTATGGTCTTCAAAAAGATATAGTAATGTTATCATCATCAATATGATGACATCTTAGATCCCATACAGTTTTCTGGGATAGATAGTCATTCAATCATTATAACACAAAAGTGAAATCAAACAGACCTCCTAGCAACAACCGCAATCTCATACGGCGCCAACCCAACCTCCAAAACCTCCAACTCAGCGAACATCGAGCTCCGAAAACAAGGCTCATAATCACCCCAATCTACCTTCGGCCCAAGCCACACAATAATCTCCACATCTCCCTCCCCATATATCTCAATATACCTAGAGACCAATTTCGGTTCGCGGGGGTAAACAAACATCCAAGCCTTCGCCTGCCGAGCCCTTGAATAAAGATCCCAAGCACCAGCAGCGACATGCATATCTTCCTCGGCAATGTACCGATTAACAGATGAGGCTACCTCGACTCCCTCCACGGAGATTGCTGCATTGGAGTGTGAAAGGAGGCCTTCTAAGAGGCCGGATCCGCTGCCGATTGAGAGTGTGAATGCGGGCTTTTTGGGGAGGAGAGTTGTCAGGGTTGTGAGGAGGGTGGTGGATATAGAGAGACAACAGTCTGGGAATCGGGTGGGTGATGAGGAGGAGAGTTGGGATGAAATATGGGAGAGATCCATGATGGGCTTTGGCTTTGGAAGTTTCGGTTTAGTATGTATGGTATATGTTAGAGAGGAGAAATATCAAATTCAGGAACAAGGTATCCGGACGCGGATTTACTGAGGGCCCGGCAGTTGGATGGAGCATTCGTTAGTATCCATATCATCGGGCATATTGAGAATCACTTAAGAGCTACGGGCTAATCTACGTGTTTGAACTACTACTAGATATGCAGCGTTGAAGTTATAATCGTTGATCTATGCATTTCATCAAGTCTCTTTTTTCTACCTCAACACATACACTCACCGTGAGTGTATCGTCCCCCTGAAAAAGAAAGCAGAACCGCAGACCGGGGCAAATGACAATCGTACGCCCTCCAAAGATATCGCGATAGCCCGACTTGATTTTAAATCCACATGGACGAAGCCTCTGAGCCGATGAGGGACCAGGGACAAATAAACCAAGGAAACAAAAATGGAAAAAAAGGCGTATAAAAACCAGCAACAGGAGAAAACAATGAGGTTAATATGGGGGGAAAGAAAACAAGGAGGGGGAGCGGTTTAAAGAATATGAAAGAAAAAATTCATCTCGAGTCATGTACCGTTCTTTCTTGCATGTAGAGTCAGTCCATTCCTCTACCTTTTCGCCCTCTCCGGGAACCTGTTTACCAGGTTATGGTTTGGAAGGCAAACCAAGTAGCGGAGGGTGTTGTTTTGGGGGAGGCGCACCGCTTAGTAGACGCGGGCAAGGTTGCGCAGGTACCAGTCCACCAAGCGGCGGCCGGCCTTGGTCTCGCTAACGTGGATGAGGTCATCCTCAAGAGCGTAGTCGAGATCGTTGGAGATGACGGCCTCTCCATCGAGCAGACCACCCTCAACCCAGCGAATCTGGCGACTGCGCTGCTTGTTGACCAGCAGCCACGAGCGGAGCTGCTCAGGCTCGACCTCGAGGAAGCCAGCCAGCTTCTTCAGATCCATGGTGGTGTAGAGCTTCAGGTAGGAGCGGATGGTAGGGTTGAACAGGGTGTTCTTGACCTCATCCATGAAGATGGCGGTGTGGTGGTCGACGGGGTCGACGTTGAGGGCCGGGTTGTCGAAGTCGGGAGGAGTGGGGCTGATGAACTTGGGGCAGGCAGAGCGGAAGAGCTCCTCGAAGACGGGCAGGGCCTCGGGGCCACCCTGCTGCATGCGGTGGAACTGCTCGCCGTACTTCTCGCGGACGGCGGAGTGGATGGTGTCGTCCAGGCGAGTGGGGTGGAGAGCGACACAGATGGCGATCAGGGCGTACATCTGATCGTTCTTCTTGGCAATAGCATCGTAGCTGTTGCCGCCCTTCTGGAAGTTCTTCGTCCGGGAGACGTAGACCAGAATGTGGCTGAACATGCGGATGGCATCGGCATAGCGACGCATCATCATGTAGGAGAAACCCACGTAGTAGTAGGTGGTGAAGTGAGCCGCCATAACACGGGCGAACATAGCCTTCTTGTTCATCTCGATATCGTCGAGGGTCTTGATGGCGAGGCTGAAATCACCGAGCAAGCAGTGCACACGCAGCAGGCCGATGATCGAGAAGTAACCCAGCATCTTGTACAGAGGGCGGGAGCCATACTCGCCGGCGAAGGCAACGGGGTCCTCACCGCGCTTGATAGCAGCGAGCTGCTCGTTGATCTGGGAGCGCTGGATGAGGGAGTAGAGCACATTCAGCACGGAGTAGCAACCCCAGGTGTTAGGGTTCTCGCGGAGCAGCTGAGACTCTTCCTCGGAGGAGCCGCTACGGGCGACACGGTTGCGATAGCGGCAGAACGACTCGAATTGGTAGATGAACTCATCGATAACATCCCAGGCCCAGTAGTACTAGAATGAAAGCATTGAACGTTAGTTTTCCGTCCTTAACTCTCCCGTAACAGGTAGTTGACCAGTCCCATGAATGCCAAGCATTGGATTTTCATTCATTGTTTTGTCCAACCATCGGCATTGGAAATGACACAACGGAGCACCTACCGAGGGAACCTCGAGATCCACGGGACCCTCCGAGTTCAGAATGTAGTGGAAGAGACTGCAGTAGTTGTCGTAGCTGGCGAACTTAGTCTCGAGAGTCGCCTGGTATTCCAGCGGGGTAGCGGCGGCAGTCAGCTGTGCCTGGAGGTCTTGGGCCTGCGAGCCACCAAGGGATGTCGTCCGGTCCAGATCGCTCATTCCATCCTCAAAGTTGACTTGCTCACGGTAGTCGTTGACCAGAGCCTCCTCCTCAACATCGGACTCATCGTTCAGGCTGGGGCGCGCATTGACGCGGTCGTCGTAGGACATCGTGGGCGGAAAAGGGTAGTCGAGGAGAGAAGGAAAGGATAGGTAGATTTTTATTTATCTCGCGCCGAGGGAGGACGGCAAGGGCGGAGGAAAGGGCGTTGGGTGGTGGTGGGGGGTTCACGTCCGTCGGCGGCCTGTGCGATTTGCCCAAGAAGTTGAATTTTGAGGGTTTTCGCTTCGGTGTTGTGCTTATCTTATCTGCGCATAAAGTCGATGCTGACTCAGCTTATGCTGGATTAATACATTCTACGTATTTTGTATACAGTACCTCTCGAGTCATCGGCATTCGATTAGGAATAGATCGTGCTTTTGTAATTGAAAGCGAGCAAACAGTCCCAACTGAGTTTGGAGCGGCACTCCAAATGCAATTGACGGGGTTCCACCTGTTGCGTGCTCCGTATTGAACTACAAGAAGAGATCATCATGGGAAGGTGAGCAAGGCAAAATTTTAGTCGTCCAGGCATAATCTACAATTTCAAGCAGGTTAGAATTCAAGAACAGTTTACACGTTATTGTTCTGAGGAATTGCAGACTTTTGTTTGGTCTTTCCTGGTTTATAAACATGGTGAGAAACGGATCATTTTTTAGTAAGGTTCTACAACACGCAAGAAGCATCTTCAACACCATGATACCTTAACACCCGTGGAAGTATTGAAAGATGGGCAGCATGTCGTGCATGGGTATTATTAGGGAAGAAAGAAGCAAGGTGTTCAGCTGAAGGGGAATATGGCTTGTGTAAGGGAGGGCTATGAGATCGATTTGATGGACAGGATGTTGAGGCACCGACAAGGCCATGATAGCGGCTTCTGAGGTCCTTTCGCAGGGCAGTCACTCGGAATATCAAATATAGTCACTACTGTGCGCCAGAGGTCCAAGCTGCTCATGCGTGAATGTATCACAGGCGGGAAGACAGTCCGACCGGTTAGTGTGGTTTCGTTGATGGCACCTGGAAAATGATCCCGGATTCCGGAGTGGATTGTTCTTCCCTCCCTTTTTCATCCAACGGCTCGGTACTTTCGTCTGCTTGGGAAAACACACACAATCCCGACTCCCTGGTCAACTTCAGTCGCCAACAACAAGCTGGGGTGACATGAGCGTATGGAGGGTTCCTTGTTGTGGTCGATGAATGACTTTGAACCCTAAGTTTCAGAGATGCGGAGGATCCGGAAGGAAAGCTTCTCTCGTTGATCTGAGCAGGTGAGAGCACACTCGATAGGCCTCAATATGAAGCCGATTACTTTCTCAAGAAAGGAGTATCATTCTCTGAATCGAGGTGGCGGGCTATACACCACTCCCGAGTTTCTTGTGCCTAGAATATCTCAGCCTTGACACTTGCAACCTGACAGATTTCCCCCTCCTCCCCCAAACCTAACGACACCCTTTGAGTCAACCGCGCCCCCCTGAACCGTCTTATCAACGATAAAACGATGAAACGAAAAATTTGGACAATATTCGGCTCCCTCGGGTGACGTGCCACTCGTTACTCTGGCCCTTTCCTCAGCTCGGACCCTTCCAGGATCGCGATGGCCTCTGTAGGCAGCCTCACGGCACCACGTTGTGCTAGCAACTGAATGGCGTGAACAGTCTCAGCCGTAGGCTGGAACTTATGGCTGAGCGCAATACCGAACCGGCAGAGCTCAGTGAAAGCATTCCTCGCGTCGTCGGTGTCATCCAGCTGATGCACCAGGACACGGAGGGCCGTCTGAACGGCGTCAATAACTTGGCTGGGAACGTGTTTCAACCCATACGACTGGCGATGCACACGAAGACATTCGGCCATCTCTTCAGCTTGTTCACGCCAAGTTCGCCGTAAATGAGGGGTCATGGCGCCTTCTTGATCTCGATCAATCAGTGTCTCGAGCAGATCCATGACCGCTTGGAGGTATTTGATGCTTCGTGAATTGTCGTCAGCACGTGGTGTGCAATGAAAGAATCGGGTTGACAACTATCTTACCGGAGAATAAGGAGTTGGGGAATTGGCTCTGGTCCGATCTGGGACGGACTGGGCCACCCTGACAGCCACTGCTGCAATCGTTCATAAGGAGCCTTGGCCTTGACCCATGACTCGTGGAAACTCCCACGAAACGCCTTATTATGCAATAGTTCTTGAATATCAAACAATATATCCATCAGCTCACCGAGACCCTGTCTGACTCGAGGCAGATGCGCGGGCTTCGTGGTGTAATTGGTTTGATTTGACCTCGGATATGGCGTCCAATCAAAGTCATCATCACCTCCCATATTCAATCTGGAGGCAGGTCGAGCCAAGTTGGCTACCTTGTGGAGCTTCATCGAGAGCTGGCTATTGAAAACATTAGTGGCATTTCCTTTCTTTTCGGTCTGGTCGAATTTCACACACAGATTCAAGCTGAAAACGCCCCAAGCTGTAATCGCACGAACTCGCTCCATCTCGGGTGATATGGCCTCTGTGGATGGATGCGCCACTTCGGGGAACGTGAATAGGCCCATATCCTGAGCCATTTGAACGGCCCCTCGCAAGATCCACCAGGCTCGACTACTCTTTCCCTGTTGCGACAACCTGTGGATCCTTCAGTTTCCATCGCTACAAGTACAAAAAGACACATAAGGCATCAAAAGACCAAAACTTCACATACACACAACACATTGTCAGGAGAGCCTGAATATTTGTCAACGTTGCAAGCCCCTCTTGGGGCTTCAACAATCGCTCCGCTTCCTCGAAAAAGCCTTGTCCCCAAGAGAATGCGTTTCCTGGTTCCGCGAAAACGCCAGGACTGTCAGAATACACCTGCCAAAACCATCAGAAACCCAAGAAAATGAAAACCGGCGAAACTAGCTGGGGGGGGGGGGGGGGGGGGTGGCTTCATACGCTTGCTATTGATAGCAGACTATTCACCAAGAGAGGCGAACAAAATTCAGAGGAAAGGTCGCCCCGCTTCATATGTTCCAAAAAGATACCTTGATCAACAAACTGCGCGCATGGATGGTCCCAAGTGAAGTATAGGGAAACCAGATGCGACACAAGATCGTTGTCATCGGTCACACCTGTCCATGGCTTTGCTGGTACCCTGAAAAGGGGGATATCACAGAGACTTTCCAAAGTCACCCGGGCATATGGATGAAGTGCCGCTCGAGGGAATTCAATATGGTGTTCTTCTTCTGGCGAGGTTGACGATCGACTTGGCGCTGCTTCGCTCTGAGATATCGATGCGGATGCCTCGTTTAACGAGTCGGCATGATTCAAATCCTCCCCTAGAGCCTGATACTCTCGAGCTTTCTGGCTGGAGTCAGGGAAGGTGGCGTCGCTGCCCACGGCCTGAGCAATCTCTTGCATTGACCCATTGTTCTTGATCAATTCGACGATCTTCGACACTTTATCTTGCGGAGACAATCGGATCGTGGTCAACAGAGTGTTTAAGAGGCCTTTATAATCGGTGAGCTCTTGGATGGTCTTCTTCACGGCGATCTTACGCCTGAGATCTCGGGTTGGGTCGAAGCGGCATTCGCTTGCGGTACCGGCGGTTTTGCAGGGATTGCAGGGGGACGTCCCATCCCCGGAGCACTGTGGTCAGGCGACGATATCGTTAGCTGTTCAAATTACGTCTCATAATCCCCGTGCTTGCTTCGGGGTCGTCGATCCAGACACGTTGTGGCCCCACGGTGATTGATAACGAACCTTCCTCTTTGCAGCTTTGCACGGTAAGCAAGCTGTTGAGTTCTTTTTGGACCGACTCACAACCACCGATGACTGTCCATTGTATATGCGCGATGACGGGCCAGCCGCCAGCGGAGGAAATTGTTTGGTAGGGTCGGGATGGCTCATTTTCTGGGCCAAAAGCTGACTCGAAAACTGCAATTGCGACTGTCGAGAAATAATATCCTGTCTAGCTGATTGAAAATCTACCGCTATGGGTTCGTTCTCGTGATGCGAGCCGTGAAAGGCGACCAGGATGAACTTCCCCGTTTGACGCGATTCCGGGGCGAGGTCGAAACAAAAAGCGACACGGGCACACAGGTGGCGACTCGTCACAACACTGTTTGTCTCATGGAATAGAGATTCATGGATTCTCGGCTCAACCTTCTCACAGTGTTATCGGAGGGCGTTCGAAAGGGATCGAGGACCTTCGTTAGGACGCTGTTGTTGTGGTTTAGTTGCGGTGTTATGTATTCGGCTAGCTGTTGGGACACGAGAAGGGCTGTTGGAACGAAACAGGTTGAATCTATCGAAGCTAGCCTGCAGGCATGACTGAGGGGGTTCATCAATCTTAAGCAAACATCAGGGCAAGGGGAAGTCGGCAGCTGTACACAATCAGGGTGACTCGCTGGTCCAAGATTGAACCTTACGGTGATTGGGGAGAGGCGAAGTCGGCAGCTTGCCAATCTGACACCGTTGAAGGCATAGAAACCGACAGGGAAGAGGCAAGGCCCATCAGGGCAGGGTTAGTCTGGAATCCGGTTAGCGCTTTGATGGGGATACGCATCAAGAACATGGGTTCCCGCCCGAGCCCTTTCAACGGGGGGAACGTGACCAAAATTCTGGCCGATAGACCCGAGTGGACCTGGACAGAGTGCTGTACCAGTGTACGCAGGACTAGAATACGAATGCGATTCATGCCTTCCCCTTCGCCTAGCAAGAAAAAGAAAAGACGACAGGAATTGGGGGATATGCTACGCCATACGCACCGCCTGCATCCAGCCCCACAGTCTTGGGGCGTGGCCAAAAATGCACCAATGCGAGATTGTACTCGAAAAGATTGAATCATAACTCGCCTCAGTACGGCACTCGCGTTCTCCTCGGAACAAAGCGACCGACGATCATTTAAGGACTTCCATCCAATCGCCGAGGTCGGCTACAAGACTTGAAAAGTACGGGACTGACCCAAACTGACTGCTTGCGAAGCAAGCATACCATACAGCTATACCTTTAGCTAAACCCTTCCGAAGGAATCTCTGCTGTTTGACTTGTAAATGACATCTGAAACAAGATCTAGACCGAATGGTGCTGCACGTGCTGCAGATTCTTTGTACTCTACAGTACTACAACCCGATTTTGTCATTTACCTGAAGTACCTCCATTTCTTACGCCGAGTCGATCCATCAACCGAGCCGGGACCAGGACATTTCCAGGATCACGAGTCAAACTGTTCCCGTCGTCGATTTAGAAGACAGATGGACCTGGTCTGCACACAACCTGGCTGGTATCTGGGGAAAGCTTGGACCATAATTTGGCGAAATGTGGCAAAGATTCCCAAGGTCCTGGGTCATCCAATAGCCCATGAGCCGTGTCGCTACACTAACGTTGTACGCACTATTACACGAAGTATAGCAGAAAGAAGGCATGTCATGACCTGTTTCACCTCACTTTTGACAACGTCTCCGCCGTCAAAGGCTCCCTCTAGCCCATGCACTCGCAGTAGCGCATTACGGGGAAGTCATCCTAAACCAGCCGAACCCAGATCTACACGCAACATTGGCTTGAATTCGATTCGTTGCCGTCAAAATGGGTATTCTTGCCTATCTCAAAATTCGAGCGAGATCACTATCCCCACCAAATTAGGTGGCTTGCGACTAAAAATCACTTTCGTCGCTTATCATTGGTCGCTGAATTCTGCCTTCCAATCGGGGAGTGCAACTTCTGCCATGGTATGTCTTGGCATTGGTTCGGCTTCGCTACGGTACGGTAGGAAGCGCAACACAGATCTAAGTGCTGTTTATCCCTACAGTGCGAGAAGATTCAATAGATCGTCCACGCGACTGTTGATGTTGGACGTCATCCTAGGCCTGTCAAGAACATCGTGGCCTGCCAGGTATGACGTCGAACTATAGCGATGGCTCCGCCCCCATGTGTACTGGTTATATTACTTGCGATATCTGAATCGTCGGGTCTCATATCCGGAAAATTTTTCCTATGGTATATCAACAATGATCTGAATTTAACTTCGAAAACGAGATACAGCCCCACAAATCCTCTCAACCTTGCCTTCTAGTTTTCCGACTCCCTGATACGTCGGTCCCATGGTTACGAATCAACTCCATTGAAACAATTGGTCGGCTCGAGCCGCCTGAAAACATCGGGTCTACCCAGGCTTTTGAATCATATACTCGTGGTCGGCGTCCCCTAACTGTCTATCAAACTCATTGGCCTGGCTTGCCATCGGCGACCCCGAACAAAGGAACCTGTACTACTTGAGGAAGGGCATGGACAGTGAGACTACATGCTCATATTCTACTTTCCTACTCACAAGTGCCGAGACGGCCGTGCTGACCATCACCAGCGTGCGATGCATGAACCGTATGGAAGAAGGTCATGAGAATTTTCGGTTTGGACTAGAAAAACCGGATTTCAACATTTCCCACCCGCCATAACCCTGGCCATTGCTGATCCCAAATTCCCAATAATAATATGCATTCCTCCATCGCAACACGACAGTCATAGTACCTTTGACTATGGTTGGCGATATTTTTGACCGAGAAGGACCAACTACCGGCTGATGTCACTCCCGACCGTGGATTGGTTTGGAAAAAAACAGCCGAGTATGTCTCACCAGTCTCTCATTGGCTGCCGGTGAAAGTATCAGTCTTTTCGCCTCCTGATCGATTGACCATAGCGCCTGCACCTGATGGCACGCCGAAAAGAGGTCTTTGAGACTGGAAGAGCGATCGGCTGAATGCATATTGTCATGATCAATTACAAATAACTATAGGACTTGCAACTTACACATGCAGTGCCTTTGTTACAACTTGTTACAACTTGCCACCAGAACGACGTCTATTACTCCTCTATCTCCCGGAGGCCTTTTTTTAATGCCTGCCCTTACTGTCATGGTCCAAGCACTGCTGGTTTAACGGAAATGCAGCAAAGCGGCTTCGGCTTAGCGGGATACCCAATATCACCGACCGTGGATTCTCTTTGTATTGCCTTACTAATGTAGCCTCGATCTATGGCTGGTTCGCAGGATGTTAACAGACGCGACCGTCACTGGGGTTTCTTTGTCCCTGTAGGGCGCTGGGGATTCGGATGTTTTCTCCAGACTCGATTCAACGCTACGAAACCCTTGCGACGCAAGGCCTGGACCTGGGTTGGTTTAGCTCGGTGTGTGCAGAAATGGATTACTGTACCCCCATCGTTAGTTGGTTTCCTCCCCTTGTCGCTACCTATGCACGGTACTTCCTAGCGAAGGCCCTCTATTTACATGTTCTGGGCGTTTCCTTCTCCTTCCATGTCGGTATCGCTCTTGCCCTTATCAGGTAGTCTTACAGGGACCTTTGCGAGATGCATCGATCTAAAATGGAGCTATAAGATTCGTCGGTTTATTTATAGAAATAGGACTGATTACTTTGCATTGCTCTGCACCTGGAAGAGTAGACTCCACTGTGACCTCGTATCTAGATCAACTTCCAGGTCCCTGCGCTATCTACCCTAATCTATATAATTGAGTGTTATCACTCAGTTTACTCAATTTCGACTAGCAAAATGATTCAACTAGACTTGAAATTTGAATTTATCATTCATTGTGACATAAATTTTGGTTTTTCTCAATCGTCGCGACATTCGACCATACTGCATAGCAATACATTAACGTTGACACCAATCCCCTACCTTGGGATGTATTCATAACAAACCAGGTGCACCTTGTCTTCCTCATCAGGTTACAATTGCCCAGTCATTGTCTTGCATTGCCGGTCCCAGTATGCGAATTGTTCCGGCATAAGCGTGGGATAGTAGGTAGGCATATCCGATGGAAATGCCTTCTCCATCATCCCCCAGCAAAAGTCCGCCCCGAACTCAGGGTGCAAACTCAGAAAGCAAGACCCTTCCATAGGCGACATGAAAATCGTCTGCCGCAAACCGGGCAGGTTGTTCAGCATGAGTTCGAGCACCATCTCTCTCAACACACCGTAATTCCCCCGGCGGCTGTATAGCTCGTTGATGATTTTGCTGATGGCGAACTTGGCAGCGTAATCGTTTTTGAAAATGAGCTCAACTGTGAGGAGGCTCTCAAAGGCTTTGCAGAACTCCGCTTCGGCTTTGACTTTCAGCTCATCGATCATGAAGTAGTCTGCTTCGGCGTACATGCGGAGATGGAAGTAGGCGGCACTGTGGAACAGTCGGTCATTCAGGGCAGGGCGCTTCTTCGGTCTGGCACCCACGGTGAAGAGGTTTATCATTGTCCTGACACCGAATCTTTTTCTTTTCTTCTGGGATCGTTTCCACGGGCGAGTGGATTTGCCATCCAGGTTCGAATTCTCGGAGTCTGGAGAAGAAAGCTCAAAGTTAGCCATTCCAAAATGTGTGAGGTACTTGTTATCTCGGAAATATTATTTGATTATTGCGGTACCATCAGAGCTGATCTCTTCAGTCTCTTGCTTGTCTATCAAGGATTTCAGTTTATGATGCCGTTGAAGGATGATAACTTCATCATATCGCGACATACCCGGATCCAACGTGTAGTTTCCCGTGTACAAGTATTGGAGGACCTTCTCCACCAGTATCGGATCTTTGTCGGCAAGTGTGAGGCATCCGCATGATTCCTGAATCGCCCCTTTCTGTCAGCGGACACTCGATCCATCACTTGGCACTAATTGCGATCCATACCCGGAACTTGCCATGAAAGGCTGCTTTGAAATAGCGCGACAGGTGACAGATGATGGTCTTATGTGTTGAAAAGATGGTATCTCCGCAAATGATTCTGACGTCGCTATATCGGGGGAAGAGGAAGGAGCTGGCATTTCCACAGTTAATACTGAGATCACTCGAGACACTGTGCAGCAAACCGACCAGGGAGTACTCACTCTTCGACATGTTTCTGTATCATCCGCTCATTCATCGAAATCATGAATTTTCCGTCTCCCAGCCTCTGGGCCCAGTTTCTCCCCCACGGAGAAGTCCCAGGCTGAGTCCACCACTGCCATGGAGGTGCCGGGATACCAGCAGACATGGAAGGCGGAAAGGGTGAAGTTCCAGAAATGAATTTCGAAGGCGCATATGAGTCACTGGTGTCTGAAAAACAGGAATCATGGGCGGTCGGTTGGCTTTGGCCTGTGTGTCCGCGTCCAAAAAAGGACATCATTTCTCCGGGAAAGAGGTATCCTGAAGACGAGGACCAAGATGAGAAAGAAAAAGCGCGAGTTGGAAGTTGAGCGAGGCATAAGCGAAGTTTTTCTTTGGAGAAATATTGGAGAAATATCACAACAGTCAATATGAGCAGGAGATGGGAGGCGTGTCGCGCCTTCCCAGGAACTTGCCAATTGGAAACTGCCACTGCCCAAACAACGGCCAAGGCATTGTTCATGGCCCCAAGTCAGAGGATATTGTTTTTATTCTCGCTCGAATCATGGCGATAACTTTCTCCTTTGTCTCGCTCCACGATCTGTGGGATTTTCAAGTGAGTACTAAACGACTTGCGGAATGCGACGTTGGGAATAGCTTCATGGCCTTCTGGGAGATTGGACGCCTGAGGCGTCTGTCTTCCCGCGTACCCATGTATTTGACAAATAGCTTATTCTTCTTCTCAATTCCTTGGCCACTTATCATATTTCTTTTCTTCTCCAGTCTTGACATTTTTGTCAACTAGTACAAGGCGGCTTGGTTCCGATCTGGCTCTTGGCTTGTAATGAACGATATCTCAAAGAACAGTTGTCTTCCTACTTCCATGTGCGGATGACCAAGCCTACAATATCCAAACCCACGTGCTGTAAATCGGACTAGGCAATGATTCAGTCTACTGGATCAAGAGAGACTGTATGTATGTCATATTCATTGATTGCAAGTCGGGATTGTCTCTATGAAGGCCGTGATTTTGAATAACTACTTTACGCGCCAGACCTTGGCTCTATTGTCCAATAGAGCCCCCTTGAAAGCCAAGTTTTTCCATCTTCTTGATTTACATTTGTGGAATTCTAGGATCATATTCCCTTTCCATTATCTGGCCTTGATCTGGATGTGGCCGTGCTTGGAAGCTAATTGGGTAGTTGGGTAGCACAAGCTACGACTACATCGACCCGCCTATACTTCACGTACAACATCGTTGAGTATTAAGGACGACGATCTCCAAGGATTCAATCCCAATTTGTGTGAAATAAACTTTGCTGAAACGTTAATTTTTGGTTCTCATGTAAACCGAATGTCCCAGTCGCCTTTAATCTCCGCGACCATGAGTGATCTGGCAATGCACAACTCGGGGTTTCCTATAATCAATTGACTCATTCAGGGCTTAATTGAGCGCTGCCCACAACGCGATCCCAATTACAACCCAAATCTATTATTATTCATAACTTGAACAGTATCTATCTCATTTGCCGTGCCCCTTTCGGCTATCATCGGCACGCTACCACAAAGTGGAGCCCGGCCAATCCTTCGATTATCAGTTTCCCCCGCGCTTGTCAATTGAAGGGCGTGCAGCATCCAGACAGCCTAGCAGGGTTTATCGCACAAACTTCTACAAGAGGCATCGTCTATGATAGTTCGACCAGCATGGTTCTTATTCTGTAGATAAGTTACAAGGATTCTATTTGCGGTAGTATTCAATTGGATAGATGCCGATAACAAAGTCTGGAGAATTTCCTTCCCGAGCGGCAAAAAAAAAAACTTTTTTTCGGCTCGGCCTTGATAGTTCCTTGATTCAAGGCCCGGGGCAAACCGACCGACCATAAAACAACGGGGAGATCCCTCTAATTCCGCTTCCATTTTTCTCGTGTCATAACAATATACAGATCCAATTGCTTAAGCGGCTTGCACACCGACTCTTACACAGCATTCTATAACCTTGTCTCCAATTCGGGGTTATCCATTGTCTCCCCGCCCTACGTACGCCCTGATCTTGGTGACTCACATTCCGAGTTAAACCTAGACATTTCCTGATTCAAAAACGAGGGAGTTGTACCAATTGTCAACTCTTCGACAATCTTATCCATTCGGGTTTCTCACATTATATATTCACAATGGGTTCTCTCGCTCCTAACGTGGCCGAGTTGGACGCCTCCAGCTTCAAGATCACTCGCTCCACTAACCTTCGCGATGTGCCTCTGCCTGGCTCACCTGAGGAGTTGAGCCACTCCTATTGCACCGACCACATGGTCACCGTGCGGTGGACTGTCAACAATGGCTGGGAAACCCCCGAGATCAAGCCCTACCAGAACCTGAGCATCCCGCCCACTGCTTCCTGCCTGCACTACGCCACCGAGTGCTTCGAGGGTATGAAGGTTTACCGCGGCTACGATGGCAAGCTGCGTCTGTTCCGTCCTGACTTGAACGGCGAGCGTCTGAACACATCCTCTCAGCGATCATCGCTGCCGGGCTTCAAGTTCGATGAGATGAAGAAGCTGGTTGCTAAGCTGATGCAGATTGATGGAGCCCGTATGTGACTATCTTGCTTTTAGTATTCAACTCATATCTGGGTCTTGACAAACTAACATGTCTCTAGGCTGGCTTCCCAAGGAGCGTCCTGGCTCGTTCCTGTACATCCGCCCTACCGTCATCGGTAACGGTCCTCACCTGGGTGTCCAGGTGCCCAAAGAGGCCCTCCTCTTCATCATTGCCGTCCCATGGCCCGACTTCACCAAGATGAAGAAGGAAGGCGAGACCATTTCCAAGGGCCTCAAGCTTTTCGCCTCCAACCCCGACTCCATCCGTGCTTGGCCCGGTGGTTTCGGTTGGGCCAAGCTCGGCGCCAACTATGGCCCGTCTCTCCAGTCTCACGGTAAGGCCCAGGCCATGGGCTTTGACCAGATTCTTTGGCTGTTCGGCGAGGACCGCCAAGTTACCGAGGCGGGCGCTAGTAACTTCTTCATTATCTGGCACAATGCCGACACTGGCCGTCTGGAGCTTGTCACTGCTCCCTTGGACAGCCAGCTGATCCTGCCTGGTGTGACTCGTCGCAGTGTTTTGGAGCTGGTGCGCGATCGTCTGTCGGAGCAGTTTGTGGGCAAGCTTACCCCTCTGCAGGTTGCTGAGCGCACCTTGACTATTTCTGAGATTGAAAAGGCTGCTGAGGAGGGCCGTATCGTTGAGTCTTTCGTTTCTGGCACCGCTGTAAGTTGATCAATGATCTACTATCGTATGGTTTGATTTGTGGGAACTAACGATGTTCGTATAGTACTTTATCACTCCCGTTGCTATGATCCGTAACAATGACAAGGATATTAGCACCATGGGCAAGGACGGCGAGCCTGCTGGCTACGCTGCCCAGATCAAGTCCTGGTTGGAGGCCATCATGTACGGCAAGGAGGAGCACGACTGGGCCTACCTTGTTGAGGAGGAGCAGTAAATGCGAGGTGTTATGAAACGGGACAGAGAAATGCCTAAGGGAAAATCGACAATTAGCGAGTGTGTGGATTGGTTTAACAGGAAGTCTCGACTCCCCGATGGAAACCTCCAGGGACCACAAAAGTCTTTCAGGCTTTATCTAGATTTAGGCTAAACCTAAGATGATCTAACGTTTACTATAGAAGTATCAAACAATCAATATTTATAGACCCGATCTAGCTTGCTTTAGTACATCATCTATGCATGCACACAGTATACTTAACCAACAGCAAGAAAGATATCTCTTAGAGTTATTCCTTCATTCCCGGAATTAACTCGGCCAACATCGGTGCCGCCGAATCCGATGGGCGCCACGATAAGCCACTGTGGCAAGCTCACTGATGATGTGGCATGAGCTGTTGCCGTTGTTCTGGAAGTGTAAGTGGCCTGCAGGTTCACGAAGGTCATTTCTATCCTTAGTCTTCGAAGAAGCTGAATGGTTTGTCGCCCAACGTAAGTGGCGGCTTGTTGAATCCATCGAATCGACCAATAATGACCTCGTCGAGAAGTGAAATGGGGCCGAAGGTAGGCCAAAAGGCATGAATATGTCCAGCTGGCACTCAAGTAGCAAAAGCACTTCTTTATAGTCCATCTTACTTCGGTAGATTGTTATCTTGAACTGCGCACAGGCCCATTGGCTATGCTGTATTGTTGGTGGGGCCAACTGTATAGCCGTTAAAGTCTCCTATCCCCAAATCCCTTACGGCCGTAAGGCGCAAAAGACATAAGAATAATAAACAGTCTTTCCTGGATCGGTTCAGACGGCAAGATCTTCTTTTTGATGAATTGTTTGTTGAAACAAACAGTTTCGCTCTTCCTATTCTACACCTTGTTGACTTCACCGACTGAAGATCGAAACTGAAGGCAGAATTACATACAGTCCACAGTGTAACAGGATGGAGAAAAGAACGGAAGCGGTACAAGAAGGCAACTCCTTTCAGGATATTGGCCCTCCGCCCTACAACATGGTGAGGCTACATGCCGGTATCTAGTTCTACCTCAGATATTGCGCTAACGTGATGAGGGACTTAGGAGAAAACCAACCCATTTACAGCACAACAAAATCAATGCACGGCCCTCGCGAGCAACAGCAGAGAAGAAGGACCCAGGCAGCCCCAGGGCTTCGATCATGCCAGTGCTCAAATGATGCATGAAAATTCATTCACTAGTCGCGCTGGACCTTTTCCGGACTACCAAACGCAATATCAGCAACCTGTTTCTTTTAATCAGTTTCCTCATCAGACGATGCAGACACCATCTGCAACTGCCTTTCGCCAACACGAGCAGTACGGCCCGGATTCGCAAGGCAAGAAGGAACGTAAATCGAGCAATGTGAAAGGTACGGTTGGGGGCGGTCTCCTTGGATTTGCGTTGACCGGGCGGTTGAGTGGCCTTGCTGGGGGAGCTATGGTGGGAAACATGATTTTAAAGCGTCGGAAGTAGCTTTACCCCATAAGCTGAGAACCAGAGCAAGATCTTTAACATCTAGAGCTTGTGGGTGCAGAATTTAAGTACAGTATTAAGAAATAGGATATATCATTATTGTCTGTAATGTGAGACACTTATACCACGTCTCGCAAATCTTGTCATTCTTCTCGTAGATAGAAAAATCCCGGGTATTGGGATAGATCTGACGCCCCGACTGCTTCTTGGAGGCGAAGCACATTTCTATGTACAAATGAGTCGGGCTCTATGGATTTTCTCCCATATCCATTACAATGCACATGATTACCCAGCGCCAATACAAGCGACAAAAATCTTGTATACAATTTCTTGGAGTGCCATATATCATTTAGAAGCCCAACCTCGAACGTTCGTACTGACCCTGATTCGTCTTCTAAGTATGGGCTTCAATACCTGCATACTCGAGATTTGCTTGCTTCCCTACTATCGATTTCGAATCCTCGACATCGAGGATGATTCGGCTTGGCACATTTTCAGAACCCCCAAGACGCCAGTGCTTACGGCCGTATAAAATGGACCCACTTTTCGAAGTACTTTGGAAAAAAGGGCTACTGATGTCTATTGGTGCTAGTGCCATTCCGTCAAAGAATTAATAATACAGCGTAAATGCTATCTAGCTACAAAAATGGCTATGAAAAGTACTATGTAGAGAGTGGATCTCTCGTCGACCGGCTACCACCCGCGAAACCCGCAGTCGTCCTTTGTACATGCTATTATCTCTAATTTCTTCCTTCTCTCTTGATTTCGAATTCCTGACTGTGCATTTATAATTCCCCAAGCTTATGAATCACACCTGGGCTCTATCGATATTATTTGCTTCTTGATGGGGAGATAATGAAGCAGAGGCGGCTTTCTATATAGAAACACGTTGTAAATGGAAATGGTCTCTTGGAATGATCAGATTCTATTCAGGCCGGTTCAAATACTAAGTCAGTATACTAAGTCAGTAGTATTAATCATGGTTCAAACGAGCAGCGAGGCCGAGCCTGACTCAGGTCAAATGGTGGAGTGGTCAGACGATCCTAACAACCCAAAAAACCTTGTCGCATGGCGCAAATGGGTGATGGTATTCATCGTCTCATTTAGCTCTCTTTGCATGTATGCCATCTAGCCACTTATCCGGACCAAGTCAACGCTAATTCGGCGGCCTGTTACAGAACGTGTACATCGGTACTGTATTCAGCTACATACGACCAGATTACCCTAGAATTTCAGGTCTCTGAGCTTGCTGCCACGGCCGGACTCTCCGTCTTTATCCTCGGAATGGGAGTTGGGCCTATGTTTGTAGCTCCCATGTCTGAAGTATGATATTATTTTCTGCCCCTTGCAAAAGCATCCTGGCGGGCTAACTTAGTACTACAAGTTCTACGGAAGACGTCCGATTTACCTTGTCTCGTTAGCGCTGTTTATTATCTGGCTCATACCTTGTGCGGTTGCACCTAATCTTGCAACAATGATCGCTGGGAGACTGCTAGGTGGACTTACTAGTGCCGCTTTTCAAAGTGTGGCTGGGGGAACAATTAGTGACCTTTTTACTCGACAAACACTTCAACTACCAATGATGGTATACACTGCAACCCCCTTCGCTGGCCCCGTTCTGGGCCCTATGATTGGTGGGGTCATTAACTACAATACTTCTTGGTATGATTCATGTCTTGGTGCCCTAGATTGTTCGAATGAAAGCTTATATTATTCTAGGAGGTGGTCATTCTGTGTCATAATTATATGGAGTGCTACGCTCTGGATTCTGTGTGTAATTTTTATGAAGGAAACTTATGCTCCAGTCCTCCTAACACGCAGAGCCCAGCAAGAAACCAACCGGGCTATTCTTTCGGTCCCAGTCACCACAGATTCTATGCGAGGAGCCTTGCTCAAGTCCTTGCGACGCCCTTTTCTCCTACTAGCTCTTGAACCTATGTGTCTATGCCTCTGTGTTTACACTGCCATCATGATAGGTACCCTGTACCTGTTCTTCGGGGCGTTCCCTTTGGTCTTCGCACATACCTACGGGTTCAACCTGTGGCAAGTTGGTCTGACATTCCTAGGCCAGCTGGTAGGGACTGTTGTTGGTGCCTTTCTGGACCCTTTCTGGCGTTGGAATCTCCAGCGCCTGGTACGTAACTATCGATCTCAAACAGCTAGCGACTCGGACGAATTTTTGCCTGAATTTCGGCTCCCACCCACTATTCTTGGCACGCCATTGATTACAATCGGGCTCTTTTGGTTTGGCTGGAGTAGTGTTCCAGAAGTACACTGGATAATGCCTATCATCGGAAGCGCCTTTTTTGGTTTAGGGTCAGTTACCTTATACTGCGTTTGGAATGGAACACCTGCTAATGCTCGAATTCAAAAGTGTCTTTCTTGCCTTTCAAGGAATTCTCACTTTTCTTGTTGAGGCATACCCACTATATGCAGCGAGTGCGCTAGCGGCCAACGCTTTTCTTCGCAGCATCTTCGCGGCGGCATTTCCACTGTTTGGAATACAAAGTCAGACTCTAAATTCAAATACCGATTGCATGGTTTTGCTAAATCCGGGACAGTGTACAATTCGTTGGGATATCAATGGGCAACGTCACTCCTCGCGTTTCTGACTCTCGCAATGCTTCCGTTCCCGTGAGCCCTCACAAGCCTTATGGTCTTACCAGGTTACATTACTGACTCTAGTAATCTAAGATACATCTTCTTCAAGTTCGGTCCTCGCATTCGAGCAAATAGCCGTTTCACTGAAAAGCACTCTGTTGCCAAGCCGTGAACTGGGCGACTACCGTTTAATGATTCTTTATTCCATTACCATTATATGGCATACTACAAATTTGCTGATAACAGATAAAATAGCCAGTATGTATGTCACCACTGCCAGAGATCCACTACCAGCGCTTTGTTGCTCTTTTTGTCTCCTTCGCTCTTTGTCGGCCTTCGAGAAAGAGGCTTTCTGGCCCTGCCAGATCTTCAGATTGTTTCCTTTAGAAAATGAGCACTTAATAACCTACGTTCCTTTTGGTCATTTGCTCCCTGTTCCCCTTCTTTCTATATGTAAGTGTCTCTGGCGCATTCTGTTGTGATAGATGGTGGATGAACAGACCGCCCCCGTTGATTTATTTATGTATTTATCTCTCAACTAATTCGGATTGAGCTCCTATATAACACTTTTATTGTCCCAGTACATATCTAAGACAACAGGTGATTTAACTGCAATAAAGTATCAAATGAAATTCATACTCCAGTTTTCAAAAGATCCATCTACAAAGTGCTCTATATCCATGCCCGCTTAGCCATCTCTTGTAACTCTGCCTTATTTACTCTGATTATTAGCCAACCAAGAGTTAAATTAAGTAAATCACCTTGGCATTGATTATAAGCAAAGAAGGACCAAGGTTACGACGTAAGCAAGTCTCCCCCGACATGCATGAAGCCTAACGCTTTTCTCAGCCTCTTTAGGCGTCGAAAATCCACCACGGAAACCCGAACTTTATTTTAACATGACCATGGCAATATACTACAGACTGTACATAGAAAAATAGAAATTATCACTAGCCACAGAATAAAAGAGCTAAAGAAAAAGGCCAGTGAGACATTCTTTTTTTACTTCCTCGGATATACGTGTGTATACGTGTGGGGCTGGCTACCCCAGAACCTCAACAAGGTAGGCCTTTCGGCCGTACCAGCTAAGTCGTATCTGTCTTGTCTGCTTACTTTCGCCATAATTCTAATAGGGGAACCTGTCATTATTTAGTATATAAGAAGAGATGGACAGCTCAAAATAACAGACAACTTCATACCCGGACGATCTCATTTTTAGCCAAGATGCACTTTTTCCTGCTTTCCATCACTGCCACTTCTATCTTCAGCCTTGTTGCTGCAGACTCAACTCCCAACTCCTTTGACAGCTGGAAACAAAGCATCCCCTCTTGTGCCCAGTCATGCTTTGATGACTTTTACTCTAGCAGCGTGGGTACTTCCTGCGCCAGCGATGCAGCCTCTAGCACCAAGCTATCTGACCTACAATGTGTTTGTGCTGCCATGGAGGCAAATCTTGACAGCGGGGGCAACAAGGCAGTCCAATGCTCTTCTTCGAAGTGTGGGTCAGACAGCAACATTACTTCGGAGGTTACTGCAGGCCTACAGGGCCTGGCTAGTATGTGCTCCGCGGCTGAGGGGAGTTCCTCGAGCTCGAGCTCAAGCTCAAGCTCAAGCTCAACTGAAACCGCAACGGCAACATCTATCAAACCCACGTCCACCACGGCAGCGGCAACCACTGCGACCCATAGCTCGGGTTCCACAAGTAAGTGCTCCATTCTACTTTATCTATACCTGCACCAGCTCCACTTCTATCCAAGACTGTTTGACTATAATGGTAGTAAGCAATTGAATCTGACAGGGTCTTGCGAGAAAAACAGTGACGATTACAACGTCAAACTTATTCTGGATGGGGGTAGCTGGAGCTCTCCTTAGCAATGGCTTACTTTTGTAAACCACGAGAGCTTGGTACAAAATGTGTGTTCTACACCAGAATAATAAGACGGGTTGACAAGATTGGTGGGTGGCGGCATTGTAGGAGGAGAATCCAGTTACAGATGAGGGGTGTCTCAACTTGGCATGTACAATGTATTTAGTATTCCCGTACTCAATTCTTTGCCTACGATTCGAAGCTTAATTGTAACCAACTTCATCGTAGCCGATGCTCGCTTTCGAGGCCCATGGCGGAGCGCAGTCATATAAATCATGTATAGCAGAGCTGTGAGGTGGAATAGTTTGCTAGAGAAGTTCAGATTAAGTGAAAATTGGGGAGTCAAAACTCGTGTGATTATTTGCATTTCAGCGGTCTACTCTCTGTCTAGGCCTTTTGAGCTCTTACATTGCTAACTAGCCTGCTAGGCAACTTGTCTCCGTCAAAAGATTCTCCACGATCATACATATCATTCAAATAAAGTGCCAACTCGACAATTGCCGCAGGATAGGCACTGCGAAGGTATGCCTGCATCATATCCAGGCCATTTGTGACTTCGGCACTTGTCCAGATATTCTCATGCTGAATATATCGTTTCTTCTGCCACCGTACCTGAGGGACAGTCTTCTCCATCAATGGAAGCATGAGCCTTGGGCAAGCAGAAGGGATACCATTCAGAACACCTGCACGGGCCAGTGTCATCGCTCCTGTACAAATAGCCAGCAGTGCCGACACTTTCTTCGATGCATTGTGTAGGAATTGCACAACGGCAGAAGAGGGTTCATGCAACGGATGTGGACCTGGAAGGAGAAGAATGTCTAGCGATGGACATTCCAAAATAGATGTCTTGAAGAAGTCATTGAATTAGCAACCATTGTTGACAAGTAAGTTTGGCTGGTCACTCACTGTAGGCTGAATTCGGACGCCGCTGGTCATATTCACTGGTTTATCGCCATCCTCTGTGATATAGTGGATTTCGCTCTTTATGCCGAGGGCAACTATTTCTTCCGGAAGGCCACAAGCATCGAGGTACTCTGGCTGAAGGGTGGTGAACAGGTCAATTGGAGCCAGATCCAGGAGTTGGACTAGATCGCTGATCAATAAAACTCCAACCTGCAAGGGTTGTGAATGGGGGCTTTCCGCCATATTTCTTGGAGGCTCAGATGGTGAAACTAAGCTTATCAATTACCAAGAATGGTTATAATCATTGATACATCCGCAGCGACGACCAGACTCACTTTGCAGCGGCGTGTTACGGTCGTATGAGCTGATTGTTTACTATCCCAACTTCTACTCCGTAACGGCCCTGTTATTTAATGACCTTTAGCTAGTGCTGTAGTTTATTCTTCGTTCTCTTCAACATTAATTCACACACTATCATAAACCGGTTCTTTTGGCCATTAAGTCATGGCATTCTATCGTTCGACCTTGCGTGCTGGCTTCCTCGTATTCGACGGGGTGGATGTGCTTGATTTCGCCGGGCCTCTAGAAATTTTCTCCCATGTCCATCATGGTATGGACTACAAAGCACCCAACCCAGCATTTTTGAGCTCACTATCATCGGCCCTTCCTATGTCATTTCCACTAGTGCCGCTGTCAAAATCGTCCCGGATATCTCCATAGCATATGCGCGAACCAAGCTAGATGAATTCGACATTCTAGTGGTTCCTGGTGGACCACCACCCATTGTGTTCCCCCTGGTTGAAAGCAGCTCGGAAGTGCTGCATATTGTGAAGGAATTTGGACAATTACCACGCAAAGATACAGAACAACCAAGAACCATTCTCTCAATCTGCACTGGAGCTCTCTTTCTAGGAGCTTCTGGTTTGCTGAACGGTCTAAGGGCAACTACACATCATCTATTTCTGGGTGACTTGCAAGCAGTCTGTGAGAAGGAAGGTGACACTAAGGTAGTGCAGGTCAGATATGTCGATGGCGAGCTGAGAGAAAACGGGCTTCGGGTGATTACGGGAGGCGAAGTTTCTTCTGGCTTGGACTCAGCATGTTATTTTGTTTCTCAATTATTTTCTCCAGAAATGGCTTCGTTTGCGGCCGAGATGTCTGAGTTCTCGTGGGTCCCACAATGAATATTGATGGTGTTTCTAGAGATACGTATATGAACTTCAACCGGCGTCGAATGGTTTGTGCAGAGAGTGATAGAAGCCGATTCAAGAAAAACGATAAGATCTCTTCTTTTCAGCCTTGTTACGAAAAGCCCGAAGAGGAGAGAGAAGATGGAAGGAAACTAATAAGGCCGAAAGACCTTTCAAGTCCCTCGAAGTTATTATCAGGAGACTTCCTATCCAATAAATGCACAAACTTTCTGTCCTATTTCCTAACATACAATCTAGCGTTGTAACAATAAATAGGGTTGATAGACTCGGTGACTGATGAACCTGTCAATCAGTACCTCATATCTTCGAGATCCGAGGCCCCATCCGCTTCTATCTGCAATCAGCCTTTGAAATGGTGAATATCGTCTAATTCCTCGATGGTTTCCAAGATTTATTTTACCGCTACCACCCCGGTCTATCATGGCCTGAGATACGTCACTATAGCAAATCTCATTTAGTTCAGCTCGATCATAGACACGCCTCGTTCATTTTCCTTGGGGTACTTACGGCACCGATTTCCACTAATTCGCGTGAAATAGTTTACCACGCCGAGCAAGTCCAGCACTTGATCTCCTGGGAGCCCGACGTGACGACTTTGCCGCCAACTGACGCGCGGCTGTCATTTCCAAGCTCCTCCGAGCACCCATCGTTCTGCCAAAACTGACAGGATCCACCATCGGGACCGTTGGTAACCTTTGCGCAGTGAATGCCGTAGCTATAACCAAAGGTCCAGGGGTTGCTACCGTCGTGCCAGGAGCTAATGTAATTCTTGCAGGCAGTGTCGCTGTAGATGTTGACGTTCCAGTCTTTCGCGGCGACAGCAGTCGCAAGGACCAGGAGCGAGGATACGGAGAGGAGTTGCATTGTGAATGGAGGCAGTGTGACTGGGAATGGTAATTCACGAGAGGTTATGGAGTATAGAGACACCCTGCCCTGGAGGAGTTGTGGGATCAATATATATGATATGTAACACCTCCCCCCTACTGATCCTTCGGGAACACATCTACTAAGGGCCTCTTCTGTCTTAACATCCGGTCTGAAGGGTAGGTAAATTGCGGGCTAGCCTGAAAGAACCTTAACTTTGATGATCTCTCACGTAATCCGTAACAGAGTGGGCCGCGCTAACGACCTATCCGTCCGAAGTTGCTCAAGTCGATGGGTGATCACCAGCCTGGAGGCGCGGCTGGCTGGCGGTGTGGTGTCTTGTACTTACGTGCGAAGAGTTCAGCTCACCATCCCGTGCGGTTAGACGATGAGAAAGTGTGGATGGAATAATGATCAACCGTGAACTAATTCCTCAACATATAACAGCGTGATTTATTTAATTGGGTCAAGCGAGGGTCTTCACCCGAAAAGGAAGTATCAAGAAGTGGATCTATCCTATAGGGGTAGGTGAACCTAAACTTAAACCTCAGCTGAGCGTTTAGTCCCACCGCCTCTAATCCCAGCACTGTTAGTTGCTCTCCCCCATATAGCCTCAGTGCCCCACATCTAACTAGCAGCTGTGGTCTGCAGGAGTAGTCGGTTTAGCCATGGGGGTCGATATTATTCGCAAAACTACATCATAAACATGTTTCCAGCCCGTGTGTGCTTTCCACGTTGGCGATACTTCAATGCAACGGTCCTAGTCTTTCTTTTCATCTTCGTGACGATATGGATGACCCGCATACCTCCAGGCACACTGCCATGGTCACGGTCACGGCGACCAACGTCCAATCCATCGCAGAGCACCAACCGCGAGCACATACCCCTCACCGTGATCCTAGCAGCCATCAAAAAAGATAACTTGGCACACCTCGAACAATATTCTGGCCTCAGTCTCGGGGACACCCAAATCGTCTACGTCGCCGACGATCAAAATGCCACCCACCCTGTTCCAATGAACAAAGGCAACGAAGCCATGGTCTACCTCACCTATTTAATCGACCACTACAACTTCCTTCCAGACCTCATGGTCTTCATGCACGCCGGCCGAACCTCTTGGCACAATAACATCCTACTGCATCTAAAATCTTCCTCGCTTATCCAGCGCTTGCGCAGGCAGTACGCGCGCGATAGGGGCTTCGCTAATCTTCGGTGTGATGCTAGCGACCCGTGTACCAAACTGTGGTATGCAGTTAACGGCCGGTATCCGGCGTCGGTTTTCACGAGGAAACGCATAGACCACACGCACCAGCTTGAGGTTGAATATGCCGAGTTTGATCAGTTGTGGGAGGCGATCTTCCCAGGCCAGCAAGTGCCGTCGGCGATCGGGACACATCCTGGCGCGCAATTTGCGCTTACCCGTGACACGGCACGTCGGGTATCACTGGCGGAGCTGAAACGTCTGCGACAGTGGATCGTTGATGCGGATCTGACTTCGAAGAGCGCAGGGGCAGTGTTCGAGCTTTTCTGGCATATGATTTTCCTGGGAACTCAGGCATCCGTGGCTTGCCCTGCACCTGTGGAGTGTTATTGCGCCTTGTATGGGATCTGTATTCAGGCTGTGGACGCAGATGTGGATCACCTGCTAGACAATGTCACTCGGGAGGGATATCGTGCGTACGAGATGGGCCGTGATCTGGATCGTATTCGACATCTTGTAGACCAGGGGCCGAGTGATGAGCGTGATGGTGAGTTGGAGAGCATCTCAGATGGTCGTATTGGACCTGGATTAGCAGGGCTATCGGATTATACTGCGGAGCTAGACATGTCCATTGCGGAAACAACCAAACTTTTGGATAGAATAGTCAAGGAGGCAGATGCCACTAGAGATGTTTGACTTCAACCGGCGTCGAATTGTGTATGATACTGGGATTTCCTGGAGTGATAGGACAAGCCTATGGAACCAGATTAAAAGATAGGGACAGTAAGATGTCTCCTTCTTAATGTTCTTACGAGGGGCCTCCAGAGGAGAGAGAAGAAGGAAAGAAACAACTGGGACTGAAAGACCTTTCAACTCGATAGAAGTTACCATCGGGAGACTTGCTATCCAATAAATCCGCACACTCGTCGGCTATCCCTTATTCATTTCTTCCCATTTCGTAACATATAATCTAGTGTCGTAATCATAAGTAGAGCTGATAGGCTCGGTGACTGGTAGACCTGTCAATCAATACCTCATGTCGTCGAGATCTGAGGCCTCATCCTCTTCTATCTGCTCCTCCTCCGAAATGTTATTATGCTCCTCCAAATCAACTACCATGGGAGCATATTCCCCCGTTTCCTCGTCTGCATCATTATCCTCTATTTCCATCTCGACCTCCTCTCCATCCTCCAATTGAAGAATACCCCGCCTCACAATAGACTCACGCTTGAGCTCCCAATCAAACTCCTCCTTGACCCATGCCTCCAACTTGTCGAGTTCCGTCTTGACCATTGACTCGGTCCCATTTGGAACAACATCATCAACCGACCGTCTGATCTTTGCGAGAAGCTTGCGCAAGAACTTTCCTCCTTCATCATTGTCGATCTCAAAGAGCCCGCCCTCGACATCGTCACATCTTTCAAGTTGACGTAATAGTAGACGCAGCACCTCGCTCATAAACGCTTCTCTTTCAAGGATTGCTCGCCGAGATGTGAGAATGAGCTCTAGCAGTCTCTTCCATTGCTGAAGACAGGAAAAGTTCATCATGGTCAATACCATGAGGAATGTGAATTGTAGCTCTCCGAGCAACTGCGCTTCCCCCGTCTGCTCATCGACCGTGATCTCCCCAGGTACACGGCTGGAGTATTTGAATACCAAATCGCCCAAAGCCCAGGACTTATCCTGCGCAGCTTCCGTCCTTTCACGCCCAATAGCACCTTCGCGCCACGTTCGCTTGAGGTCTATAGGAAGAAAGCCGAATTCTCTCTCTTGCTCCATAATCTTCCTTGAAACTCCCCCTTCATCCGCAGCCGGCGAATCAACACCTGGGATATGATCTGCATCGCGGTTTGCCGTGCTAGCAGAAGTAACCAACCACCGCGGATGACCATCTAAATCCACCTCTGGATCGCCAATGATACGTGACAGAATCTCAGGCGACAAGCGATTCGTAAGCTGTCGCCAATCCCTTCGACCATCCTCCTCAGTCTCCTCATCTTCTTCAGCCTGACGTGCCTCGGCCGGCGCCGACCCGGGCTTATTCGACAACATAGCCGGGGAAACACGACTTCGATACCGGAACAAGCCCCCGCTCTGCCAGAGCGCACCGAGATTCGCCTTGTAGCGCATAGCCTCCTGACGATCCGCATCGCTGTCACTCGTCAACAAAGACAGCGACTCGGTATCCGTGTTCCATTTCCAAATATAGATCTCCGGAGCAAGGGTCTGCTGCCCTTGCGCGACCACGAGCGCGGTCTCATTGTCGCCTTGCCCGGCGGAGCTGATATCACCCACGTAGAACCATGCACCACATCGGAGTGAGAAGCTCTCTGTCGTACCGGTGTATAGAAAGTGCCAGCCTAGCGGTAGGTCTCGGATTCCGTGGAAGTTCGCGGTCGAGGAGAATGCGACGAGGTCGATGCCGACTAGGGTCTTTGGGGGGAGCTCCGGGAGCAGGATTGTCGGTGACGGCTGATGGGACGGAGGCATGGCTGCTGACTGGAATTCTGGAATGCTCGGGTGTTGCGAGCTTGGTATTTTCGGGGGGTAGGTAGGAAATGGAGTGGTAGGAGCAGGGTCGAGCTGGTTTGCTTGAAAAATTGTCCGATTGGCAGACGCGGCGCGGCGCGGCGCTGATGTCAGGTCGTGATGGAAAGAGGTGGTGGAAGCTTCAAGTATGAGACATAGCACGGAATTCTCTGAATAAGTGAAGAATTGTTGCAGTTTGGGCTAATGCGGAGGGATAATGCGGAGGGATTATGAGAATAGAACCTGGTGATCTCTTGTCGTGACGGTGGTCAACCGAAGCATCTTTTTATCGCGGGGCGATAGCTCCCCGCACCTGATCTGATATCTGCGCCGAGTTTGTTGACCAACGCAGTATATATAAGGCGCAGTCTAGGGTTACGTACGAATACTGGCGTATACAAATTTCTACAAGTGCAAGATGATGGTTGAGATATACTCAGACACAGTCAATTGATTCAAGCTGTCGTAAACGACTACCTAACCCAACCGCTAAAACTGAGAAGAACTTTTCAGGGCATGAAAATATCTGAAGACCAGGCAATAAGGGCCGTTCTTCGCGTTTATTCCATCCACAAGTGCAAGTAGACCCTGCAGGAAGCCTCCAGTCCAGCCACGCAATGAAGTCGCAGTCGGAGAAAGAAACGACCGCATACGTCTACAGACGACGACCACGGCGACCACCCTTGCGACGAGTAGAGTCGGAGGGGGTGGGGGTCACGTCCTCGATACGGCCAATGCGCATGCCGGAACGGGCAAGGGCACGGAGGGCAGACTGAGCACCGGGACCGGGGGTCTTGGTGCCGTTACCACCGGTGGCACGGATCTTGATGTGGAGGGCGTTGATGCCGAGCTCCTTGCAGCGGACAGCGACGTCCTGAGCAGCCAGCATGGCGGCGTAGGGGGAGGACTCGTCACGGTCAGCCTTGACCTTCATACCACCGGTAACACGGACGATGGTTTCACGGCCGCTGTAAGATATTATGTTAGATAAAACGTCCTTCATCATGTTGACCACTTCATTGAATGCTCCGGGCTCCGAGTTGCGTCTGATAGCGGAGTCGACCAGGCCGGGGCGCAAAGCAATTTTGTGGAGGAATCGGAAAGAGAGGAACGTACGAAAGATCAGTAACGTGAACGAAAGTGTCGTTGAAGGAGGCGAAGATGCGGGCAACACCGAAAACGAGCTTGCCTGTTCCATGCGCAAAACGAGTTAGACCGACAATTCGATTGATCCGCACAATAAAAACTTCTGGTGTTCAACGTACCATCACCGGCGAGGGGGCCGAGGGAGACGTTCTCCTTAGCGGCGGCGGGAGCCTTCTTGGGAGCCATTGCGAATATGTGGATGGGGGGGGGTTGTCGTGGATGGAATATGGAGGAGAGGAAAAGTCCAAAAGTGGTCGGGATCAAAGATCGAAAAAAGTGGGTGTGTGCCCTCGCGTGCTGCGTTCACGGTGATTGGTCCGAGACTTCAGGCAAGCGAGTGGACCGATCTGGAGGCCTGAGGCATAGATGGCGGCAGTAAAGCGGGTCTGAGGGCGGTGAGAGGGTCAGCTTCGCTCGCCTATTTAAATTTTTCTTTTCTCTTTTCAACGTCAATCCTCATCGTTGCCAATTGTTCGTCGCACTCTCCATCCACTCAATGGAAAGCTAGAGTGATCAGACTGAGAAGACATATTGAGCTATCCCACTAACCATCAGTGCACTTTTTCGAGAGTTTCAACTCTGTTGTGTCGCGCCGACGCTACGGGCGTGAGTCATTGCCAGGATGGGACGTACCAAGCAAGATGCCTCAATTGGCATCATCGGTATGGGTGATATGGGCAAGATGTATGCCCAGCGCCTGAGTGATGCAGGATGGAGGTAAATTTCCACCCTTTTTCTCTCCCACCCGCCGTCTTCCTATCACGGTGGGTGACCAGCTTGAATGGTAAGCTCTTACTCCTTCCTTTGCTGCTTCTTGAACACCTCCCTCCTTCGAATGATGACTTGAGTGCATTTGGCTCGAGCATGGTTCGGCGGGCCCTACCACGCCATTCTGGTTGGTAGGTGACTGCTGGGCCGTCGATGATGTAAAATACTCGCTACCTTAATTTTTTCTTGTCTGACAAGTTTGGAACTTGTTTTCCCTTTTCTGCCTCACTCTTGCTGTTTCTCATGAAGACGCGGTGCTAACGAGTGATTCTTGAATAGATCTTTCCATATGGAATCTCTGTGATCCCTGCCTCTGCAGACCTTGTTGAGGTGACACGAGGAGTACTTTTTTTTGACTAACATAAATATTATTATCTCTTTCAAAGAATCAATGCGTGTGACAGACCTGAGAATTATGAATCTCTGCAACAAGAGTTCGCTTCTCAAGTACGTCTCCCGCTGGGACCATCATCCAGCCAGATACTTATCGTATATTAGCCCTTGGTTACCATATTCCCGAATGGCCATCTCGTTTCCAGAATTAGCGACTTTATTCTTTACAGTGTAGAGGCCGGCGTCATCGACCGAGTCGTTGCACAGTACGGGCCATGTATGTCGACCCAGTTAAATCCCTTTTTTGCAAGGCCCCCATGCTATACCTCCCCCAAAAAAGGAAAAGAAACATCTTTTCTGACTGGTTTCAATCAAAAAGCTACCAAAGAGGGCGCTATCGTGGGTGGTCAGACCTCCTGCAAGGCGCCTGAGCTTGCAGCATTCGAGAAGCACCTGCCTGCCGACGTAGAGATCGTATCATGCCATTCGCTACATGGTCCCAAAGTGAATCCCAAGGGCCAGCCGTTGGTAGGGAACTCCCCACGCCGCATTTCAATCCGGACTGGTCCCATTATTAACATGGCGTCGATACCAGGTCTTGATTCAACACCGGGCGTCTGACGAAAGCCTCCGGTTTGTCGACGAGATCCTTTCCTCGTTCGGATCCAAACATGTCTATCTCACCGGCGAGATGCACGATCGTATCACTGCCGACACCCAAGCCGTTACCCACGCTGCCTTTTTGAGTATGGGAACCGCATGGCAAGCCAACAACCAGTTCCCCTGGGAAATCTCGCGATGGGTTGGTGGCATCGAGAACGTCAAGATCAATATCACTCTCCGCATCTACTCGAACAAATGGCACGTCTATGCCGGTCTCGCTATCCTCAACCCGGCTGCCAAACAGCAGATTCGCCAGTATGCCGACTCCGTGACCGAACTATACAAACTCATGATTGGGGGACATCGAGAGGAGCTCAAGCGCCGAGTAAAGGCTGCCGGTGCCTCGGTGTTCAAGGAGGGTACGGAAGGACAAGATCTTCTTTTGAAGGATGAGGTGCTGGATCGCTTCTCTCTGTCCAACCAGACTCGGGAGAAGTCGCCCCCGAACAGCCATCTGAGTCTGCTTGCCATCGTTGACTGCTGGTCGAAACTTGGCATTGTTCCGTATGACCATATGATTTGCTCCACGCCAGTATGTATCCAACAGGCGCTTAAGGCGAACCTTTCGAATCACGGTTACTGATCGTTCTGCAGCTCTTCCGTCTATGGCTGGGTGTAACTGAGTACCTGTTCCGCAACCCCGAACTCCTAGACGAAGCCCTCGATACCGCTATTGATGATAATACTTTCCGCTCCGACGACTTGGAGTTTACGTTTGCTGCACGGGTGAGTCTTGAAGATGATAAATCAGCAGTCTGCTCTGTATAAGTGATCGTGGTCTGAATCGTTGTGCTAACTTCCTCTAGGCATGGTCTGATTGCGTCTCCTTCGGTGACTTCGAGTCCTACCGAGATCGCTTCGAGCGAATTGCGCAGTACTTCGCTCCCCAATTCCCCGAAGCTGCCAAGCTTGGAAACGAAATGATGAAGACGATTCTAGAGAAGACTGAGAACAAATCTTAAGTTCGTGGCGATGTAAGATAAGTCTTGGGATATGCGGGGGTCTTATGCCAGTGTATGATAGAAGCCAGTTGGCTTCGACTTAGCATTATGACAACGTAATACCTTCTTAATGCAACTGTCTCGAATGATATTTGCCTGTATTTTGTCTCCAGTAAACTAGATATATCACTCGTTCGCATTGATCATCTCGATTCATGTACAAGTGGATGCCTTCCCCGGCCCCACGATAAGATGCCTTAGTCATCCATGTGTTTCTCGCGATCAGGCTGAACCGAACTGAGTGGGACATACATCCGTGCAGATCGTCTGCACTGTCTCATGTTTCTCTCTCTTTGTTGACTGCGGGCCAGTTGTGATGGCAGCTGTTGTCGTTCTCTGATCATCAGAACCTCGACCCGTGACACTGCGGAGCCCTCCCCTCCACGTCTCCTCCCTTACGCTCTCCCCATACAACTCGAAACGAGCCCTTGCTCCACGACGACCTCCTTCCCCTCTCAACCCCAATGCGGCCTCTCGACCGTGCGGACATTTGCGACAGGTGATAGATAGCCTCGACGGCTAAATGGAGCTTTATGGCTTCCGGACACAACTCAGCGTTCTCCGCGTCCACCCAGCACCGCGCGTTTGGTGATGCTCGCTCCTCATTCAGTCAGGACGGCGCTTCGGGGGACGGGAGTTGGAATGATGGACTCTCGAAGATCGGACGAAATGGGCGATCAGGCTCCGGGGGAAGTGCTACTACTGGTACGAGAGGAGCCTCTTCGCTGGCGCCGTCCTTTGGCGGACCGGGGAGCTTCAGTGCGGAGCTCAAGAGCATGACCTCCCGGAGTGTCACACCACGACCCGACGGCACATACACGCGACGAGCGAGTAAATCAATTGGCGAAGACGATTTACCCACGACCGAAGAGCGCCAGGCCGTTATTCGAGACAAAATTGCGAAGGAGATGAAGATCAAGACTGGAACGGAGAACATGCTCGAGGCTCTGTTGGCAAAACCACCCAAGCAGACCAAGGAACAACGACTGAAGGTAGAGTCGGAATTGAGCTCATCCAACCGCAAGCTGGCTGAGCTTCACCAAGAGCTGG